TTCTATCATTTGTTTTTGTGCCACCTCCAGATTTTGGATATGTTATAGACAATAAGAATATCTACAATATGGCAAAGTTTAAAAAATTCTACCGTGTAGTTTTTTATTTATAAAGCTTTGTTTGTTAAAGAACAGGAATTCTTAACTTAAATATGCAATGTCATGCACGTTGCATGATAAAATCGTTATTTTTTTACAACGAAGTCGTCAAAAGAAAAACACGTTATTAAACAACAACAACATCTCGAATTGTTTTATTTTCAACAACACTCCCCCCTTCTGTGATAATCCCAAAGTGTCAATCACGTGAAATGCACGCGCTACGTCACAACAAAACAAAATAAAAACAACTGTTCATCACATGCAAGATTATATTACGCGAATTCGTGTCATCTAACTATGTCGATGGTTTTCTATCATTTATTTTTTTGTGCCACCTCCAGATTTTGGATATGTTATAGACAATATAATTATCTATATTCTGGCCAAGTTTAAAAAAATTCTACCGTGTAGTTTTTTATTTACAGGCCTTTGTTTTCAATGACTTGAAATTCTCAACCTAATTATATAAGATTATATTACGCGCATTCGTGTCATCCGACTTTGTCGATGATTTTCTACAACTTATTTTTTGTGCCACCTCCAGATTTTGGATATATTTTAGACAGTAAGAATATCTACAATATGGCCAAATTTAAAAAAATTCTACCGTGTAGTTTTTTAGCTATAGAGCTGTTTGTCGAATGTGGTGCCAACTTCACAGTTAATTTCAGAGTATATTCTCAAGGAATATTATTTCCTTTATTTTTTGTGCCACCTCCAGATTTTGGATATGTGATAGACAATATAATTATCTATATTCTGGCCAAGTTTAAAAAAATTCTACCGTGTAGTTTTTTATTTACAGGCCTTTGTTTTTAATGTCTTGAAATTCTCAACATAATTATATAAGATTATATTACGCGCATTCGTGTCATCCGACTTTGTCGATGATTTTGTATAACTAATTTTTTTGTGCCACCTCCAGATTTTGGATATGTTATAGACAATATAATTATCTATATTCTGGCCAAGTTTAAAAAAATTCTACCGTGTAGTTTTTTATTTATAGGCCTTTGTTTGTTAAAGAACCGGAATTCTTAACTTAAATATGCAAGATTATATTACGCGCATTCGTGTCATCCGACTTTGTCGATGATTTTGTACAACTAATTTTTTTGTGCCACCTCCAGATTTTGGATATGTTATAGACAATATAATTATCTATATTCTGGCCAAGTTTAAAAAAATTCTACCGTGTAGTTTTTTATTTATAGGCCTTTGTTTGTTAAAGAACCGGAATTCTTAACTTAAATATGCAAGATTATATTACGCGCATTCGTGTCATCCGACTTTGTCGATGATTTTGTACAACTAATTTTTTTGTGCCACCTCCAGATTTTGGATATGTCATAGACAATATAATTATCTATATTCTGGCCAAGTTTAAAAAAATTCTACCGTGTAGTTTTTTATTTATAGGCCTTTGTTTGTTAAAGAACCGGAATTCTTAACTTAAATATTCAAGATTATATTACGCGCATTCGTGTCATCCGACTTTGTCGATGATTTTCTACAACGTATTTTTTTGTGCCACCTCCAGATTTTGGATATGTTATAGACAATATAATTATTTATATTCTGGCCAAGTTTAAAAAAATTCTACTGTGTAGTTTTTTATTAATAAGGCTTTGTTTTTTAAAGAACCAGAATTCTTAACTTAAATATGCAAGATTATATTACGCGCATTCGTGTCATCCGACTTTGTCGATGATTTTCTACAACTTATTTTTTTGTGCCACCTCCAGATTTTGGATATATTTTAGACAGTAAGAATATCTACAATATGGCCAAATTTAAAAAAATTCTACCGTGTAGTTTTTTAATTATAGAGCTGTTTGTCGAATGTGGTGCCAACTTCACAGTTAATACCAGAGTACATTCTCAAGGAATATTATTTCTTTTATTTTTTGTGCCACCTCCAGATTTTGGATATGTGATAGACAATATAATTATCTATATTCTGGCCAAGTTTAAAAAAATTCTACCGTGTAGTTTTTTATTTATAGGCCTTTGTTTGTTAAAGAACAGGAATTCTTAACTTAAATATGCAAGATTATATTACGCGCATTCGTGTCATCCGACTTTGTCGATGATTTTCTACAACTAATTTTTTTGTGCCACCTCCAGATTTTGGATATGTTATAGACAATATAATTATATATATTCTGGCCAAGTTTAAAAAAATTCTACCGTGTAGTTTTTTATTAATAAGGCTTTGTTTTTTAAAGAACCAGAATTCTTAACTTAAATATGCAAGATTATATTACGCGCATTCGTGTCATCCGACTTTGTCGATGATTTTCTACAACTTATTTTTTTGTGCCACCTCCAGATTTTGGATATGTTATAGACAATATAATTATCTATATTCTGGCCAAGTTTAAAAAAATTCTACCGTGTAGTTTTTTAACTATAGAGCTGTTTGTCGAATGTGGTGCCAACTTCACAGTTAATACCAGAGTACATTCTCAAGGAATATTATTTCTTTTATTTTTTGTGCCACCTCCAGATTTTGGATATGTGATAGACAATATAATTATCTATATTCTGGCCAAGTTTAAAAAAATTCTACCGTGTAGTTTTTTATTTATAGGCCTTTGTTTGTTAAAGAACAGGAATTCTTAACTTAAATATGCAAGATTATATTACGCGCATTCGTGTCATCCGACTTTGTCGATGATTTTCTACAACTTATTTTTTTGTGCCACCTCTAGATTTTGGATATGTTATAGACAATATAATTATTTATATTCTGGCCAAGTTTAAAAAAATTCTACCGTGTAGTTTTTTATTAATAAGGCTTTGTTTTTTAAAGAACCAGAATTCTTAACTTAAATATGCAAGATTATATTACGCGCATTTGTGTCATCCGACTTTGTCGATGATTTTGTACAACTTATTTTTTTGTGCCACCTCCAGGTTTTGGATATGTGATAGACAATATAATTATCTATATTCTGGCCAAGTTTAAAAAAATTCTACCGTGTAGTTTTTTATTTACAGGCCTTTGTTTTCAATGACTTGAAATTCTCAACATAATTATATAAGATTATATTACGCGCATTCGTGTCATCCGACTTTGTCGATGATTTTCTACAACTTATTTTTTTGTGCCACGTCCAGATTTTGGATATGTTATAGACAATATAATTGTTTATATTCTGGCCAAGTTTAAAAAAATTCTACCGTGTAGTTTTTTATTAATAAGGCTTTGTTTTTTAAAGAACCAGAATTCTTAACTTAAATATGCAAGATTATATTACGCGCATTCGTGTCATCCGACTTTGTCGATGATTTTCTACAACTTATTTTTTTGTGCCACCTCCAGATTTTGGATATGTTATAGACAATATAATTATTTATATTCTGGCCAAGTTTAAAAAAATTCTACCGTGTAGTTTTTTATTAATAAGGCTTTGTTTTTTAAAGAACCAGAATTCTTAACTTAAATATGCAAGATTATATTACGCGCATTCGTGTCATCCGACTTTGTCGATGATTTTCTACAACTTATTTTTTGCCACCTCCAGATTTTGGATATGTTATAGACAATATAATTATTTATATTCTGGCCAAGTTTAAAAAAATTCTACCGTGTAGTTTTTTATTAATAAGGCTTTGTTTTTTAAAGAACCAGAATTCTTAACTTAAATATGCAAGATTATATTACGCGCATTCGTGTCATCCGACTTTGTCGATGATTTTCTACAACTTATTTTTTTGTGCCACCTCCAGATTTTGGATATGTTATAGACAATATAATTATCTATATTCTGGCCAAGTTTAAAAAAAATTCTACCCTGTAGTTTTTTAACTATAGAGCTGTTTGTCGAATGTGGTGCCAACTTCACAGTTAATACCAGAGTATATTCTCAAGAAATATTATTTCTTTTATTTTTTGTGCCACCTCCAGATTTTGGATATGTTATAGACAATGTAATTATCTATATTCTGCCCAAGTTTAAAAAAATTCTACCGTGTAGTTTTTTATTTATAAGGCTTTGTTTGTTAAAGAACCGGAATTCTTAACTTAAATATGCAAGATTATATTACGCGCATTCGTGTCATCCGACTTTGTCGATGACTTTCTACAACTTATTTTTTTGTGCCACCTCCAGATTTTGGATATGTAATAGACAATGTAATTATCTATATTCTGCCCAAGTTTAAAAAAATTCTACCGTGTAGTTTTTTATTTACAGGCCTTTGTTTTCAATGACTTAAAATTCTCAACATAATTATATAAGATTATATTACGCGCATTCGTGTCATCCGACTTTGTCGATGATTTTCTACAACTTGATTTTTTGTGCCACCTCCAGATTTTGGATATATTTTAGACAGTAAGAATATCTACAAAATGGCCAAATTAAAAAAAATTCTACCGTGTAGTTTTTTATTTATAGGCCTTTGTTTGTTAAAGAACAGGAATTCTTAACTTAAATATGCAAGATTATATTACGCGCATTCGTGTCATCCGACTTTGTCGATGATTTTCTACAACTTATTTTTTTGTGCCACCTCCAGATTTTGGATATATTTTAGACAATATAAATATCTATATTCTGGCCAAGTTTAAAAAAATTCTACCGTGCAGTTTTTAAATTTTAGGCTAATTTAGAGAAATGGAAAGTACACTGTAATATAAATCTTAGTGTTTTCTTCAATTTCTTGACTTTTATATATTTTTTGTGATGGTTAAGGACAGTAAAGTAATAATAAACAGTTAAGAATTGTTTTTTACTGTTATATTTGATGGGAAACGTATTTTAAAGACGATTTTTCGATTTATCATTTTGAATGATAAATTTTAGTTGAATGTGGTGTTGAATGTTGTGATGAATGTTGTGTTGAATGTGGTGCCCAATGTGGTGCCAATTTCACGGTAGTGGTTAGAGCACTTACGTGGGAATTCATCAACAACGAAACAACATGGCTGCTTGGCTACCTGTAGTGCAAAATGCTTGTTTTCATACGCTGAGATCTTAGACAATTGTTTGATAAATGGGTTCGCGTCTGCGGTAAGAATACGCTTATGTAAAAGAAAAGGTGAAGGTATTATAACTGTATATTATTCTGGTGATTATCGCTTATTTAGACCCGTTCCTGACAAAATATTTGAATGTCTAATAGAGGTCGTAGCGCCTGTTACAGCAGACGAAGGTACGTCTTCTGTTGTATGTATTTGAACATTTGTACATTTGTGCATGGATGGGACTGTATTATATTCTTTCTCTTATGATTGTAATATATAACCATTAACAAATAAGAAATTATCATGTAATTATTTTAAATACGTGACGAAGGTTTTTTCCATTCTGACGCCAAATGCAGAAACATAAACGAAGAATTCCCATGTTTCTATTATCTGAACTATTATCGCGGAAATTGATACAAAATCGTGTGAGCTATTGTTGCAATACTGATTGTTTGAAATTTTTATAGAAGGAAAATTGATTCGTGTCTACCCAGATAGCTATGAAGATGTAGTAAGTATTAAAGAAAATCATGGACTTCTGAAAACGTTCATTAATGTAATTTTTAGTACATTCGTTTTTCTTACCTTTGCCAGGATCTTCTGAAGGATATTACAAAATTCTGCTTTCCATGCATACATGATTCGTAAGTTATAAACTACCATAAATTATATTATTAATTATATATATTATATATTATAAATTTCCCTTCGGATCAATCATGCATTTCAATTTTAGGGAAATGGTTGATGCTGTTCAACATTTTGCTTTTGTTTTAACTGACATTGATTCCCTATTTCGGTTTGGATTTTGTCGTTATCCACCCAAAGCTAAAACTTGTCTTTGTATTATCAGGTATATTTTATTTGTAAAAATCTTCATCTTCTAATGCAGGGGTCTACAAACTATGGCCCGCGGGCCAAAAGCGACCTGTTGGGCCTGCAGAGGCACTTGAGAAAAAAAATATTATTAAACAAAATAAACTTTGTGCAGAAAGTTCACGTTATGTCACAAGCCAACTAGCAAGCAAGAGTGGCTTATGTCAATTTTTGTCCCAACTTCCTACTTCCAAAAACCATGACCAGCCGACAATTTAAAGAAGTATAATATAGATTCTGACAGATTCAGATTCTGACAGATTTCAGACAGATTCTGTCTGAGGATGACTTTGAAATAAAGTCGAAAATTTACAGTTTACTTCTCGTCTTGTTTTGATTCATATTTTGCAATCTCAAGATGTCTTGTTTCTTCGGAATTTGTTTTATATTATACTTCCAACTTCCATTTCAAGCACATTGCGAAATTTAAAAAGCTGAAGGATAACGTGGAGAGTTATTATTCTGGCTGTAAAGTTTGGAGACCCCTGTTCTAAATCATTGAATTGAGTGACTCAGATAGACCTTTAACATTCATTACATACTTGGCAATCTTTATTGTTTGTAGTGACTTACCTGCATTTGAAATGTTTTATGGTATCTTAAATACATTCGCGGAACTCGTCAACAGTCAGTCACATAAGGTTTTCAAATTAAAACCACCATAAATTAACTTCATCATTCTCAAGCATTTCTAAAATTAATGTTATTTAATCACAGAATATCACAGGCAGACAGTTTTTAGATCTTGTGCTGGAGAGTCGGGTTCCAGAGCCTGGGACTAAATTTACTGTGAATGATCCAGGCACCGGATGGGTATGTCAACTTTATGCAGTTTTCAACTAGAAATTTAGTTTATAATAACATTATTGTATAAAATACTTTATTAATTAAGTTGATATGATGATGGAAATATATTTTGAAGAGATTATACCATACTAACTCTGTAGGTACGACATTACTCATATCCTGATCATTCAAGATTACCCATGATTCCAGAAAATGTAAGGTTTGAAGGCAATGTGTATAAAAAAACACAGCAAGTGAATATGTCCTTGTTATAGTTTCTCAAGTTTATTTATTAATGTAGGATACTCTTGTTTAAATGAAAATAACCATTTGTGCTAAATACGGCCTGGAACTGCTTATATTGATGAAATTTTACATGTTTGTGGATGTAGATTGTATATTAGACGATATTAAATCTTTATTTTCCCAGAGAAATCTAACAGACTACTTCTCTACTGTTAATTCCAACAACATGATTGCATTGTTCTCCAGGTAGTAACATTTTCTGTGACAACATAATTTACCCAATATTGTGATTGCTGTTTGCAATTCTCGTGTGTTGTTTTCATTTAGCATGATCTTTGAACGAAGAATCATTGTAACATCTAGGAAGCTTGGTTTGGTAAATGCAGCATCAATTTAAGTCATTTGAATTATTTTATCTTGGCTTATACCAAATGTTATTTTCAATTATAGTTAACGGCATGTACGTACAGTGCAAACCAGTTGCTCTATCCTATGCATTGGCAACATGTTTTTATACCTGTTTTACCGACCTGTTTGTTGGATTATTGCAGGTCTGTATGTGGACATTGAACTATGTTAAGGGGGAAGAACCATTTATAAATGACATCTTTTTATTTCATGTGATAGTGCCCCAATGCCTTTTCTTGTTGGTGTTCATTCATCTCTTATGGAGGTAAATTAATTGCTTGTTCTTACAAAATTTACAATATTGTGCTAATTTTTTGTTGTTTACTTGTGGAATTTGTAAGTAAGTTAGCACAAGAATCCAACTTTAGGTTTATATACTATGTAGTCACATGTTTCACAATTCTTCCATTATTGAACCATTTTCCAGAGAGTACGAGACATGCCATTAGATCGTGTCGTCATACTTGATGTTGATGCAGAAGAAATAGAAATCACTGGAAATGAAGACAATAAAATTGACGAACTGCCATCTCATGTGGTCAGTTCCAGTTTGCCTCTTCTTAGATGCTTAAAACTGTGTATTATATGTTATGGACACTGTTTTTTTACCTCCGCCATCTTTCAGACATCCAAATTAAACAGTGCTTTAAAAAAGACAACTATTGCAGTTGGTGAACATGTTGCTCAAGCGTTTCTCAGTGCCATTGTTGCTATGATTGGTAGTTACAGACAGGGTTTAAAACTTATTGTACGTAGGCTGAAAAACTATACATTTTATTGCACTTGCTTCATCATTTCAAGATTTAAACAACTGATTTTTTGTTTTTAACATTATTCAGAATGAAGAGATTGTTTTTGATGAAGACATGTAAGTTTATTCAATACTATATGTGCATAAAGAAATTTCGTTATGATTGCATGTTGTGTGAAAAAATACAAAGCTTGTGAAATTTTTTCAAGGTTTATAAATTCCCGCCCAAACATGAAATCTTTTTTGAAAGATCTTTTGAAATTCCAGCATTTTGAGCAGGTATTTTGTGATTCCTTTTTATCTTGCGATTATTGTGTCTGCATAAATATCTTTGGTTGATTCATTGCCACTATTTAATATGTTTTTCAGTTCATTTATCATCGACTTCAACAGTTAAAGGCAGGGGAAAGTATTGATGACATTTTTGAAGAACAAGTTGGTCTTCAACCAGAAAGTAATTTGTTTGAAATTCATACCTTCTCCTTCCATCTCTGATTAGTTCACTTGATAAGAGTTGTAGATTTGCTGTCAACACGAAATAAGAGAAATTATTGTTTATAGCTGATACTAAATTGATTACTACACAGTACAAGAATTGGATGAAAAATCGAAAGGTACTCTAATTTGCTCCAAATGTTTTTTTCCTGATGGTCTTTCAGTGAGTCAGCAATGTATTCTTTCATATTTAACAGCGTGATGGTACTCACTTGCTCAATAACCTCAGTGAAAAAACAGAACAGGTTTGCACATTTACTAGACAGATGGAGGATGTTTAAGTTCACGAGAATTGATGAATATACAAGAATTTTGTTGGATATTTATTGCGTCTGATGGATATACGAAACTTCGTATCGTTAACAATGTAAGGGTTTAAGAAAGATAGCTATGTAAAAATTGTTTGTTTCAACATTACAGGCAACAAACAAAGCAAAAAAATTCATGTTGAATGTTAAAATGAGTGGTAAAAATAACTGGATTGACGCCATGAAAGGACTCAAAGTAAGAAAGAAAAATCAAATAAAATCAGAGGTAGGAATTATATTATCTTAACTGAATGTGTGTATGTACTAATGGTAGTAATCCCAACCCCATGTTATCCATAATGATCCACACACGTGTTATCTTCACCTAGCCATATACTGATTTACTATACTTTATCAGCAAACAGACATTGATTCATCAACCAATCCAGCGTCCAGAGCAAACTCATTACCAGTGCGTCGAGCAAATTCCGTTGTAGATGATTCAAAAGTCAATTTTGCTCGTCAGTCTATTGGTAGTGTTCTTGTAAGTCGTATTGTAACTTTTCAAATCTTGAAAATTTGATTCTCCTTTTCTCCAACGGTTTAAAAATACAAATTTTTATTGTTTTAGACAAATCGCATCGATTTTCCTTCATCATCAAAAAAACATTCTTCTCAAACAGCCCAAGATGACGAGTCTCGTGAAACATTGTTAAAAAAATGTCCTCCTCCACGCCCTCCTCCACCTTGGTCTGCACAACCTTCACTTCGTCCTCCATCACCACCACCTCGACCTACCCAACCTTCACCTCGTCCTCCATCACCACCACCTCGGCCTACACAACCTTCACCTCGTCCTCCATCACCACCACCTCGACCTACACAACCTTCACCTCGTCCTCCATCACCACCACCTCGACCTACACAACCTTCACCTCGTCCTCCTTCACCACCACCTCCGTATAATGCAAAGAAAGATGGACAATATTTAAGAACGAGTATGGAGCGAAACCCTTGTGATCCAGTTGTCAAAGATCTTATTGATTTTTACAATAGTCAGGTAAACAGTATTTCACACTGTTGTACATAAAAATCTCTGGATTGTTGTTATTCGGTTAAGTGTTGCTCTCTCTTGTTATTGCGTAAGAAATTTTTTTATAAAATGTACCTGGTGTAGCGTTTCCTTGCTTTCTCCTATTGCTGAAGAAATCTTTTTGTAGTACTTCATATTATTATGATGTACTTAACAATTCCCCTGTATTTAATGTGCCCCCTCCCCCCCATGTTAATGGCAAGCTTCATGCAGTGAACTCCATATATATATAGTGCATGAGTCACCATTTTACTATGGTGATAGCTGGGAGGGCACATTGTTATACACTTTGTATATATATAGTTATTTAAATATTGAGTTCACTGGCCTCAAGTTACTGCTCTTGAAATAAATTGAGGATTGTTGTTTGATATAAACTCATCCAAACGTCATTAGAAATGTTTTAGGTATTTCGAAATGCTTGGACTTGACATTAAATCTTTATAGATCTTTTGTAGCGTTGAACATATTATATTCACTTCACGTTTTTGCACGCTTATCAATACATTAACATTGTTCAAACATCAAAACTGTATCAATGAACTATCTTCCAGGAGGATTTAACCACCGATACATCCACGAAGGATCCTTTTGCCGATTTTAAGGATTTTGACTATCATGTTGATCGCCAATCGGGAAATCGAAACTCTGCATTACCAACCGTAAAAATAGATAAAACAACGTGTAGTAATGAACATTTAAATCAAAGCAACGGCTTGGTATCCGAAACACTTCAAGGTTTGTCAAACGACACAAGACATTTTTTACTAAAATCGCCAATACAAAACGATGAAAGTAAATTTAGACTTGGTAGATCCAGTCCGTCTATTAATACGACGTCAGGACATTCACCGCGTTTACAACGAAGATTACATAATTCAGTAAAGTCCTCTCGTTCTTCACGTAGAGAAGTGAAGAAAAAGACTCTTCAAGAGATTGCTTGTGAGCAAAAGCTTGGAAATAACGATGAGAACATGACGCATGCGCTGTCAGCTCCATCGTTATTGGAGTATTCATCTGGAAATGAGAATTATGGACAATATAATACAAGCAACAGGAACCAAACGCCTTCGAACAGAGCCGACAATCAAACGAATCTTATTTCAAATGTGGATCTTCTAGGACAGATAGAATTTGTGGGCAATAATCCAGAGCTGGACGAAGATCCGTTCCTAGAAATTTCTCAGAGACATGAAAGAGCGCAAAATGCAAAATAGAATTTTTAGAATAAAATATATAAAAAGATTTTATAGATAACGTAAAAGCACAGCGAAGCACAAAACTTAGAAAAAAGTTTTGGAGGATTTTGGAACGCAGACTGTAAGTTAAAAAACGTAAATATTTACTTGATGAAATGTTTCGCACCAAAACCTCGTTTTCAATTGCTACTTGATTTTCATGGTGAGTTGTTTGAAAAAATACTTTGCAACCTGCCGTTCATAGTTCACTTACTGCAGAGAGAAAATTGATTTATCCAAGTTTGATTGAAGTTTGCCTCTTTACAGGTTAATGTTAAAGAATTTAAAGTCTGCAGGTTTAAGATCTTCCAATTTGTCGTTGAAAAGTTGGTGAATAGTATTTTTTCGTTCTATTTTAATGTTTAAGCCAGGTTCCGAGCCGTTCTTCACCTGTTTGGGCGAGTTTTACTCTCCTAGTCGACTTTCACTCTGAATACGAACAAAAAGTTAGCTAACGCCAAACATGTCTGTTCACAATTTTTAGGGAATTATGATCCGATTAGGAACGGCTTTTTTTGTCCCGTGAGGAGCAAATATAAATTTTTGTTAATGGAATTGGTGTGAAATGCTTTACTTGACATTGGATAGCAAGAGCTACCTAATCCTCACAATCTGAAGTACTTTCAGAATTGAACTGTCAATAGTTTACGTACCACCATACTATAGCGACTAGATCTTCAAACATTCGCTATAATTTATTTGAAAAATTATCCTTGAATGCGCAAATTTGAAGAATTCGAGAATGATCAAGAACGCGCTGCATTCAACCAACCAATAGGATCGTCTCGTTGTTTTCATTCACTTCCGGCTGTCCGAATGTTTATTGTTGTTGCTACAAAAAACAAACACTCTCTTCACCGCTTGGGCTGTCGAGCGCGTTGGTTTAGCGTCTGCCTTGTGCCAAATAATGACTGTTATGGGTAAAGAAAAGACTCACGATAAAGAAACTTTGGAGGATGTCTATCGAGCTTTGATAGCTGTAAAGGAAAATTCCTCAGATGGTTCTTTAAAGACGATTGGTACCGGTTGTGCAGTGCGCACTGGAAATGTGTTTGGGATCAACTGGAGAAAGAAATATCATCTTTTAATTTCTTCTTCCTTAGTTAGCAAGGACGCTTTGGAATCTCATGAAAATCGAGGGAAATATATCGGAGAATTTGAGAATGGCAAACCAAAACTTGAACTGGAAAAGGCCTCGAATACTTTCTTCAAGAAAGAACATAAAGATTTCCATTTCATAGCTATAGGTCGTGGACGTTCTGGTAAACTAGGTCACCATGTTCTAGACGTTTGTCTACTCGAACGCGACCAAGTTTTACAAGGAAAGTTGTACTGTTTTGTTGCTGTGGTATCGAACGAGAAATCTGGTAATCATTCCTTCAAGATGCATGAGATAGTAAATAATTCTGGGCGCTACGAGACGACAGACACTCTGACTTCTGACGAGTTTCCTAGAGGAGCTCCTGTATTGAACAACGCTCATGATATTGTTGGGATTGTAAGTCGTGTTTCAGATGGAAAGAAAATAGAAATATGTTTTGTAAGCGATTCACATCATGGTAAGGATAAAAAAAATCGAGATCAACTTGTCGGGTGATTATTTGGGAGGGAAAATCATGTGAATAATGAATGACTTTAGTGTCCAGTTGTTTCCATATTTAAATTATAGATAAGATAAGACATTAAGCGAAATTTGGCGCAATAGGAAGGTGTTTATTACATACAACGTATTTTCATCGATAGCATTTTGTCTTAAGCTTTTCGTTAAATTGTCAATTGCTTTCGGTTTTTGTGAAGACGGTCAACGTTGGCATATATAGTCGATGATCTTGATGTGCATATTTTATTGCAAATTCTGCCGTTGTAAACGAGCGATTGTATTGCTATTCTTTATCATTCTAACTACCAGCAAAGATTAGTGATGAATATCATAGAAAACAACGGTTGTGTGGCTTCGCAGCTTTGCGGTGTTTAAAAAAAAAGTGAAAAGCACTCGAGTCAATTCTCTCATTGCTAAATAAGCGTTAAATATTGCTACTGCAATTTCCTGTCGACGAAAGAAAGTTATTTTGATGATATCATACGCGACATCATCTCAGTGGTGATTCAGAATTGAATGTTTCAATTTAGTTAATTTTCGAAATTTCAAACATTTCTTCTTTTGGGTGACATAAAAAATGTGTTCCTGCTATATTATTATGATTATTTTTATTGAGTAACGACTGACACGATGCTTTCGCAGCACGCGTTCAAGCGTTTCCTCTCGAACTTTCGATACATCTTTTGTTCACTTTTGAAAATAATGACAAATCTCGCATTATTTGTACATTTACTTGAAGCTTTTTTTGTTTATTACTATTCTCGCAGTCGAACCCGAGCCACGTAAAACGGAAGCCAACATTCCTACGGTAGTTACAGAGGAGAAAAATACCGTGAATGAGAAATCGGAGAATGTTAATGTGAAGCGTGACCTTCAGCCTCCAGAAAAGCCACAGAGATCAAAAAAAGTTAACAGATCACAGAGTGAGAGAATTCCTTGTCATTCAGGGACAGGGAAGGATCGTGATTTGCGACATTCGTTTCGCTATGGTAACCGCAATGGATACAAGGTTTATGTTTCAAGCGAAGCCAAAGAAAATGGAGTACAAAAGTGGAAACCAAAAGGATTTGGAGCAAAGAAAAATCTTTTTGAGTCGAAGGAACCTGTGAAATTCCTTGGTGTTTCTCATACTGCAAGTAACCTTGGTAGAGGTTATTATGCAAGGAAGTTGCTTGGCAAACCCAGGCCAAAGATTTCATCTTCAGTCAGTTTGCCAAACAAGCTTAATGAAGTGGACTGCAAGAAAATGAAGACATTTTCTGGTCTCAAAGGTCGTAGAACTTTGAGCTCCTCAAATATACTTGCAGGTGAACACCATTAGCCAAATGTCAGTTTAAAAGCGTGGTTTCTAGAAAACTCTTTGATTTTCCTTATAAGTACTGAAATGTGTCTTCATTTTACAGCCCATCTTGTGAAGGATTTACCATCAGACTTGAAAAGCCAGGCTGCAAATATATTTGATGATCCTGCCAAAGGTCAGTTGTGGAGGAAAATTGCCGCTCATTATGAAATCACAGATGTGGAAGTCAATGACCTTGCCTTTGGAGCATCTCGACATATTTCTGGGAGCGAGACAAAAGCTTTGTTCCAAAAACTGTCAATAAAGAAACCAGAATTGACTGTGTCTGATTTTGTTGACTATCTTTTTTGCCAGCATGTCACGCAAGAAATTGTGAATCTATTTTGGCCTCACATTTATAAAGGATTTTAAAAGCCAGTTCATTTAAGACTCTGTTTAATTATTAATATAGATTTTATTTGTAAAATAGTAATTTTGAGCCAAGAACGAAATTGACATCAATTGAGATCACGTGACCAGAGGCAACGTGACGTCAGAACATTGAATTCAACAATGGCGGCTAATTTGAAGTATACAAACGTATCAGAGGAGAGTTTCATGACATTTAGGTCAGTAAACAAAGTTGAAGAACTAAGTATAACAGATTTTTAGAGTAAATAAATAAGCATAAGCAACGCAAATGCTAATTGTGTCGAATTAACGTCGTATTCATTTTCGTCTGCCGTAGACAGTTCAATAGCTGCAGACGATTATTTAATAGTTTATTTATTTATCTTCGCCAACAACATGCTAAGAATATAAAGAAACGGAAAAGCAAAGGTCCTTCGCTTGGCTTCTTGTTTTTCTTGATTGAGACTGGAAATGGTAAGATTTTGTGAAACTATATAATTAAAATTTTACACTTTATCACACCAAAGAAGAATGAATAATACCCTTCATTAAAGAGGATAATTTATGGTAGGCAAGTCATTAAACGTTTTATTGTTTTTTATTAAATATTGCATTGCAAACACCCTTCGTGAAGCGGTCAGTCTAATGTTAGTGTCGTCAACCTCACTCAAGCTCTAAACCTCAACATAATCAAATCTGAACCTTAAGTTCTTGCAAATTTTTAATCCTAAATCACAAGGTTATACCGATTGGTTGGGTTGGATTACTCCACGCCTTGTGTTTACTTAGCAAAATATAGCTCTATCTGATATATCTTGAAGCATTTGACTTAAAAATTCATTCACTAATGTCATTGGCCACAATTTTATGTTGCCAATGTATCGATGAATTTAAAAATTAATGAACGTCAACGAGGCGGCTTGTATTTGTTTTAAATTCTCATCACATTTAAATGATGTATGATTGTCGAAAGTCATAAATTATCTCAAACGCTCTAAAATTTCAATTCCATTCCGAGCATCCCGTTGAAACTTGTCGTTAAAACAATCATAAGTCGTATTTTAGTCAGCCAACTTTACTGCGCTACAGACAAAATCGTTGAAATGTTTTTGAAACAACAAGGAAACATATGGTTTGATTTGTTTTGATGTTATAACATCTCTCATAATATCAATATCCAAAGTCAGGCTTTCGTTCGCACAAAATCGTGTGAGCAAACATGAATTTGTGGCGAAGATCAAAATCATGGCTGCAAGACACTTTTCCTTCACAAAAGGAAAATTTTGAGCCACAGGATTATTTGGAAGACGAAAAAGAATACTGAAGTATAAATTTGAAAAAGAATGCTCGTTAATCGAAAAACGATTCTACCTTGAAATGCTTGATGCGAAATTACATTTTGAACATGACTTAAAGCGACTTGAAGAAGAACATGTGAAGTTGAAAACAAAGACTTCTGAAGATCTTGAAATGAATCAATATGTGAATAACAAAACGTCTGGGACGTCCGAGATTGTAGTCGATGTTAAAAATTCACCGGTGAAAATCATTAAAGAAAATGACTGCCTCGAATGGGATCCAATCAATGAACTTACAAGTTATGAAGAAGAAGAGTCAGCACTCGAGGAAAGCAGTTGGTTTATGCAGAAAGATTCCCCACAATATGACAAAATTGTTTCAGATGACTCAAATTTGACTATTGCATCGCGCGATACTTTCAATTCAATATTAATGCAACTGGATCCAAAAGCTTTTGTCGATGAGGATTTAAAGGCTATTCATTGTGTAATGAAGAAATTCAAGACGAGCGATGTTCAAAAGAGTGTGGATGAGTTGAAGAAAAAAATTGAAGGCGATATTGCCAGAGAATATAATGAGAAATTTGACGTCGAAAGGAAATTTTTGTGTTCAGTTATTGATGAGCTTGAAGAAAATGTGGCGTTATTGAGAAAACAAAAAGAAGATATTGTATCGATCTTTGAATCCGGCAATGGAAAAATATGAGGGCAATTTAGAAAGAAACAGATACGTAAATGTTGGGTAATGACTATAAACGAAATAATTTATTATTGAAATGGACTAATTAATAAAATCTGCGTTTCGGTTAAACTTTTTTTTTGTAATATCAATTATTTAAAAGTGTTTGACGAAATAATGAACTTCCCGTTTGTGAAATGTATTTTAATAGAGTATTTCAAATTTCACTTTAGGATTTCATAATTTAGAAGATAAATCTGCTGTAACATTTGAACTTTGTAGTAGTATTTGTGTATTTATGTTAGTTTATAAGAGGATATGATCAACTGGATTATAAATAGGGCGGCTTTCCTGTAGGTAAATTGTTTGAAATAAACCTTTGATCATGTGATCGACGTGTTTACACAAGCTGCAAACATGTGCTACACTTATTCTGTGAATCTGTAAGGAAAATATTGTTTAGAAATAAAACAATCCTCTGTTTCAACGTTTAATTTTTCATCTTTGAATAAATATGAGGCTCAACGGTCGAGATAAATTGTCAAAAAAACTATATTTGTGTAGACCGGGGGTAGCTATGAATTATATCAGGTCTCCCTGAAACCACTAAAACTTTGTCCGAATTCTTGTTTTCCTTGTAATTTTCTTACAAACCATTCCAGCCTTCCTTTTTCCTCCGCTAAATGAACTTTATACTCTGTTTCAAGTATTTGCTTCAACTCTCTCTTTTCTCTTAAAACTTTCTTCTCCACTTCCACCATTTGTCGATCGTGCTTCAACTTTAATTTCTCCATTTCCATATTGAATTCTATTTCCAGACGTTCTTTTTGATATTTAACCAAAGCAATATCGTTTTCATATCCTTGTATGGCAGCATCAAACTTTAATCGTTCTTGTTGCATTTGTTTCGCATACCGTGTTTCAAATTCGCGTTCCATTTCGCGTTTTTCACGTTTCGTTTTCCTCTCCAGATCACGTTTTTCCAACTTGAATATCTCCATTAAATCGTTTTTCTGTTGACGAAATCGTTGTTCCATTTCATACATCTCCAGACTAAATTCGCGTTCAATAGCTGAACGGCATTTTGTGAGAATATTTCCCATTTCATTACGTTCATCGTAAGTGGAGGAACCTTTTCGACTGATCTTGCTCTTCCTTCGCTCAGACTTCGTACTCGTATCCTCGCGATCCGCCTCAGGCTTTTCTGTAGTGTATTCACTAGCTATTTGCTCACCTTCGTGTTCATATAGCTGTCCCAATTGACTAAATGCATTCAATAATATTTGTTTTAATTCACCTTCAATCTCCGCAACACGTTCAATTTCCATGTTGAGCCTTTCTTCCAGATTTCGCTTTTCAAGTAGAAATTCTTCCTCGCGTCGTTTCATTTGTTGTTCAAATCCTTCTCTGATTTCTTCCTTTTCTTGCTCGAATAATCGTTTCATATTTGATATGTCATCATCATGTTGTCTTACCATTGATAGACGCTCGTCTTCAAACGCTTGCTTTAACACGTGTTTCTCGCCTTGAAACTCGCGACGTATTTTGTCTTTCTCGTTGTCAAAGTATTTTTGCAGTTCTTGTTTCTCATACTCAAAAGCTTCCTTCATTTTTTCTTTTTCTCGCTCTAGACAGCGAACCAATTCATTCATTTCTTCGCGATGCGCAACTTCAAGACGTTTGCTTTCTTCCATAAAACCCTGCATTAATTCAGCCTTTTCAAGAAGAAATGCTTCCTCAATATCGTGAATCACCGGTTCATCTTCTCTTTTGGTGCCTTCCATTCTTCAATCGCTTCAAAACGTTCGACTTTGAACTACAATATTTTGTCAGTACAAGGAAAGAAGAAAATAAAAATCTTTACATATACATCAGAAGATTCTATACATCGTCGCTATAATTCTCACACTTACTGTGTCTGTTTCATGTATATTTTATTACATTGACACACCAAGCGACCTTTCGACCTCACGTAATTAGTTTTAAAAGGCGATATACCGATTTCTGTCTGCTTATTATATTTGAAATCCGTTTTATCTTTGTCGATGCTGTACTTACTTGGCTGTAATGTTCTTGGCTGTATTCACGAAGTTTTGTGAACGGTTTTTAAAATTCAATTTGACTAATATTTTGGCGAATTTGATTTTTGACATAAACAAAATGTCAATGTCTGTCATCTGTGTGAATGTCGTGCTGTTGTCAATTGTCGATTTCAATATGTCCTTCTCAGCCTAGAGGAACAGATGTACATTCATGTAATGAACATTTCCAAGTAATGAATCACTAAAGCTTGATCAGAGAAAGTTTGGTGAATGTCAATATTTAATTAATAGTGTTATTATGAAATGAAATGTAAATGAGGCAAAGTATAATAAAATATTATAATTGTCTGAAAGTTAATAATAAAGAATCTAAACATACTTACTTGCTTTTGGCTTAAAGATTTTCAAGAATTTTATTAAGCTTTTTAGAATGACCTTTCTGTACTGATGCCAAGTGACAATCTATAAATATATATCACAGAACTATTGCCAATTGATAAAAGTCTTGACTTTTACTCAGTTATATTGTTTCATTTTATTCCCATGCTGCGGTTTGGTGTTTTCTCCTTTGTAAGGATTCAAACACATAATGTCGACGAAATAAAGAGAGATGTGCTTGTACAACGCGACAATCGACAGGTGCCTTTCTTGATGGATTCAAGCAACTGTGTTTCAAATTTTATGCCTTTGTCTGAATACCTCATGCGGAAATGTTGAAAGTCTTTGACGGCCGTTTTATAGCATTCCATTGTAATGATGTATTGCACTGCTGTTGTATAATTAATTGTCAATAAGATATTTGTTAATAAAATAATGTACTTTTATTTTACAATTTTATTTGAGGCATTTTACAGGTACCAATCATAATTTGAATATGCTCAATTATTGTTGCTGTTGATTGCATTCAAGTCAACGATGGGAAATATATAACAATACATTCATGAATTTGTGACAGAATGTGTTTTAAACTTTTGATAATTACTCAAATCACTTTGTTCGTGCATTACGGATACAGTTTCAGATAGTTTTCCCTGTGAAAAATGGAACGTCACTGCAAAAGCTTAAAAGAAGTTGAGGAAAAGCACAGAATGGACGTTTTGAACATTTTAAAGAGTTTTGAGTTTGAAAGAAAAGATCTTGAGAAGAGATTACGCGAGGAGTTTGAAAGGAAAGAAAAAACCCTGAAAAACCAAGAAGAATGTTTGAAGGAAGGGAGCGTTTGTGTTGACAAAACAAATATAAAGACTGAAGAAGGGACAACGGACGAGAAATTGCTGGAGATACTGGACTTCGAGAAAGAATTACCTCAAAGAAAAGCTCAGTTTCTCGACAGTGTTGACACAACTGATAATTTAGTTAACGTAGAAAGAAAGACGAAGTCTTTGCCTGTAATAGAGGAAGAGAACAAACAACTATCTCAAGCATTAAACAGAAGCAAAGACGAAATAATTCGGCTCAAAAATAAAGCTGAAGATTTCATGGAAGATCTGAACAATGTTCACAGACTTATTGAGGATGGATCAAAGGAGTGTCTTGAACTTGATTCTCGTTCCAAAATATTACCAGAAACACTGACTGAAACAAAGGTGTCATTATCTCGCAGTTTGGGTAATGCCGAGGAAACTGATGCAAATCTTGAACAAGCTTATTCTGTATTGAGTTTTCGACTTGAAGAATTAGACGTTGAAAACGAAGATTTAAAACAGAAAGTATCAAATTTGGAGTTAAAGGTTCGCAGGATTATCGAAGAACACGAGCTGAAATGTAATGTCTTCAACGATAGACTCGATGAACTAACACAGAACATCTTCTCGTATAAATGCTGTGAGGATTCGTGTTTGAAAGAGCAGATAGTCAACGATTTAAGAAAAATTCGTCTTCAAAGTGCGTCTTTCGAGTTATTGGAGGAATACGCAAGTATTTCTTTACGTGAAAGCTTAAGCACATCCTCTTTGGAGATTGATGACATTAATTTGTTTTTCGAGTTGCAGACGTTAGAACAAATTTTAGAAATGGAAATTTTTGACTGTGGCGTGTTTGATTTAAGAATGAAGGATAAACTGCGCTTGGTTTTGAAAGAAAAAGAAAAGAAACTTTTGATTTCGTACACTGTTGAAAAATTACGAAATGAAATAAGGCATGCTGTTGTAATTCAAGGTGCTATGGAGGAAATGCAGAAAGAATTTGCAAAGGATTTTTGTGTGCATGAAGTTGTTAATGAAGTATTGAAGCAACATTTCGAGACATCGGTTACAGGAAGACTGGATGACACTGATGCCACTCAAGATAATGGCGATGTTACTTGTGAACATTTCAATATATCCGACTACATGGAAAAATCATTTGACAAGGTACTGCAGAAGCATTCAGAAGATGACAGCGTGAAGAACAATGTCAAACGTAGTGATGATGAAAAAGAAAGAGGATATTTGGACAACATCAAGAATTCAAGTGACACAAGTCAGAATGAAGAGCTGGAAACATCTCTGCAAGACTTACAAAATCGTTTTGACCAGGAACGCCAAATGTGGCAGGAAAAGCAAGTTGCTTTACAAGGTTATAAATTATATATTATGTAATGATTTTACATTCACAAGTAAAATTTTAACGCATTCTATTCCTGTTTGTTTCTTATTAACCAGGCCCAGAAGATTCTGATGATAGAGACAAAGAATTGCGCTGTTTGAAAGCTCGCGAGATATTGATGGAAGACATATGGAAAAAAGAAATATTTAATTTGTCTCGTCTTTATTACATGGAAATGAAAGATGAAGTAAATTCACGTTTAAAACGAGAAAAACATAATTGCAAAATAAAACATGAAAAGAACAGGTACTGCGGTTGAGTGCATAAAGTTTTGAAATCATTAACTATACACAAACATCTTAGTTTATCTTTACAGGCTTATCGATGCTTGGAAACATCATGCTGAAGTGGGAGAACTTTATCAAGAAATTTTGAGCAAAGAAAACGAAACTTTGGAAAACCTACAGAGAACCCACGAAGAGGATCAAGTTGAAGAATATGACAATGATGTGTTGAAGCAAGAGAGTTTTAAAATTCAACAACAGTTGCCGTTGAGGTTTGAGCTATTGGAGTTACAAAGAAAACGATGTCGAGATCATAAAGCAGCCAATCACATCATTGAACAGGCCGTGGTTGCCTTGGAAACTGTCATGAAAGAACCTAACGAGTTTTTCAATGATGAAAAACGCAAATCGAGTTGGTCCAGCATTGAAGACAATCCAGGTAATTGCGCACAGGTTTCCGTTTTGCGTATTTTTGTAAACATTTTATGTAGAAAGGTTAACCATGTAGACATGTACGTATTTCGTATATAAGTATATGTATAGATATGGTTTAGACATCGTTTAATAATTTCTTATTTCCCATAGTACTTACATCACAAAACGATCTTTCCAATGCTGAGTTTGAAAATTTCTCAGAGGAAATGAATGCCAATACCGAGAAGATACAAACGAGAAGCGCATTGACTGATGGGTTGGTTCAAATATTGGAAAATGTCCTTGAAGATTATGGAACGAAAGATGACAGATTTCTTGACCCATGCATCAGTGATAGTGAGCCGAGTGATGCTGAAGGGGTTTTTGCTCAATACATCCGAGTGTGGATGATTCTTATACAAAAAATAAAAATGATACAACTCTTGAAGCACCGACTACACAAGAAAAAACGTTGGACGTTGCGGATGTTATCCAAGAAACGACCAGGAATAAAGTAATTCCAGAAATCATTGAGCTTCCACCTGCTACCGAAAAGATGTTTCACACTGAGAGATTTGACATTTGTCAGTTGCCTCGTGAGGAGTACATTGACAACAACCATCGAAAGACGAAGAAGTTAAGTAGAGCAACAAAGAACAATAAGAAAAAAAATATGAAAATAATTTCTTTATTCCGCGAAAAAACATTGGCTTTTCTTGAAGATATTGGAATTTGTGGCAAGGTGAAGGCAAAGAATACATCCCCACGAAAGAGAGCATGCGCAACACCTGGCGATGACAAAGAAGTTATTGATTCCGTTGAGCAACATGAGATCTTGCAGAAATATAAAAAATTGCTTGTGATAGCAAAGAAAGATTTAGATCGTGCCCATAGAGCTCTTAAATTTCGAGTCATAGGTCAAGAAAATGCAAAAAGTAAGAACTTTAAGATCAACGATCGCGAAGAAAATAATGAGAAACAAGATGGTCTTGAAAATAATAGTAACTCAGAGGATGTCTGTATTAGATCGCTTCAAAACGTTCGACTTTGAACAAAAATATTTTGTCAGTACAAGGAAAGAAGAAAATAAAAATCTTTACATATACATCAGAAGATTCTATACATCGTCGCTATAATTCTCACACTTACTGTGTCTGTTTCATGTATATTTTATTACATTAACACACCAAGCGACCTTTCGACCTCACGTAATTAGTTTTAAAAGGCGATATACCGATTTCTGTCTGCTTATTATATTTGAAATCCGTTTTATCTTCGTCGATGCTGTACTTACTTGGCTGTAATGTTCTTGGCTGTATTCACGAAGTTTTGTGAACGGTTTTTAAAATTCAATTTGACTAATATTTGGGCGAATTTGATATTTGACATAAACAAAATGTCAATGTCTGTCATCGGTGTGAATGTCGTGCTGTTGTCAATTGTCGGTTTCAATATGTCCTTCTCAGCCTAGAGGAACAGATGTACATTCATGTAATGAACATTTCCAAGTAATGAATAACTAAAGCTTGATCAGAGAAAGTTTGGTGAATGTCAATATTTAATAATTTGCCGGATTATTCCAGATCGTCCACTGATCTGGCTATTGACCAATGGAATGGCTTAAATAAGCATTCTTGAACTCCGTTATCGGTCGAACGAGTCGAGCCATCCCGCTTATCAGTCAGCCAGTTAATATAATTCTAGATAGGTTTTTATCTACTCATCTGTTTTCTAAGGTGGTATTTGTATAAGTTTTCATACATAAAAGAGAATTTTGACGATGAAATCCAAAGGATTACAGAACGAAATAATTTTTGAACTATAAACATATGTCGGTGACTGATTTGACATACCCTAAATCCGCCCCTAGCAAAGTCAGTACTCCAGTGGTGGTTGGCAGACGGCAAAGATTAGCCATTACAATGCAATATTTCCACCTATATATATGGATTCATCCATTCCAAATTAAGAAATCGTCTTGGTCCCGAGAAAGTTCGGAAACTGGTATATATTAAAACGAACACCCTTCAGATGTCAGATGTGGTGGTAAAGAAAATGTACGACGAGTACGACTCAGACGAAGAAGTTATTTTGGAAGATAAGAGGTCTAGCAAGGCACTAAGGATCTTATCTAGTTAAATAAAAAACACTTGTGTAAAGGGGACATTTAAATTTGGAAAATTTTGGGATGATTTGTTATTGGGGTCCTTCATTATCCATTCAGATAGTTTGAAATTTTGTTAAAGTTGTATTGGTTTTCTCGAAAGGTTTTCTTTAATTATCAATAATTGTCTTTAATTGAATTAACGAATAAAAAAAAAAATTCAGAAAAACCTTTTTTAATCCATCCCTGAAATACACAGCCATCTTTATGCCATATCATTTTTAAATTTTTAAAGGATTTGTCCTTAAGCGCATTTTATGTTTTGTTATAATATACAACCCGTAACTTGGAGTATTAAAATCGATATAAAATAAAACATCCGTTAATCATACATGACTACACAACGCCCACGCTTTGAAAAAAACACGCTGCTGCTCGGCATTTTCAGGGGGGAGTTGTCAATGTCTGACAGAACTTAGGTTTCATCCAATCACAGGGCATTCTTAAATAATGGAGTTATCATTCCAGTATATTTATAATTCAATGTTAATAATCTATAATTTTGATGAGGTTTCCCGTCAAAGTAATTACTATACAGGTCAGTGAATATAACTCAATGGTTTGTGCCCCAGAGAACAAGCGGGTGTACCACGTGACTTCAATCACTGTCTTCACAGTGAGCATTTTATTTTAAATTGCAGGAATTGCAGGAAACAATGAACTGGAAAAATCTCAGCGTGTGATGTGTTCACAGTGATTCTTGTCATCTCGTTCTTCACAGAAGTTAGTATGAAAGTTGATTTTTCATTTCTATTATTGCCAATGCATTATTTTACAATAACTATGGCGAAAACTTTATCAAGTGAATATTATTGATTGCTTGATTTAATTCGTCTATAATAAGGTCAAACACGTGTGAAACTTTTTACTGAAGCAGTCTTTGAAATACTCAAGTAGATAGTTCAAGTCAATAATGGCGGTGAATGAAATATATTTCATAAAAAAACCAAGATTTCAAAATCTATTTTATGCATTGAGCTAAGCGAGAAAATTCAAATACTTGACTGCGATTTTGAACATTATTACGAGTCAACCATTTGTCGATTTAATTCTACAAAAAAACTTAACAAAATAATTTCCCACATGGGCCATATCTATTGCAGGGGGGAGGGTTCTTTGTTTTTTAGCAGTTATGTTTCCATAGAAGTGACTGTGGTCATTTGACAAAAATAGTGCATGCTGTAATTGTGATAGTTATTTTACCATGAAAAGATATAAAGTGTGGGACAAATGCATGAAGTGGAATTACAAGCACAATAGCACAAAGCAGAGTGGTGAACTCAATTTCAATTATTATCTGCATTGTTAAACGGATTTATTTTTAGTTTTACATTAAATATTTTGTTTTTCTCCCATGAAATTATTTCTCATAACATGTAGAAGTTTCATTTAATTCAGAAATTAGACTATAGTCATTAAACATTTTTCTGTAGATCTGAAAAGCTGTTGAAAAAGAGTTACTTTTTTCAGAAGAAAATTTCTTAAAGATAACAAAGATAACAAAATTCAAGATGTGGAAGATAAATTTAAAAGGTAAAATGATCTGTTAATGTTATCCGCACATTTGAGCAAATATATTGTGTATTTTTTTTCATGAGTTCATTAAAAATAAAAAATATGGGCACCAGACATTTTATTTCACTATGGGAGGCTGGAAATAGGATAGAATGAGTAAATGAATTCTCTTACACAAACTTTTCAGATTTTTTTCCAAAAGAAAATCTTTTTGCATTGAAGTGAATGTTTTTTTATTTTGTCAATCAAAAGAATTCTTCAAACCACAAAAGAACTTCTTTTGAATTCTTTCCCTTCCTTTGTTGTTGATATATGCCAACCTTTATGATATTAAAATGAGGTAAATTATGTCTGTTTGAACCATAAGTCATCCGTCTCTTTTGCATATTCAAAGATTTTTATGTTTTGTAGTTTTAGCAATGACAGCTCCGATGATGATAGTTTCATTGATGTTAAGTACACCAAGGATTTTTTAAATGACCTCATAAATAGACATTTTGTCTTGGTTCTCACCATGATTCTGTATTTGACAAGATGTTTCATGATGGCTAATATGAGCTTCAAGACAATGTGCGTACAAAATATATTGATACCTGGGGACTACATGGAACTACAGTTGTGTGTTAGGATAAATCAAATGATATCCTTAATCAAAATTCAAAACCAGATCTTGTGTGGCAACAATTTCAACCTGCAGCACCTTCAAATTAAAAATACATTGAGCAAATGCATCTATTCCACCTAAAAACTGCTGAAGAAAAAGTGAGATTGAGTAAATTTAGACTGACAAAGTCACTTAACAGGTCTGTTTATCATACAAATCTCGATGTATATTATTAAGTACTAGTCTATCTAGCTTGAAAACAATTATTCATATTCATGAGAAAAATATATATCTACACATATTTAGAAATTTTTATTTGCGATTATAAAATAAGGACCCTCTTTTGATGGTAGCCTTATAAAATATGTGTTTAGATTGAAGTTTTGTGTGACATGGTTTACATTTATGTATAACTGTACTTAACGTAGCAAGTAGTACAATTAACTGACCATTGTGACGAATTTGCAAAATACATACAAACCCACATAGTTCAATTTCGATGGAAATTGGAATCAAGATCGAATTGATATTATTGACACGTGATGAATAGTTTCATTTTAAAAAGACCAGTTCAACACATCAGTATCCATACACTCTGTCAGGCACGTATTAAAAACAAGCATTCACATTTAATGATCCACTGAACACCAATAGAATTTTAGTCTTATTAATTTCTGGCTTCCACAACTTTCAGCTGACTCGTAGATTATTTAGTTGTTAATGCTGCGTTCTAATTCGATCACGTGGTTCTCTTCGGCGACAATGACCAATGGCAAACAAAGAAGTCCACTTAAGTCTTCGATGCGTGTGTTCGATGCGACACAAACACTTTGACACTCAAATGGGCGAGAGCAGACGTGCACGAAATCGAAGTAAAGTATCAAATTAAGGGTAGGTAACAAAATTTTTGAACATTCATTATGGTATGAGCAAGGCCGAAGAAAATATGTTGTAAAAGACCAGCGTGAGTTATCTCTGTCACAATATTTATCCTGATGCTGTTTTCGCTTGAACAAACTTATTGCAAACGTATCTTGAATGTATTCATAATTCTAGAACGATGTCCTTGTTTGTGTGCTTTCTGTACGTATTCACAATTAGCAAAAAACCGGCGACATACCCTACAAATGAAAAGAACAAACCATCTCTTTTACTCGTCAATATTGACATGAGATTAAAACGAAGCAATCTTCAGGCACGATATTTGGACTTTGGTGATGTGATTTTTCTGTAGTTATCGGAAGAGTATTTGAGGCCTTTCAAAAACCACTGCAGTCTTTATTTCAAAGAAAAGCAAATCATTAAATATCAGCCGATGTTGTAATTTGTAAACTTGAACTGAGTCAAATATATTTATGTATTTTATGATGCGTGTCTGCCCGGTTACGTATTAGGGACCTTAAGATTTCACGACGCACGTTACAACGACGCGAGTTTGGCGCGCATGGCCTGGTGCGAATGCGTCCGCGTGTCATTGTAAGTTAAGTCATTAAGATTGGATTTCCTTAACGACGCGAACTTGTGAGTTCACTACCTATACTTTCAAAAAATGGCCTCCTTCAAAAAAACAAAAAATGCTATAGCTGTTGCGTATGACGCCGCTTTGATAAACGAAGAAGAATTTGCACTTTTGTATGATATTTCGCGTTCAAAGAACAAATTAGAAATATATAGTGGCCAAAATTGACATATCAGTAGCCGTTGTATAGTATTTTTATGCAAACATAAAAGGGAACACAAACCGTTATTACAAAGTAAGACAAATTTCAAAGCCACTGGATGTTAATTTAGCTAAGCAATTAATTTAAATCACGATGAAAACTGTTCTGCCATTTTCTTGCCTTGCTAAAAGCAAAAATGTAAACATATTTTACTCACAGATAAATATCAACACATCAATCACATACCAGACTCCACAGACAATTGTAACAGGTGAATTAAAAGCTGAAATACTTACTTTAAAACTTTTTTTGTGAAAAATTCCACCCTCGATGTAGGACGACGTGGGATTAAGCAAAGACGCCGCGTTGTAGAAGCAAGACAAAACTCAACGACGCACGCACATGCGCATTGGTTTAAAATTCATTTCCGCTCGCGTTGTAGATGAGCGCGTCGTTAAATCTTAAGGTCACTATTATAATGCATCACAACATTCGAGATTGAACATGTTCACTGTCCGCTATAGTATGAGGACAATCATAACTGGCGCACACTAGCGCCATCGGCTGAGCTGAGAGTTACTCGTGACTGTTGGCGCACGCCATTTCCTCAAGTGTGCGGTCAAGTTTTGAGCAATATTCGCCTCGCGCGCCATCGGCGCCGAATATTCAACATGTTGAATAAAATGGTGCACGAGTGAACATTGGCTCCAAGTGTGCGCGCGTGCTGAGCTATTATCTCAATACGTGAAGAAAATGCGCATGCGTTCAGCAACTTTTTTACATTCATCCATTGCAATATGGCGGATGCCAGGGACTCGAGTTCATCAGACGAGGAAGAAATTTTGCTGCTGCTTATGTTAATGCGCCGAAGACGAAGACGTTCGAGAGCGTCTTGCAGAAAGACATGGACCAAATCATGGATTTCACGCCGTGAAACACTAGGAGCATCGGCTACAATACTGCATGAGTTGAATTGTGAGGACCCAGAGAAATTCCGACAGTATCATCGTTTAGATAGGATTTCATTCGAAGTCGATAATAGGATTTTGGTTTAATGTTGTTTCGTCAGAGTTAGTGATTGAGTCCTTTTGTGCTGAAAGTGGCAAACTTGAATCATCGCTGAAAATGTTAAATGCCGAATATGATCCTGGAATGTTCAGCGGCTCATTACGTCTCGTTCATTGTGTAAACAGGAAAATCGCGTTATTGACTAAAGAACATTTAATTTACATGAAAAATAACTTTATGGGTGAGGAGAGATTAGATATTGATTCCCACAAATCAAAAAAATTATCTAAGATTGAATAGTAATGCGCCATTGCAATTACTCTTTTTTTTGATTTTGTAGAAAAGTTCGAAGAAAAGTACATGCTGGAGATGGAAAGACGTGCGAGAGGTAAAAAAGTTCGTCACGATCTTGTGTTTTCTCGTTAGTTTGTTTAGTTTGATGTATAACGAAGATATGTAAAGTATTTTTATATAAATATGCATCCTTACATGTTTGTAGATGTAGATTGTCCAGGTTAGTATAGTCCTGAGAAGGTCTGTTTTTGTTGTTGTTGACTGACGTTTTGACAACCTTATTTCTTAACCATACTGCTACTAACAAATTATACTTCTTTCCTTTGCCAAAAATCACTAATCTTTCCCATTCGTGACTTCACAATATTGTTCTTCTACCGTGGCTACAACACTTTACAAAAACTGTTCTTAGAGTTTGGCACTAAGACATTCCCTATTCCTTAAGTATTAGATAAGCCTTAGTCTATTTCACGAAATGAGGATCTTGTAAGATATATATTGAGAGACAAAATACAGAGGTCATTCGTTTACGAATGACAAACAACAATAACAGTTGGGTCCAGGCCCCTTTCTAATCAACGACTATCCCAGTATGCTCTAAGTATCTTATAACTCTCCATGATTGTTTCGATCAGCTGAGTAAAAAAACTCAGCAGCTATTTCTTCTAGACACTTCTCATAATTTTTTTTCTTTAGGGCACTAATAACTTTACGTTTACTAGTCTTTACTCTCGTTGAATTTTGTCTACTGCGCAAGTTTCTTTGAAGTAACTTTAATGAATGTGTGTAGTCTTAGGTTTTTAAATGAAATGATTGTACACAATAACTTAACACTCGTTCAAACATCTTAAATTAGTTTATGGTTCTTGCTGTATTTTCTTTACTTTAAGTTAGGAGTATTAAGTATAAAACGAATTACTAGCCAAAAAAATGACCAAATGTGTCTCGAAGGTAAGTTTACGAAGCAAGCTGGAAGTGATTTTTTGCCATTCAAGCCAGGACATCTTAGAGTCTAATTATATGGGCCGCGGGTTGCCAGGACTTTATAGATACGCCAAGCATTTGAAATGAAAATGACTTATTTGGCCTAATTTAAGAATTACAACAGGAATGACTTGTGGCACTTAACAAACAGTTGCAATTTTTTCGCCTTTTGTTTTGACTCTTTAATGCCTCGAAATCCTTCCACGCCTCGTTGAATCTCAGTTAGCCAGGATCATGTAAACAGCCTCGTAATGAGGGTAATTGCATTGTTTGAAAACCACATTAAGCTCCTTTAAATACATTGTTTTTCGCGGATACTGACATAAATATGAGTCCCTCAACTATCAATTTTCCTACGTCCTTGAGTCACTCTCTTAGATGTTTGTCAGGTTATTCACAACAAGGCGTCAACTGAAATTATAACTGACCTAATTTTAATAAGATGAAATTGCCATAGCTTTAAAACTGAAAGAGTTTATGAATTGTGTATCATTTAGAAGTAACGGTGAAAGGGTGGTCGGAGTCACAAGGAAAACTCTTAAAAGGGCTAGACGAGAAGCTAGAAGAGATACGTGTGATGCGATTAGTATGTTTTTTCCTTATTAATATCTTTTTATATTTTGTGTCAAGACACATCGGATGAAGAACTACCATGTCTTCGTTGATGGTACTTTTCATTTTTATAAATGAATCTTAAACTTTGCGAAGCTCGCGTTTTGGGCAGTCATCGTTTCCAATGTTTCCCTTGAATTTTTTGTTGTTCTAATAATGTCCCTTATATATGACGTTGTCCCATATAGGATTTTAAAATGTTTAGCTGAGAGGAAAAAGTTAGTAAATACGTTCTTCGATACAAATAATACGAACAATACAAATAATTGATACAAATAATTGAATAGCTTTAAAAAAAATAAATTAAAACATTTGAACAAATGAAATTTGTTGTGTCAGGGAGACTTGGGGTCTGAAACTGGTCATCTTTTATTTGTTTTGAAATCAAGCACAATTTGGTAAAAAAAACCAAAAACCTTAATTTTTGGTTAAGCCCAAGGTATAAGGAAATCAATTTTCTTAAAACAAAAAACAAGTAAATTGTTCTTGCTGTATTTTTTCTAACACTTGCTTAGATTTTTTGATTTTTTACTCTTCAAACATCATAAAGTATTTCTTATTAACTTTAATGAAGAAAATCATACAACCAGCTGTTTATTGTACGGAATATTCATATATTTTATTAAGATAGCCGAAAACAAAATCTAATATTTGAGCATATTTCATTGAATCATCTAATTTTATCTAAATTAAAGATCGCACTTTCTTCGTGCACATTTTATTGTTAAGATGTTTAGCTTTGTGTGCTCCGTTATTTTACATAAAATGAGTGACGTTTTAAAATTAAAGTAACAATTTATTTTATGCAATTTAGATGGTACATCGATTATATAAACGTCAGGCTTTATTGAAACAAGGTAAATTCTAGACTATGCTTTGCTTTTTTTTTAACGGATCATTTTCATAGAAAGAGTACGATTTAGATCTTAACTCGATGGTTATTGTATAATTTCGTTCAAACAGTTACAAGCCAGTTTATTCCAAAGTATCATTCATCAGCGACACCACTCGACTTCATGTCGTCTTTCACTTTGTCCATTTACCTTATTGTAAAAACTAATTGGTTGAAAGAACGATATGATTGGTTAAAGTAACCATAAAAATATTGGCTAGAGTTGTTAAATGCATCTGAGGTAACTAATTTTTATGGTTATTTTAACCAATCATTTTTACATTGTATTCTTTGGTCTTACTTTAATAATCTTACCTGCTCAACTATATACTCATTACCTTTGACCTGACCTCTCAAGCTTTTGTCTTGTCTCTTAAGCATCTAACATCTTTTTACCTCTGATATAATTATCCTCTACTTTCTAAATCATGCCGCCATCTTTCTAGACTAGTAAACGTAAAACGAATTATTAGCCTAAAAAAATGAACAAACGCGGCTTAAAAGTAAGTTTACAAAGCAAGAAGGAAGAGAATTTTTTGCCATCTGAGGCAGCTCATTTTGTGTATTTAGGGTAATTGAACTGTTTGAAAACTGCATTAGGTTTCTTTAAAATCATTGTTTTTTTGCTAGTTTTTTCATTTTTTTGTTTGCATACATAAAATATTTCTTCTTTACTTTAATAGAGACGGCCATACCATCTTTAATAGGTAAGAAATATTGATATCTTTCTAGACTGTTAAGCGTAAAAGGAATTATTAGCCTTAAAAATGAACAAACGGGGTTTAAAGTAAGTTTACAAAGCATGAAGGAAGAGAATTTTTTGCAATCTGAGGCAGCTCATCTTAGTGTATTTAGGGTAATTGAACTAATTAAAAACCGCATTAAGTTTCTTCAAATCCATTGTTTTTTTGCATTATGACATGCTTATACGAGTAATAGTCCCCCAACTATCAATTTTCCTACGTCATCGAGTCACTCTCTTAGATGTTGGCACATTAATCACAGCATGATGTCAACTGAAATCATAATTGACCTAATTTTTATAAGGTGAAATTGCCATAGGTTTAGAACTAAAAGAGTTTATGAATTGTGTATCATTTAGAAGGAAAGGAGGAAAAGTGGTCGGAGTTACAAGGGAAATCCATAGAAATGCCAGATGAGGAGCTAGACAAGGTACGTGTGATACAATTAGTATGTTTTTGTCTTCTTAACATCATTTTATATTTTGTGTCAAGACACGTGGTATAAAGAGCTACCATAATTTCGTTGATGGTACTTTTCATTTTATTAAATGAATCTTAAACTTTGCAAAGTCACGTTTTGGCAGTCATCGTTTCCAATGTTTCCTTTCAATTTTTTGTTGTTCTAATAATGTCCCTTATATATGGCGTTATCATACGTAGGATTTAGATTTTTTAATTCAGTGGAAAAAGTTAGTAAATACTTTCTTCGAGATATGTTGATATAAATAATTGAATAGCTTAAAAATCAATGAAATCATTTGAAAAAATAAAATTTGTTCTGTCAGGGAGACTTGGGCTCTGAAGCTGGTCATGTTTTATTTGTTTTGAAATCAAGCACAATTTAATAAATAAACAAAAAACCTTAATATTTTGTTAAACCCAAGGTATAGGGAAATCAATTTTCTTAAAAAAACAACAACAAGTAAATTGTTCTTGCTGTATTTTTTCTAACCCTTCCTAAGGGTTTTTATTTTTTTCTCTTCAAACATCATACAGTATTTCTTATTAACTTTAATGAAAAAATCATACAACCAGCTGTTTATTGTAAAGAATATTGATATTTTTTCTTAAGATAACTGGAAACAAAATCTAATATTTTAGCATATTTGATTGAATTATCTAATTTTATGTAAATTAAAGATCGCACTTTCTTAGCGCACGTTTAGACATTAAGATGTTTAGCTTTGTGTGCTCCGTTATTTTACATAAAGTGAGTGACGTTTTAAAATTAAAATAACAATTTATTCTATGCAATTTAGATGGTACATCGATTATGTAAACGTCAGGCTTTATTGAAACGAGGTAAATTCTAGACTATGTTTTGCTTTTTTTTTAACGGAGCAGTTTCATAGAAAAAGTACGATTTAGATCTCAGCTTGATGGTTATTGTATAATTTCGTTCAAACAGTTACAAGCCAGTTTATTCTAAAGTATCATTCATCAGCGACACCACTCGACTTCAAGTCGTCTTTCACTTTGTCCATATACCTTATTGTAAAAACTATTTGGTTAAAAGAACCATATGATTGGTTAAAGTAACCATAAAAATATTGGCTAGAGTTGTTAAATGCATCTGAGGTAACTAATTTTTATGGTTATTTTAACCAATCATTTTTACATTTTACTCTTTGGTCTTACTTTAATAATCTTTTCTGCTCAGCTATATACTCATTACCTTTGATCTGACCTCTGAAGCTTTTGTCTTGTCTCTTAAGCATCTAACATCTTTTTACCTCTGATATAATTATCCTCTACTTCCTAAATCATGCCGCCATCTTTCTAGACTGGTATGCATAAAAGGAATTATTAGCCTAAAAAATGAACAAACGGGGTTTAAAGTAAGTTTACAAAGCAAGCAGGAAGAGAATTTTTTGCAATCTGAGGCAGCTCATCTTAGTGTATTTAGGGTAATTGAACTAATTAAAAACTGCATTAAGTTTCTTCAAATCCATCGTTTTTTCGGATTATGACATGCTTATACGAGTAATAGTCCCCCAACTATCAATTTTCCTACGTCATCGAGTCACTCTCTTAGATGTTGGCACGTTAATCACAGCATGATGTCAACTGAAATCATAATTGACCTAATTTTAATAAGATGAAATTGCCATAGATTTAGAACTAAAAGAGTTTATGAATTGTGTATCATTTAGAAGGAAAGGAGGAAAAGTGGTCGGAGTCACAATGGAAATCCATAGAAAGGCTAGATGAGGAGCTAGACGAGGTACGTGTGATACAATTAGTATGTTTTTGTCTTCTTAACATCATTTTATATTTTGTATCAAGACACGTGGTATAAAGAGCCACCATAATTTCGTTGATGGTACTTTTCATTTTATTAAATGAATCTTAAACTTTGCCAAGTCACGTTTTGGTAGTCATCGTTTCCAATGTTTCCTTTCAAATTTTTGTTGTTCTAATAATGTCCCTTATATATGGCGCTATCACATGTAGGATTTAGATTTTTTAATTGAGTAGAAAAAATTAGTAAATACTTTCTTCGAGATATGTTGATATAAATAATTGAATAGCTTAAAAAAATCAATGAAAACATTTGAACAAATAAAATTTGTTGTGTCAGGGAGACTTGGGCTCTGAAACTAGTCATCTTTTATTTCTTTTGAAATCAAGCACAATTTGGTAAATGAGCAAAAAACCTTAATTTTTTGTTAAACCCAAGGTATAAGGAAATCAATTTTCTTTAAAAAAACAACAAGTAAATTGTTCTTGCTGTATTTTTTCTAACCATTGCTTAGGTTTTTTATTTTTTTGTCTTCAAACATCATACAGTATTTCTTATTAACTTTAATGAAGAAAATCATACAACCAGCTGTTTATTGTACGGAATATTCATATATTTTATTAAGATAGCCGAAAACAAAATCTAATATTTGAGCATATTTCATTGAATCATCTAATTTTATCTAAATTAAAGATCGCACTTTCTTCGTGCACATTTTATTGTTAAGATGTTTAGCTTTGTGTGCTCCGTTATTTTACATAAAATGAGTGACGTTTTAAAATTAAAGTAACAATTTATTTTATGCAATTTAGATGGTACATCGATTATATAAACGTCAGGCTTTATTGAAACAAGGTAAATTCTAGACTATGCTTTGCTTTTTTTTTAACGGATCATTTTCATAGAAAGAGTACGATTTAGATCTTAACTTGATGGTTATTGTATAATTTCGTTCAAACAGTTACAAGCCAGTTTATTCCAAAGTATCATTCATCAGCGACACCACTCGACTTCATGTCGTCTTTCACTTTGTCCATTTACCTTATTGTAAAAACTAATTGGTTGAAAGAACGATATGATTGGTTAAAGTAACCATAAAATATTGGCTAGAGTTGTTAAATGCATCTGAGGTAACTAATTTTATGGTTATTTTAACCAATCATTTTACATTGTATTCTTTGGTCTTACTTTAATAATCTTACCTGCTCAACTATATACTCATTACCTTTGACCTGACCTCTCAAGCTTTTGTCTTGTCTCTTAAGCATCTAACATCTTTTTACCTCTGATATAATTATCCTCTACTTTCTAAATCATGCCGCCATCTTTCTAGACTAGTAAACGTAAAACGAATTATTAGCCTAAAAAAATGAACAAACGCGGCTTAAAAGTAAGTTTACAAAGCAAGAAGGAAGAGAATTTTTTGCCATCTGAGGCAGCTCATTTTGTGTATTTAGGGTAATTGAACTGTTTGAAAACTGCATTAGGTTTCTTTAAAATCATTGTTTTTTTGCTAGTTTTTCATTTTTGTTTGCATACATAAAATATTTCTTCTTTACTTTAATAGAGACGGCCATACCATCTTTAATAGGTAAGAAATATTGATATCTTTCTAGACTGTTAAGCGTAAAAGGAATTATTAGCCTTAAAAATGAACAAACGGGGTTTAAAGTAAGTTTACAAAGCATGAAGGAAGAGAATTTTTTGCAATCTGAGGCAGCTCATCTTAGTGTATTTAGGGTAATTGAACTAATTAAAAACCGCATTAAGTTTCTTCAAATCCATTGTTTTTGCATTATGACATGCTTATACGAGTAATAGTCCCCCAACTATCAATTTTCCTACGTCATCGAGTCACTCTCTTAGATGTTGGCACATTAATCACAGCATGATGTCAACTGAAATCATAATTGACCTAATTTTTATAAGGTGAAATTGCCATAGGTTTAGAACTAAAAGAGTTTATGAATTGTGTATCATTTAGAAGGAAAGGAGGAAAAGTGGTCGGAGTTACAAGGGAAATCCATAGAAATGCCAGATGAGGAGCTAGACAAGGTACGTGTGATACAATTAGTATGTTTTTGTCTTCTTAACATCATTTTATATTTTGTGTCAAGACACGTGGTATAAAGAGCTACCATAATTTCGTTGATGGTACTTTTCATTTTATTAAATGAATCTTAAACTTTGCAAAGTCACGTTTTGGCAGTCATCGTTTCCAATGTTTCCTTTCAATTTTTTGTTGTTCTAATAATGTCCCTTATATATGGCGTTATCATACGTAGGATTTAGATTTTTTAATTCAGTGGAAAAAGTTAGTAAATACTTTCTTCGAGATATGTTGATATAAATAATTGAATAGCTTAAAAAAATCAATGAAATCATTTGAAAAAATAAAATTTGTTCTGTCAGGGAGACTTGGGCTCTGAAGCTGGTCATGTTTTATTTGTTTTGAAATCAAGCACAATTTAATAAATAAACAAAAAACCTTAATATTTTGTTAAACCCAAGGTATAGGGAAATCAATTTTCTTAAAAAAACAACAACAAGTAAATTGTTCTTGCTGTATTTTTTCTAACCCTTCCTAAGGGTTTTTATTTTTTTCTCTTCAAACATCATACAGTATTTCTTATTAACTTTAATGAAAAAATCATACAACCAGCTGTTTATTGTAAAGAATATTGATATTTTTTCTTAAGATAACTGGAAACAAAATCTAATATTTTAGCATATTTGATTGAATTATCTAATTTTATGTAAATTAAAGATCGCACTTTCTTAGCGCACGTTTAGACATTAAGATGTTTAGCTTTGTGTGCTCCGTTATTTTACATAAAGTGAGTGACGTTTTAAAATTAAAATAACAATTTATTCTATGCAATTTAGATGGTACATCGATTATGTAAACGTCAGGCTTTATTGAAACGAGGTAAATTCTAGACTATGTTTTGCTTTTTTTTTAACGGAGCAGTTTCATAGAAAAAGTACGATTTAGATCTCAGCTTGATGGTTATTGTATAATTTCGTTCAAACAGTTACAAGCCAGTTTATTCTAAAGTATCATTCATCAGCGACACCACTCGACTTCAAGTCGTCTTTCACTTTGTCCATATACCTTATTGTAAAAACTATTTGGTTAAAAGAACCATATGATTGGTTAAAGTAACCATAAAAATATTGGCTAGAGTTGTTAAATGCATCTGAGGTAACTAATTTTTATGGTTATTTTAACCAATCATTTTTACATTTTACTCTTTGGTCTTACTTTAATAATCTTTTCTGCTCAGCTATATACTCATTACCTTTGATCTGACCTCTCAAGCTTTTGTCTTGTCTCTTAAGCATCTAACATCTTTTTACCTCTGATATAATTATCCTCTACTTCCTAAATCATGCCGCCATCTTTCTAGACTGGTATGCATAAAAGGAATTATTAGCCTAAAAAAATGAACAAACGGGGTTTAAAGTAAGTTTACAAAGCAAGCAGGAAGAGAATTTTTGCAATCTGAGGCAGCTCATCTTAGTGTAAGGGTAATTGAACTAATTAAAACTGCATTAAGTTTCTTCAAATCCATTGTTTTTCGGATTATGACATGCTTATACGAGTAATAGTCCCCCAACTATCAATTTTCCTACGTCATCGAGTCACTCTCTTAGATGTTGGCACGTTAATCACAGCATGATGTCAACTGAAATCATAATTGACCTAATTTTAATAAGATGAAATTGCCATAGATTTAGAACTAAAAGAGTTTATGAATTGTGTATCATTTAGAAGGAAAGGAGGAAAAGTGGTCGGAGTTACAATGGAAATCCATAGAAAGGCTAGATGAGGAGCTAGACGAGGTACGTGTGATACAATTAGTATGTTTTGTCTTCTTAACATCATTTTATATTTTGTATCAAGACACGTGGTATAAAGAGCCACCATAATTTCGTTGATGGTACTTTTCATTTTATTAAATGAATCTTAAACTTTGCCAAGTCACGTTTTGGTAGTCATCGTTTCCAATGTTTCCTTTCAAATTTTTGTTGTTCTAATAATGTCCCTTATATATGGCGCTATCACATGTAGGATTTAGATTTTTTAATTGAGTAGAAAAAATTAGTAAATACTTTCTTCGAGATATGTTGATATAAATAATTGAATAGCTTAAAAAAATCAATGAAAACATTTGAACAAATAAAATTTGTTGTGTCAGGGAGACTTGGGCTCTGAAACTAGTCATCTTTTATTTCTTTTGAAATCAAGCACAATTTGGTAAATGAGCAAAAAACCTTAATTTTTTGTTAAACCCAAGGTATAAGGAAATCAATTTTCTTTAAAAAAACAACAAGTAAATTGTTCTTGCTGTATTTTTTCTAACCATTGCTTAGGTTTTTTATTTTTTTGTCTTCAAACATCATACAGTATTTCTTATTAACTTTAATGAAAAAATCATACAACCAGCTGTTTATTGTAAAGAATATTGATATTTTTTTTTAAGATAACTGGAAACAAAATCTAATATTTTAGCATATTTGATTGAATTATCTAATTTTATGTAAATTAAAGATCGCACTTTCTTAGCGCACGTTTAAACATTAAGATATTTAGCTTTGTGTGCTCCGTTATTTTACATAAAGTGAGTGACGTTTTAAAATTAAAATAACAATTTATTTTATGCAATTTAGATGGTACATCGATTATGTAAACGTCAGGCTTTATTGAAACGAGGTAAATTCTAGACTATGTTTTGCTTTTTTTAACGGAGCAGTTTCATAGAAAGAGTACGATTTAGATCTCAGCTTGATGGTTATTGTATAATTTCGTTCAAACAGTTACAAGCCAGTTTATTCTAAAGTATCATTCATCAGCGACACCACTCGACTTCAAGTCGTCTTTCACTTTGTCCATATACCTTACTGTAAAAACTAATTGGTTAAAAGAAGCATATGATTGGTTAAAGTAACCATAAAAATATTGGTTCGAGTTGTTAAATGCATCTGAGGTAACTAAGTTTTATGGTTATTTTAACCAATCATTTTTACATCGTATTCTTTGGTCTTTCTTTAATAATCTTTCCTGCTCAGCCATATACTCATTACCTTTGACCTGACCTCTCAAGCTTTTGTCTTGTCTCTTAAGCATCTAACATCTTTTTACCTCTGATATAATTATCCTTTACTTTCTAAAGCATACCGCCATCTTTCTAGACTGGTAAGCGTAAAACGAATTATTAGCCTAAACAATGAACAAATTGTGCTTAAAAGTAAGTTTACAAAGCAAGCAGGAAGGGATTTTTTGCCATCTAAGGCAGCTTTTCTTAGTGTATTTAGGGTAATTGAACTTTTTAAAAACCGCATTAAGTTTCTTTAAAATCCATTGTTTTTTCGGATTATGACATGCTTATACGAGTAATAGTCTCCCAACTATCAATTTTCCTTCGTCCTTGAGTCACTCTCTTAGATGTTGATACGTTAATCACAGCATGATGTCAACTGAAATCATAATTGACCTAATTTTAATAAGATGAAATTGCCATAGATTTAGAACTAAAAGAGTTTATGAATTGTGTATCATTTAGAAGGAAAGGAGGAAAAGTGGTCGGAGTTACAAGGGAAATCCATAGAAATGCTAGATGAGGAGCTAGACGAGGTACGTGTGATACAATTAGTATGTTTTTGTCTTCTTAACATCATTTTATATTTTTTATCAAGACACGTGGTATAAAGAGCTACCATAATTTCGTTGATGGTACTTTTCATTTTATTAAATGAATCTTAAACTTTGCCAAGTCACGTTTTGGTATTCATCGTTTCCAATGTTTCCTTTCAAATTTTTGTTGTTCTAATAATGTCCCTTATATATGGCGCTATCACATGTAGGATTTAGATTTTTTAATTCAGTGGAAAAAATTAGTAAATACTTTCTTCGAGATATGTTGATATAAATAATTGAATAGCTTAAAAAAATCAATGAAAACATTTGAACAAATGAAATTTGTTGTGTCAGGGAGACTTGGGCTCTGAAACTGGTCATCTTTTATTTGTTTTGAAATCAAGCACAATTTGGTAAATGAGCAAAAAACCTTAATATTTTGTTAAGCCCAAGGTATAAGGAAATCAATTTTCTTTAAAAAAAAAACAACAAGTAAATTGTTCTTGCTGTATTTTTTCTAACACTTGCTTAGATTTTTTGATTTTTTACTCTTCAAACATCATAAAGTATTTCTTATTAACTTTAATGAAGAAAATCATACAACCAGCTGTTTATTGTACGGAATATTCATATATTTTATTAAGATAGCCGAAAACAAAATCTAATATTTGAGCATATTTCATTGAATTATTTAATTTTATCTAAATTAAAGATCGCACTTTCTTCGTGCACATTTTATTGTTAAGATGTTTAGCTTTGTGTGCTCCGTTATTTTACATAAAGTGAGTGACGTTTTAAAATTAAAGTAACAATTTATTTTATGCAATTTAGATGGTACATCGATTATATAAACGTCAGGCTTTATTGAAACAAGGTAAATTCTAGACTATGCTTTGCTTTTTTTTTAACGGATCATTTTCATAGAAAGAGTACGATTTAGATCTTAACTTGATGGTTATTGTATAATTTCGTTCAAACAGTTACAAGCCAGTTTATTCTAAAGTATCATTCATCAGCGACACCACTCGACTTCATGTCATCTTTCACTTTGTCCATATACCTTATTGTAAAAACTAATTGGTTAAAAGAACCATATGATTGGTTAAAGTAACCATAAAAATGTTGGTTAGAGTTGTTAAATGCATCTGAGGTAACTAATTTTTATTGTTATTTTAACCAATCATTTTTACATTGTATTCTTTGGTCTTACTTTAATAATCTTACCTGCTCAACTATATACTCATTACCTTTGATCTGACCTCTGAAGCTTTTGTCTTGTCTCTTAAGCATCTAACATCTTTTTACCTCTGATATAATTATCCTCTACTTTCTAAATCATGCCGCCATCTTTCTAGACTAGTAAACGTAAAACGAATTATTAGCCTAAAAAAATAAAAAAACGCGGCTTAAAAGTAAGTTTACAAAGCCAGCAGGAAGAGAATTTTTTGCCATCTGAGGCAGCTCATTTTGTGTATTTAGTGTAATTGAACTGTTTGAAAACTGCATTAGGTTTCTTTAAAATCATTGTTTTTTTGCTAGTTTTTTCATTTTTTTGTTTGCATACATAAAATATTTCTTCTTTACTTTAATAGAGACCGCCATACCATCTTTAATAGGTAAGAAATATTGATATCTTTCTAGACTGTTAAGCGTAAAAGGAATTATTAGCCTTAAAAATGAACAAACGGGGTTTAAAGTAAGTTTACAAAGCATGAAGGAAGAGAATTTTTTGCAATCTGAGGCAGCTCATCTTAGTGTATTTAGGGTAATTGAACTAATTAAAAACCGCATTAAGTTTCTTCAAATCCATTGTTTTTTTGCATTATGACATGCTTATACGAGTAATAGTCCCCCAACTATCAATTTTCCTACGTCATCGAGTCACTCTCTTAGATGTTGGCACGTTAATCACAGCATGATGTCAACTGAAATCATAATTGACCTAATTTTAATAAGATGAAATTGCCATAGATTTAGAACTAAAAGAGTTTATGAATTGTGTATCATTTAGAAGGAAAGGAGGAAAAGTGGTCGGAGTTACAAGGGAAATCCATAGAAATGCTAGATGAGGAGCTAGACGAGGTACGTGTGATACAATTAGTATGTTTTGTCTTCTTAACATCATTTTATATTTTTTATCAAGACACGTGGTATAAAGAGCTACCATAATTTCGTTGATGGTACTTTTCATTTTATTAAATGAATCTTAAACTTTGCCAAGTCACGTTTTGGTATTCATCGTTTCCAATGTTTCCTTTCAAATTTTTGTTGTTCTAATAATGTCCCTTATATATGGCGCTATCACATGTAGGATTTAGATTTTTTAATTCAGTGGAAAAAATTAGTAAATACTTTCTTCGAGATATGTTGATATAAATAATTGAATAGCTTAAAAAAATCAATGAAAACATTTGAAAAAATAAAATTTGTTCTGTCAGGGAGACTTGGGCTCTGAAACTAGTCATCTTTTATTTGTTTTGAAATCAAGCACAATTTGGTAAATGAGCAAAAAACCTTAATTTTTTGTTAAACCCAAGATATAAGGAAATCAATTTTCTTTAAAAAAACAACAAGTAAATTGTTCTTGCTGTATTTTTTATAACCATTGCTTAGGTTTTTTATTTTTTTGTCTTCAAACATCATACAGTATTTCTTATTAACTTTAATGAAAAAATCATACAACCAGCTGTTTATTGTAAAGAATATTGATATTTTTTCTTAAGATAACTGGAAACAAAATCTAATATTTTAGCATATTTGATTGAATTATCTAATTTTATGTAAATTAAAGATCGCACTTTCTTAGCGCACGTTTAAACATTAAGATATTTAGCTTTGTGTGCTCCGTTATTTTACATAAAGTGAGTGACGTTTTAAAATTAAAATAACAATCTATTTTATGCAATTTAGATAGTACATCGATTTTGTGAACGTCAGGCTTTATTGAAACGAGGTAAATTCTAGACTATGTTTTGCTTTTTTTTTTTGACGGAGCAGTTTCATAGAAAGAGTACGATTTAGATCTCAGCTTGATGGTTATTGTATAATTTCGTTCAAACAGTTACAATCCAGTTTATTCTAAAGTATCATTCATCAGCGACACCACTCGACTTCAAGTCGTCTTTCACTTTGTCCATATACCTTACTGTAAAAACTAATTGGTTAAAAGAAGCATATGATTGGTTAAAGTAACCATAAAAATATTGGTTAGAGTTGTTAAATGCATCTGAGGTAACTAAGTTTTATGGTTATTTTAACCAATCATTTTTACATCGTATTCTTTGGTCTTTCTTTAATAATCTTTCCTGCTCAGCCATATACTCATTACCTTTGACCTGACCTCTCAAGCTTTTGTCTTGTCTCTTAAGCATCTAACATCTTTTTACCTCTGATATAATTATCCTTTACTTTCTAAAGCATACCGCCATCTTTCTAGACTGGTAAGCGTAAAACGAATTATTAGCCTAAACAATGAACAAATTGTGCTTAAAAGTAAGTTTACAAAGCAAGCAGGAAGGTATTTTTTGCCATCTAAGGCAGCTTTTCTTAGTGTATTTAGGGTAATTGAACTTTTTAAAAACCGCATTAAGTTTCTTTACAATCCATTGTTTTTTCGGATTATGACATGCTTATACGAGTAATAGTCCCCCAACTATCAATTTTCCTTCGTCCTTGAGTCACTCTCTTAGATGTTGATACGTTAATCGCAACATGATGTCAATTTAAACTATAATTGACCTAATTTTAATAGCATGAAATCGCCATAGATTTAAATCTATAAAAGTGTATGAATTGTGTATCATTTAGAAATAACGGAGGAAGGGTGGTTGGAGTTACAAGGGAAATCAATAGAAGTTCTAGAGAAGGAGCTAGACGAGGTACGTTTGATACAATTAGTATGTTTTTGTCTTCTTAACATCATTTTATATTTTTTGTGAAGACACATCGAATAAAGTGCTACCATAATTTCGTTGATGGTACTTCATTTTATTAAATGAATCTTAAAATTTGCAAACTCGCGTTGTGGACAGTCATCAATTCCAATGTTTCCTTTTAATTTTTTGTTGTTCTATTAATGTCCCTTATACATGGCGATATCACATATAGGATTTTACATTTTTTAATTGAAATATTTTGATATACTTGAATAGCTTTAAAAAACAGTTAAAACATTTGGACAAATGAAATTTGTTGTGTCAGGGAGACTTGGGCTCTGAAACTGGTCATCTTTTATTTGTTTTGAAATCAAGCACAATTTGATAAAAAAACCAAAAACCTTAATTTTTGGTTAAGCCCAAGGTATAAGGAAATCAATTTTCTTAAAACAAAAAACAAGTAAATTGTTCTTGCTGTGTTTTTTCTAACACTTGCTTAGATTTTTTGATTTTTACTCTTCAAACATCATAAAGTATTTCTTATTAACTTTAATGAAGAAAATCATACAACCAGCTGTTTATTGTACGGAATATTCATATATTTTATTAAGATAGCCGAAAACAAAATCTAATATTTGAGCATATTTCATTGAATTATTTAATTTTATCTAAATTAAAGATCGCACTTTCTTCGTGCACATTTTATTGTTAAGATGTTTAGCTTTGTGTGCTCCGTTATTTTACATAAAATGAGTGACGTTATAAATTAAAGTAACAATTTATTTTATGCAATTTAGATGGTACATCGATTATATAAACGTCAGGCTTTATTGGAACAAGGTAAATTCTAGACTATGCTTTGCTTTTTTTTAACGGATCATTTTCATAGAAAGAGTACGATTTAGATCTTAACTTGATGTTTATTGTATAATTTCGTTCAAACAGTTACAAGCCAGTTTATTCTAAAGTATCATTCATCAGCGACACCACTCGACTTCAAGTCGTCTTTCACTTTGTCCATATACCTTATTGTAAAAACTAATTGGTTAAAAGAACCATATGATTGGTTAAAGTAACCATAAAAATGTTGGTTAGAGTTGTTAAATGCATCTGAGGTAACTAAGTTTTATGGTTATTTTAACCAATCATTTTTACATTGTATTCTTTGGTCTTACTTTAATAATCTTACCTGCTCAACTATATACTCATTACCTTTGATCTGACCTCTGAAGCTTTTGTCTTGTCTCTTAAGCATCTAACATCTTTTTACCTCTGATATAATTATCCTCTACTTTCTAAATCATGCCGCCATCTTTCTAGACTAGTAAACGTAAAACGAATTATTAGCCTAAAAAAATGAACAAACGCGGCTTAAAAGTAAGTTTACAAAGCAAGCAGGAAGAGAATTTTTTGCCATCTGAGGCAGCTCATTTTGTGTATTTAGGGTAATTGAACTGTTTGAAAACTGCATTAGGTTTCTTTAAAATCATTGTTTTTTTGCTAGTTTTTTCATTTTTTTGTTTGCATACATAAAATATTTCTTCTTTACTTTAATAGAGACCGCCATACCATCTTTAATAGGTAAGAAATATTGATATCTTTCTAGACTGGTAAGCGTAAAAGGAATTATTAGCCTTAAAAATGAACAAACGGGGTTTAAAGTAAGTTTACAAAGCAAGAAGGAAGAGAATTTTTTGCAATCTGAGGCAGCTCATCTTGTGTATTTAGGGTGATTAAACTAATTAAAAACCGCATTAAGTTTCTTTAAATGCATTGTTTTTTTGCATTATGACATGCTTATACGAGTAATAGTCCCCCAACTATCAATTTTCCTACGTCATCGAGTCACTCTCTTAGATGTTGGCACGTTAATCACAGCATGATGTCAACTGAAATCATAATTGACCTAATTTTAATAAGATGAAATTGCCATAGGTTTAGAACTAAAAGAGTTTATGAATTGTGTATCATTTAGAAGGAAAGGAGGAAAAGTGGTCGGAGTTACAAGGGAAATCTATAGAAATGCCAGACGAGGAGCTAGACAAGGTACGTGTGATACAATTAGTATGTTTTTGTCTTTATAACATCAGTTTATATTTTTTATCAAGACACGTGGTATAAAGAGCTACCATAATTTCGTTGATGGTACTTTTCATTTTATTAAATGAATCTTAAACTTTGCAAAGTCACGTTTTGGCAGTCATCGTTTCCAATGTTTCCTTTCAATTTTTTGTTGTTCTAATAATGTCCCTTATATATGGCGTTATCATACGTAGGATTTAGATTTTTTAATTCAGTGGAAAAAGTTAGTAAATACTTTCTTCGAGATATGTTGATATAAATAATTGAATAGCTTAAAAAAATCAATGAAATCATTTGAAAAAATAAAATTTGTTCTGTCAGGGAGACTTGGGCTCTGAAGCTGGTCATGTTTTATTTGTTTTGAAATCAAGCACAATTTAATAAATAAACAAAAAACCTTAATATTTTGTTAAACCCAAGGTATAGGGAAATCAATTTTCTTAAAAAAACAACAACAAGTAAATTGTTCTTGCTGTATTTTTTCTAACCCTTCCTAAGGGTTTTTATTTTTTTCTCTTCAAACATCATACAGTATTTCTTATTAACTTTAATGAAAAAATCATACAACCAGCTGTTTATTGTAAAGAATATTGATATTTTTTCTTAAGATAACTGGAAACAAAATCTAATATTTTAGCATATTTGATTGAATTATCTAATTTTATGTAAATTAAAGATCGCACTTTCTTAGCGCACGTTTAAACATTAAGATGTTTAGCTTTGTGTGCTCCGTTATTTTACATAAAGTGAGTGACGTTTTAAAATTAAAATAACAATTTGTTCTATGCAATTTAGATGGTACATCGATTATGTAAACGTCAGGCTTTATTGAAACGAGGTAAATTCTAGACTATGTTTTGCTTTTTTTTTAACGGAGCAGTTTCATAGAAAAAGTACGATTTAGATCTCAGCTTGATGGTTATTGTATAATTTCGTTCAAACAGTTACAAGCCAGTTTATTCTAAAGTATCATTCATCAGCGACACCACTCGACTTCATGTCGTCTTTCACTTTGTCCATATACCTTATTGTAAAAACTAATTGGTTAAAAGAACCATATGATTGGTTAAAGTAACCATAAAAATATTGGCTAGAGTTGTTAAATGCATCTAAGGTAACTAATTTTTATGGTTATTTTAACCAATCATTTTTACATTTTACTCTTTGGTCTTACTTTAATAATCTTTCCTGCTCAGCTATATACTCATTACCTTTGATCTGACCTCTCAAGCTTTTGTCTTGTCTCTTAAGCATCTAACATCTTTTTACCTCTGATATAATTATCCTCTACTTCCTAAATCATGCCGCCATCTTTCTAGACTGGTATGCATAAAAGGAATTATTAGCCTAAAAAAATGAACAAACGGGGTTTAAAGTAAGTTTACAAAGCAAGCAGGAAGAGAATTTTTTGCAATCTGAGGCAGCTCATCTTAGTGTATTTAGGGTAATTGAACTAATTAAAAACCGCATTAAGTTTCTTCAAATCCATTGTTTTTTCGGATTATGACATGCTTATACGAGTAATAGTCCCCCAACTATCAATTTTCCTACGTCATCGAGTCACTCTCTTAGATGTTGGCACGTTAATCACAGCATGATGTCAACTGAAATCATAATTGACCTAATTTTAATAAGATGAAATTGCCATAGATTTAGAACTAAAAGAGTTTATGAATTGTGTATCATTTAGAAGGAAAGGAGGAAAAGTGGTCGGAGTTACAAGGGAAATCCATAGAAATGCTAGATGAGGAGCTAGACGAGGTACGTGTGATACAATTAGTATGTTTTTGTCTTCTTAACATCATTTTATATTTTTTATCAAGACACGTGGTATAAAGAGCTACCATAATTTCGTTGATGGTACTTTTCATTTTATTAAATGAATCTTAAACTTTGCCAAGTCACGTTTTGGTATTCATCGTTTCCAATGTTTCCTTTCAAATTTTTGTTGTTCTAATAATGTCCCTTATATATGGCGCTATCACATGTAGGATTTAGATTTTTTAATTGAGTAGAAAAAATTAGTAAATACTTTCTTCGAGATATATTGATATGAATAATTGAATAGCTTTAAAAAATCAATGAAAACATTTGAACAAATAAAATTTGTTGTGTCAGGGAGACTTGGGCTCTGAAACTAGTCATCTTTTATTTGTTTTGAAATCAAGCACAATTTGGTAAATGAGCAAAAAACCTTAATTTTTTGTTAAACCCAAGATATAAGGAAATCAATTTTCTTTAAAAAAACAACAACAAGTAAATTGTTCTTGCTGTATTTTTTCTAACCATTGCTTAGGTTTTTTATTTTTTTGTCTTCAAACATCATACAGTATTTCTTATTAACTTTAATGAAAAAATCATACAACCAGCTGTTTATTGTAAAGAATATTGATAGTTTTTTTTTAAGATAACTGGAAACAAAATCTAATATTTTAGCATATTTGATTAAATTATCTAATTTTATGTAAATTAAAGATCGCACTTTCTTCGTGCACATTTTATTGTTAAGATGTTTAGCTTTGTGTGCTCCGTTATTTTACATAAAGTGAGTGACGTTTTAAAATTAAAATAACAATCTATTTTATGCAATTTAGATAGTACATCGATTATGTGAACGTCAGGCTTTATTGAAACGAGGTAAATTCTAGACTATGTTTTGCTTTTTTTTTTTTGACGGAGCAGTTTCATGGAAAGAGTACGATTTAGATCTCAGCTTGATGGTTATTGTATAATTTCGTTCAAACAGTTACAAGCTAGTTTATTCTAAAGTATCATTCATCAGCGACACCACTCGACTTCAAGTCGTCTTTCACTTTGTCCATATACCTTATTGTAAAAACTAATTGGTTAAAAGAACCATATGATTGGTTAAAGTAACCATAAAAATGTTGGTTAGAGTTGTTAAATGCATCTGAGGTAACTAAGTTTTATGGTTATTTTAACCAATCATTTTTACATCGTATTCTTTGGTCTTTCTTTAATAATCTTTCCTGCTCAGCCATATACTCATTACCTTTGACCTGACCTCTCAAGCTTTTGTCTTGTCTCTTAAGCATCTAACATCTTTTTACCTCTGATATAATTATCCTTTACTTTCTAAAGCATACCGCCATCTTTCTAGACTGGTAAGCGTAAAACGAATTATTAGCCTAAACAATGAACAAATTGTGCTTAAAAGTAAGTTTACAAAGCAAGCAGGAAGGGATTATTTGCCATCTAAGGCAGCTTTTCTTAGTGTATTTAGGGTAATTGAACTTTTTATAAACCGCATTAAGTTTCTTTAAAATCCATTGTTTTTTCGGATTATGACATGCTTATACGAGTAATAGTCCCCAACTATCAATTTTCCTTCGTCCTTGAGTCACTCTCTTAGATGTTGATACGTTAATCGCAACATGATGTCAATTTAAACTATAATTGACCTAATTTTAATAACATGAAATCGCCATAGATTTAAATCTATAAAAGTGTATGAATTGTGTATCATTTAGAAATAACGAAGGAAGGGTGGTTGGAGTTACAAGGGAAATCAATAGAAGTTCTAGAGAAGGAGCTAGACGAGGTACGTTTGATACAATTAGTATGTTTTTGTCTTCTTAACATCATTTTATATTTTGTGTGAAGACACATCGAATAAAGTGGTACCATAATTTCGTTGATGGTACTTCATTTTATTAAATGAATCTTAAACTTTGCAAACTCGCGTTGTGGACAGTCATCAATTCCAATGTTACCTTTTAATTTTTTGTTGTTCTATTAATGTCCCTTATACATGGCGATATCACATATAGGATTTTACATTTTTTAATTGAAATATTTTGATATACTTGAATAGCTTTAAAAAACAGTTAAAACATTTGAACAAATGAAATTTGTTGTGTCAGGGAGACTTGGGCTCTGAAACTGGTCATCTTTTATTTGTTTTGAAATCAAGCACAATTTGGTAAATGAGCAAAAAACCTTAATATTTTGTTAAGCCCAAGGTATAAGGAAATCAATTTTCTTTAAAAAAAAACAACAAGTAAATTGTTCTTGCTGTATTTTTTCTAACACTTGCTTAGATTTTTTGATTTTTTACTCTTCAAACATCATAAAGTATTTCTTATTAACTTTAATGAAGAAAATCATACAACCAGCTGTTTATTGTAAAGAATATTGATATTTTTTCTTAAGATAACTGGAAACAAAATCTAATATTTTAGCATATTTGATTGAATTATCTAATTTTATGTAAATTAAAGATCGCACTTTCTTCGCGCACGTTTAAACATTAAGATATTTAGATTTGTGTGCTCCGTTATTTTACATAAAGTGAGTGACGTTTTAAAATTAAAATAACATTTTATTTTTTGCAATATAGATAGACTTTCGACTATATAAATCTCAGGCTTTATTGAACCAAGGTAAATACTAGACTTTGTTTTGCATTTATTTTACGGAGCAGTTTCATAGAAAGAGTACGATTTAGATCTCAGCTTGATGGTTATTGTATAATATCGTTCAAAGACTTACAAGCTTGTTTATTGTAAAGTATCATTCATCAGCGACACCACTCGACTTCATGTCGTCTTTCACTTTGTCCATATACCATAATCTTTTTGTCTTACTTTAATAATTCTACCTGCTCAGCTATATTCTCATTACCCCTTGGCCTTATCTCTCAAGATTTTGATTTGTGTCTTAAGCATCAAACATGTTTTAGCCTCTGATATAGTCTTCCTCTACTTTTAGAAGAACGTCACCATCTTTCTAGACTGGCCTCTGCCTTCTTCACATTCTCACAACTTATCGCAGGCTCTCAATGAAGTTGCTTTTTAAGTCTTCTTTATTTCTCGATCGACAGGCTTAAAGAAAGTACTTTATGCCCATCAACCAATCCTGCTACCAAATTATACTGCTGCTGACTAATTATAATCATGCTCGATATTCTTTTGCAGTTACTGCAACTCTTCACAAAAATTGTTCTATAGAGATTGGCTCTAACACACTTTAGTATTTCTCAGACATCATAGTCTCCTGGATTGTATCAAAGAATTGAGCAAAAAACTTAGCAGTTTTTCTTGCACACTTCCACAAAGATGTCCATAGGACCGACTACCTGACCATTCTTCCTTTTAATCAGGGCACTGCCAATTTAATGTTAAATATTCTGTACTGTGTCTGCATTGTGTATACCGCGTCAAATAATGAATATTAATGAGCGTGTGTAGCCTGAGGTTTCAAAATCAAATTCGTGTACCCTACATGGAAGTCAATTTTAAGAATCCAACAGTCCTTCTCATGACTGTTTTCAAATAACATCAACACCAACAATCCTTCTTAGGACTCTATTAACCTTGACGATCTACATCTATAAACATGTAGCGATACTCCCCGGTTGAAACTATTTACTTTAACAAAAACACACATAAACATCTTTAATTTTTAAATGGTTTTCTGTCTTTTCTTTTCTTTAATGTAACAGTATCAAATTTCGTGTTGTTACTAGTTTTTTCATTTTTTTGTTTCCAAACATAAAATATTTCTTGTTTACTTTAATAGAGACCGCCATACCATCTATAGAAGGTAACAAATATTGATATTTTTAAACTAAAAGTAACTGAAAACAAAATCTAGAATTTCAGCAAAATTTGGTGAGCATAAAGACGAATTTTTAACAAAAACATGAAAAAGCCAAACAGTTTGAAAGCCTACTCCCATATAATAAGGTACTAAAATAGCACTGTTTCTGAATTATAAATTGAACTAGAAAAGCTGGGTCAATTGAATTAGCTGTATATTATTAACTCGTGCCTTGGTCACGCCATGTACGTAAGAAGATCGATGATTGAGGGGGGAATATTTATATACACATGACATGCTGCATTAAGTTTCTTTGAAATCCATTGTTTTGTGCAGATTAAAACTTGCATACATGAATATAGGTCCTCCTAATTATCTTTCATCCTACTTCCCATGAGTCACACTATCTTATGTGTTGACTAGTTTATCAACATCAAGCAGGTCAACTGAAACTCTGTAGTTGAATTATTCACCTAAACTTTTTGAATAACAATAAAGTGTATTGATATAAAAATTAAAGATTTTATGAATTGTGTAACATCTAGAAGCATCGGGAAAAGGGTGGAAGGTAGAGCGGACAAAGCCATGGGGCGAGCAACAAACAGATGTACGACAAGAGCTGCGGATGGAGCGACGGAAAGATGTACGGCAAGAACTGACGGAGGAGGAACGACAAGATGTACGACAAGAGCTGCAAGAGGAGAAACGAGAAGATTTACGGCATGAGGTACGGGAGGAGGAACAAGAAGATGTACGAAAACAGGAAACCATGAGTAAGTTTAATAGCAGACAGTTTTTTTAGCCTATTGGATTGTAGAAAATGCGAAAGTATCAATAGGAATTCAAGGAAAGGAAAAAAGGTATTAGAGACAATAAAGTTGATATCTCTTCCTTTGCTATGGAATATAGTGATACACATTTTTGTTGGAAACAAATTACTCTACCTTATGAGACCTAAATAAATTTTCCATAGATTTCAAATTCAGAAGTGATTTATTTCACTCACTTGTTATGTAATCTACTAGGTAAAATAATTGATGAGAGAAAGTGCGTCTACATTTGTTTATGTGACCCAGCAAACATCAACTAAGTGGAATTTAGAAACAATCTGTTCAAAATTACCTGTTATTGTCATGATCTTATCCATTAAAAATGAGTGAAATTTCTTGACCTGTTGAGTGCAAAAGGCTTTGAAGTATTTAAACTTTGATGATTGATTTTTTGCTAAGGAGACACGTGAGATATGCAAGCGAGATAACTTGCAACTAAATTGTTGAAAACAATCTACGTGACGGTTAAAGACGAGTGTCAGGCGGTTATAGTTCCGTGTTTTTCAACACGCGATATGGATCCCTCATAAAATCTCTAACCAATATGTCGGCCATGGCCTAGTAATATAAAGTTAAGGGTTAGAGTTTGTATTGGGTTTCGATTTTGCGTGTTTGTAGAACACGGAATCATTACCAGCTTTTTGTTTATTTATAACAGAATACACTAAAGGCGCTTTAGCACTTATAGTCACAGCAAACTGCTGTTGCAGGAATGAATTTTTATTGACGACCTAATACTTTACAGTTAAAAGTCTTTTTTCTGCTTGCGTTTGGCCCACACGGTGGTGGTTTTAACTATAATTTCTAGTTACTCAGATTAGCGTTACCGCAACTCACGCCAACTTTAATGACAGCCATTAGAAAGAATAGTTGTTTTCATAATGACAAAAACATGCGCAACATGTTGGTGAGATGAGATAATATCACTTGTTTGGCATTGATAAACATCGTAACTGATAGATTTGACTCTTTGACTTATAATTTTCTATTCTTTCATTATTTCATCATTTTGTTGTGATTTTCTTAAAGGCCCTCACCATCTGACAACTAGTTCTGAGAACTTATTTCTTGACGAAACCTCCAGTGATGAAAGTTCCTATGACGACAACTGTGATGATGACAGTTTTAGTGAAGAAAATTCTTGTGGAGAAACTTCAAATGATGAAAGTTCTAATGGTGGTTGTTCAAGAGATGATACTTTGTTGAATGTCCATAATCTAAATCTCGATGATGACCGTTTATTTGAAAAGACGTTTCTTGATAACAAATTTAGCATTCGAGATGATGTGCGTAAAAAGCTCAGAAGGTGAACTTTATTCCACTGTTATTTAAATCTTGGACTACAATTGATACATGAAGATAATTAAATGCTAAAAAGTTGTTCAAATTTATCGGTTCGAAATGAAAACAGAAAAAGCATTTGGTTAGCAAGAGTTATGAATTCTTTGTTTTTGATGTTCACTCGTTTTACGACTAACTACATATTTATTAATTCTGCAATATAATATAACCATCAATTTATTCAAATTTGATTTACAGTTTACCTTGGATGCGTGGGGAGTATGGAACAGCTAGTGCTAACGAGAAGATACCATACTTCCATTTGTATGTCTCAGTTGATTATGAAAAAGGAAGCTTTGATGATGATTTTCTGAAAAATCAGATTAATAAGAAATTTGGACCGGATGCTTCGAAGTATTTTGAATTTCGTCCGAAACCGCCCACAACACCGGAATTTCAGCTGTTATCAAAGGTGGTGATTTCCGTAAGAAGAAAAAATAAGGGAATTTCGAAAGGTAGATTAACGATGTTCTGTTGCCACAACGGGAAACATTACGCGTTGGCATGTTGCCATGTTTGTTACAATGGAGATGGTGATGACCAGCTTTATAAAATGCTCCGTGAGGAAGAAAAGAACCCAAAACAATTTAAATCGCATTTGGAAGAAAATCAATACTTCGTCATTGAAAATGAGGAAACTGAATTAGGCCATTTCAGTAAATATAGTTTAAAAAACGACGTGGACATCATGTCAATAGAAGTGAATCCAAATGTTTCATTGAATTTCAGAAAAAAAGGAATAGAAACACCTTCTTGGAAATATGTATGGAAGGTGCTAAAGGAACGAGTTCATGCGACGCCTCCTCGAGTAGTTAACGTGAAAAAATATGAGAGAAAAGGAAGAGAAGGCCAAATTTGTGATATCGATTACTCCTATTTTGATCCTAAAGAGGACATTGATGTGGCTAATGCTGTTTTGGTGAAATCCAAGAAGAATTTTCTTAAAAATGGCGAGTCTGGTGTGCTTGTGTATTTTCATGTTGAAGGTCGCAGAAGAATTCCTTTTGGATATGGTGTTGGTAGATATATTCACAAGAACTTGGATAAAAACTACAAATATTTTATATGCTTTAAACTAGATAGAGCTTTAACAGACTTATTTGGAGAAGAAAACTGCGAGAGCTGTGGTTGTTTTGATCAATGTGCGAATCCCATGGATAGCAGCGGAGGTTATGAAAAGTTTCTTTGCTTCTGACATAAAATGTTGACGTAATATCTTTTTTACAATTTCTGACATTTTATGTTAATCGCAAGCTTTCATACTTGCTTCGTTAGGAGGTCAAATATTTTATTCCGATAAGTTTGTCAACTAGTCATCTAGTCTGAATTCATAAAGTTTGTTTAAATTATTTACTGAATTGCTAAATGTACCTTAAATTCGTGCCCACGCACACTGCTGTTTTCTTGAGGGATGTTGTAATATTATCTTTTTTTTAGTTAAATTTAAAAAGTAAAGCAAAACTCGAAGTTAATTACCAAGAAATGCTATATCTTATACTAACTCAATTTCAGATATGCCTGTATAGGTATTCAATTTTCTGATTTTTTTAATATGTTATATTTTTCAGAAATTGCCTCTTCGAATGCTGACACGTCATCTATTGCGTCAATGAATTTGGAGCCATGCAGTAAGTCATTGCACAGCTGTACAAATGAAATAAATTTAGAGTAACATACTGTACAAGGCATGTACTAAACTATAGTACATATAATCGTACCAAACCATCAACTCATTGCCCTTTACTTTGTCAATAGAATGTTAGGTACGACATTTAACGCATCATTTGTCTCTCACACGGTTCGACTTTTTGGTAATTCCATCTTCCTGTTGTAACTTACTAATTTATGTCATATTGTTACCAGTTTATGTTATTTGTTTGTTTTTGCTTTCTATTCCTTGATGTTATAGTTTCACTATAGTTCCCACTATCACGAAGAAACAATAACATCAAGGAATCCAGCTACCATCTTTGCTTGCTGTTGTATGATAATAAGTAGGTTGGTAGTTTAGCTTGTGAATAGATCGAACTCTGTCCCAAAATTGGTTTTACTATTTGAAATTAGTATAGATTATGCTTGAATGGTATGTTTGCTGTTTGAGATTTGATGCGTCATAGTTGCATGATTGTATTAAGCTATAGCAGGAAGATGGAAATATCATAAAGTTGAATCCTGTGATTGAGTCCAATTGATGTCTTCCAATAGATTCATCCCTGGATTAACATGAAAGTTAGTAATCATTGACCTTATTCACTTGTTAGATGATCTAACAGGTGAACTAACTGTCGTAAACAATAGCTATCAAGAGCATGCCAATGTGGTTCTGACCGACCAGTCATCAAACGAGTGTAATCTAGAAACAACGTTTTCAGAATTACCTGATCATATTCGAAGAAAGTTAGAAGAACGTTTAAAAGATGGCAATGAGTTATTAGAGAATGACTGGAGAAGGTGATTTTCACATTAATTAAAGTCGTACAAATGATTGTTTTGGCTTGTTGACAAATTGTACTCCTGAATTATTTATTTTTCAGCCTCTACAAAGCCCTGAACTTGCCAAAAGATCAAGAAAACATCATAGCAGAAAAATATCATGACAATCCTACACGATATGTGATAAACACATGGCTTGAAAAAGATGGGCAACATGCTTCTCTGAAAGCACTGCTGCTGGCATTAAAAGAGTGTGGACATGAATGTCTACTTCATGAAATAGAAAAAGATTTGCGTGTTCAGCTGTCTGATCAGTCTAAACAAGGTGCTATGAATGGAATTTATGACAGGAGTGAAAAGAAGATGAGTGCTTGAGTTCAAATGAAAACACTGGAAGAAAAGCAGCGTAAGCGTAGACTTACTTTTTTCAATGGACAATCAAGCAAGATGCTGTACCAGTACATAAATTTGACCATATATATTTATTGTAGATCGTTTTATTAAGTGATTTTGGAAGTGCGAGTGTTAATCAGATGTTGAGTTACCTAACTCAATTTTTCGTCTTTTTTTAATCTGAAAAATACCTGAATTCTAACATTTGTTTTCTACATCACAACCTCTGTCGACCTTCGAGAAGCCTTGCATACATACAAACAGAATATTTTTCATTCATAGTGAACAAGAGAACAATATTTCTTCATAGTGAACAATATTAGAATATTTTTCATTCATAGTGAACAATTCATGGACCGGTCAACCCCCCTGGCGGGGATTAATACTGGCCGGTATACAAATGTTGTTTGTTTGTTGTTTATAGTGAACAAGAGAACCTGCCTTATCGTTCCAAACATATTAATTGGTTAAACGTATTCCAAAGACGACGAAGTTTATTGATTATTCTTACCAACAGCAATCAAACTCCTTAAGTTACGACTTCACTTTTTTTTTCTTTGACTACAATAGTTAAAGACAGGTAATCGAGTAACGAGCAATTCCTATGAGTAACTGTTACTAATATCGGCTTTAGGAGAAAAAAATATAAATTAAGCCCATTCATCCTAAGGGAAATTAACTATTTAGATAAATGTAGATCGTCTAGGTTGGTATAGTCCTGAGAAGAACAGCAATTGGCTCACCCGTTTCTGTTGTAGTTGCTGAAATTGTAATGCAATCTATAGAGGAACGGGCGCTCACGACTTACAAGCATGCATTACCTTTTTAGTTCCGCTACGTAGATGACACAATCACAGCACTACATGCAGACGAGATTGACGACTTTCACACTCACATCAACAAACAGAACAGCCGCATACAATTTACCAAAGATGTTGAAGAAAATGGAACTCTTCCTTTTATCGACTGTTTGGTAAAACAGGACAATCAAAAACTACGAACAACAGTTTATCGCAAGCCAACACATACTGACCGACTACTAGACCAATCATCTTACAACCCTACATCACACAAAGCCACCACAATCAGAACATTTACAAGACGTGCACAAATCATATGTTATTCACCGGACGCTCTACACAACGAAAACAATTTATCTCAAACGTGTTTTTGACAAAAACAACTATAACTCTGACTTCATCAAACGCAACACTTACGAACGAAACGAACAACTCAGTGACAACAGCAACGATACCTTACATGAAAGGTACGTCTGAGACTATCTCGCGTATCTTACGACCATACAACATACGTGTCGCACATAACCCATTCCCAACGTTACGACTAGTACTAACGAACATAAAGGACAAAGAACAACCCAACGAACGACAAGGTGCAGTTATAAAATAAACTGCTCCGACTGCCACGCCTCCTATGTCTGGGAAACTGGCAGGAACTTAAACTTACTGAACACAAACGACCTACAAAGAATCAGTCGGATTTTATCGCTCAAGCTTCAAGACCAATTGCTTTTCAAGTTTTGATGAACAAACAAAAGAAATATCGCACCTGTGAAAGCGACATGTTCCTTTTAGTGGACACTACAATATCCAACAATCGAACGATTGAAGTGTTAGTATTTTAAAAGAAATTCAAAAAAAGATATCGTGCTTGTTTTTTTAAAATGCTGTATAACTAGCTATAGACATCAGGAGGAGGTCGAGAATATAATTTTTTTGCAAAGCGATCATTTCAGCGGAGATAGGTCCATTAGCCGCCATTTTTTGGAGTCAGGTCCCAGTCCACTTAGCCATTCCAGTTATTATAGAACTCGATGATCTAGACCTACTATATGTATGTGTCGCTCTGGCTTTTTGTTTACCTCCAGCTGAAAGGGCACACTTCTGCCGTTGAAGACTCACACTTGACCATACTTTCCATGACCCCCCGTATCTATTTTGTGTAGATCCTTGCCATAATGCCATGAGAATTTTGCGCACCTCTCCTGGAATTCCCGCTGTTTCAATACCATTCCTCAAATCAACTATACCGTCAACTGGAGACTTTTCCAAAGTGGGTGCAACTCTTCCAGTGAAGATAGAAGTGATATTGTTGATGGTAGAACGGGCAAACTTGCTGGAAAGTCCACTAACATTTTTAGTATCATTGGAAACAGGGTTGGCTCTGCCAGTTTGGTGCAATCAGCAGTTCTGTTGCTTTTGTTGCGTTTCAATTTCAGTAAAATCCTTGGTATCAGAGCAAGTCGTGGATGAATGAAGACTGTCCAGTTGTTACAAACTACGGAGAAAGCGTCCGTTACCATTGCCCCAGGATTGGGATAACGTACTATGTATTTGGGTACTTGATTGCTCAGTAGGGAAGCGAATAAATTCACTTGCGGTGTGTAATATCGGGTTGTTATTTTCCGAAATGTACTGGACTATATTATCTTTTCAGTTTGGTTGCTGTAGTTGCAGGATGCGTAATCTACTTCCAGGTTCATCAATCCAGAAAGATGCTTTGCTGTGATCCAAATGTTGCGAGAAAGAAAATATATCCAAATCTCCATGGCTAGTTTTGCTAGCCGAGCTGACTTTGTGCCGTCTTTCTTGTTGATGTACGCCAAAACTGTCGTGTTGTCTATTAACAACTTCAAATGTTGTGGCGTTGGGTTCCTTTTTTGAGAAACGCCTTGATTGCCAATAGAGCCGTTTTCAGTTCCAAGTCGTTGATATGGCTCTTTGCTTCGCGAAAGGCCCATCTCCCTCCTGTCCTTATTCCTTTGCATAACGCTGCCCAACCTCTGGTGGAAGCGTCTGTAGCAATTGTCAGATCCATTGGCGGAAAGCGTATCGCTGTACCATTGTGATGTAAGATCGTCGGTGATATCCACCACTGAAGCTCTGCTAGTGCTAATGGATTGAGCAAAATTTGTACACGTGATAACCTTGTATAGCGGCCTCTCCTGTGCAGACAATTGATGTACGCTTGTTACAAGTCACGAAAATAAAGAGGTGCAGAATAGATGCCAATCCTTGCCACATGGTTCATCCGACCAATCATTGCTGACATATGCACTTTCGCGCACTCGGAGTATTTCCTTTGGTACTGCAAAGGACATCTTAGGAGAACTTATCAAGGCCCCAAGAAAGACTAGTTCCTGAGAGGGAAAGGGGGAGCATTTCTCCAGTTTGATCAAAATCGCAAATTCCTCAGCAACGTTAGTACCCGGTTGAATATCTCGACAATTTTCTGTTTACTATGGTGCATTATTAGAATGTAGTCTAGGTAAATCTCTATCTTGATTCCTGACGAACGTAATACCGCTATCACCGGTTTGATCAAACTTGTGAAGGCGCGGATAGGGGGGGATGCCAGCCCAAATAAATTTCTTGAAACTTGTAAGTCTTGCCTTGGAATTCCAGTCTTAAGTAATTCTTGTGTGCTGCATGTATGGGAATCATGAAGTACGCATCTTGTAAATCCAGCTTCATCATGTAATCTTTCGGTGCAAGATAACACCAAACCATGTCTAATTCTTCCAGTTTGAATTTCTCCACGAGGACACTATGATTCAGAGATTTCAAGTTGAAAACAGGTCGGTTTTTTGTACCTTGTTTCACAATAAAGAGTGTCGACGTGTACTGATCCTTTACTTTGTCGGCCTTCTTCAGAGCTCCTTTCAGCTGCAGTTCCTCTATGGCTGTCGGTATTGCCTTTGTTTGTTCTTCTCGACTTCTTTTTGTTAGACTGTCACCACTGATATAGTACGAACGTCAAAGGAATCTGGTACCCGGTCACCATTTGTAAAATCTGGTTGTCTGATGTAAGTTTTACCCAGTTTTTGAGGTTATGATGTAGGGGTCCAGCTGTTGTCCTGACTGTCAGGACGATGTCTAAAAGTGGATGAGGTACACTGTAGTTTTCAGCTGTTCTTGGTTGTTCCTGAGCTTCCTCGGAAGCTTTTTTTTTTGTTGGATTTTGTGAGGAGGAACTGCTTTGGGGAGCCGTTCCTGTTCTCGATGACCATTTTCGCTTTCCCCAGAATCGTCGATTAGAGCGACTCTGTGGGCGTTTGGAAAGAGTTTTCTCGTGGTACTGTTGTGACCAATGGATGGTTTTGCTGTTGTTGCAATTAGCTTGGAGTTGTTACTGGAGTGTTAACGTTCACTCTGCACATAATTGGAAAGCTTCAACCGTGGTGTACAGAAAGCTTTGACGGTGAAAATAGGCAAGTAATATGCATGAACATTGATGAAAACGGCATAGTATATCTATTGTTGGGTTACAAAAACAAACCAAATGGCGGCTATTTGTTGATTCTCTCTTCGCAAGACAGAATTATTCAAAATTCCTCATTTTTTCTTGCTGTAATATCACACAACAAAAGTATTATTGCAACTGTCGAAAATGAACAACGCCAGATTATGATGTATCTGTATAACAGTGAAATTGGCCATCGTCTTGATTTCTTTTTAACAAGAGGTACACATAAAACAATTCAAGATGAGATGAAATGTCTCTCCATCAACACCAATGAGAACATAGCCATTTTGATTTATGGATCTCCACAATACTATCGACTCATCATAATTACCATGAACGGGAAATTCGTTAAAAAAATGACATTTCGCCCTCATTTTGACGAATACAAAGCATATGATCAAAAAAATTTTTGCTTACCAACTTGTCATAGGATGCTATTTATATTAAGACAAGTCAAAACTGGCGATTGAGTCTTTTTCCGTTGAAGCTGAACTATTCGAGCGGCGAATTATGCTAAATAATGCGGCTACGAGTCAGCAATATTTTAGAGTTCACTACGTCTAGTTTGTCATGCTGATGATAATGTGGAGTTTGTGTCGGCTGAACTTAGAATTCACATAATCAAAGAGCGCAGTCAGTATGGAACCAAGGACGTCCGATTGAAATGGAGAAAGTCTACTAAATTAGTCTCAGGTGAGAAGAAAGTTGATAGCTGAGGTTTTTAGATAAATCTATAATTCGATCTTGATTTTTACTGTAGTTTCTGCTCTATTTGCCGTTAGAAATATATTCTCTTCTGGCTTGATAGCGTACAAATTTTTTAGCACTTAACAATGTTTGTAATGAAAATAATTTTTCCAAATTTCAACTTTGCATTGGCCAATGCTTGGGATGTGTATAAAATGAACGATGTCATTGTGTTTTTCATAGTTTTCACGGTTGATGTTTTCCATCTCAAAATACAAAGTCGATGTGAAGCATTATAATTGACTGAATAAATATATAACCAGATCACCTTTGATGTCACAATGCTTTTCTACGATTTATCTTTCTTTGAACTGCATAAAAAATATTTCGGTAAAAACATGCTTTACACGATCGCACTTTAAGCATTTGTTTTAACAAGTCTCGCGTAAACTCCTCTTTCCCTTGAGTTGGCAACTTCCTCGTCACTGACTTAAGCAAACCACTGATCAACAATTAACAGCTACAACGAAAATTTAACTACTTGTAAATTTGCAAAACGAATTCATCATATGCAGATTCACTGGAAGTGTTTTTTAAAAGCTAGGCCGGGTAACGAGGCTTTCTGAAGCGAAGAGAGTAATGAAGAGAGAGAAAATGTCTCAAGTATATCATAACAAAGTAATAGTATAGTTTGTCGTACAATTACGGCTAAACATGAACTCGTGATCTTTTTAAAGACTGCAAACAGAGCTCATCATTTGTACTATTTCATTATAAAATGTTTAGTACGCGATTTTTCCGGTTAAATAACAAATGTTTCAATATTTCCCTATGATAATTTCATAGCAGCACGATTTAAATCAAAATTTAACGTAGACGACAACTTTTTTTAAATTTTTTAATGCATAAATGTTTCGGCCAACGTATGCCATCTTCAGTGCAGTATAATGAATGAAATATTTACATACAGTTAATTTATGAATATGATAGATGATATATATAGACAATAGAGGTGGATACGGAAGTTTTTTAGAAATTATAATTAGGGATGTTAAGTTATTTACAAATTAAAGATAGTATTGTAATAATGAATCTGTTTGTTGAGATTAGGTTTGAGTTTTTTGATGTGCAGTGCTTCTTTGAGTTTTAAAGAGGAAGGAGTGCGAGCACTATCTAACATACCAAAGCAGGATTATGAGTATTTAGATGTTCATTGAGGTGATGAGAGTAGTACTTCGAGACCTGAACATATATTAATTGTTTTAGCAAGTACATTTAAATAAGTTTTCTACAGTTTAATAGCATGCTTAAGTTTTATTCTAGATATACTTGCTACGAAATACTTCAATACATTCTTTTTTCAAAGTCCAAACAATCTCGTCTCTATTATGTTCAACAGGCAATTTCTACGGGTCTCTAGCTAAAACGTAGTGTATGTCACTGTATGCTATGTATCATTTTATAATTTATAAATGGAGGCACATTACTAGTGAAGTGCTCTTTTAATAAGCGCCATGTATCCTCTGTGTTAGCAAGTTTAGATTGCTAACATTTAATGAGTAAAATCAATCTAACTGAAATTAAATACTTTTAAATTCTATAGAGAACCTAAAATTTCTTCTAATACAACTATAAACAATCATATTTTATTTTCAAATACGTAGCAACAATGGAACAGCGACAGAAAGACCTACTGCAAGAGTTAGTAAAAGAGGAAAGAGAAGACGCATGCCATGATATTTCAGTGGAGGTACCGGAAGACATACCGAAAACATTAAGGGAAGAGGAACTGGAAGACGTACGGAAAAGAAAAGAGAGGAGAAACGTGAAGACGCACGGTAAACGTTAAGGGAAGTGGAACAGGAAGACGTACGGAAAAGAAAAGAGAGGAGAAACGTGAAGACGTACGGAAAGAGTTGCAGGAAGATGAACAGGAAAACATTTAGAAAAAGATGCGAGAGGAGCTACGGGAAAACCTAAAAAAACAGAAGACCTTCGGTGTCGGATGATTTATCCAAGAATTCCTCTTGAGCAAGATATTATAAGAGCATCAATAACCCTCCTTTGACTTCACATATACGGCACTAGCAAAATATAATTCAATACTTGTTTTTCAGCAATTGAACCAAAAAATATTTGCATTGTCCGAGTAAAGAAAGTGTTGGTTTTGTTACTGATTGACTCTCGAGTCTAAACAGCTTAAAACTCTTCGACAAGTCTGCTTCTCTGATATATATGCATAAATTAACATCTCAGAGCTTGAGTGATTTTTTATTGCTACTTAAACGTAACCTAGATAGCTGTATTTTAAGAATTGCAATTTTTATTGTCTCTAAAATCTTTGCTTGAAAGTAAAAATGCATCAATTTATGATGGAAAATTGATAGAATAAACTATTAAAGTCTACAAAGAGAGCAAATATTTTTGCAGTTATTTACAACCCCTTAAAACAATTTAAAAGTCATTATTTTAGCAGCAATTTCCTCAACCAAAATTTCATAGCATGCAACTACTATTAATTGACAATCTTCGTAAAACACTTACCTAAATTTGTTGTTTACTGATCCGTCCTACCTACTATTAAAAGCCAGCACAATGATGTGTTTGCCCATCTTGTTGTTCTCATTTACACTGTTACAATATGTACCACACTTTTCTTGTTTCTATTTTGAAGAATCTATGTGTATTGTAGTGACTGTTAAATTGGCATTAAAGCAATTTAATGAAAATCTCCATCTTTTTTAAATGTCTGCGACTTTTAAAGAACATACCTGACGATCTAAAAACGCAGTTTATACAGTAATGCGAACGATTTAGTCCTAAAGACCTTTCAAATATGGCAACAAAAAATGGCAACAAGACCTTTCAAATATGGCACATCTCTTGTCGCGTTCTACAAGAGATGTGCTTGTAGAACGCGACAATCGACAGGTGCCTTTCGTAGTGGATTCAAGCAACTGTGTTTCAAATTTTATGCCTTTGTCTAAATACCTCGTACGGAAATGTTGAAAGATCTTTGACGGCCGTTTTATAGCATTCCATTGTAATGATGTATTGCACTGCTGTTGTATAATTAATTGTCAATAAGATATTTGTTAATAAAATAATGTACTTTTATTTTACAATTTTATTTGAGACATTTTACAGGTACCAATCATAATTTGAATATGCTCAATTATTGTTGCAATTGATTGCATTCAAGTCAACAATGGGATATATATAAGAATACATTCATCAATTTGTGACAGAATGTGTTTTAAACTTTTGATAATTACTCAAATCACTTTGTTCGCGCATTACGGATACAGTTTGAGATAGTTTTCCCTGTAAAAAATGGAACGTCACTGCAAAAGCTTAAAAGAAGTGGAGGAAAAGCACAGAATGGACATTTTGAACATTTTAAAGAGTTTTGAGTTTGAAAGAAAAGATCTTGAGAAGAGATTACGCGAGGAGTTTGAAAGGAAAGAAAAAACCCTGAAAATCCAAGAAGAATGTTTGAAGGAAGGGAGCGTATGTGTTGAAAAAACAAATATAAAGACTGAAGAAGCGACAACGGACGAGAAATTGCTGGATATACTGGACTTCGAGAAAGATATACCTCAAAGAAAAGCTCAGTTTCTCGACAGTGTTAACACAACTGATAATTTAGTTAACGTAGAAAGAAAGACGAAGTCTTTGCCTGTAATAGAGGAAGAGAACAAACAACTATCTCAAGCATTAAACAGAAGCAAAGACGAAATAATTCGGCTCAAAAATAAAGCTGAAGATTTCATGGAAGATCTGAACAATGTTCACAGACTTATTGAGGATGGATCAAAGGAGTGTCTTGAACTTGATTCTCGTTCCAAAATATTACCAGAAACACTGACTGAAACAAAGGTGTCATTATCTCGCAGTTTGGGTAATGCCGAGGAAACTGATGCAAATCTTGAACAAGCTTATTCTGTATTGAGTTTTCGACTTGAAGAATTAGACGTTGAAAACGAAGATTTAAAACAGAAAGTATCAAATTTGGAGTTAAAGGTTCGCAGGATTATCGAAGAACACGAGCTGAAATGTAATGTCTTCAACGATAGACTCGATGAACTAACACAGAACATCTTCTCGTATAAATGCTGTGAGGATTCGTGTTTGAAAGAGCAGATAGTCAACGATTTAAGAAAAATTCGTCTTCAAAGTGCGTCTTTCGAGTTATTGGAGGAATACGCAAGTATTTCTTTACGTGAAAGCTTAAGCACATCCTCTTTGGAGATTGATGACATTAATTTGTTTTTCGAGTTGCAAACGTTAGAACAAATTTTAGAAATGGAAATTTTTGACTGTGGCGTGTTTGATTTAAGAATGAAGGATAAACTGCGCTTGGTTTTGAAAGAAAAAGAAAAGAAACTTTTGATTTCGTACACTGTTGAAAAATTACGAAATGAAATAAGGCATGCTGTTGTAATTCAAGGTGCTATGGAGGAAATGCAGAAAGAATTTGCGAAGGATTTTTGTGTGCATGAAGTTGTTAATGAAGTATTGAAGCAACATTTCGAGACATCGGTTACAGGAAGACTGGATGACACTGATGCCACTCAAGATAATGGCGATGTTACTTGTGAACATTTCAATATATCCGACTACATGGAAAAATCATTTGACAAGGTACTGCAGAAGCATTCAGAAGATGACAGCGTGAAGAACAATGTCAAACGTAGTGATGATGAAAAAGAAAGAGGACATTTGGACAACATCAAGAATTCAAGTGACACAAGTCATAATGAAGAGCTGGAAACATCTCTGCAAGACTTACAAAATCGTTTTGACCAGGAACGCCAAATGTGGCAGGAAAAGCAAGTTGCTTTACAAGGTTATAAATTATGTATTATGTAATGATTTTACATTCACAAGTAAAATTTTAACGCATTCTATTCCTGTTTGTTTCTTATTAACCAGGCCCAGAAGATTCTGATGATAGAGACAAAGAATTGCGCTGTTTGAAAGCTCGCGAGATATTGATGGAAGACATATGGAAAAAAGAAATATTTAATTTGTCTCGTCTTTATTACATGGAAATGAAAGATGAAGTAAATTCACGTTTAAAACGAGAAAAACATAATTGCAAAATAAAACATGAAAAGAACAGGTACTGCGGTTGAGTGCATAAAGTTTTGAAATCATTAACTATACACAAACATCTTAGTTTATCTTTACAGGCTTATCGATGCTTGGAAACATCATGCTGAAGTGGGAGAACTTTATCAAGAAATTTTGAGCAAAGAAAACGAAACTTTGGAAAACCTACAGAGAACCCGCGAAGAGGATCAAGTTGAAGAATATGACAATGATGTGTTGAAGCAAGAGAGTTTTAAAATTCAACAACAGTTGCCGTTGAGGTTTGAGCTATTGGAGTTACAAAGAAAACGATGTCGAGATCATAAAGCAGCCAATCACATCATTGAACAGGCCGTGGTTGCCTTGGAAACTGTCATGAAAGAACCTAACGAGTTTTTCAATGATGAAAAACGCAAATCGAGTTGGTCCAGCATTGAAGACAATCCAGGTAATTGCGCACAGGTTTCCGTTTTGCGTATTTTTGTAAACATTTTATGCAGAAAGGTTAACCATGTAGACATGTACGTATTTCGTATATAAGTATATGTATAGATATGGTTTAGACATCGTTTAATAATTTCTTATTTCCCATAGTACTTACATCACAAAACGATCTTTCCAATGCTGAGTTTGAAAATTTCTCAAAGGAAATGAATGCCAATACCGAGAAGATACAAACGAGAAGCGCATTGACTGATGGGTTGGTTCAAATATTGGAAAATGTCCTTGAAGATTACGGAAAGAAAAATGACAGATTTCTTGACCCATGCATCAGTGATAGTGAGCCGAGTGATGCTGAAGGGTTTTTTTGTTCAATAAATACGAGTGTGGATGATTCTTATACAAAAAATAAAAATGATGCAACTCTTGAAGCACCGACTACACAAGAAAAAACGTTGGACGTTGTGGATGTTATCCAAGAAACGACCAGGAATAAAGTAATTCCAGAAATCATTGAACTTTCACCTGCTACCGAAAAGATGTTTTACACTGAGAGATTTGACATTTGTCAGTTGCCTCGTGAGGAGTACATTGACAACAACCATAGAAAGACGAAGAAGTTAAGTAGAGCAACAAAGAACAATAAGAAAAAAAATATGAAAATAATTTCTTTATTCCGCGAAAAAACATTGGCTTTTCTTGAAGATATTGGAATTTGTGGCAAGGTGAAGGCAAAGAATACATCCCCACGAAAGAGAGCATGCGCAACACCTGGCGATGATAAAGAAATTATTGATTCCGTTGAGCAACATGAGATCTTGCAGAAATATAAAAAAATGCTTGTGATAGCAAAGAAAGATTTAGATCGTGCCCATAGAGCTCTTAAATTTCGAGTCATAGGTCAAGAAAATGCAAAAAGTAAGAACTTTAAGATCAACGATCGCGAAGAAAATAATGAGAAACAAGATGGTCTTGAAAATAATAGTAACTCAGAGGATGTCTGCATTTTGGAGAAAGACAACAAAAAACCATCTTGTGATACTAAGTATATGGTTGAAGATTCTGACGAAAATACTTTTTCTGATGTAACTAGCTTAATATCAGAGGATGGACACAGTGAAGATGAAGCTAAAGAGTTGAATGAGCACGAACTTACTGGTAACAATGAAGATAAAAATAGAGAAATGGATGATTCTGAAGTAACTAATAACAATGAAGATGAAGCTGGAGAAGTGATGGAGCCTGAAGTAACTGTTCACAATGAAGATGAAGCTGGAGAAGTGTGAAGTAACTAATCACAATGAAGATGAAGCTGGAGAAAAGTAACTAAGTTCAATGAAGATGAAGCTGGAGAAGTGGTGGAGACGAAGTAAATCACAATGAAGATGAAGCTGGAGAAGTGGAGACTGAAGTAACTGTCACAATGAAGATGAAGCTGGAGAAGTGGGAGACTGAAGTAACTGATCACAATGAAGATGAAGCTGGAGAAGTGGAGACTGAAGTAACTATTCACAATGAAGATGAAGCTGGAGAAATGGAGACTGGATAAACAATGAAGATGAAGCTGGAGAAGTGGAGCCTGAAAACTGTTCACAATGAAGATGAAGCTGAGAAGTGGGGAGACTAAACTGTTCACAATGAAGATGAAGCTGGAGAAGTGGACTAAATGGCAATGAAATGAATGAAGTGAGCTGGAGAATGGACAGAATGAAGGAAGTGATCAAATGAAATGAACTGGATGAAGTGATGGATGGTGAAAATCACAATGAAGATGAAGCTGGAGAAGTGGGGAGACTGAAGTAACTGATCACAATGAAGATGAAGCTGGAAAAGTGGTGGAGCCTGAAGTAACTGATCACAATGAAGATGAAGCTGGGGAAGTGATGGAGCCTGAAATAACTGATCACAATGAAGATGAAGATGGAGAAGTAGGGAGACTGAAGTAACTGATCACAATGAAGATAAAGCTGGAGAAGGGTGGAGACTGAAGTAACTGTTCACAATGAAGATGAAGCTGGAAAAGTGATGGAGCCTGAAGTAACTGATCACAATGAAGATGAAGCTGGAGAAGTGGGGAGACTGAAGTAACTGATCACAATGAAGATAAAGCTGGAGAAGTGGTGGAGACTGAAGTAACTGATCACAATGAAGATGAAGCTGGAAGTGATGGACTGAATAACTGATCACAATGAAGATGAAGCTGGAGAGTGAGGAGACTGATCACAATGAAGATAAGCTGGGTGGAGACTGAAATAACTGATCACAATGAAGATGAAGATGGAAGATAGAATAAATGATGGGTGAGACAAATAAAGTGAAGCTGGAGAAGTTAGAACAATGTTATAAAAGTGGTGGAGAAGATGGGAACTGAAGAATGTGGATTGGAGTGGTGAACAATGAAGAAAATGAAGTGGAGCTGAAGTAATCACAATGAAATGAAGATGGAAATGGAGAGAACTAAATAACTGAATCAAATGAAGATGAAGCTGGAAGTGGGGAGACTGAAATAATGATCACAATGAAGGAAGCTGAGGGAGGAGAAATAATGATCAATGAAAATGGAAGACAAATGAATCAATGAAGATGAAGCTGGAGAAGTGTGGAGACTGAAGTAAGATCACAATGAAGATGAAGCTGGAAATGGTGGAGAAGAAAAATCTTGGAGAAGAAAGAGAAGTTTGGAGCTGAAATTAAGATGGAACAGAACAGTGAACTTAAGGATAAGGTGGATATGTTGGAAGAACAGAACAGTGAACTTAAGGATAAGGTGGATATGTTGGAAGAACAGAACAGTGAACTTAAGGATAAGATGAATATATTAGAGGAGCAGAATAGTGAACTTAAGGATAAGATGGATATGTTAGAGGAACAAAACAGTGAACCTAACGATAAGGTGGATATGTTAGAGGAAAAGAACAGTGAACTTAAGGATAAGGTGGATATGTTAGAGAAGCAGTACAGTGAACTTAAGGACAAGGTGGATATGTTAGAGGAACAGAGTAGTGAACCTAAGGATAAGGTGGATGTGTTAAAGGAACAGAGCAGTGAACTTAAGGACAAGGTGGATATGTTAGAGGAACAGAACAGTGAACTTAAGGACAAGGTTGATATGTTAGAGGAACAGAACAGTGAACCTAAGGATAAGGTGGATATGTTAGAGGAAAAGAACAGTGAACTTAAAGATAAGGTGGATATGTTAGAGAAGCAGTACAGTGAACTTAAGAACAAGGTGGATATGTTAGAGGAACAGAGTAGTGAACCTAAGGATAAGGTGGATGTGTTAAAGGAACAGAGCAGTGAACTTAAGGACAAGGTGGATATGTTAGAAAAGCAGAACGGTGAACCTAAGGATAAGGTGGATACGTTAGAGGGACAGACCAGTGAACCTAAGGACAAGGTGAATGTGTTAGAGGAACAGACCAGTGAACCTAAGGATAAGGTGGATACGTTAGAGGGACAGACCAGTGAACCTAAGGACAAGGTGAATGTGTTAGAGGAACAGACCAGTGAACCTAAGGATAAGGTGGTTATGTTAGAAGAACAGAACACTGAACCTAAGGATATGGTGGATATGTTAATGGAACAGACCAGTGAACCTAAGGACAAGGTGAATGTGTTAGAGGAACAGAACAGTGAACTTAAGGACAAAGTGGATATGTTAGAGGAACAGACCAGTGAACCTAAGGACAACGTGGATATGTTAGAGGAACAGACCAGTGAATCTAAGGACAAGGTGAATATGTTAGAAGAACAGACCAGTGAACCTAAGGATAAGGAGGATATGTTTGAAGAACAGAACAGTGAACCTAAGGATATGGTGGATATGTTAAAGGAACAGCACAGTGAACTTAATGATAATGTGGATATGTTAGAAGAACAGAACAGTGAACCTAAGGAAAAGGTGGATATGTTAGAGGAACAGACCAGTGAACCTAAGGACAAGGTGGATATGTTAGAAGAACAGACCAGTGAACCTAAGGACAAGGTGGATATGTTAGAAGAACAGAACAGTGAATCTAAGGACAAGGTGGATACGTTAGAGGAACAGACCGGTGAACCTAAGGACAAGGTGGATATGTTAGAGGATCAAACCAGTGAACCTATGGACAAGGTGGATATGTTAGAAGAACAGAATAGTGAACCTAAGGACAAGGTGGATATGTTAGAAGAACAGACCAGTGAACCTAAGGACAAGGTGGATATGTTAGAAGAACAGAACAGTGAACCTAAGGACAAGGTGGATTTGTTAGAGGAACAGACCAGTGAACCTAAGGATAAGGTGGATACGTTAGAAGAACAGAACAGTGAACCTAAGAACAAGGTGGATATGTTAGAGGAACAGACCAGTGAACCTAAGGACAAAGTGGATATGTTAGAAGAACAGAACAGTGAATCTAAGGACAAGGTGGATACGTTAGAGGAACAGACCGGTGAACCTAAGGACATGGTGGATACGTTAGAGGAACAGAACAGTGAATCTAAGGACAAGGTGAATATGTTAGAGGATCAGACCAGTGAACCTAAGGAAAAGGTGGATATGTTAGAGGAACAGACCAGTGAACTTAAGGACAAGGTGGATATGTTAGAAGAACAGACCAGTGAACCTAAGGACAAAGTGGATATGCTAGAGGAACAGACCAGTGAACCTAAGGACAAAGTGGATATGTTAGAGGAACAGAACAGTGAACCTAAGGACAAGGTGAATATGTTAGAAGAACAGAACAGTGAACCTAAGGACAAGGTGGATATGTTAGAAGAACAGAACAGTGAACCTAAGGACAAGGTGGATATGTTAGAAGAACAGACCAGTGAACCTAAGGACAAGGTGGATATGTTAGAAGAACAGAACAGTGAATCTAAGGACAAGGTGGATACGTTAGAGGAACAGACCGGTGAACCTAAGGACAAGGTGGATATGTTAGAGGATCAAACCAGTGAACCTATGGACAAGGTGGATATGTTAGAAGAACAGAATAGTGAACCTAAGGACAAGGTGGATATGTTAGAAGAACAGACCAATGAACCTAAGGACAAGGTGGATATGTTAGAAGAACAGAACAGTGAACCTAAGGACAAGGTGGATTTGTTAGAGGAACAGACCAGTGAACTTAAGGATAAGGTGGATACGTTAGAAGAACAGAACAGTGAACCTAAGAACAAGGTGGATATGTTAGAGGAACAGACCAGTGAACCTAAGGACAAAGTGGATATGTTAGAAGAACAGAACAGTGAATCTAAGGACAAGGTGGATACGTTAGAGGAACAGACCGGTGAACCTAAGGACATGGTGGATACGTTAGAGGAACAGAACAGTGAACCTAAGGACAAAGTGGATATGTTAGAGGAACAGACCAGTGAACCTAAGGACAAGGTGGATATGTTAGAAGAACAGACCAGTGAACCTAAGGACAAAGTGGATATGTTAGAGGAACAGACCAGTGAACCTAAGGACAAAGTGGATATGTTAGAAGAACAGAACAGTGAATCTAAGGACAAGGTGGATACGTTAGAGGAACAGACCGGTGAACCTAAGGACATGGTGGATACGTTAGAGGAACAGAACAGTGAACCTAAGGACAAAGTGGATATGTTAGAAGAACAGACCAGTGAACCTAAGGACAAAGTGGATATGTTAGAGGAACAGACCAGTGAACCTAAGGTGGATACGTTAGAAGAACAGAACAGTGAATCTAAGGACAAGGTGGATATGTTAGAGGAACAGAATAGTGAACCTAAGGACAAGGTGAATATGTTAGAAGAACAGAACAGTGAATCTAAGGACAAAGTGGATACGTTAGAAGAACAGACCAGTGAACCTAAGGACAAAGTGGATATGCTAGAGGAACAGACCAGTGAACCTAAGGACAAAGTGGATATGTTAGAGGAACAGAACAGTGAACCTAAGGACAAGGTGAATATGTTAGAAGAACAGAACAGTGAACCTAAGGACAAGGTGGATATGTTAGAAGAACAGAACAGTGAATCTAAGGACAAGGTGAATATGTTAGAGGAACAGAACAGTGAATCTAAGGACAAGGTGGATATGTTAGAGGAACAGAACAGTGAATCTAAGGATAAGGTGGATATGTTAGAAGAACAGAACAGTGAACCTAAGGATATGGTGGATATGTTAAAGGAACAGCACAGTGAACTTAATGATAATGTGGATATGTTAGAAGAACAGAACAGTGAACCTAAGGAAAAGGTGGATATGTTAGAGGAACAGACCAGTGAACCTAAGGACAAAGTGGATATGTTAGAGGAACAGACCAGTGAACCTAAGGACAAAGTGGATATGTTAGAGGAACAGAGCTGTGAACCTAAGGACAAGGTGGATATGTTAGAGGAACAGACCAGTGAACCTAAGGACAAGGTGAATATGTTAGAAGAACAGAACAGTGAATCTATGGACAAGGTGAATACGTTAGAGGAACAAAACAGTGAACCTAAAGACAAGGTGGATATGTTAAAGGAACAGAGCAGTGAACCTATGGACAAGGTGGATATGTTAGAGGAACAGACCAGTGAATCTAAGGACAAGGTGGATATGTTAGAGGATCAGACCAGTGAACCTAAGGACCAGGTGGATGCGTTAGAGGAACAGACCAGTGAACCTAAGGACAAAGTGGATATGATAGAGCAACAGACCAGTGAACCTAAGAACAAGGTGGATATGTTAGAAGAACAGAACAGTGAATCTAAGGACAAGGTGGATATGTTAGAGGAACAGAACAGTGAATCTAAGGACAAGGTGGATATGTTAGAGGAACAGAACAGTGAATCTAAGGACGAGGTGGATATGATAGAGCAACAGACCAGTGAACCTAAGAACAAGGTGGATATGTTAGAAGAACAGAACAGTGAATCTAAGGACAAGGTGAATATGTTAGAGGAACAGAACAGTGAATCTAAGGACAAGGTGGATATGTTAGAGGAACAGAACAGTGAATCTAAGGACGAGGTGGATATGTTAGAGGAACAGACCAGTGAACCTAAGAACAAAGTGGATATGTTAGAGGAACAGACCAGTGAACCTAAGGACAAAGTGGATATGTTAGAGGAACAGACCAGTGAACCTAAGGACAAAGTGGATATGTTAGAGGAACAGAGCTGTGAACCTAAGGACAAGGTGGATATGTTAGAGGAACAGACCAGTGAACCTAAGGACAAGGTGAATATGTTAGAAGAACAGAACAGTGAATCTATGGACAAGGTGAATACGTTAGAGGAACAGAACAGTGAACCTAAAGACAAGGTGGATATGTTAAAGGAACAGAGCAGTGAACCTATGGACAAGGTGGATATGTTAGAGGAACAGACCAGTGAATCTAAGGACAAGGTGGATATGTTAGAGGATCAGACCAGTGAACCTAAGGACCAGGTGGATGCGTTAGAGGAACAGACCAGTGAACCTAAGGACAAAGTGGATATGATAGAGCAACAGACCAGTGAACCTAAGAACAAGGTGGATATGTTAGAAGAACAGAACAGTGAACCTAAGGATAAGGTGGATATGTTAGAGGAACAGACCAGTGAACTTAAGGATAAGGTGGATATGTTAGAGGAACAGACCAGTGAACTTAAGGTCAAGGTAGATATGTTAGAGGAACAGAACAGTGAACCTGAGGATAAGGGGATATGTTAGAGGAACAGAACAGTGAACTTAAAGATAAGGTGGATATGTTAGAGGAGCAGAACAGTGAACTTAAGGACAAGGTGGGTATGTTAATGGATTTTCAGAAGCATATACACAAATTGTTTGGACAGCACGATGCTGATAAATCAGGTATGCAAGAAAATATCCAACATGAAAGAACTACATTGGAAAGTGTTGTGAAGAATCTTGTTGACGAAATCGTTCGACTGAATGAGGAGAAAAATGAAACAATCAGGGAATATAGTGTTGAGAAAGAAAATCTTCAAATTTCATTTGACAATGAAAGAAAAGACTTAATGACGAGTAAGGAGAAAATGAGGATTGAAGTGGAAGAGGAATTAAAAAAAAAGTTTCAGGATGATATGGAAGAGGCAGGAAAAGAAATTAGAACAAAAGAAACGTCGCTTCAAGAGGATTTAATTAAAATGAAGACAGATAATATTGAATTGGTTTGTTAAATCATAATAGCCACAAAATGATCTCTTTGTTTCACGAGTATTCAGGTCTAGTCATTGGCGTTTTTTATACTTACCGTCTTTTTGTTTAGGCATCAAAACTTTCAGAAGTAAGAGAGGAAATAAAAAATAAATGGATTGAATATGCGAATTCCACTGTTCAACAAAACCGTGCTCATGACGCGCACATTGTGAATGATTTGAACGTTGAGATAAATGAAGAGAGAAAAAGTTTTTATGAAATACTATCATCGTTAAGGATGGAAATGGAGAAATTACAAAAGAAACATTGGCATATCGTTGATGAAATGTCTGTGAAACAAAAAAATCTCGAAAAACAGGTTAGAACTGTGGATATGAAACTTCATGTTGAAGACCATATTTCGTGATTTTTGTGTAAGCGCTATACGCTATTAATTTGCCGCTCAACTTGCGCAGTAAACAGACACACGATTGACTTCCTGCATAGATATTCTTTTTATAATCTTCTGTCGGTTAGTTTGAATCTATCAAGAAGGACAACAGTCTCTCTGTTCCAGCCACTGATGATTGATGGCTTCTGCTCTAGCTTAGTGTTCAATTAATCCCGTATAACTCTAACAGAAAAATGATTGGAGATAATCTTCTGTCTTCTGTAGATAAATCCTTTGTTTTAAACGTAATAATCATATTTAGTCATGTTTCCATAATATTAAGATTGTCGTCATTTACGAGAAGTTAAGCGCAGAATTCCAAGAGAAAATGAATTCAGAGAAATTGCAAATGGAAAGTAAATTAAAAGAGCTTTATGAAGAAAATGCAATGTTAAATAATCAGAAACAAGAGTTGATAAGGAGTATGGGAAAGGAGAAACTTGAATTGAGACAAAAATATGAACGTGAAAAAGAAGATTTAGCCGAAAAATATCGTGATGTATTGAAAACATTGAAGAAGACTGTCGAGGAAGCGGTGAGCATGATTGACGTTAGTTTTATTTAATATCAGCTTTATACAGAAGTTTAATGTTCAGATTTCTTTCTTTTCTAGCAAAAAAAGCAACTTCAATCACAAACACAGATGTTTGATGAACTACGCCAAAAAGTACGCGACAGAGACTCGACAATTCAACAATACCAAGTATTTTTTCAAGAATTGAAGAAAGAAGCTGAATTGTTACAGGAGGATTCAGACGCAAGTTTTTGATGAAGAAAGGTTACACTGCTTTCCTTGAAAACATCTTTCAGGGCGCTAGGACCTCTCCATGTCAAAAAATTTTTTATTATATGCATGCCGATAATAGTTAATAACATAACATTAAATAATGTAAGAATAAACAAATGATGTAATTTATGGTTCGATTTATGGTATAATTTATGGTGTAATGTATCATGTATGGTATAATTTATGGTATAATTTATGGTGTAATTTATGGTAAAATTGATGGTAAGATTGATGTGGTAGTCATTTGCTCAAAATACTCAGCATCACAGAAAAATTGAAATAAGAGTTTAAGTTCTTTGAAAAGATGGAGGAAAAACATGGAGTATTTTGATGAAAGAGAAAAAACCCTTGGCTTTATATTCCGGTATTCATGTTTTGGGGACGAAAGCCAGCACAGAATGTCTTCAATGTATACTGTTACAAAGATTTAGATTTTAGTTTTATTTTTCAAATGATTGGTATGTATTGGCACATTTGTTTTTAAAACACTGAGAAAGGTATAATCACTATGTGGGTCGTTTCAAAATAGTTTTATTCCGTATATCTTCGCACAACAAACAACATTTATCCAGAGATAATAATTAACATTTTATTTGCTCGCCGATCACCCAACGATGATTCGCCATCCGTCTGCGCATGCGTACGATTTTTGAATCCAAAGTTGCCGCCTCGTTTTTATCCCGCACGTCAGCATCCAAACGTAATTTGGTTAACTTGAGCAAGCCAAGGTTACGACTAGTCGCGTTGAGTGAATCGAGGAGACCATCGTTACCTGATAAAAGATCTCTTGCCTCTGTCAACTGGTTACCAGGATGTCTTTGAAAGACACGGACAAGGGGGCGGTCAAGCTTTTCACGTATTGTTAGATCTGAATAGGCAACTGGACCCTGGAATTTATTGCATCATTAGAAATTATTTATGAAGAAGTTGTTTCATTTTAACGACAAAAAGAACATGAATTGACTTTACCAATGCATTGCCCATTGAAAGTTCTGTTGAATCAAACCACCTCTGTCCTTTATTGATGGCCATTTTTGCTTGACCAGAGCTGACTTGCAAGTGTTGCTAAAAAACAAGGGCATTTTCTGTAAGGTTTTGTTCAATAGTGAATTGATATCCTTTGGCACGACTAAAAATATTCCTCGTACCTTAATATTGACAGTTTCTGCAACTTTTTTAGTGAGACCATGATTAACAGAAAGATGAGTTGATTGTTGCAATTGGTTCGCCTCTTCCATTGCATCATTGACAGTTTTTCTGATTGAGGCTGATGATTCTCGGGCAAGCTGTGCGTTTGACATCGAGCTCGCTGTTTCCGGTGTATATGGACCTAAATATTCCACTGGAGGAGTTTTGGGTGTTACGAAGTTCTGATCTTTACTTCGATGTGGAGAGCCTTTCACAGAACTGACAGCTTGACATGTTAAATCGGTAGCTCGTGACCTTTCATGTATAACATCTGACAGTCGTTTACGACAGCTGTCTAGAGTTTGAAGTTGATTTTGGACTGAATGTAAATGGCTCTCAAACGTACGTTTCAGACGTAAGAGTCTTTGACGTTCATTAGTAAGCAAGTTATCTGCGCCATCTTGTAACTAGAAATATAAGGTCACCATCTAATGAAAGGTCATTTTTTGTGTAAAATTTAGCAAATTAAAAATAGTTTGTGCTAAATTGAGAAGTTCACAAAACATTAAAAAATATTGCGCACTTAGACTGTACTAGAGAATTGCAATATTTTGATCCGACTTTGCACAAATAAAAACGCGTTGGTCCGCGGTGTTTTTTTGTAGAACTATCTTTAGCGTTGTTATGACTTTCATATTTTCGACTCATTATTTAGACAGACCTAGAATTCTGACGCGTTACCTTGACTACATGTATCATGTATGCTGTGTAAAATAAGCTGACTTCAGAAAACTACAGATCATTTTAAACTGATCAAAATTTAAAGAACAAAAGAGACACTCATACAAAAATTGTTTATTCGATACTTGCCTGATTTGCGCGAAAAGAAATCGTTAAAACAATAACATATTCTACGTTATTGACACCCAAGCGAAAAGAAAGACACAATTTACCATTTGATTAGCAACATGAAAATGAAACACTTACTCTCTCTCTGGGCGGTCTTGTTGCTCTTACTTCGCAAGATCGTTTGTTGAGCAGTAAGTCTTTCCTTATGTGTTCCAATGCTCGTTCCACGTGCTCCTTGCAACGCGTCATCGTCTTAATTTCTTTGTTCGTATCCAAAAGACTTTCGCGTAATTTTACAACAATTGCTCTTGTCGCTCGGACATAAGAATGAATCCTTGCATTGCTCTGTTGGATGCAGTTGTCACGCAGACTTGGTAAAGGATCTAATTGTTTACTCAGTTCACATATCTGTTCGTTGCGGTTTGTAACAGCTTTGCCCAATTGAAGATTTTTTATGCTTGATTTCTTCCAAGAAGCAGAGCCGATTGTTGTCCTTGTGACTTCCATGGTTTTCTTTTTGATAAGATTGTTTGCCTCACGATGTACAAATGTGCTTGGAAAGAAAGAACGCTTCTGAAATCTATTTTTTTTATGACGAAATCTTGTTGATTGATTATGTTGTCATGGTAATTGAAAATCCCTCGTGCTCGCGCCAACTGATTATTGCTAATTGCTCTTATTGCCTGGATTGTATTGGCTGAGAATGTTTTAAAGGCTTTTCCCTGTTCCATAAAATTAAAAGGGGAAATTTTATGTATGTTGCGATTCTCATAATCCACGAAGAATCATATATTCAAATTGTTACATTGAAACGTGTATGGAATCTCGCAGTTGTTTGTGAAAATTTCTACGAAATTCTAATTACAATCAAATCTTTAGATTAATTTTACATGAAGTATCATATGAAAACAACAAAATGGCTTCTGATTCAGAGAAAGAAAAGTATAAACTAGCGCTCGTGGCAACTAGAGATATACGAAATTTGGTAAATAATGTATTTGAAAATGCCATCAAAGACTTCTCTGCGGATAAGACAAAGTTAAAGGAAACTTTGCTAAAGCTAGAAAAAAAATTAAGGTACAGATATACCCAACCCGTCCAACCATCTTTAGCCGAATTTTCGTCTTCTAAACTCGGTGCTTTGTCTCTGTGCTTTACAGTGATCTTGAAAAAATTGGTGTTTCATTGAAAAAAATGGATAACAAGCCGACAATTTTGGGTAAAAGTGGTTTACTTTGGTCAGATCCAATTCAAGATAAGACACCTTTGTATGACCAACTTATGCAAACTTATTCTTGGACACAACAGGTTGGAGAACAGTTGGGTGTTTGTAATCGTTTTCGGTATCATGAATTTTTCAATTTTTATGTTAAATTGCAGCTTAAGTCTCAAGCAAAGACTGCTTCATTGTGTTTGAAAAGAAAACTTTCGCTTGACGTCAACGAGATAGCTTTGAAAAAACCTGTGAAAGAGGATGTTTTGGTTTCTCAAAGGTATGTATGTTTTTTGTATTATTTTTGTATTGACAATTTTTCTTTATTATTTTCTTACTTTACAGCACACTTGCGACATTTGTTGATCAATTAAAGAAATCATTTCCAAAGTTAACGATACGCTGGAACAAAATTGCCGGAGTCTCGCTTCTTGAAGTGATTTGACATGAATACAAATGTTTTGCTGCTGCATAATGTAGAAAATTTAATTAACAAAATCTCTTTTTGTTGTGTAGGTATGTGTAAAACCAATTTTGTTTGCCATTGTAATTCTTCGTGGATGTACTGTGGATCGAGTCACAATCAAAGGCATTCATGAAACTTCTGCGGACAAAGTATGTAACATATTCTATTTTTTTCATTTCATTACATATTTTGTTATATCTGAAGATGATTTTGATATTTTAATCCACAGGATGAGTTCATGCAGTGCTCAAAGTACAAGATATTTAATAAAGTACGTTGTTTTTTTTCTTCCTTTAGCCCGTTTCTTACAGAAAAAAATCTTTTTTTCATTTTTTTTAAACAGATGACAGATATTGCTAATGCTTCATCATTTTACTACAGTCGACATGGCAACACAAGTGAATCATTATATAAATTAATTGTATGTAATTCTTGTTTTGGATTTCATATATGTTCATTATCCATGAAATTATGTTATTGCACTTTAGAATTGGTTGTCGTATTATGACAAGCTGTTCATGGTCAAGTGTAGAAAATGCAAAAAATACTTACAGAAAGAGGCTGACAATATCCTACCTCCTTGTTGGCTGGACTATGAAACATTTCAATTTTATCATATGCAATGTCGACCACCATCTAGTTAATACTTTTATGAAGTGGAGTCTCTTTGAAAATACATCATTTCAGTATATTACAGAAAACGTTATTACTAGATTCCGTCTGTTTAGCCAGTAAAGTGAATAGTACAGTCTTGAAAAGACTGTTGGTTTAGATTTTGACTGACATTTTGACAGTCTTGGCCATTTGACATCTTCAGAATCAAGTGATGAGCAAATGTCAGGTTTTGTGTATTAGCTCTATGGTTCATATGTCACCATAATTTGTGTAAAGGAATTGTGTGGGTTTGTGGGTGTCAATTGTGTATTGTCATTGTGTATTGTTCTGAAGTAATTTGCTTCTGAGAAATGTAAACTTTCGTGGCAGCACTTTGATGGCAAAGCATTGTATGATGTGGAAAAAATGTGAAGTTTGCAGTTTTGTGTATTACTTTGAGGAAATTAATTCTTACTGGACTGCATTTTATTGCTAAATCGGTAATTCTTTCGTGGATATTTTGACTGCATTTTAACGCCACCTTTTACTAGATGATAACCAGTTGAAGTTATCATCTTACAAACATACCGTACAAGACTGTACTAAGCATGAATTGTGTTGAAAATGGGAAGCGTACCTTGACTTTCGTCACTGGAAATGCTAACAAACTTAAAGAGGTAAAGAAAACGTTGTCAATTGTTCAATATCGAAGTATTGTACGTTTTACTGTTTGCGTTAAAGTTCTAGCCAAACAACTAGATATTTTCCATCAGGTGCAGTCAATGTTGGGAGAACAATTTCCATGGAATTTAATTGCAAAAAATATAGATTGTAAGTGTTATACTCATAGACAGAATATTTATATCAAAGTATTTGAACTTAGAACCGAATTGCGTATATATTTATGTAGTGCCAGAGTTCCAAGGTGAACCAGATGAAATTTCTATTGAGAAATGTAAAATTGCAGCCAAGGAGGTGATAAAGCTTTGCGTACATGCCTAATATGATCATATGTAAAGTTATTGCACTTTCTAACATTATTTAGATTAAAGGTCCGGTCATTGTTGAAGATACATGTTTATGTTTTAATGCATTGGGTGGCTTACCAGGTCCATATATGTACGTATGTGTATGTATGTGTACGTATCTGTAAACTAAACTGAAGTCTTCTTTTTATTATATATTTTACCATTTTATTATTGTCATCCCCCCAACATTTCCAGAAAATGGTTTCTTAAGAAATTAAAACCTGAAGGTAAGATGCCAGGTTGTTTTGTACCATACTTAAACATGTGCTTATTTATAATTTTTATGAAGGTTTACATCGCCTGTTGACTGGTTGGGAAGACAAGTCTGCTTATGCTATGTGCACATTTGCATTCTCAAATGGTGACATGGAAAAACCTGTTGAACTATTCACTGGAAAAACAAATGTATTTATTCGTACATAATAATGACACATAAATAAATGCTAGTAAATATAGCTATGAAAAACTCTTCTAGGGAACAATAGTGGAACCAAGAGGACCAAGAACATTTGGATGGGATCCTTGTTTTCAACCTCATGGCTTTGAAAAGACGTAAGTGCATAGATGCAGAACAAGTTTTATTTTCAAGCATGTTTCAATGTTCAGTTTGGTGCATCTAGATTTGCTGAAATGGATTTGGAGAAAAAGAACGAAATATCGCATCGAGGGAAAGCGTTGAAAGCTTTAAAAGAATTTCTCGAAGAGCTGCACATACCAACTGTAAAAAAGTTAAAAAACCGAAATAAATGATGAATTATTATAATCTTTGAGCTATAATTGTTGTCCATTTGAGTGATGGAAAAACGCGTGGGAAAATTCTGGGAAAGTTCATTGTTTGAGTGATTGTAATATACTGAAAATGACTTTTAAATTGTTCAAAATGTGAATTACTTTACCACTTTAAGGAACAATTATATAGAACGGCTACGGTTATTATATAGAAACGGTAAGTTTAACTCAAGAAAAGAAGTTGTGTTATTTTTGTATGACCTTTCATCTTACCATTTTAAAAGCGCCAATTTTATCTTAATTCAAACTTTAGATGTCTCAGATAGACAAAATTCAAGTCGAAGGAATTCGCAGCTACTGTGAACCAGCCGTAGTTGAGTTTTTTACACCTCTCACGTTAATTGTTGGAACAAACGGAGCTGGAAAAACGGTTGGTAAACTTGCATAGTACCACGAGTTATGATAACGTGAATATTATCAATTGTTATTGATCATTGAACTATTCTAATTTAACAGACGATTATTGAAGCTTTGAATTACATAACAACTGGCGATATGCCACCTAACAGCAAAGGTGCTGCATTTGTTTGTGATCCTAAAGTAAGTTAAGCATTTTGTCCTAGTTAAGGACAGGGTCACTGGTCACATGGATGGATTTAGGAGAGTGGTGTGCACCTTCTTCTAGCCTTGAGTGGATGGTGTGCTGAAGGGGTGGGAAATTCCCTACAAAATCCCCCAATCACACTAAAAAGCAACAGAATTTAACAAAAAAGTGTCAGCAACAAGTAGCAACCTAAATCTTTGTGATTCAAACTAGAGCACCTTTCCCCTCTCCTCCTACTATTAAAACCATTTTAGATGGGTTTGATGAGAAAATTTGTATCATTTTGTAATACAGGTGGTCGGTGAACAAGAGGTTAAAGGACAAGTAAAGTTGATGTTTAGGGATATAAGTGGACATAGAATGATTGTTACAAGATCCCTTGTATCTACCCAGAAGGTAATTTCTTTGCATTTTCATCCAATTTGTCTTTATGTAATTTATAAACAATGTGTTTTTTTATAGCAAAAGAAAATTGAATGCAAATCTATTGAGAATGTTATCAAAAGAAAAGTGAATGATGATGTAAAGAATACTTTGAATTAAGATAGAAATTTTATGTTTTCTGATGAAGAAATGATTTTTGTGTGGTAACTGCACTCAATCGTCTTAGAATACTGTTTATTTTTACAACTCAAGGTTAAAATTTATTTTTAAGCCATCACTTGACAACCTCTATTCAAATGATCTTTTAAAATAACAATCATGATATCTTTCTCTAGTGGCGAAGTATCAGCTCAAGATGTACAGACATTAACAGAGAGGTAAAGTTTGTATTCTTGTCTTGAGAAAGAATTAAAGTATGGTAATATGTTACATGGAAATGCAAAATGACTCATCAAAGCTTTTAACTTAAGATGATATCGCTGCTTGGTGTGTCGAAACCAGTGCTAGACTGTGTTATATTTTGCCATCAAGAAGATTCACTTTGGTATTCTATTTCTTCATAATATCCAAAGTGCTTCTGTAATAATGCAATGAACTTATTTGAAACTAGACTTCTGCATTGTATCTTTAGGCCTCTAAGTGAAGGAAAAGCTCTCAAAACAAAATTTGATGATATATTTTCTGCTACAAAGTAAATATTTAGTTAATTTCTATACTAATGTATTCATTTGCAATGTATTTATGAAGGGCTTTTTCATATTTTTTTAGATATATCAAAGCATTAGAGGCAATACGTAAGTTTCGTAAAGAGCAAAGTAATGAGCTGAAAGTATTTAACACGCAACTGGAGTATTTGAAGGAAAATAAATTTAAAGCAAACGAGGTATAGATGACCAAATTTTCATGCATGCAAGTCCTCCCAAAAAAACACAAATTTTTGTTTAATGTGGAGTATGCATACAATTTATGCAATTGTTTTGCATTTCTAAGATTTCTCAAAACTTGGAAAGGACCAAAGAACTGCTTGAAAAAAAAGAACAAGAAATTGATGACATTGTTAACTCAATGATGCCTGTTGAAGTGAGCCTCGTACATTGACAATGTTATATTTTGGTTGAACACATTTTGTTTTTTCTCACATGTTTCATGTTTCTAGTCTAGATTAATTGAACTCTCGAAAATTCAGCAATCTATTAATGAGCTCGAAAGGCGTTTAGGTAAAATGATTTATAATGAATTTTAAGACATTGGTTGTTATTATACATATGCAAGTTGTGCAATCTGTTCATGTTCTTTGTTTATTGTTAAGATTCTCATTTGTCCACGAAGAAATCAATTGTGGAAGTTAATAAAGATATAGGAGGAAAAATCTCGAAGTTCTTTCAAGGTATAGCAGTAATTAATTATTTAATTTGCAAGAAAACAACATCTAAAATTTTATCACAATTACAACAGGAACTAGAGAAGAACTTGAGAAATTGCAAGAAATTTTGAAGGACAGCTAAAACAGAAAGAAAATGAACTCACGAATGTAATGTATTTTTATAGTTCAGGTCATTAAATTGTCTAAATGGCCATTCATTTTTGAGAGATGTGAAGTTATATGATGTTTAGTAAGTTGTAACAAATTATTGAATTTTTCAGCTGGAAGAGAAAATTCAACAAAAAGATGTAAAGTGTTCTGCTCTAAATTCTAAGAAAAATAAGATTCTAGTAAATCGTGGCAAGTTGCAAGAAGAATTTGATGTATGTGTGTGTAGCAATCAACGAAAAGAAAGCTAGACATTGCTTTTTTTTGTTAGATGAATCAATGACTTTAGACTTTATATTGTTTTAGAGGCACAAGCAAAACATAGAACAGCGAGATTTCATGATTGTTGAGCAATCTAAATCTTTGCAACTTAAAGGTTAGCAAGAATGTTTGCAAATTTGTGTGATGATGATTTAACTTTTTAGTTGTGTTGATGCATCATGTTAATTTAACATTTTGGTTGTGTTGATGCACTGTGTATTTTGTAAAATTTAGGTTTCGAGTCTTCGCCATTCTCTGATGAACAAATTTCGAGTTTTAAGGAAAAAGCCAGAGAATGCTATCAGAAAATAAAAACGGAGGGCATAGAGTTAAAGGTCTGGTGTTGGTTTTAATTCTCATGCGTAATAACTGGAATTGATGAAGATTTTCCCCTTTGTTTGCAGGAAAAATATCAGCGACGTATTCAGTCAGCTCAAAGCAAAATTGATGATAAAAAGAAGTCACTTTACCAGTTTGAAGAAACAATCAGAGTTAAAAATGATATGCTTGTAAGTTTCTGTGTTTGAGATTTTTTCCTCAATGCACTGAGATGACTTCAATGCACTGAGATGTTGGGCAGCTAACTTTTATATTTAAACGTACAGCTACCTAAATGTTTATCTTCTCGCAGACTGAAAATCAGAAGAAACTACAAAAAATTCGTCAAGATCTGAGCAACGTCAGTACTTCTGAAATAAAAGTACAGAGAATTGGTAAAGATTTAATCGCCGCTGTAAGTTTCCTTAAGTGCGATATTCCCATATCAAGTATAAGGCCAGTCGTTACACCGTGTTCTTGTTCTTTATTAATATTATGCTTTAAAACTTTCCCTTTATACACGTAGGAGAGAGAATTGGAGGATACCAAAGCTGCTGGTAACACTGGAGAATGGAAGACTGAGGTTGAAAAGTCGCAAGGAGAAAAACGTCAGGTCGAAGCAGAGTTAATGCGTTTACGCGAAGAGCAGCAAATGATGCATCTCAACTCATCGATTCAAGCAGAATTGGATATAAAAAGAAAGGAAAGAGATTTGAAAGAAGATGCCATTAAAGAAGTGTTAGTAGGAAGTTTGAAGTTTGTCTTGTTACCTATGTACGTATTAATATTCCCGCGCGTATATTTCAGGAATTACAAACATGAGGAAGAGTTGAAGTCTTACTTGGTTCCATTGGTCCTACAGATAACCTGAAAAACAGGCTAAACGAGTTCCTAAAGAAGAAAAGATCGGAGATAAGCGATACAAATGGAAAAATTCAAACATTGAAACAAAAACAATCTTCTAAACTTGCCGAGAAGAGAATTATCCAGTATGAAAAAATAAATGCTTTGACATTAAGAACAAGCGACCTAGTGTCATTGCATTTGTCACTTTCCGTTTAGAAAACATGTTGAAAATTTGACTAAAGAGAAAGATGGATATGAAAGAAACCTCAAAGAGGCTTGTGGTAACGAAAAATATGAAAATAAGAAAAAGAATCTCTATGACCGTATAGAAGAAGCGAAAAGGTAAATTGAAAATTGGCTGGTCATATTTAGTGCGAAGTTTCCACGGAGTTTCCATATGAAATCACTGTTTATTGTATCGTCCAACTTCCATTTGTTAATTAATAATAAAATATTTCTAATACTGTCCTCATTTCAATTAACTGTTAGTCATTTATCTCTATTTATATATTTTAAGTATCACATTCTGTAACACATTCATTTACACTGATGATGGCATAAGTTTGCCGAAACATGTCTGTAATAAAAAGTTTTTCTCTAGATTCAATGTTTTATTTCGATTGTGCGTCTACCTAAATATGGAAATATTTATTTGTAATAGTCATTTTTACATCTGCTCAAAAAAGTGGATGATTGGATTTAGAGAGAGAGAGAACGAGGGAAAGACCTAATAAGCTTTGTTTCTCTTTTCAGCAAATGTAGTCAACTAACGGCATTTGAAACAATTTACAAAAAGTATGTCACAACAATGGAGGACAAGAAGAAAGACCCATGCTGTCCTCTGTGTCATCGACAATTCAACACCTTACAGGAAATGCAAAATCTTGTTACCGAAGTAAGTCATCCCATTTTTCTGTTTACCTACTACTCCCAAGCACAATTCTGACAGAACCTTAAGATTGTACGTATATTCGTGTTTAGTTAAAAGAAAAAATCGGTCGAGTTCCTGACAAGATGGCTACACAAATGGCAGAACTGGAAAATGATGAAAAAGTCTACGAAAACTTGCAGAAATTACAATTTGATAAAGATAACGTTGGTTTGAGTTTTTGTTCAATGTGGTTTGAGAAATTACATTTAAAAATATTGTCTTGGTTCTCATGTTCCAGCTCGAGGATATTGAAAATAAAAAGTTACCTTTGGAGAAAGAGAAATTAATTGCAATATCTGAGGATTGTGATGAAATTAAAAACAGCATTGAGGAGGTAAGGGCATTTCAAAAAATCGACATTATATTTTTACTTTTTTAACATATTGTGTGTGTTGTTTTGCGAGAAACAGTTTGCGAGTAAGGAAAAAGAGTTCTGCCTAGGAACTATGGAAAAATTCCCATAAATGAACCGTAAAAATTTCTCTAAAAGAATAATTGTTCAGCCATTATGATGAACTTAGTTTTTTCATAGACTCTATACCGACCCTAAAATAAATAATGTATTTATCATATACGTTAACTTATGTACTATTACTAAAATATAGGCATGTATGCGAGCTCTCAATGACACATATATTTCTTTCATTCAAATAGTAAGGCTTATTTATGTGCAACACAAGCGCAGAGCTTAAGGCGTTGCTGTTGAATTTTAGTTAATGAAGAGTGGAACACTTCAAGTACTTTTTTTTATTTTGATTATCTTTAGTTGGAAGATGTTCTTTTGGTTATCGATAATGAAGAATGTCGAGCAGCAAAAATTGAACCTGATCTCTTGATGTTGGAAGAAAATGAAAAATCATCGAAGTCTTTAGATCGAGAGATAAGACTATTGGAAAATAAGTTAGACGGAGTTGGTAAGGATTAATTAAATTGTGCTTGACAATACAATCCATTTTTACGCCATTGTAATTGTGTTGTATTGTTATAATTTGTCACTAGCCCCAGGTCGTAGCATGCAACTGGTAACGAACGAAATATCAGATTGTCAGGATAAAGTGTAAGTGTTTTTCACGATTACTAGTCAGGTACGTACGAACGTTTTTAAAAATTTTTATGTGTTTCAAAAAACAGAGATAATTTAAATCGCATCATCGAGCGTAAACGAAGTCAAATATCTAATCAAGAAAGTCGTCTGGCAAGGCTAACAAGCAATGTCAACGAACTTACATCTGAAAAGGTTTGAATAATGTTACAACGTGCTTAAAAGAAATTGCGAAATGCATCCCGTCTAATTTTTTGTAATTTATACAGCTACGGTTGAGCGGTGAGCTGCAACGAAGATCAAACTTAGAAAAACAGAAAGATGATCTTACTGTTGCTAACATGGAACACGATAGAGATGTTCGGGTATTTTAACACGATGTTACTTAAAGATAACTGATTTTTATTATACTAAAGCAAAATATGTGGTTGTCTTCGTTTGAAAAAAAAACTTCACGATGATTTTAGGAGGCAAAAAGAATTTGGAACCAATCAAGGTATTTAAATAAACAGTTATACTTTTTTATGTAAAGTTTAACCACAGAGATGTGTAGATGTGAGTACTTTGTTTCGATAGAAGACGATTGGAAGATGTTGATACAACAGTGTGCATGAAGTATTCTAAGTCAGATTTTTGTTTAAGGAAGAGTTATTTGAGCTTGAGAAAGAACGCGTATCACTTGTTAATGAACAAGACGACCAAATTGATCAAATAACTTCAAAGGTTTTGTAAAGATTGAGCAATGAATATAAAGACTTTAATTGTTATAATAAAGTTCTGTAATCCTGGTAATATTGTTTACAGATGAACGAAGTAAAGAACAATGCAGGAAAATTCAAAGAAAAAATGAATGAAATTCAGAGGTAAAAAACAGCAAAAATCACAATGTGTTTTTAGGAAACTATTGAATAACTTCATCTCTACCATTCATGTTGTATTTTTTATATACATACAAATACATTAGTTTATCCTATCTCTATATTTGTCTGTATATTTATGTACATCTTTCACAGATACATTAGTTCGCTTTTCTATCCATTTATGTGTGTATATTTATGTACATACAGATACATTAGTTCGCTTTTCTATCCATTTGTGTGTGTATATTTATGTACATACAGATATGTGGACGAAAATCGAGAAAGTTTTTTGATGCAAGTTGAAAAGGATTTGACTTTAGTAGAAGACGAAATAAATGATATGAATGAAGAAAGAGGAAATCTTCTCTTACAAATGGACAAATTAAAAGATGATCTATCTCAACAAAAGGTTTAACTTTGTTATAAAATTGATACGACCGTCGTCTTGCATGGATAGCAATATTTATTTTTCCGTTTTAGGTACGCGCTCGCGAACTTCAAGATAACATCCAATTTGTTGCAAATGAAGAAAAGATTTCAACTCTTGAACGAGAAATTAATGGCATCCGCTCAGAGCAAGAAAGTCTGGGAGATATCGATCGACTGAGCAGGTGCAGTGTTTTATTGTTTTACGGTAAATTATGTTCATGTTAGACTTCTGTTGAATGATTTTTTAGGGAACAAAATAATTTATCGCGAAGATTAGAGGAATATAAAACGCGAGTATGACTGTTATTTGTTTGTTTTCTTTTTTAATGGTTTTTATTGTCAGTCAAATATTTATAAATAGTGCTTTTATTCAAAATAACTTTATTCAATTTATACTTCAGCCTCGACTTTCCTAAATGATTTCTTTAATTTATTTCAAGAAAGCCACGTGCACCGGCGAGAGGACTGGACACGAACGTGAAATGCAAAGATACAAGCAGGATTTGAGTGGATCGTTGTACAAAGATGCCGCTAGGAAATATCATAATAAACTTATTGAAATCAAAGTGAGAGTCATTCCACCATTTAAAAATAACAAACAACACATATCACAGTCAAAGGATCTTTATTTTAGACGACTGAATTGGCGAATGATGATTTGGAGAAGTATTACAAGGCGCTGGACAGGTTCATTAGCATTCTTTTATAGTTATCAATGAAAATTTTATTACAACTGCTGGCTATTTCATTTCTTTAGAGCGATCATGAAATTTCACAGCATAAAAATGTCGGAAATCAACAAGATCATCAAAGAATATTGGATCAACACTTATAAAGGAAATGGTATAGTTATTTTCATTTGTATTTTTTTTTATATGTCGACGGCATTAAGCTGATGGATTTTTGTTTCTCGTTCAGACATCGACACCATTGAAATACGTTCAGATGAAGACTCAGATGGTTCTTTAGCAACTAGACGGAATTACAACTATAAGGCGAGTTAATGGTGTTTTCATTCAATTTTTTTTAAAATACGAACGTTGAAACAGAAATCATCACTATTTCCATATGAACTATCTCCGTTCAGGTTGTCATGTTGAAGGGTGACGTTGCTTTGGACATGCGTGGTCGTTGCAGCGCTGGACAAAAAGTTCTCGCGTCGTTGATCATAAGACTGGCACTGGCGGAAACATTTTGTCTCAACTGCGGTGTGCTGACGTTAGACGAACCGACGACTAATCTTGATGAAGAAAACATTGAGAGCCTTGCCAATCAGCTGGCCAGGTGAGATGCAACTTGAAAACTTACTAAGTTGTCAAAATGCTTATAAATTAATGTCGAGTGCTTGATTGTACTTTTCATAAAATATCTCATTTGTCAGTCATTACGTAATTTTTAAAGAATCAGAAATATTGCAAATGGCTTGGAAACTTACTTCATCACCTGCACAACCATGTTCCACTACAGTATACTTGTCCAAATGTCAGTTTACCATCTTACGTAGTTGCTATTCTGCCGTCCAAGTCTAGAAAAAACTACATGTCAATCGATGAAAATATTCATAAGAGGTTCTTCTGTGTGTTAGTATTGTTAGGACGAGGAATCCTCAGAAGAATTTTCAGTTGGTGGTCATAACTCACGATGAACATTTTGTTGAGTTACTGAGTCAGGCGGATTTTGTTGAATATTATTATCGTGTTGCTAAAGATGAAAAGTAAGCACAAACTATTGCGTAATGATCTCTTGTTCACTTTCATAGTTTCAATGTTATTTTGAATGTTCTGTCTCTAACTAACCGTTAGTGCTTTCATGTTAATCGTCAGTTATCTCTCGTTCATCTGCAGTTCTCCATGCTTACTGTGGTATTCGTTCGGTGAATTACAAAAAGTTTGGTAATTTTTGAAATAGTCTTCTTGTTTTTCAGTGGTCTCTCGAGGATTTATAAACAAAGCACATCTGGAGTAAATGAAAATGTTTGAAATGTTATAATCTTTCCTCGTTTGTGCGAAGAATATCAGTAAAATGGTATGATCTCTCTGATTGTTGATGGTGACGTTCGTTTTTGTTTAAAATTTTCTTCATATTAACAATTTTATTCATTATACACTTTATGAACAACGTTAGTTTATATTAAGGCATTGTTCATGATGTTCATATTCAAAGTTCAAGAAATTTCTGAATAAAAACAGTTTGACTCGTGCGGTTTTTCATGCCATTCTGATTTTTAGGAAAAGCTCGCTAATTATAGTGCGCAATTATTAAAACAATTAGCAATTAGAATTAATGATGTCACAAGATTTCAGATCTTTAAGCTGAGCAAATAAAGCCGAACTCAGGGATGGAATGGATTTTTTGACATCACAATGTGACGAGATAATTTTAATGATACTTTTTTGGTTGGATGGCAAATCAATCATACAGTTGGCTCAAACATGCTCAAGACTTTACAGAGTTTGTTCTTTTGACGAACAGCTTTGGTGTCGCTTATGTGGTAATGATCACGAAATTCACATAAGTACGCCACAGCCTTTTCCTAGTTTCAAAAAGCTATATATTTGTTTGTATCAGTCGAGAAAGGTTTTAATGTTTTATCTCGCGAGTGAACATGGAATTAACTGCAGGTAAAACTACATTTCACTGGATTTGTATGAATTTCAACATAATACAACGTAATTATTGTTGTGTTGTGTAGATACGGTGTATTTCCTAGCTGGCTCTGGCCTTGGATCGTCTTCAACACCAATCCCCCGCGCTTTCCAAAATGGATACGACAACACACCAATCGTTTTCTCCCTTATAAACTAAGCGAGCTGTCACTGGGGAAAGTTTTGAAAATTTGGAACCTCAAATCCAGCGATCTTCCTCACAATATTGTAGCAAGAGTTGAATATGGTACGACCTATTATCGTTGGAGGGATATTCAAGTTGCTGCCATGAGGGTACATGGTGGTGCCAAGGGATTAGGAAGGTTCATGCTAAAGAGATGTTGGAGATCACGTGGTTATTTGGATCGCGTGTTTAGATCAAGTATTCATACCACTTCTCAAACCACTTCTCAGTTATCCAATAAGAATGGAGAAAGTTCTCGTTCCGTGCAAACATCACGTACAGCTAATGATAATGCGACATTCTCGTTAATGTCAAACCAAAATTCCATTTTCTCACAACGTTCTTCCGAGGAAAATGAAAGACGAAGAACTCGTGATTTGTCATCTCGACAAAATGATCATCAAGTCCTCAGTGAACAGTCTCAAACTGCAGTCAATAATACAAGGCAATTAATCGACATCATCCACCAAATTCAGCCCGTTACCCGAAGATATGCACGTGATTCAAATGGTGAAACACGCGAATCTCCTACAGAAGACGCGCCCGGATATTCACGAGGACATAACGATACTTCACGAATCATTAACTTACAAGTATCCTCAAGTGAAAGCAGTATGGAAAGCAATCATTGAAGAGTTACAGTAGCACACAAAACTACAATCATTATATTTCGTAATTTAGAATACAGATACACGTATATCCAAAATGCAATGCCCATGCAAGTGACTAAAGTCTGGTCCAACCAAATCATCTTTTGCATTTAAGCAGAATACAACAAGCTTACTAATCCATCATTATCCATGAACGTTCAATGACCTTTATGATAATGTTCACCATTGTAGTTTTAATGCAACTTTTGAGGCAATTTCTTGTATGATTTTGCCTATGAAATAGAAGATTTATGCAGAAGTATTGAACACAAATAATCAACATTCTTTAATGTCATTCTGATCCCAGAAATGACATAAATTACCTGTGCACTCTCTGGACTACATAGTACAACTGGAGTGCCTTTGTCAGATGTTTCACAGATTGTTGTATGGAGAGGTATTTTACCTGTAAAGATGACGTCAATAAAATGTTCATTACTCTTTCATTTTTTTATCTTTGCAATGTAACATTTCACATGCAACACACCAAGTACATCCAAGTTCATTTGTTGAGCCAGTGGCTTAACTCCATCTTTACCAAAAATATATTCCTTATGGTTGCACTTTGGACAAACATAATAACTCATGTTTTCTATAATACCAAAAACCTTAAAAAAAAAGAAGTAAACCATAAAAACTAAGGTATGACTTCATATATATATATATATATACAAAGTGTATAACAATGTGCCCTCCCGGTATATATATATATATATAATGTAGAACATCATAGCTATTACTTACAGGAACATGAACTTTGTTGAACATTTCAACACCTTTGATGACGTCTGCCAATGCGACATTTTGTGGTGTTGTCACAATGATTGCTCCTAAATATTATAGACTCAGGTTTTCGTGGTTTTAATATAGCGATGTTTTTCAACATTGTATATATATACCTGTAATAGGTACAGTTTGTGATAATGAAAGATGAGTATCTCCAGTTCCTGGAGGCATGTCAACCACAAGAACATCCAACAGTCCCCAGTTTACTTGGCGAAGTAACTGTTGTAAAGCAGACATGACCATCAATCCACGCCAAATTATTGGTGATCTTTGATCAACCAAAAACCCCATAGACATACTGGTCGTACACAAAAAAAACATACATTCATTGATCTAGTTCTTTTCCATTCTAAGTTTAACATATTCATACCAGGAAATACCATAATTTCTCAATGGTTCCATCTTGTCATCTTTAAGAGAACTTAAAGTGAAGAATCTTGTCATCAATTACATGAACCTGTTGTGTTTTTCACGAACCTTTATTGAGTGTTGGTTCACCAGACAGGTTCATCATAATTGGTATTGAAGGACCATAAATATCACAGTCGAGCAAACCAATATTTTTCTCCTAAAAAAAAGAGAATCCACTACAATTCTGTACTGGAAAATTTTATCTATCTTCATCCTTTCTTACTTTATTGATAGTAGAAAGTGCAACAGCTAAATTAACAGCACAAGTTGACTTTCCTACTCCTCCTTGCCAGATGCAACCACAATAACATCTTTGACACCATTAATGGCCTCCTTCTTTGGCAAACCTCTGTGTTCTCTCTTGCCTTTTTGGTGTCATCTGTGTTTGCCATCTGGATTCCTGAGCACGGCCCTTTTTTACAGAAAAGTATCGTCATTGGTCTTTGCATCACCAACATGACAACATCAACCATTCATTTCATCTTTATAAAGTCATATGTACATACCATAACACTAGATTTGGTGAGCAGCCTTTGTTTCCTATTCAATTGTAAAATTCTACGATGATGATATAGTAAGCACCGTAAATTTGTATAAAAAACGGGAAATTCATTTATAAAACGTGCAAAATTATACATATTAATTCGTCCTTGCAATAATTATAACAAATTTCCAAATGGAAACATTTATATATATTGTATGATTAACCATGCTGTTGTCTTAGCCAATCAAACGCTTGGAATGAAACACGTGATGTATGTTACTTCGACTAGAGAAAAGAAGCGTGGTTGTGTTGTCCTTGCCCAACGTATAGAAAACGTTAGAGCAAATTTAGGTTTTATGATGCTTAATGTCGCAGATTTTTGGAGTAATTTTACAGGAAGTATGTTTTAAGCGCAAGAAATATCCCATAGAGTATAATTTACACTTGTGAGCGGTATTTCTTGCTTAAATTAAAGCAAAATTTGCCAATTCAAGAGCGCCATTTTGGATTTTCAATTTCGGTTCATAAATTATTTTTCAATCAATAAGTGCACATACACACGTAGGAATTGAAAGATTGGCATAACCTGGTGAGTATTCGGCATCATTGAAGTACTTTAAGTTGGGAACAGTAGTCTCGAAAATCGTTAGTCCATAATCTCCAAAATTCGTGATGTCTGTGGGGTAAGAGGGAGAATATCGGCTAACAAAAAATGTATTTTCAGGAGTGGTTGGGGTGTGTGATGCCCAGCACAATCGCAGAAGAGCGTGTTTGTCGATTTAAGCAATATATATTTTTGTAAAACAGTCTGTATGAGTGAATAAGGGCTAAAAAATTCGGAAAATAAAATACAATAAATTTAATTATAATACAGAGACTAGCGCTGGATGAGTGAGCCACCCGTTCTTTTCAAATGAAGAAACAAGGCAACTATGCAATTGTTTGCTATTTGTCAAATTTCACACAACAACAAAAATAAATAGTTTCATAAGCTAAAACGTTTCCTATTCAGTTCTATCTTGTAATTAAAACCAGTTAATACATGAACGGTCAAGGAATCTTGGGAGTCATTGCATTTTATTAATAAGAACGAGATAGTATTATGTCTGTTTTTTTTACTAACAAAAAAACTGATTTTTAGCAAGGTTCCATGTGAGAACTCTATATAGTAGATTTAAGTTTGATGCAGTAATAAAAATTAGGACTGAATAGTTAGGAAACATTTGCATAAAGAGACTTGCTTGCTGTGATGTTTTACTATACCTGTTCTTACAGTAAGCTGTTCCCAAGGCAGTTATTTTAATTGTCCTTGACTCATTGCCAGCTTTGCAAAGCTTTATTTCTTATGATTATGTATACCAACACTTTTTCAGGAATAGGGCTGACTTATAGTGTAGCACACTCCAAAAAATCCTTAAACCAAGAAATCAGAACAGAATAATAATGATATTATTATTGAGCTTGTTTTATACAATGTATTGTCAAACTTATTCATCATGAAGTGATGTTTTTACCAGTCTTTAGCATTGACTTTTACCTGAATATGTTGTACAATGACTCTTCATACAAAGAGTTAAAACACATTTTTTTATGTTTGGCATAAGGTTCTTTAGCTTGATGTTTCTTTCTGTCTTTTACTTCATTATGACTTCAAATTGTTCCCATTCCAAAATTATAAAATTGTCTTTGTTTATTCATGATAGGAGCAACACGAAGTTAGCAGACTAATACACTAAAAAGAAAAACTGTTGAAGCTCTTAGCTAGTTGAATTAGTTCCAGTTGCTTTATTAATGCAGGGATTTGTGGTATGTTAAATACACAAGACCTTTTATTCAATACTGTCTCAGGTCATGTCATCAAGGTTGATCATTTCTTCCTCAATTAAATAATTTATTTTGTCTTTTGTACAAAGATAATGTCCGGTGCTAGTGATCCAAGGGTCTTGCTAGATGCAATGAGCAGTATGTTGGGTGAAAATGGGGATATGAAGGGACCACAGGAGGTCTTGACTATAATAAGGTACACTAAGGAAAGTGTTCATTCACAAACAGTTGATATTTTTCATGCCTTATTTTTAAATTGTACTCTTCATATCTAGTCTATATTTTAAGTATGTTTTTTGTACATATTTCATATATATTTTTTTACTTTCAGTTTGATGAAAGATGCCGAGAAAATGCTCAGCAGATTCACATTCCTCAATATACTAAGAGCTACATTCGAGACAGGATCTGAAAAAAGAACTGCTTCAGAAACAATTCACAAGTAATTTATTGTTGATAAATGGCAAATGATTGTCACATCTCAACAGTTTAACATTAAGTTTTTTCCTTCGCAAAGATAAATAATTCAAATAATTATCTCTAGGTTTGTGAAAGATGGAGGTTGTGCCATATTAAACAAATGGTTACAGGAAGCCATGACTGCACAAAATATACCTTTAATAATGGACATTTTAGAGGTTTGCTTTTCAGAATATGAACGCTATTGAAAATCATGAAGTTTTTTTCAAATGTGTGGATTTTTTTTTGTGTAGCTTCTGGAAGCAATGCCCATTACAATCGAAGCCCTTAAACAGGTACGTACGTCGCTTTAAAAACGCGATGTTTTCACGTTGAGGGAGATGTATAAATGTAACTTTCCCTTCACTTGACAAAATAAGTGAGACTTTCAAATCATTAAAACATATTCAACTCTTCTCTCCAGGGAAATATTGGTAAATTAGTGAAACAACTTTCAAAACGAGAGGAAGAAAATATTAAAGAATTAGCGAGTAGTATACTTAGTAAATGGATGGTACTGGTTAAAGGTTAGTTTGTGATTTTTATCAATACACGAACAATTAAGATTTTTTATGTATATTACATTTATGCATGTGTTTGATTTTTGCGTGCGTTCGATTTAATTTTTTAGACATTAAAGCTGATTGCCATTACGTTTTATTTGAACTTTTAGGAAGACCGAAGAAAAACAAAAAGTCTTCTGATCAAAATGAAGGTTTGTCAGTTACATTTTTCATTCAACATCAGGTTCTCTTTTTCACCGCTTAGTTTTCTTTTTAGAACAAAGTAACCAAGCCGCGTCCAAGCGGTCCAGGTATAGTATATTTAAACGTATTTAAATTTTATCAAACTCCTACTCACATGTACGTAATTGAACCATCAGAGCTATGTTTATATAGCTTTGCATGGTTTGTATGTAACATCGTTTCTAAAACTATGAAATTTTTGCAGAGAGAATTTTACCAATAAAGATATGGTTGGCAAATCTAGTTATCCGCCTGAAAAGAAGATTAAAACTCTCAATGAAGCAAAAAACAGCGTCACTAGCCTAGCAAAACCACCACCTAAAGCAAAGGTCATTCCTGCACTTCCAAAATGTACGTAAATACTATTTATGAACTGCGAAATGCACTTAGAACTCTTGCTGTTGTTTTCTGCAAATTTTTGAGCGTTTTTATTCCTCAGCAGTAGTGATGGAAAGTTCTGGTTTTATGAATGCCCTAATTCAACAACAAACAGCTCTTCCTGTAAAGAAAAAGAAGAAAGTAGCGACACCACCATCACCCAAAGTATGCATCAAATTTTATTCATTCTCATAGATAATTTTTTCGCTGTAGAACGCAAATGTCTGTTGTCAACGACGAGGCGATAGAGCAGTCTAAAGTTATGTTTGATACGATATTTTTTCACACTAGCAAGCAACGACTGGTCCACTTGAAGAGATTTTGTTTAATCAAACACAAACACACAAACAGGGGGAAGAGAAAGTGAAGGACGAAAAAAGTAACGAGAATGATAAAAAACAAAATGAAACGGAAAAAAGGTCCGAGTTTACTTGACTTTGAGCTTCTCTTTTCCTTCATTACTTTTTGTTGGCAAGATTTTGAAAACTCCCTTATACGTGTGCTGTAGTTATAAGGGCTGTCTTGAATGTTATTTTTATTTTCTTTGAAGTGAAAGCTCATCAAATAACTTGAATACAGCACAAGATGAAAATGATGAAAGCAAACCGTCTCCAGAAGCTTGCAGTATGGAGTTCATTATCTTTTACTTCAATTTCATCATTATAAAGTTCTGGTTTTGTCTTCAAAATTTGTATTTTTGATTTTCTAGCTCTTGTTTCCCAGGAAGTAACCGAAGATGTTGTAGCTAATGTTGACTCTACAAATAAGGTATGGCAGCATATAAAGCCAAGTATTTGTAATAAACATTAAGACGCCTGTTCCATCACAAAAGTTACTCAAAAACTAGAGTTGAAAGTTCTAGAACCCTTTATATTCACAGCTAGGAAATTTTATGCATTCTTCCGGTTTTCTTACTTGATGAAGTTGGTGTTGTTATGAATTTTTTGTCTTATTTTTTTCGCTAAAGGCACCGTTGGAACAGGAATTAAAATCAGTTGATTCAGGCGAGTGTACTCATTCCGAGGTGATTGCTTGACCAGTTTCGTTGATCTTTTGAATTTTCTTTACAGAAGCTCCAACTCCCGATGCAGTTCCTGTTGAATCTGCAGAGAAAGAGATGAAGGACGAAGTTAAGACGAGTGAAACTACTCGTAAAGGCAAAAAGAAGAAAAACATCAAATGGGAAATTGACGAGAGACTTGTCAGGTATCATTACTACGAACCGGACGACGAAGAAAGAGGTTTGTGACAATCATTCAGTTTGTTGGTAAACATCTTCGTTGACAGCACGTTATGTATGGAAAATCTTCATTGTTTTAGTTGCCGTTCAACATATCATCAACTTTCACGACGCCCAACAACAAGAGGCCATGAGAGAAAGACAAAGAGTGGAACAAGCTAAACGTTTGAGTGATGATAAAATGTTAGAGCAACTTCAGTGGTATAGACCTCGAGCATTGGATGTTAACGAGCTAATGGAACGAGGAAAGGAAAGTCAAGAGAAGTCGAGTCAGGTTTTTTTACTTTTTACTTATTTTTACCTTCTCTTTTTTAATAATTTCATTTTCGTTATCGTTTTTACAAACAAGTAAACATACCTACAAAAATTTTGTGTCCCTTCCTCTGTAGAAAGAAAGAGAGTCGAACATACTTGCACATATATTTTTTTCCAAGTCAAGGTAAAACAGTCGTATATGCGTAGCATGTTACATGAAATAATCGGTTATCAAAATATTTCTCATTATCTCAAACGTTTCTAATAAAATCTCCTCTAGTTTACCCATAAGTCCTAGTGAACCTGATCCTGAACCAAAAACTGCAAGCTCTGCATCTTCTCAACCGCTGGTGATTCCTCACGATGAGGTCGGTTGCCTTGTACTGTCTTCTATAAAATATTTTTTCTCTTTACCACTTCAAAATATTTTACCAGAAAGGAACCGTGTATCCACTATCTAAAGGTCTCATGGAACCTGAACCTGACGCGGACAATGTTATACCTACTACGGAGTCCGGAGCAGCGGCAAACGTAACTCTTCCACCGGCTTTAGCTGCTCTACTTGCTACGGCTAGTAAAGGTTCATATCTTTTATTCTGTTGTAAAATTTATATCAACTAGTTTTGACTTACATGAAGTATTGATTTAATGAACCTATTTTTCGTCTTCATAGGTACTGCGGGCTCCAATAATGCTGGTAAGGCACATTCATTTTGTTGCATTATCATTTACCGCCAAAACTTGAAATTAATCGTTTGTATTTAAATGAACAGAAGGTGCTGCAGCCTTGAGTAATGTGGACGTTCAAACACTGCTGAAGAAACTTGTTGTAAGCGTTGTTTCTATTTCTTAAACAAAGAATACCTGTTCAAAGCTCTCTTTAGCAAACATGGTGTTTTTTTCATCAAAAGGCATCCCAAGAACCGGGAAATCAAAATCTCGGAGAAGTCACCGGACAGCGATTTCCCTCGCCTCTGATAAACCAAACTCTACGTGTTCCTGGTAGACTGGGTACGAGCAAAAATAAAAATTCATAGCTACGTTAAAACTTAATGTAAGAAATAAATAATGTATTGTAGTATACATCAACCTTTACTATTCTTCATAGGGATGCTTGGACAAGATTTTTCACGTCATGGTTTACCTGATTTCCGGTCACGTGGTTTACTACCTACCCCTAATCAGTCATTTGATCCCACGCGCTTTCTAGGAATGAGAGGAAGATTTCCTCTCGCTGGTGGACATCGTTTGAGACATCCTCTTCCTGGACAGAGAATCACGGTACCAATGGGTCGTGGGGCTGCACCTGGTCGCTTTCCAATGCCAAATAAAAATCAAGTAAGTTATAATGTTATGAAAACTTAGAGAGTTTCATCTTCCTACTCTCTGATCTACCGTGAACACAACACTTGCTAATGAATAAGCAGAAAAACTATTTCAGCTTTACATTTGCACAGAAATTGACTTAGAAGATCCTTGTTATCACATTTAGTGTCCGGAAACGGGTAGTATTTGAGGCTATCATTAATTAATATTAAATTTATTGTTATAAATTATAGGATTAACAAAAATTTTAAATTATTTAAGTTTACATTTGTAGCAACGTGTGTTTCATATTTCCACCACAGGATTCTGTTGATGAACACTTTACGAGCGAAGGTGATATACCTAAAGGACAATTTCGTAGCAGGGGAACACGACTTCGAGGGCCACGCGTTCGCCCCCCCTGTAGACACTTCAGAACACCACGCGGATGCTTGCGAGGAAATAGTTGTCCATTTTTACACGTACGTGGAACGGAGAATGGCCCTCCTTCATGACAGGAATGTAAGAAACCTGAACCTCGAGGTAGGATTCAGCTCGATGAATTCTTATCACTCCAAGTCCATTGACAATTGAAATAGAATTATCTCGTGTCGAAGATTGTGGTGCTATTATTCCAATTGTCACACAATATGTGGACCGTGGAACCTTATGCAGATAAGTGGCTAAATGCTTCGATAAGTTACCTTCAAAGCACCATTTTTACGCGTGGATAATACATAGATAAATGGCTTTCGTCAAGGATGTCGTGGAACGGCATTAACTTTCAGCGAACTTTCTAAATTCTCTGCTGGTTTACATACTTAGAGTAGAATTAGAATTTTTTATAAAACACCAAAGAGAGGATATATTATATATTTGTTTGTTTAATTTCATGAAAAATAAACATCCTATTGAAAACTTCAATATTTAAACAAAACATATAACTTTATTTCGACCCCATTTACACGATAGCTGTAGAGTTTGAAAGTGATACAAAACTCTCACGGTTTGGGGTAATGTTCACAGGACGACGATATGAAATAGCATGAAACCGTAACGCTAACCGTAGCAGTTTGAAAACGCTACAAAACTACACCGTTTCCATTACGTGTGAATACCTACTAACCGTCAAAGTGTCATAACAGTTCGGCGAAACTTTTTTCTCCGCTAAAAATGACTTGTAAAATATACGAACACAGTCTTGACTGCGATAAATATGGTCAGCAAAAACGAAGACTTCAAATAAGTACAACTAATGTATACCGACAGGCGACATTAGTCCCCGGAGTAGTGTGAACACCATTGAGTTGGTTAGCACTATTTTCCACACAGCAAACCGCCCTTTACTTTGAAATATAATATTTTACACAATATAATATTTTACACAATATAATGTTTTATATAATATTTTACACAATCGTCGAAAAACGACATATTTTCCAGCCAGGACTATAAGTTTATAACTTAAGGTGGTTGCATGAAAATTTAAACTGTAATATTTATCTGTAAATATTTTCATATGTTGATATTAAAAACTGTATTATAAAAATATAAAATTACTCGCCATCTCAAAACGACCTAGCACCAGAGCATGCATGGTTTCCTTTTAGCTTCTGGTTCTTTCCCATTAGCCGCCATCTTTAATTTATTTCCGATTGTGTAAAGTAAAGGGCGGTTTGCTGGGTGGAAAATAGTGCTAACCCATTGAGTTCTATAATAACTATTGAGTTATTATAGAACTCAATGGTGAACACCACCAACGGAACAAAACTCTGACGATATCGTGTAAACGAAGTCTTAAACGCTCGATGTGACAACAACGGTCTCAATGGACACGATTGTTGAGTTCTAAAGATTACAAGCTGTGTGTTTCATTAGCTGATTAAGGCTCTTCCTCTTTTGTCTGCAATACCTGGCATTTGTTTATTTATTTACCTTCCTCAATAACAACACCAGATCTCCGATATGTCCGGAATTTGCGAGTTGGTTGTACACCCCTGTTGATGAATGCATATTTATCTAAATGTAATTTGTATTAATGTCACATTTGTTACTTAATCTTGACCTTTTTCTTAAAGAGTTGTTCAAGTTGTTTCAGTCGTCTCTAGAACGCAAGCCGATAGGACAGAGCTATCCAGAACGCTGAAATGATTCAAACGATCTGTACCACCATATGAGAACCAATCTTCATTGTATTAACCTTACAAAGTTGTCATCTCCAAAGAAACTGTTAGCTCATGGCCATGCGAACTGGAAAGCTCTACTAGTTCGTGTTGCCCGTCTCGCTCGAAGGCGGTTTTCATTTAACTTGTAGAAGGGAGACTTCATGATTCTCATATTACGCAAAGTTTCCGCTCAGTTAATAAATTTTGTACTACTTTATTTCATCGAAATGCCACGAACGTGACAGAAGTTCATAAATTACAGCTCAGTAGTGCCTGGAGCAAACTATATTATATGTTGTTTAGACTATCAAAATTTCTTAAAAAAATTTAAAAATTATTTGAATGACGACTCTAAACAAGAGCGCTCTGTTCGTATCAAATACGTTCATTGTTCGCTTCCTACTGCGTTTTATATCTTTAGCGTAACCAAAGTCATTCGATAATATCTCTTTTTTTTATGTCTTGATGGAAAGTTTGGACACAAGTCGTCATCGCGTATTGTCCAAGATATTCACATATTCTAAAGCTTATTTTTCTGTAATCAGATAGTTGGTGAAAAGTCAGGAGTCTCAGGGCCAATGTCGGAGAAAAAACTCCGTTCGTCGTTACAATTTCCGGTAGTTAAACAAAGCGGCACAGTGTTTCATATTGCGCTGTGTAGAGCGATCGTCGATTTCTTCTGCTCTTCCTGAAGGGATAGTTGAAGTGTAGCTGTTAAACTTTCTCTCTGGCGTGATGTCTTGCTGACAAATCGATGCAAACTTGCATATTTTTGCAAAACCCATGAAATCGACTCAAGGTAAGCCTTCAATCGATTATAATTATGATAGTCTAGTATCTTCTAGTGTTTTTTAGACATCTACAGACAACTGCGCGTTTTTTAACTTGCTTAACGCACAACCGTACGTGTAGTTGTGCGCTTTCCAAATAAATAATGTGTTTACATCACTTTGGGGTCCCTTAGACAAGCTACGAGGAATTCTTCGTTTGATATCATTCAGATTGCTTTCTTACGTCGTTTGCAGCAGGTCAATCAAGGCTGGATAGTCATCAAATATCACCTCTCTTTAATAATTCACCTTCCCGCAAGCCTGTTTTGTTCACCTGACATAGAAAATGGACTTTATAAACACTGAAATTGTCATATTTTTGTTGAAAGAAAATTCAACAACCTAAGAAGATTTCATTTGTTTTTATTTGTCATTATGAGAAAGTTGCACTTCAATGATCACTTATTCATTTCATTATTTTATGATCTAAATTTGAAGCTGCTATCTTATGTTAATGCAGCATCAGATATTTATCAATTAGAACCTACTCAGTCTGTTGAAGCTGTCGAACGCTGGAAAGCAGCGTTTACTCGCGTCACCTATGATAGTCTCTTCCGAGAATACTTGAGTTTTTATATATCTAAAGTTAATTCATTGGAGTTATTAATAAATAAAACCTCAAATGGGGTTTCCTAACGATAAGTATAGGTGATCTACATAAAAATTTTTCAATATCTTATGACGACAGTTATTCAACTAGATGATGTCAAATGATTCATTACCTTCGATGATTGAAACCATTAAGCTCTTCGTTTCCTATGAGAATGCGATTGTCATATTTTTATGTTCACTCCATGAGATGCTTTTTATGTCAAGAGTTTGAATAGGTTAATGATAAACAGTAAATAGAGAAACATTATAATAATGAAAGCTATTTACATGAAATGTTACTAACCCACATAAAGCGTATTAATTGTCGTAAATAAATATTTAGCCGATAAAGAAATGTCGCCGAAACGCCCTCTACAGTCAAGAACTGGGTAAGATATCGCACAGACTAACTTTTATCTTACAATGGTCTCTTGCAGTTTTATAGCATATTTTTGATTCAATTCAATTAAAGGTTATTGCTACTCTTGTTAGTCGGTGTTTTTATGGGTAATGTCGACACTAATTTATCATCAGTTGCAACTAAAAAGTTACGTTCGAAGGTCAAGGTAAAAACATTATAATTCTAACCACGTATACGGTACTTTGTTCAAGTGCTATTTTGAGAAGACGTGTCAAGTCACTTCGCCTTTCGCCCCCCCCACGTCATGTTTTGTTAACATTGTATATCGTCTTTTTTGTCATCACTTTTTGCAAAGGTTGTTGTAGGTCACCATTTCATTTTTTTTTCACTGTTGTGGTCACGACATGTAAGCATTTATACATTTTTAGGTTTTGTAAGTTTTCTCGAGCCGGGAAAGAAGGACAATCGGCATGTTAAATACAATTATCTTTTCCCCGAAGCAGCTGCAAACAGATTTTCAATCTTGTTCGTGATAAAAAACGGTTTTACGGGCAATCTTATCAAGTTATTTGCAACCTCCGATTTATTCTCCGTCACGCATTTATTCCGTGTTAGTCTGACAAAATCATCGCTTTCTGTTCACAACGAAAACGGTGAAAATGTCAGCTATAATCTAGAAGAGACCTATGGAACATGGCGGCAACTTGCTCTCAGTGTTGAAGATGATTCTTTAATCTTATATACTTCATGTGAAGAAACATCTTCAAGGTTTTTGAAAAGAAATTTGACGTTATGGAATAAAGTACATGTAGTTGTTGGTGAAGAGGCTCACAAACATAACGAGGTAGCATCTTTATGACCCATGACCTGATAAATGGTTCTTTAATTCAATTAATTGTCACGTCATTTATTCAATGAGTATGTATATTTTTTTACGTCTTAGCCTTCACTGTTGTTTTTAATGGGTTTCATTTTAGGGAATATGTCAAATGTTTATATCGTTTGACGAATCAACAGCACAAAACTTTTGCACCTATATATATCCTGCATGTCTTGAAGTCGCGAATATTCCTGTCAAAGTAAGCGTTAGACAAATAATCGTTAGGAACCGCTGTTTATGTAGCCGAAAGTTGAACGCAATTCTTTTCCTGCATTTTGTAGAAAGACAATGATAGTGAAAGTCTTATAGTTTCAAGTCCAGCACCTTTAAAAACTCCATTTTTAAAGCCTACTCCTTACGTTGAGGAAATTCTCACTTTAGCTCCTCTTCGAATGCCAGTATTGAGTTCTCTTCAACCTTCCACTTCCTATTTCGTGGAATTGACTGAGATGGTACGTATTGGTACAGAATTTTTGTGCTTTTATTTTTTCATTTTGCTTGATTTCCTTGGCTTATTACATCGCAGGTTTATCTTTGCCTAAATGTGCAACTTTCCCCTTACGTCAATGTTGCTTTAATTTTACTTCTTTCAGCAAACAACCACAGTCTCGTTACCAAATCTCTCTCCGCCACAGTCAGCATTACTACCGAGTAGATCCCATGCCCCCAGCTCTAGTAACATCATTGTACCTTCTGCTATTATTGATGAGGTATGCATTTGTTTTTCTGTTTACGTGAACTCGCTCTCAGCTGTTTGTTATAAAACGTTGATCTCGTCATTCATCACGATGGTCGATTTATTTTTCAGCCAAACCCTGGTCCTTTGGGATTGAAGGGAAGAAAAGGTGCCATGGTAAGTAAATATGTATACACACCCGTTCAAACATTGTATGTATAAGTAAGGGTATCTATGGATAGTTGTAGATATTGTATAGATGATACAATTGGGAGTAAATAATTGCTGGTGGTTCAAGCATAACTTCAGTGTTTACATGTCGAATGTTGAAATGATTTTTTGATGTTTTTTATATTTTTGAAAATGCGAGCGATCAAGCATATTATATGTTAATTATTCCAGGGATTTGCTGGACATCCAGGGATACCTGGTCCTCCGGGACTCCGTGGAGTACCGGTGAGGAATAATGATGTATATATATGTATGTATATGTACATGTACATGTGTTTATTTATGTATTCAAATTGTAGCAATTCTTTTTAATGTTACTACATAAAGTTTCATGCCAAATGCAATCATCAGGTTCCTGAAAAGAACGGTTGATTTAGATTTTAAACTACATTACGTTTTTTGTATAGAACATTCTTTTCTCATTCACGCTTTTAACGTATTGTGAGAGAAGGAGTTGGATGTACTTGTATATATACATTAGATATCTTGAAATTTCATTTTATTTCAGGGAAAGCCTGGGCCTCCCGGTAATCCTGGATTATTGGGGATCATGGGGCCTCCTGTGAGTGCGTCATAGCATTAAAAAAATGCAACTGTAATTTTAATTATTCAATATGGCGCATTTGGATTTAGGGATACAATGGGGATCCTGCTTATTACAATGGCAAACGGGGAAAACCAGGACATAAGGTGATAGATGAGAACTAGAGAAGAAGAAAGAAAATTTGATTTACTTGAAAATTTTCTTTTGTTGTTTTTAGGGGTGGGCCGGAGAATCGGGACCAACTGGATTGAAAGGAAAACCTGGACGGAAGGTTGTTTTTGTTTCATTCGTTTTCTTTTAGTAAAACGTCGAGAAATTTGCAAGAAAATGAAGTGTTTTATTTCGTTATCCAGGGACAACTTGGTCCCCAAGGAGAAAGGGGAAATATGGGTGTCCCAGGAAAGATTGTAAGTGTTATATCAAAGTAAGAATTTTTATTAAAGAACATGTTACTAAGAAATACATACGTGCTTTTTAGGGTCCACCTGGGAAAGACGGTAGAGAAGGACGTAAAGGTTTTATGGTGGGTACAGTAAAATGTTCACTTTTAACGCTTTATTGAATTTTCGATTAAACCAATTGTCGCAATCCTTGAAATGAAAAAATTATCCGCCGAATCGTAATCTAATTGAGGTGTAATTGCTAAAAGATAAGATGTGATTTTTACGATCAGGGTCCCGAAGGTGATCGTGGTATTGAAGGAATCCCTGGTGAACGGGTAAGATAGTTTATGCTAAAGTAGCAAAAGTAACAAAATTTTTAAAAAAAATTTTTAATCAGGGTGAAGCTGGTGAATTAGGATATCGGGGAGCCCCAGGACCTGATGGAATCCCGGTGAGAAGCATGTACTTAATAAACCACATTTATCCTTGACCTTCTTTCAACTAGTTTGCATTTTACTGAACACAGGGTCCCACAGGCCTTCCTGGTAAGGATGGTCGTAAGGGAAACATTGTAAGTCTTTATAATACACCTTGAAATTGTTTTTTTGTGAAACTGTTTGTTGTAAAATTTGTCACGTCCATTTTTTGTTACAGGGATTTCACGGGGATCGTGGGCACCATGGTTTGTATGGTGCACCAGGAAATAAGGTATTTTATTTAATTATTTTGCTTGCTAGCATCGTTTGAAAAACACCGGCAGACCAATACGCATCTTTTATAGGGTAGAGTTGGTTCCCTTGGAGATGGCGGAATTCAAGGACCACTGGTTCGATTGTTGTTTTGTTGACAAAATTGTCGCTGTTTTATCGTCATTTTTAACTTAGTGCGCCATTTTTACTAAGTCTATTTTCATATTATAGGGCAGTCGTGGACTGACTGGTAAAGATGGGAACATAGGAGATAGAGGAAGAAAGGTATTTCTTTTATCAACATTACCATATGTAGACTTTTTTATCGATAAATTTTTAATTGTACATGTTACAGGGACATATTGGGGAAGAGGGCTTCAGGGGATTCAAAGGGATTAAGGTAAAACTTTAATAATACCTGATTCTCTTTCTTATTTGCTCAGACTTTCCATATTAAAACACTTCTATTTCTTTCATCAGGGTAGCAAAGGTGATGAAGGTATAAAAGGAATAAAGGCGAATCAGGAAGCAAGGTTATAATTCCCAAGCTCTTAATATACCACGTTCACTTCTTATCTTGACAAAACTTCTATTATTTTACTCTCTACAGGGTAATCCAGGAATATCGGGGAGGCTTGGGGGTTTTGGGAGTAGTGGTAAAGATGTAAGTTTTTTTTGTGCGATTGAATGCTCGACTTTCTTATAACTACAATTTATTTGTCTGTTTGCTTTTTTGTTGACGAACATATAGGGCCCAATGGGTGACGTAGGGATGATTGGGGGGATTGGAAATGATGGAGAGAAGGTACTTTGGGGAACATTTTATGTGAGAAATTCTTTCATGGCTAGTGTAAAATAGGATGAATAATATCATATTTAGGGTTTACCTGGTACGACAGGTTCACGTGGAAATCGAGGAGCTCACGGTTCTAAGGTAAGATATACGGTTTATTTCATGCTATACGATTTGTTCGACGTTCAAGGAGGAAACACCCGGTTGATACTAATTCCGATTCAAATTTTTTTTAGGGAAAGCAAGGAGAACGAGGAGAAAAAGGAGACGACGCTGCACGTGGATCTTTTGTAAGTATTGGTATCTTGAAGTTTTGAAAGATTTGGGAGTAAATGACCAATATTATGTTGCTATGATTCAATCTACCCACGAGCTAAACGTCATCACATAAAGGAATGTAGTGGAAAAAAGCTCTTTTAGATAAAATATCTTTGCTTGTTCTTAAATATCTCGCCAAATAATGAAAGTTGTAGATTTCTAATTTATAATATTCGGCTCTCAAGCGAGAGTGCGTTTGATCGTGCAAATCTCCTCTCACGATATTATTGACCTCTGTTGTCAACGTATTGCCTTCGCTTGCTTGATTAACTGGAAGCACTGTTGCTAGGAAACGCAAACTTTAACATCCGTCGTGTCATACGTAAGTTAACATTGTGTGTGAGTTAACACGTGGGAGGAATTTGCGAGATTTTTCGACAAGTGATGTAGTACACTTTTTCTCACACAAGTATTGTGTCGTTTTCCAGTTAATCTTGCCACGAAGATCAGCAACATTGGCAATGGAGGTCACATGAAATCACTGAGTAAGTAGAGTCACCTTCATTCTATAGCTCATGTTTAAATATTAACTATAGAGTAATATTTACTTCTTCCGCTCATGTAATGCTTTTGTTTTTAGGGTGATAGTGGATATGAAGGGATGTCTGGAGCAATTGGTTATGAGGTTGTGATCACCGGCTTTGATGCTCGCGTGCAATTTTTCCTACTTTTGACTTTTGATTTTTGCATTTTCAGGGAGAGAAAGGCGATAAAGGCGAAGCCGGTCATCCGGGAGAACCAGGACTGCAGGTTATAATCGTAGTAATTGTTTTATGATATTGTCTTGCCTTTCTTTTGTTATTTACTGTGAATAATATGTTGTTATAGGGAGCTGTTGGTGATGTTGGCGCGGCAGGAGAACAAGGCGAGACTGTAAGTTGACGATCGTTTTTGCATTTTTAAATTAAGATTAACCTTAAAATTGTTATTCTCAGGGTTTTAAAGGTACTGTTGGTGTTCAAGGTCATGCAGGCTTCAAAGGGGAACCTGTAAGAAATATTGTTATGATGTCGTTTCTTTTAAACATTGTTTTTTCATATGTGTGTATTCATTTTAAATTAGGGTCCCAGGGGAGATACTGGACTTTCAGGGATTACGGGAGCATCTGGCGCTAAGGTACAACGACTTGACAGCTATAGATATTTATCCTGCATAGTCGTCATTTTGTCGTGACTGTTTATAGGGATATTTAGGTAAACCAGGAATAGCAGGGGATCAAGGCAAACCTGGAGGAAAGGTAATGTTGTTCATGTAATATAGTTTTTTGGTTGTTTTTGTGCTTCCTCTTCCAATTTTTATTACTTCTACGTATCTTTTTGTGAATTTGCTTCGTGTTACTTTTACAACTAGGGACGTCCCGGCTCTCGTGGATATATGGGAGAAAATGGCGTGATGGGATCCGTTGTAAGTGCTAAGTTACGGAACGCTCATATTTTTTTAAAAAGGTTGATAGATTGTGCGTGCTTTATTGCTATCTAGGGACCTCCTGGAACCATGGGAAAAAAGGGGGTAATGGGAGCATCCGGAGAAAAGGTGAAATATTTAATTTTTCTTCAAACGTGTTTTCCCTTCTTTACTCTATCTGTGTTTTTTTAGGGTATGCAAGGAGCGGTTGGACCTCGTGGGTCGTTAGGGAGCATTGGAAGTAACGGTGATAATGGACCAGATGGAGATCCAGGGGATTTGGTGAGTTTTGATTTTTTCTTTTACAATAGAATTCCATCATTTCTGATGATATAGTATCTCCATTTCCCGTTAATTTTAGGGTATAAAAGGCTTTTCTGGAAAGACGGGTGATATGGGTCATGTAGGCGAACCGGTAACGTTTTTTTACTCATTCTGTTGTTGGCATTTGTATGGCAACTTAATGGAACTTTCATAATTAGGGGCCTGAAGGACCGACTGGACCTCATGGGATAATAGGACCTGATGGTGTATATGTAAGTAGTACTTTCTGAGGACGCGAGGCGTATCGTAGAAATCCTTTTTGATCGCTATTTCTATTGTTCAGGGTGAAAAAGGTTTTAAAGGATTGATTGGTTTGGTCGGCAAGAAAGGCGAAGCGGTTAGTTGTAGTAATTATGATACTTTTTAAAAAAAATTTCAGTATTACTAGATAATACTAAACAATAATAAAGCTTTTTAATATGGTTCTGATGTTCCTTTTTAATTTTTTCACATTATTATTTAATTTCAATCGAATTTTCATATTCAATTATATTTTTCTAAATGCTTGATATTTTCCCAACCTAAGTTCAAAATGTTCTGTGGATAATTTTTCGCTGGTTTCTCCTCTCAATTAGCAAACTCGTTTCTATGATGAAAAATATCACAAGTGCTGGCTTTGTTCTTTCAAAAATTTCAACTTTTTTGGTATATTCATCTATATTTAGGGTGATGAGGGTAATAAAGGAAGGAAAGGTGTTATTGGTGAAACTGGAGAATTGGTAGGTGTTGATAATAAAGAAAAATTTCAACTGTTTGTTTTGAAACAATCGTGGAACAATTTTATACAGGGGCCTCGTGGTCCACGCGGCTTGCTTGGTGAAATTGGAGCATTTGGATTTAAAGTAAGAGTTGGATGCCTTTTTTCTTTTTTGTCTTTATTTTTATGTATTTTATGTATAATTTTTTTAGGGACAGCTTGGACTATTTGGCACGAGAGGACCAGAGGGCGTGAAAGGGTCAAAGGTTGACCTAATTGAAAAATAAACCTTTAAACTTGTTTCATCACTGATTTTTTAATTTTTGCCTAGGGAAGAAAGGGTGATGTTGGACTTCCTGGAAATTTAGGATCACTTGGGAACATGGTATACCCCTTTAAGATTGTTTAGATACAAGCACGGCGAAATTTATTATTTGTCACATTCATTACTTACATCAATTTAATGTATAAACAGGGACCAAAAGGGAAATCCGGTGTTGTTGGGGAGGATGGTGCCATAGGACCTTCGGTTTGAATATGAATTAAATTCCTAATTACCAATTTTGTCAAACTTCTTGAAGATGTTGTATGTATTATAGGGGATAAGTGGTGATAGTGGATTGATGGGATCAAAAGGTTATGCAGGAGCACAGGTAGAGTATTAATGATATAGTTTTCTCTCGCTTCTTGCATTCTCTTCTACGTAGCATCAATGTTGTCTCTTATGACAGGGAGTAACGGGTAAGAATGGTGATCCTGGTTTAGCTGGTGAAATTGGACTACAGGTACGTGATCTTATCGTGAAATGTGTTTATCTTCAGTCATCCTCAAACATAATTTGCTCCATTGATAGGGTTTCATCGGATCACGTGGAGACAAAGGATATCCAGGATTTGCTGGACAACAGGTGATGCTTCAATTATTGTTAAGTGTTTAAAATACGTACTTTATTTGAATCTTCAATCTTGTGCTTGTTTTTCGTGTTTAACATACGTACTTTATTTGAATCTTCAATCTTGTGCTTGTTTTTCGTGTTTAACATACGTACTTTATTTGAATCTTCAATCTTGTGCTTGTTTTCGTGTTTAACATACGTACTTTATTTGAATCTTCAATCTTGTGCTTGTTTTTCGTGTTTAACATACGTACTTTATTTGAATCTTCAATCTTGTGCTTGTTTTTCGTGTTTAACATACGTACTTTATTTGAATCTTCAATCTTGTGCTTGTTTTTCGTGTTTAAAATACGTACTTTATTTGAATCTTCAATCTTGTGCTTGTTTTCGTGTTTAAAATACGTACTTTATTTGAATCTTCAATCTTGTGCTTGTTTTCGTGTTTAACTACTTTATTTGAATCTTCAATCTTGTGCTTGTTTTCGTGTTTAACATACGTACTTTATTTGAATCTTCAATCTTGTGCTTGTTTTTCGTGTTTAAAATACGTACTTTATTTGAATCTTCAATCTTGTGCTTGTTTTTCGTGTTTAACATACGTACTTTATTTGAATCTTCAATCTTGTGCTTGTTTTTCGTGTTTAACATACGTACTTTATTTGAATCTTCAATCTTGTGCTTGTTTTTCGTGTTTAACATACGTACTTTATTTGAATCTTCAATCTTGTGCTTGTTTTTCAGGGTGAGAAAGGTGACGTCGGTATAGAAGGAAGGGCTGGTAAAGCAGGTCTTAAAGTGAGTTAAATCATTAGTTATTGATTGACCTGTAAGCCTGTTTTACCATTTGATTATTATTAGTTTTTATCAACTCAGTATTTTTTATTCAGGGTGTTTTGGGCGACAGAGGTTTTGTGGGTGATTTGGGCTTGACAGGCCAACGAGGACCACTTGGAGGACTGGGAATGAAAGGAAATGTTGGAAATATGGGACCTGGGGTTGGTATGAAATAGACTGGGGCGATAAGAAAGGGGATATAACTGTGATAGTTGATAGCAAAGATTTTAACGATCAGGCAATGATATAGAATTAAAAATTTTTGTTAGGGATATCCTGGTGAAAGAGGGAAAGAGGTACAAAAGGGACGAAAGGTGTTAGGGTAAGGATAGTTGTTCATGAATATGCGTTCGTGACTTTTTTATTGATGTATGTTTCTTTTGTAGGGAGCACTTGGTTTTCCTGGTCCTACAGGGCCTCATGGCGAAACTGGAGTGAGGGTAAAGTGTGGATGCGATGATTGTTGAATTGATTATTGCGATGTTTTGATCTTTTCTAATGGAAATGTTTGTTTTTCAGGGGCTTCTAGGTGATACTGGACCGTATGGAAAAAAGGAAAAAGGTATACAGGTAGGGATTACCGAATAGCAGGCAAACCTAACTGATAAACATCGTCCATAAGTAGCACATGTCATCTTTATCTCACTTTAGGGTGATATAGGAGCAGCAGGAGTATCTGGGGATCCTGGAGCACCTGGAAAACAAGTATGTAATGAAATGTATATTTACTGTTTGTATTCTGAAAATTTGTTCAGGCTTCATGATTTTTTCTAGGGAAAACCAGGCAGGTCTGGAACAAGTGGAGATACTGGATTGGCTGGTTTAAAGGTTAAAAACTTTCTAAAACATTGGACGTACAAATAAAGCATTTTTAAATATTTTTCATTGCATATATCGTCAGGGGATGAATGGTGACATTGGGTCACGTGGAAACAGAGATGGTCCAATGGTAATTAGTCTCACTTGCAATTTGAATTTGTCTTGTGAAATTATATAAATTCTCTATTATTTTTCTTATGAGATGCACTGTCTTATAGTTCCTTATAAATTCTACAAACTTGATGATATTTTTGATTTTTCAGGGTTTGCCTGGAGTAGCTGGGGCTCGCGGTACACCTGGTTTAAGAGGAGATACGGTAAGTTTTGATGTTAGGGGTGAACCTAGGTTAAGAGGAGATACGGTAAGTTTTGATGTTAGGGGTGAACCTGGTTTAAGAGGAGATACGGTAAGTTTTGATGTTAGGGTGAACCTAGGTTAAGAGGATACGAGTCAAAATTACAGGAAATATCTTTGAATGCTCATCGTTATTTAGGGACCTGGAGGAAGAGATGGGGATCCACAAGTGAAACGGGGATCAAGAGGAACAATAGTAAATTCGATCGTTTTTCATTCATGAACTTTGCATGTTCTTGATATTCATCATGGTTACTTAGGGACGTCGTGGACTTCCTGGAGCACCTGGGGTCAATGGAGAGCATGGAATTCAAGTATGGGAAATTAAATTTTTGTTAATTTAGTGGTCGTATCAATGTTTTTTGTTTTAAAAGGGACCTCGAGGTGATCCAGGACAAACGGGACCAATAGGATCAAAAGGAGAAAGAGTAAGTTGACGATGAAAATATGTATGAACGCATTTTCTTCACGAGTTTCCTCGATTTCCCATTTGTAGGGAGCGATAGGGAGAGTCGGAAAACAAGGAATGAATGGTAACAAAGGTACATTGGGGGATCCAGGGGATTTAGGTCCAAGAGGTTTTGTCGGAAATAAAGGCAATAAGGTATAGTTTATTTTTTTATTACGTAGAATTTACAAAATAAATTATTTGATGTGTAATTCTTTCGTTTTTATTTATATTTTAGGGTTCAACGGGTCAACAGGTATGTTCATAAGAAACTTTGAAGTTCTATTAAAACTGTTTGGAGTTAAGATGACACTTTAAATTATACAGGGAATTAATGGAAGGAGAGGAGATGAAGGTTTAAAGGTACTAAACTTCTACTAAATTTGCCTTTTCTCAGTTACATTACACCATCGAAATGCCTAAATACAGTTTTAAAACAAATTTTGCAGGGCTGGAAAGGTAGACAGGTTCGTTAAATGGAATTTTTTTTTCACTATATTGGTCTTTTTTAATTTCTTTTATCGTTTGCATCTGCTCATATATGCTCACATGTGTTCCTATATGTTCACAGGGTCCTAGAGGTCCACCAGGTCCACCTGTATGTAACTATAATCTTGTACTTTTTTCCTATATTATTTTAAATGTTATTTTTATTAAATTATTTGTAACATTAAGGGCCCTTCTGGTTCTGTAAGAGGCGTAGTTGGTGGAATTCCTTCGGTAATTTATCTGGAAATTTAATTTAAAACCAACGAAAGCTTCGCTAATAATCCAGCTATTTTTAGTCCTCATCGCCAACGAAAGCCAAAGCAAGGATAAACCGCTATTATCAGTCTGTTTTTGGAGATCTAGAAAAAAAGGTCATTTATAAACTTGTAGCACTTCTTGCCATGTATAAATGCTGTATTTGAGTGTAACTCAGCTGTGATATTGTATTTTCAGAATGTTTCTCTCGAACAACAAATTGTTTATTTATCTGGACAGACTTCAAACATCAGAACACCTTTGGGGAGCAAAGAAAATCCAGGAAGGACCTGCAAGGATTTGCATGTCTGTCATCCACAACTCAAGAATGGTTGAGAGTTTTTCTTTCTATGAAATATTTATCATTAATTTAGCAAAGGGTGAAATTTTTACACATAGACTTCGACGTTTTAATCAAACACAACTTCTATCATAATTCAGGTTATTATTGGATTGACCCGAATCTTGGGTGTCCTGTAGACGCTGTCAGAGTTTTTTGTGATTTCACAGAGGGTGGAAAGTCGTGTATTTCATCGTCTCCTCGTCAGGTTTTGTTTTTGTTTTTGCTAATTTAGCCTCAAGCATATGTTATTGCATGAATTCTTTTCTATCTTAGATCCCTCAACGAACTTGGTCACGTGGGAAGCCAAAAGTCCGGATGCGATTTTCTGACCTATCTTCAAATTTTACCTTCCGTTATCCAATATCTAAAGTCCAGCTCAATTTTTTGCGTCTTCTGAGTAAGGAGGCAAGTCAACGGATTACGTACAATTGTCGTAAATCTACAGCCTGGTATAACAAAAAAGAGAAATCTTATAAATATGGCATCAGATTTCTTGGATGGAACGGAAATAAATTTAGGAATAAAGGAAAACTAAAACAGAAAGTATTAGGTGATGGATGTAAGGTTGGTTTTCTTTGTTTTTATGACGTTTATGATATCGTTACATCACAGTAGATTCGTCTGATTATCAAGCTTGGTCAAAGTTTACTATTTCAAAACGCTGTTTTTGATCATGTATTGTAATCTTTTTAAGGGTGACAGCAATAAGTGGCGAAAGACGGATTTCATATTACAAACGACGAGTGTTGACTCTTTACCTATTGTGGATTTTAGTTTTTACTATAGAGGACTGAAGAACGAGCAGTTTGGCTTGAAGATAGCACCCGTGTGTTTTTCGTGAAATGATTTTGAAGACATGACTTTCAAGTCGTTTTGCTAATTATTTTGCATGAAATATTTACAAGCCTTTGGTCTCAAGCGTTTGTAATCAATTTTCTGCTCAATTCTTCGATCATGTCCGTGGCCTTGTGTCGTTTCCTACAGAATTGTAACGAAATTAAATATATTACCGATGTTTCGTGACTGAAATGCAATGCTATTGTCGTATCATATTTTATGGTTGTAAAAAATGCAAACAAACAAACAAACATGTATATATGCAAGTTAATTATAATTTTTGAACAGTTCTACTTCATGTTATTTTTATGTAGTCCGTTCGTTGTTGGATTCAATCAATTTCTGTTTGTTTCGGTAAATTTTCACATTTCATAGAAATTGTTATTGTGCAAACAATATTGTGTTCAGGTAAACGACTTAAAATGATTTTATCCAATTAGGATATTTATAATCATCTTCTTACCTTACCTGACGTCAAACACCTTGACATTCCCTTCACACAACACCGCTGAAGACTTATTGTAGGTAACTCTTCCGTATAATTCCCACGATTTTGTTTACAGTCTTTGCTATAAACTATTCTCATCTTGTACATAGGTAATGTTTGACTGAGAGTCAATGAAAATGCTTGTTTTTTACTTGAAAGTATTTGGAAGTGCTTGAACCAGCTATTCTTAGACAAAAACAACATTTTTGTAAATTACGTGATCATATATGGCTTTAGTCAACTTGGACACATTTGTATGGAATGAAGAGCCTCGAGGGATTATAAGTGTGAAGTAGTGTAACAGAAGGTCTCTTGGGGTAGAGGTGTGAAGTGGTGTAACGATTAAGTTTTTTAAGAATATGTGTATGTAAAGGTTGGCATGAAGGTCTGACGTAAGGCAAGATTATAATCTATGAAGTTAGTATTTGTAAATATTGTTGAAATCATCTACAATTGAAATTACCAATCGCGATTCTGACACTCAAACTTTAAGGCAAATTCTATCATTTGTATTTTGCAGATTTTTGAGCGCATTTGGTAGCTTGGAAACGATTTAACGATTCAATGAAAGCAGACAAGTGAACAATTTTTTTAATAGGTATAAAGTTTTCTTTTCTCTAGCTATGTTGCTCAGTATAAATAAGAAGAGCATTTCTAAGCATGAAAAAACGTGAAAAAGTTTCAAATTCTGATTCATAGACATTCCACAAGTATTTTCTTTCAACTTTTGCCAAAATTGACATAGCATTATGGCAATGCACAAGATCACCATGTAACATCAACCTAATCTTTCGGTGATAGGAAATTGATGTGATTGGGACCTGTTTAAAGCTTGAGATACGAATGCCCCTGAAAAACATAGCGTTTAAAACAACAGTTTAGCTCGTGCTTGGCATGATAGCTAAAAGTTTTGTAGGTAAATACGAATGGTCAATTTGTCAATATTATCAATTTTTTCTACGACAGATAACTATAAAACTATAAAACCTTCGCTTAATGTTAACCTTTTTGGAAAAAAAAAACATTTTAACTTTTGTACAACTTTAGCATTCTGTTATTGGAAGTAATTTATGATTGAAGGCTTTCTTGGATGTTCTGAAATATTGCTAGAGTTGAAGATATTTGCTTAAGAACGTAATAATGTCGTATTATAGTCTGTTGAGTTTGAATAATAACGAAGAAATAATCATTATTTTCTTCTTTTACTTCATGCTTTCATATGCGTGACAACTTTTATAATCCTTTGTTGTTTAATCTCACATCCTATTAAGATGTCACTTTATGCTTGAATTTAAGCCATCGTTTAAATGCTTTCTTTAATTCCATACATCTGATATTACTCGTGGATCAAAGGGAGTAACAAGTTGAACGGAGAAGTGTAGAAGTTAAGAATTTTGGATTATGACAATGTGCGAAGACATAAAGGTACCTAAAGCCAGTCTTTTGAGTGAATGTCCACAGAAAAGATTTAAATCGTTTTATGTGTCTGATATACTTGACGAAGAAGATTTTCATGAAAATTCTCACAAATTTCATCGAAAAAAATCATCTGATCCTAAACAAAGTATTCGTCACGAGAGGGATGTTGAACAATACACATCAGGTATTTTTCCCATTTCTAACAATTCACTACCCGACTGAAGTTTCTTGGAAAGAATTGTTTGCTTTAAAGTTTATATCTGCTTTGTTTCAAACTTTCTATTGCACATCGTTTTAACTTAACTAGATGTATGGAAGATAACTGTATTCTTCAATAAATGTTTATCTTAAATATTGCTGCTCTCGATGAACTAAAATATTAAATGAACACTGCATGAAAATGGTGGAATAGACTATGGAGTTAAAACATATTATAAAGCTTATTAAATTTTGATGTCGAATGAAAAGTCTAACTTGTCTCAAAGTTGTTCAGCGGAGATACTATTTTTAATTTCAAGTTAAAATTGTACCCTATGACAAGTTTCTAGTCAAAACCTCCCCACATTAAATGATATTTATTATATTTTTTGATTGTAAATATCATTTGTTGGTCTTTTCAATGTTGAATCTCCCACTAAAGATAATGAAACACTGGAACATCAAAGCCAAGAAAGAAGAGGAAAGCCTGTTTCTAGAGGAAAGACGTTCACACCAGTTGATTGTGACAAATTCTCCAATCTTAAAAGTCGTTCGCCATTCCTAGCTGAACAACGCGAAATGCTGGAAAAGATATTTAGCAAAACAAAGTATATAAGCTCAACCAAAAGAAAACAAATTGCAAAAGATTTAAAACTGACTGAAAGACAGATAAAGGTTGGTTCTATAAATGTTCAGTGCTCTTTGTAATAGAAAACACGGGTCGACATGTTTAATAGCGATCACATGTTTGTAACTAAGTAACATGCTGCACATGCGTATCACATCATTGTCGTAACAACACACTGCTTGTTTAGAACTACTTTAGTCAAAACTAGGACGATAAGGCAAAATTTTGTTTTATATGGAATCTGACAAATCCTATATGTTATGCAGACGTGGTTCCAAAATCGTCGAACAAAGTTTCGTAAAATCCAAGGCAATGATGGCCTGCGACGGCATGAAGCGTTAAGTTCCATGCAACTGGGTGCCCCTCAAATTCTCTCGAATATTGACCAAGGAAAAGACGGAATACCAAAGGAATGGGTCTTAACTTTGTACAAACTGTTGTCAAACAGCTAAGGAGAATTTTCATTTGAATCTCGCTTTTACATATTGTATATATGTATCATGTATGTTTGAAAATATAATGAAAACATGACGGTTTGTAGTACGGTAGTCCGTACATGGTGCAATGTAAAATTTCTTGTTGTTTTTTAATAGTTTTCTTCATCGCAACTTTTCGCAATCTTTCATTATGACTTATTGTCAAGCTCACGTGAATTTCACTCCTTGCCAGAACTGTCAACCAGGACATGACCTCGCCATCAGCAAAAGATGTTTTGACACACCATCGATTTCCTGAATTTTACATACTTGAATCGTTTACCTGTGAAAACAATAATAATATTTTTTAAATACAAGCCGATTACGTCTTCAACACGCCACAATGGCGCCAGTCACACTTGCGTCCCAAAATAGGGCAATTTGCATAACACGCGTGCAGAGACATGATGCGCGTAGACTGGGGTTGAGCTCTACGAATTTCGAATTCAGACAAAAATTCCTCACTTTCAAAATGGAGAATTTTGCAGTAAACGAATTGCAAAGTTACGAACTGCAGATGATCAGTTGAACCTTGGGAACTTTAATAGTAGTACCGAGAATCACTTCATTTTTTTTTCAACATTTTAAAACAAATTTAAGTGCTGTAATAGTCTTTTAAGAGAAGAAATATATGTCAGACAAGGATAGACTCTCCTCATCGGAGAGTGAAATAGAAAATAAAGATTGGTCGGATGATGATGAAGATTTAATTTCATTTAAACTGGCACCCATAAGCTACCAATCACTTGTTGGTCATTGTGATGAAGTTAATACGTGTAGTTTTTCACCCGACTGGAGTCTTTTAGTGACAGGAGCTGACGATTGTCTTGTGAAAGTATGGAATACAAAAACGGGAGAACCTCTCTATACTTTAGTCACTCACAAAGGTAAAAATGTGTTTTTCTTCTTCTAATTGTAATGAAAACATGTTTTAACGATATTGCAAATGTTTTTAAGGTCCAGTTTACTGCAGTTGTTTCGCTGCCAATGGCGAACTATTCGCCACAGGTTCATACGATCACAGTGCAATAATTTGGGGAGTTTCAACTGGTGAACATGAACATCAATTGTACGGTATGTATATATTATATTTGATGTTTCATTATCATCAATGCTCATTTTATATTTCGTTTTAATAGGTCATACTCATAGCGTAGTTGCCTGTATGTTTTCTGCTGACAGTAATTGGCTTTGTACTGGATCTTGGGACTGTCTTGCCATTATTTGGTCTGTTAAGGTAACGTAAATACAGACATTGAATCAAACATTACTTGATATGCTTTGGAAATTTCTATTTCTTGTTAATACTTTGGAGTTATTTGAATATCACTTAAATGCTTTTAAAATACCTTCATAGTTACACTATAACCTTGAAAAGTTGTTATTTTATGAAAGTTGTCAGACAATTAAGAAAAATTTGGTCTTTGAAAATGCATTTTGAAAGACCAAGAAATCATGTCTATTTGATATAATATCAAAGTGTCCAGTTTTTTGGTTTAGTTTGAAATGAAACTATACATTATTTTTCCTTTTTTTTATGTCAGACAGGAGAAGCAATTTACAAATGTTCTGGTCACTGCAGCTCAGTTCAATGTGTCACATTCTCAAGCAACTCCAAGTATATGGTAGTTATCTTTCTTATTGACCTGTTAAAATAAATTATGTCAGTTTGTTTAGAATCATTAATTGAAAATTAAACGAAGCATTCTTTTTCTAAGGCATCTGGATCGTGGGATTGTAGTGTACGCTTATGGACAATAGACACTTTACCTTTGTGCTCTTCTATGGTTGAAGGTCTTCCTCAATGTCATGTGCTTCATGGCCATAAAAGCAATGTAAAAGCAGTCTCTATATCTTGCAATGAAATTTTGGTATGTAATTAAACCAATTGTAATTTTTCATAACTTGATTATATGTAGTTGTTGTGAGTGTATTTTATATATTGTTCTATGTAATTGTTTCAGAATTATTTAGTGTGCATTAAAGCGAGGCTAAATCATGATTGTTGCTCTACACAAGTACTCTAATGAACTGATGTTTTGAATCATTTTTAAGGCCTCTGCTTCCTGGGACTTGACTATCATTTTATGGAATTTAAGCACAAGAAATAAGCTTGCAATCCTTGTTGGTCACACTGGCTGGATACAGGTTAGGCAGGCTGGATATAGGTTAGACAGGCTGGATATAGGTTAGACAGGCTGGATATAGGTTAGACAGACTGGATACAGGTTAGACAGGCTGGATATAGGTTAGATAGGCTGGATACAGGTTAGACAGGCTGGATATAGGTTAGACAGGTTGGGTATAGGTTAGGCAGGCTGGATATAGGTTAGACAGGCTGGATATAGGTTAGACAGGCTGGATACAGGTTAGACAGGCTGAATATAGGTTAGACAGGCTGGATACAGGTTGGACAGGCTGGATACACTATGGACATGTAGGATACAGGTTAGGCAGGTTGGAAAAGATTAAACTATTTGGATAAAGGTTAGATATGTTGTAAAAAGCCTAGATATCATTCTGCTTCATCTTCCATAACTTGTTTTATTTTTTATTTTTCTGACAATATAAATATTTTTATGTAGACCTGTACATTTTCACATAATGGTGATTTACTTGTAACTGCAGCTGACGACCATACGGTAACTGCATACCCACTTGCTTTCATTCTTGGTGTTATAAAGTCTTCATTTTTTCATATTATTCATCATCTAGGTACGCATATGGAATGTTGATGATGGAAGTTGTGTCCAAGAACTTGAGGTAGCACATTAAATTTGTTTTTGCCCTGTGGTTGTTTAAGTATTAAACAAAAGTTTGTATACAATGTTCATCATTAACACAATACTTGATGATGAATTTGCTATAAATTTAAAACATCAGTGTATTATTGACTTTTCTGTTTATCTTGAATAATTAGTGGATATTGTGGTCAGAATTTGTTTCATTTCATGCTTCATCAATATTGAAATTCATGTTTATTTTATTTTACATTAAGTGTGACACTGATGAAATCCATACATGCTGTTTTAAACCTAATGGGACAATACTTGCTTCTGGTCCAGTCATGTCTGAAAAAGACAAAGAGATATATGTTTACTAAACATTGGCAATCCTGGGTTATGGTGAGTAAATTTTAGCATTTCTATTTTAAATTCACAAAATATATTCACAACATAATGTCGAGATGTTTGGAAATTAAAATTGATTTGCTTTAAGATATCTATCAAAGAGTAAAATCGTATCAACTTAAATACTTTAACGTATTTTCAACTTAAAATTAAGTCAAAGAATAACTGTTTGTTAGTTACGTATTTTCCCAAACGCTGAATCAGTCTTTGTCTCCACTGACCGAAGATGACTCTCTACTTTTATGTTTGCTATAACGAAAATTTTTGCTTGTCAAACGACTATTTCAATGTTGTTGTTTTTAGAATGTTAGTAGAAAATAACAGAGATACACGGGATAAGAATATACTTTTTTGGTTATGTTATGAACATGAACTTTTAAAGATAATAATGTAAATTGTATCGTAGAGAATTTAGTAAAAATATGAAATTGGTATGGGACAAATCGTTTTCAAATAAATTAAGAATTGATAAAATTTATGAATTGCGGTGGTTAAGAAATAGAAGATACTGAGTTTCTCCTGATGTCTTTAAAATAAATTAAATTGGAGTTAGGAAACTACACCCTAGTCCTAAAAATATTTCTTGAAAATATCATTATTTAGCAGTTCCGTGATTTTTCACTCTTTTTAAAAAGTTATTTCATTTAATAATTTGACTACTTTGTCTTATTAGGAATGTCATCGCGCGAAGCAATTCTTCTCCAAGAAGTGCTGTGTAAAATATGGTAAGTAAAGTAAGAACAACAATTCCTCGTATTTTATATCTTGGTGTCTTTAATTTCACTTTAATTTCGCCAATGAAATTAGAGATTTTCGGCTTTTGGTGAGATTGTGCGATGGATCCTGAAGTATTTGGATTAGTAATAATGTTTGTGCTTTTAGTTCCATCTATCATAAATCATTTACAAATAGTAATTATATCGCGGTTTTAATGATACTTTTTCATATAATGTTGTGTTTGGAAAATTCAAAACTGGAGCGATGCATTTCACCGCTTCTTTTTTGCCTGTACCGCATTCTGTACTCCCATTCAGGGTACATAATGATCTATGTGTCTTAAAATCGGCCTTTGGATGTGCTTTTATCTTCTCATTTTACCATATGAATGTTAGTTGTTGATTTTTAATTAGCTCTCCGGTAATTAAACTTGTGTAAACCTCACAAAAGCATTCAAATATACTTTATGAATACATAATTATCACACATTTGTGTCATTTTGCGATAATCCAGTGGCAGGACGGTCTAGTTCAAAGTGTAAACATCAGCATTCTCTTGAAATCCTGTGTATATTCAGAATACAAGCTTGTTGCGCGAGTCATTATTTTACAGCGTATTGATACTAAGATTTCTGGTCACATATTTCGTGTCTTATTTTATTTATGATTATTTTACTGGTGTTTAATTTAACCCCTGTCGTGTATAAAGAAACAGTTCTAGCCTCTCGCCAACAATTGAACTCAATTTTTCATACTGATAATTGATTGTATTCTCCGGTGGTGAAATTTTACAAAGGCGCCATTATTTTTAGCATATGCGGTTCGTAATTAATTTCACAGTAGAGAAGTTCCAGTCGCATATTTTAATGAGCTGTTCGGGTTGTTTGACATATTAATAAAATGTAATTATCCACTTACGTTGTGTCGTCTATCATGACAAGAAAGACAAGATAACGATATTACAGAGAAATTTTCCATGATTTTGAAGCGACTCACCAAAAGCTTGTTTGTCTTGTTTTTCCATTTTCTTTAACTTTATCTCTTATTGATAAGTGTATCAAATTCGTCGTTATATTTGAGAGTATATTGTCTACGATAAACGTTGAAATTTGACCGAACTAACTGTTTATAGCTAATAATTTACGGTGTTTGATCGATTGAAGAAGCAAACGATAAGACGCTGACATCTTTGTCCATTGAACTCTCGTTTAAAGGTAGGCGAAGTAATATTGCTTTCTATTACAGTATATGCTTTATGTGTTAGTGATGTCTTGCAATTATATATATGATGAAAAGACAAGAATTTCCATTTATTACAGAATAGTGTCAATTTTTAAATGTGTTTATTTAATAACGTAATTTGCAATCGAATTTTTCACAAAGCTTTAAAAACTCGATTAATAATACTAAGTCTTCAACATATTCATAAATGAGAAGCACTCGGCGATTTCATTTGTGTAACCATATATAAAATTCGTCTGACTATGTCGTGATATTATGTTCAATAATTAGCTTTAACTAAATTCAGACAAGAGTAGCCAAAATCATCAGTTAACATTTATACGTCTGATGCTTATTTTAAAAGGTAGCTTAAGACACAGGAAGCAAAGTTTCATTCAAACACAGGACTACACTATGTTGTTTTTTTAGTATTGATATTTCTATATTTTAATCATTGCAACTCATCACACCTAAATGAGAACCACTTTCATTATACTATACATTGACTGCCGAAATTTACTTCCAAAATAGATCTACTGTGATATTCGTATTTCTACTCTTTCTTGTTGAAAAAAACGAGAGAATTGTGTTATCTTAAAAGTAGTCGTTCTTAATACATGTGAAGGTAGCTAAGATATGAGTTGTATTTGTATACTTATATAGATTTATTTCATCTCATGTTCTTGTCATTTCCTTTCAAGTAAGTAGTGCGGTTTTAGTTGTCCAATTAATATTCTGTTGTATTCATCGTTTTTATGTCACGATGGAGAAAAATAATGAGGTCGAAGTATAGATTAGAAAACAAATGAGTGTAGGCTTTTAGATCATTACGATAATTTTTCAATAAAATATAACATTTTATTGTAATACAGTGAATACAGAAGTGCAATGACATGATGGTGTGTTGTTGACAATATTTAATTACATTATATAGATAAGGATCTTTATTTAGCCATATGTCAATATACATATATTCATATACATACATATATTTGTATACATATTCTTTGTAAGTGGCTGTTTCCGAAATTTTTTCGGCGTGTTTTGTATTAAAGTAGCGATTTCTTTCTCAAGAACTCTCAACCGACGTCCTTTGTTAAAATATACAACAGCGGGGTGGCTGTTCTTTCTAAAATTAATTGACGACGCGTTGATTTGTGAACAATATGGGCACCTTATTGTGAAATGTATTTAATTAAGTTTAGCTGTGACTCTCGTAATGCAACAAAAATTTCATTCACACTCCTTTACACAAACAAACACGCTAAAGCTTACCAATAATCTTAGCACCTTTTTAGGTTGATTAATTATTAGTTTCGCTTGTATATTTTTATGGACTTCAGTATTTATACACCCAGATAGTTCAAGAGAAATCTTATTTTCATATATTTCAATTTTGAAATCTATAGTTGATAATTGACTTTTGATTCACTTGTATATTCATATGAATGATGTGGGTTTCTTTATATTAGCGAAATGCTGTTATACTAGGCTTATAATCAGTTATAGAGGGTTAAATTATCGTGATTTTTATTGTGATATTTAACATGGAAGATAACAGGATAATTCTATATTTGAATATCCATGACAGTTGCGATTTTTTTAACACGATTTACTGGCAACACGGACCCTTTTTTTGATATTCTATTTTATTTCCCGTATAGTTTACACATGCATAACATCAATATAAATGCTTAAACTTGGTAGTATAATTTTCCTTCTTGGTGGCTTTGTCTCATACTGTGTCTCATATTTGTGTTGTGATGGCCTTTCATACTGTACATTTATATTGGTGGTCTTATTTCATATCGTCTTTGTGTTATGGTGGTCCCATCTCAAACTTTATATTTCTTATGGTGACGTCATATCATATTGTATATATGTTTTATTTCAAGTGTCAGCTGCGCATGCGTGCATGCTTCTGTAATGTTATGTTTAGTTAGAACAACCTTCAAAACTTTTAGCTTAACAGAATTTGTTTTGGGCGTTTGGTTCTTGGTGTTTTATTTATATTCCTAGTAAATGATAATGTATTATTACTCCCCTCTGAGATAATTTTTCAATGTAAAATGTGTATAATTACTCCCCCCTGAGATAATTTCTCAATGTAAATGTATAATTATGAGATAATTTCTCAATGTAAATGTGTATAATTACTCCCCCCTGAGATAATTTCTCAATGTAAATGCGTATAATTACTCCCCCCCGAGATAATTTTTCAATGTAAAATAGTTTGTTTTACTTCCCCTGCTTTTATTGAATTTAATTTCAATTACGACTTACGGATATGAAAATTCATGTTTTATGACATATGCTAGCTGTATAAAAAAATTGCTCTTACATACCAATATTCGTCTGCAACCTCTCACTCAATGCTATAATTAATAACTTTCTTTAAGTATACTATTTATTCTTGTCGCGAAGCCTTAATGTAGCTAATAATTTCTTGATAGTTCATGAAAGTTGTACAAAAACTATGTACAGTACGTCAATAAGGTGTCCTTATCCATCCAGTTTACCCTGAACGTAATTTATATCACTTTATAAAGCTTTACTTTTAGCCGTAAGTTTGTTGTCATTTATATCTAAACGATATTGATTTTATGTTCTCACTTTAATGTTGAAAACGCATAGATTTCAGTTTGTTTTGTTGAACATGCATTGACCTCAGGGTATTTTGTTGAGCATGCATGGATGTCAGGGTATTTTGTTGAACATGCATTGACCTTTGGGTATTTTGTTGAAAATGCATTGACCTCTGGGTATTTTGCTCAAAATGCATGGATGTCAGGGTATTTTTGTTGAACGTGCATGGACTTCAGGGTAATTTGCTGAACATACTTGGACTGCAGGGTATTTTATTGAACATGCTTGGACTTCAGGGTATTTTATTGAACATGCATGGACTTCAGGGTATTTTATTGAACATACTTGGACTTCAGGGTATTTTATTGAACATGCATGGACTTCAGGGTATTTTATTGAACATGCATGGACTTCAGGGTATTTTGTTAAATATGGACGACGTACTAACGATGTACAACTTGGGATACCGTGTTGCTCGTTTTAGCGCCGCGGTGATTTTAAGATTTCTTTAATCCTAATTATTGTACTTGTCCTGGGTCGATGTTTAAGCTGGAGTGGCGCCTAAAACGAGCATTTACGGTAAATGTACAGTTTATATTTACGAAAGAATTCTTTAACTACTAGAGTCTCTTACATATTGCTAAAATAACAGCTGAAGTTGGGGCTCGCTTTTTATAAATTAGAAGACTGGAACTGAATATCGTGGAAGTTGTATAGAAAAGTGAGTTTTGTTATATATTAACGGGATTGTTCCCATATATTTTGTTCTTAAATATAAATACCAATTTATGAATGTCGAGTCGCGTTGTTGTTGGCTAATGGCAACAACATTTTTTTTTACATAAATCCATGATTTCCGGTTTTGTTGTTTTCCTTACCATATTGCATGGCGTCAGCATGCGTTAAAGCTTGGCATTCAAATACAAATTTGCTTTTAATTACTACAAGTTAAGTGTTGGAAGAGCAATTAAAACTAAATGCATTTTGTGTTTGAATCCCATTTGCTCATGTTTCAGCTATTGACTCATGTGCTTCATTGTTCATTCTTCGACAAATTTGTTCAATTCTCGTCGTTGTGAGAGTTGTTTAAGGTAGAATTTTAAATATTATTTGTTTATTATTTACTGCTAAAACGTCAATCTAGTGGTTTGTAATTTGTAACTGTATTTAAAGATGAATGGATATTTATGATTTAAGTTAAAGTGAATTAATGTTTGAAAGCGTTTCTAAACCTAAGAATATGTTCGTTGTGTATATGTATTTTGTGTTTACAATTGTGTATTGGAATATTTCTTCGCGGCGAAAATCTTGTTTTCAATGAACAAGATGAATATTTGTAGATTTATCGTATTTTAGGAATCATATTATCTTATAAAGAATCAGAAAGTAAAAAACAATTTAAATGAGTTTTGATGTTATTTATATACTTATATTTTGATTATATTTTGAAAGTTAAGTGTTTGATGCATTCGCCATTAGTGAAATTTACATTAGTTTTTAAGTTAGAGTAATAATCGTACAAATATGAAGATTTTCTCCGTGGTTCACTTCACACATAAACAATCAATAAATATGGGAAGATCATACTTATTCTAATAATAGCCTTGTGAAAATAAGAGTTAAAACAAATCATTCTTATTGAGCAGTATTTTTCTAACTGACTTATCTGTGCACAATATACTATTTTATGTAGATGGAATTAAAGTTGTAGAATTAACATCGAATTGCCTTCTCATCTTATATAATAGACCACTTTGATTGTTTATCTTTAATGCACAATATGTCACATGTTTGTGCATGCTATCTGTAATTTACAGATGGTGTAAACGGGCTATTTCAACCCTTCTTTATACGCGCTGTTTGCTAAGATAACGTTTATCGTCATGTAAAATTCACGACACGCGGAAATAGAAGAGTTAAATGAGTCTATGGTATGTAATTTTATGTGAAGCCAGGCTGACTGTCTGTTCAAGGCATCGTGATTACCCATTGATTTCATACTTCTTAAGAAAATTCCCTTTTGATTATGTTGGATTATAGCGTTTTGCGTTGTGCGTTTTAGCTTCAGCTTAGATGACGTTTACAACCATAGTCTTAATAATAGTAAGCTCTTCACTTTAAGAAACTGAACTTTTTGCTCTTCATTTTCAGTTGTTTTGCTATCTCGAATTGTCTCCCGAACTCCAGACCCTCTCACACTGGTTTTATATACTGTCAATCCACTATAATCCCTCAATATCTTCTCATCCCTTGGCCGTAAGTGTATTGCTACCCTTTGCTATCCTGTTATTCCTAATTGATGCAAAACCCTTGACTTATCTGTTCTACTGCTTATGCACGATCTTGCAAAAGAGAGAATGCGTAGGTTTTGTATGAAAGAAGTAGGAAATTGGAGTTGGTTTATTAAGATTTATCTTTTCATTGTAAGTGAGAGTCGTTAGGTGTTTATTATGTCTGCAAAGATTTTATCCCCATCATTCAAATTATGACAAAATACTGGGAAATTGATTTCCTGCTACTTGTGAATGCTGGGAAGCAAGAACAAAGTTTTAGAAACTAACTGACTTTATAGTATTCCTCGCAACAACAAGTGACAATTAGTTAAATTTCAATAAGAAGCAGAAATTACTGAAAAATTTTTGTCTTTATTGCAATATACATTAACGGTATGTTTGAAATTTTAATTGCACTAAAAGCGTCAATTAACATTTTTAATCACCAGCTCCCATTGCAAAATAAGTTTTGCTTTTTGATTGCATTCAGAAACGACTATCGTTTACGATGCTATTAACCGATTTTCCACTTACCTAAATGTTGGCAAATGATTTCAAAAATGTCAAAAAAATCATGGAGATTTTAAAAAATTATATATATGATATGCCCAAAAATCTTAATGCTAAAATAGGCGTTTTCCGAAGGTTCTGTGAATTACGTCTTTAATAAACTTTGTAGTGTTTTTTTTCTTCGCTTTTTAACAACAGCCCAATACAATTTTGCCCTGAATACACCTGGTCATTAAATTTTGACAAGGGAATCCAGTTTCAGTCCGCAAAATTTATGTTATAAGTTTAGAATTATAGCGAGTGACTTGCTTTTTGAATCTAGTTTCAGCTTAGAAATTGTATGTTTATACTTTATATTTTGCGCTTTCCTCGACACTCGACCGATGATCCCACGAAACATGTTTGACTTGAGTTCATCACATTGACAGGCCAAAACATTTTGCTAATGTGCCATTTAATTAATTCCTACGGTTTTCATATATCTTTGTAATAATTACGCGTTTTGTTTTTGTGATAAGGTATCTAACTTTATTGCGCTTTTTGATGTGGACAGCCAATCAGCGTGCTCGTACATGTCCGATTCAATTTGATGCCAAGTTTGATTAAAGTTAATTTAAAGCAAAACACTGATGAGCACTTTAATACCGTCAGGTTGTTATCAAGATGACTATATTTAACAAGCGTAAGCGATGTTAACTGTAAAATGTTTTGGATTTTGAGTTGATCATTTCGGAGTTAAATTCGAACTCGTTGTCAGTGAGCCTCATTTCTATATCTTTACGAAACGAAAACGATAATATTATGCAGTGTTCAAGGAGTAAGTTAACTCTATATGTACATGATCTTTGTTGTACTTACATGTCTTTGTTTTATATTCGTTGATTCGTAGAATAATCCATTTGTTCATGGGTATTTCGATTCACGAATCTCTGGCTTAAACCAGCTTTATACATTAGTGCAACCTAGTAATTGTAGTCAACTATTATTTGAGCTATTTATCACTGTTTAAATTCATTGAAATTTAGAAGTACGTATATAATTATATGTTAGAAGACGTTTAGCTAGTAGAAAAATATTTAAAATGCACGAATCTTCAGCGTAACCATGCTTGTATCACGTGTTTTTTTTACATATTTTATATTGCCTGTGTAATATATACAAAAATATACCCATATAAATACCATTGATCGTGAATGTGTAGAAATGTTTAGTAAATTATTTCTTTTATGCGCTTATATTATGTGTTGCGTGCATAATGTCTCTTTACGTATTTTTTGTTTCTCGTCATGTTGACTTGGCGCTCTTGTTGTCCTACACATCATACTGTTTTCATTAAAAACAAATCATTTTTGTATGAGAAAGTCTTGTACTTTTAATCATCTGTATGTTGATGACAATATATGTAAATAATACCCGGCTATTACAGCGAAAATTCAACTCCTTTCAAACTTTAACTATTTTTACATTGTTTGATCTTGCAGACTCGTTGTAGTAGCAAATTATTTTCATTTTAACTTGCACACAAACTTTGTTATCGAGCAGGTATTAATGTGTAAGTTGAACTTTGTTCATTGGATACTTTTGCAGCGGTGATTTTGTTCACAAAGAGAAACGTCTTCTGTAACTATTTATTTTGCCGGTCGATAGCATGTAAACTGCAAATTATTAAAATCAAGCGAATTCTGATATCATGTGGCGGTGGACAGAAAATTAGTTATTATCATGCACCTACCAAAGTAAAGGATGTGGTGTTCTCTTGCTGGGACGGTGTTTAGTCATCAGACATTACCCGAAATGATAATATGAATGGGTTGAGAATTTGATGCAACTTGTTGTTGTGCGTTGTATTGTACAAGAAATATTGTAACTAGAGAATGTCTAGCTCTAATGTATATGGTGTATTTCAAGATAATGACTCTTTATTCATATAAACACTTGTCAATCAACACCTATTTTTTAATCTATTTTCTTTTAACTGTGGCCGACGTGAAATGTTTTAAAATCTAGGTACTATTTTTTCATGTGATTAAAACTGGACAATTTTTGAAAAGATTGACCGCGCAGAGTCTTTTTGTAGTATTTGCTTGATTGAAAACAACGAATGATCATATTTCCGTGCATCTCTGTAGATATGTCGCATGATAATAAAACGAAAAGTTGTGCTGCTTGTGGACGAACCATAATGGAGAGGATTATGCTGTATGCTGTTGATAAGTACTGGCATATTGACTGCCTTCAATGTTCTTCTTGTAATGTTAGATTGGGAGAGGTTGGCTCATCTTGTTTCTCAAAAGACGGAATGATCTTCTGCAGAAAGGACTATTTAAGGTGAGAGTAACAAGCTGCATTATCATAGCTTTATTCGTATTTCAAGCAACTTATAAAATTTAAGAATATTTTAGATGACAAATAACCATCTGTTCGCTTTCAATTAAAGAACTTTTTTAATTTTTTAAAAGCAACTGTCATTCAGATTGTCATGTCAATTTCCTATAATTTTCGCTTTAATTTAAAACACCGAGGTAGTTATGTATATACAAGCTTATTACATCGATTCAATATATAAAATCGTCTCGTCTCTCCACTATAATTGTCTGCTGTTCGTTTTGGGTAATTCGTACTTTCCAGTGTTGTAGTCCTCATTTTATGTACTCTTATGCACGTCTGTGTATTTTCTGACAAGTCCTCTTGAGAAATATTTGCCCTTTACTCCTCAATATACCTCCTGCAATTTTATACCATAATGAAAAATCCCACAAAATATGGCGATGTGTGAGAAGTGCATCGCGAGTACGGTTTCACAAATCGTGTCTCAGTGATAAAGTTATATTAAATAATTCTATTGCATTTGGTCTATCGGGGTTAGAAGAGCGGCTTTCTTTTTGAAAATAGTCCTTTAGATGAGTAAAAGTTCGCGTGTCAGTTTGGGGGCGTGTTTTAATTGGTCGGCTGACGATCTTAATTTGTTTTTGCTTTTTGCGTGAAAAGGTCTTAATGATTTACCTTCAAGTACGACTAAATCCATTACGGCCTTTCAACGTAATTAAATCCGAGAAACTTAATAGGCTTTTAGCTGTTTGTTTATTCATCTCCCGTGTGTTTGCGAGAGCCATGTGTTAGAGTTAAAAGTATGACTCGATCATATAAATATGTTATTGGGAGCCTAAGCATTTGAAAGTGTGGGATAATGAAAACACATCTGTTAAATGAAAGTTTTAAAATAACCGTTGTTTTTTCGAGAAAAACATACGCGAATTACTTTAAAAATAATTGCTATGAGCATTCGAAGAAAATATCGATAAAAATCGTCTTATCTCTGTGGAACACCTTGATGACTTGTCTTAGTTACAAATAGCTTTATTTTTACGGCAAATTAAATATTCTTTAAATGTTATACACGCGACAGACCTCGGATTGAGTATCTTTTCTCGATCTCATAGTGTGTGGAGTGATTAAAACGAATATATTTAAGTAAGATATCGAAACAGAGAATAGAAAACTCATTATTGTGTGCAGAGGAAATTGAATTTGCCTTATTAGAGAGGCTTTTTATCATTTCCATTTAGAGATTTCAATTAAATTTAATGAGAGTTTTGCCTTATGGCAACATCCAGTCATATGTAGGCAGTAATCTGTTAGATTATTTGTCAAAAATTCCGCGATCATTTATGACAAAATATTTCATTATATTTTCACACTAAGCTCAAATTGGTCTGCTTCATCAACGAAAATTTACGATGTTGTTCAAGATTGTGATTGGTTCGTTGCATTTTAGGAAGTTTCCTCATTTCCTGGCCTTTCCAAAACAATCTAATGAAACGAGAAGATAAAATCTTGAATTTCTGAACATATTCAGTTAAAAAAGTTAAATTTCTATTATCTGCAAATGCTTTCGAATTCAAAAAACAGTTTCGTATTACTCTGTTCGTTGTATTTAATGAATTCTTGTTGTGTATTTATTTCTTTTATGGATTGAAACGGTCCTTTTGAATCTTTTTACGGTTTTAAGGTAAATTACGAACAGGAAGTAAAAGATATTACAATCATACGACTTTGGTGTTGGAATGGAATTTTTATTTCAACTATCATCTTAATAATTTTTGCGTGAAAAGGTCTTTATTATTTACTTAACATTTACTGCAGTAGATACATCATTTTTGTGGTAGATCTCAACATTTACTGCAGCAGATACATCGGAACGAAATTTCACGTTGTTGAGTCTCGATTTCAATGTAAATTTGCTAATTTCCCTATTTTCCCCCGTCTTTCTTAGGTTATACGGTTCTGGTAGCGCATGCGCTGTTTGTTCTGAGGTAATACCTCCTGGAGAGATGGTAATGAAGTTGCGAGACAAATTCTGCCATATACAATGTTTTACATGTTGTGTATGCCGACAGAGGCCTGCCACAGGAGATCGAGTTTATCTCATGAATGACAGAATCTTTTGTGAAAATGACTATCACATTCCTTTAAGGAGTATGTCTACAACTCCAACACATCAACAACCAGTAAATATCTTCATTACATCATTACATGTTTTGATCGTTAATTAGTGAAAGAATTGCATATCTTAGATCACTGTAAGTCGGTTGAAGATATAGTTTCTAAATGTAAGAATATCTTTACTAATGTAGATGTCTTAGTTCACTGTAGCTAGGTTGTAGATTTAGTTGGTGCCTTCTTAGATATTCGTAGCATCGTGACCAGCATTATGTTTAGCTGGATTGAATTAAGAAAGTTATGTGGTGAGGCCGTTTCCGAAATTCAAAGTATGTAAAAATCAAAAAAATGAATAATTCATTTTGACGTTTTTTTATGTAGACATTTTGATGATTCAAATTCTGTTTAACAGAGAAAATATTTCTTTCTCAAAGACATTTATTTTCTTTGTTTAAACAGCTCCTTCGCACTCCAGTTTAATGTCACTCGATGTTGATGGTGACGGTTGATGAAAGTTGGTGGTGGAATTGGATAGTAAAATGACAAGAAAACGTATATATATCGTAGTATACATGTGTTATTGTACATTCAAGTTATATATGACATAGACAGTTTCAAGTCCTGTTCTGAAGTTTTTCGTTTTAAAATTTTAAATAATCTATTTGCTAAGATCCTACTGCGATATGTTTATGTTGTAGGCAAAGTATCATGTTGTGTTTACGTCGAAATTTGTTAATTTTTCTTTCGTACGATCTCCATCGAGCAATTTTCTTTAGTATTAATGATAAATATTTACGACTTAAGACCGTACGCATATCTTATGAGCCATTCTGTGAACACAGGGAAATTCACGCTGAAAAACTCGTGTAATTTCATAGAACTAGGAAAGTAAATTTGTCTTTCACGATATAACGATCCCTCCAGGATAGCCACTGAAGCGTCGACAGCACTGAAACGATACCAGCCGTTACTACCAGCTATAGGATTGTTAGGAGATGCTTTCATTGCATTCTCTGTAGCGATTGCACCTAGAACGCTTATTGTTATCGTCATATTTATTCGTTCTGGATCCATTGCAAAGTCTTGTCGAAGAGCGTTGAAAAAACCGTGCAGTGCGTGTTTGTTTGAGCAATATAATGCAAAATAAGGATAGGTTAGAACTCCCATGCCAGATGATATCACTACAACTCGTCCTGATGATGCTTGGAGACTGGGTAAGAACAATGTTGTAAGCTGTATATAACTTATAACGTTAATGTTAAATACTTTCTGTATTTCATCAAACTTTCTGTCATGTTGCCAATTTTTAATTTCATAAAAAACGTGGTTAAGTACCAGAACGTCCACTGTTTTAAAATGACGCAAAGACTCCTAAAAAGAGAAATTTATGTTAAACAGTCTATCCAAAGAGCGCAGAGCTTTATTTAATAGCATGCATTTCTATTTTTTTGGATTGATTTATTTTTTCATTTAAGATTAGAAAGAAACAGAGGAGCAGCGTACATGCAAACACAATAAGTGTTATTTTGCATAACATGAATTTTTCATTGATGACCACTGTTAATAATGTGAGGCAGATAACGAACTTTAAGTTAAAATAGATTCAAAATCTTTGACCTTAATATATATATGAGTAGTTTTTTTTACGATAAATTAATTTAATGTAAGTATTGTTTCGTAAACCGTTTTGGGGAAATTCGTTCAAGTGTTTAAATTAGCTATAATAATCGAAAAATTTTGCTTACATCATAGAGAGCCCTGGAACCATTATCATTCTGTAAATCGGCGACAATGTATGCACTTGATCCACCGCCTAATTCATAACATTTTCTGACGACGGTTTTCAGAGCCAATTCTCGTCTTGCTGTAATCAAAACATTGGCGCCTTGCTCACAAAATCTGTACGCAATTTGTTCGCCGATACCCGTCGAAGCGCCAGTTATGATCACATTCTTTTTACGAAAGCTTTCGTTGTTTTTAGGTTTTCCTGTCAGCCAGTACCATACTACAAAACCTGTAATCAGCGTTAGAATCGACCAGCTTGGCTTCAACATTATAAAGGCGTCCTGAAATGTATAACACAACTTTACTCAATATGATAATTACCCTTTGGAGAGCGTCCTCATTAATGAACAAGACAATGGGTAACAGTGGGCACTGCACGTTCATTTCCGTAGTAAACATAAGGCTGGCTCTAATAAAATAACAAGCTTTTATTACTTTGACTTGCATTTGCAAAACTTGAGATTCTCATATTACAAATACTTTATCAAGCACGCACGCTGCTTGAAATACTTTTGTAATCTCGTGTATGGGTTAGCATAGCATGTGCGATTTCGAAACACCATAGAAGGACAAATAGCTACTGTATTATTGGTATTATGGTAAATATTGGTGACAATCGTGACTATAGGTCTGTATTGGTCACGTAGTCTGGTGTGACGCCATAATAATCAACATGGCGGCTACTGCTTGCAACGGAAAGCAAGCATTTATAATTTGCACAATTTTAAAACGATGCTCGGCATCTTACATTAGCAAATACGTATGTTGATGTGAATTTTTCAGGATTTAGTAAAATTACAGTGAAGCATTGTGTGTATATGACTGTGGTTATTTTCGTTCAGGGGTTGAATTCAAATCAAAAATCCAGAATATTACAAGGTGGAAATTTTCTTTTATCAAGAACTTTCGTCAGAGCCAGCGTTAAAGAAGATACCGAATTTGTGAGAGAACAAATCAAATTCAAACCTGGAAATGAAGATCAAATTGGTAAATACTAATGAACTTCAAGGATGATGAAAAAAGTTTGAACATAAACATATTTTCATTAATTTGTTTAGTTTTCCTCTTTAGCATTTGATCACTTGCTTTGAGTTTCAGAATCAAAATATAAAAGCTAATAACAGATGGCAGGAATTGTTTGGTTTTAGTGTTTTTACTCAAAGCTGGTGGGAAGCATTAGCTGAATCACAGGGCTATGTATTGCAAGCTTTTATGGGTTGGCAAATGTAAGAAAAATGGACGTTTTCATATGAATGATAATATATTTTTGGACCGTAGAAGAGATGATGAAAAATGTCCAGAAAAAAACAGGAGTCATAGTCAAGCTACAAAAAAGAGAACATGGCATTCTTATTGGAGGTGAAAAAAATTATACCAATGGCATTGCAATAGAAGTAACCATTTGATTTCTAATCTCCTAAATTATTATTTATGGTATGTGTTTCATTAGGAACAAGACAAGAAGTTCAACAAGCTGTCTTAAATATCAAGTCTTCAATGAAACAAGATGGTCAAGATAAAAGGTTTAATAATACAAGTGATATATCTTTAGTTGAGGATAACATTGATGATAATCTACTGATTGATGATTTCATACATCCAGTAATTTAGTCACACAAGACAGTGAGTTTGAGAGGACAGGTTTTACTAAAGGTATAACTTTATCATTGCAATAGATGGAAAATTGACTGGTTTTATATTGCTTTCTTTACTTTATAGAGAAGCCAATCTGGGCATATTATAGAAGGAATTTTAAAGGACAAAAGCCTCCAATGGTATGTTTAATTTTGTCTTATTTTGAAAACCATCATCCGAGAATACATTAAATATATTAGTAGGATATGCATTTATGTGAAAAAAGTGGATTGTAAATTATTAATTGAAATTCTCAAAGATGCCAAAGATGAACATACATGTACAATTGCAATGACTTATTACAAATTCCTTCATTTCAAAATATTTCAAGAAAAGAATTTTGGTTATTTTCTGTAGCGACTTCTCAATAAGTTTCCACATTTCTTTTTAGAAAACAAGAAAAAAATGTATCGTAAGTATTTTGATTATTTTGATTTGTTCACTTGCTTGCAGAATGCATTTACAGAATGAAAAAAATTTTTCAAGCTTTGACTATGATGAATGTCAATAATTGTTGAAATATTGTTGTTTAAAACAAGGAATATACATTCCTTAATTAATCAATTTATTTCATTGATATTTTGTTAGAGAGGCAAGGGAAACTCACAGAAGGTTTCCGGAAATCCCTGTCCGATTTGTCGATTATATCTCGCTGGAGAATATGAACTTGATTACAAGGTAAAGAAAAAGTGCTTTATGTAACTTCTGTTTTCTAAGGTAAACACCATAAGCACAGTATTCCTTTCTTGTAGGATGTTGATTTGCTTGAACAATTTATATCTCCACATACAGGAGAGATATTTGATTCAGCAAAGACAGGTATATAGACATAGTTAATTGTTGAAGGCCTTGGTTTTTCTTTCTTGAAAAACTAAAAATTATTTGTAAAAATTTTAGTCAATTCAAACTCATTATAGATTTGTAAAATTCAGGTGTTTGTAGACATCAACAAAAAAATCTTATAGATGTTATTCAAACAGCTAAAAACTATGGTGAGTTTCAATTGTGCATTTTAACTGGATTTCTTTATTCCTAAGCTTAGAACTTTAAAGAGAGGCATAGATATACAATGTAATCGAATATTTTGTTTTTCTAGGTCTGCTTCATTACACAATACCAGGCCCACGTAGCATTCAAAAGCCTATACAACATGCTAAAATACCAGTTAATGTTCGACTTAAATAAGTGAAACTTATTATGTACTAGTTAAGGTGTTATGGAACATTGTGAATTGCCCCTCAACTGTCAATTCTTTAATGGAATGTAACACAATGGTTGGCTATGATGATGTATGGAATAGATGTGACCTCTATAAGACATCTTTAGTATTGTGGATAGGAGTCTAAATATAATTACATTGTAATTATTCATAGTATGTTGTTAATATATTCATTTATGAGTAGCCTACAGTCCACACAAGTTCATTTTATCACTTGTATTGCAAAGATTCAAACTTGCTATTTTTTTCTTAAATTCAGATTGGAAAAGGTCTTATAATTGTTCATTTAGTTGGCCTTACTAATACTTAGTAATAATTACTAATAATTGGTAATAATTAATATGGATATTTTTACAGTGTCTATGGTGATTTGTTAAACACGTTGTTTTAGTGGATGGAAACAAAAAACAGTAGAAGTTAAAATGGCGGACGACATTCGTAATAATGACGAATGGGAAAAACTTTTGAAACAATATCCAAGTCTCAGTGTGCAAAAATTTGATGGAGACAAGACGAAGGTAGTTATGAAAAAGTTTCTGTCATAATATTCACTTCTAACCGTAACTGTTTTGTCTCTAAAATATGTAATCAAACTTACATACAAAGCACATGGTGTATACTGTGTTGAATCTTTAAGAGCATCTTTCTTGTAGGTTGTCTGTGAAATTACATCGCATGAAATGCCGTATGACTTGAAAGCTGTTGAAATGTTTGTAACGGGCAAGAAATATAGAAATGTATGCAAAAACACGCTAACAAAAGCAGAAAAAGACCTTGTATCCGAACATCTTGTTGAAAAAAGACGGTGAGATAAGTCTGATAACTGAGATTGAGCTATTTAGATTGGGACATTGACATCGACAAGCGATGAACTTAGCTTTTTTTCTCGATTTTTAGAGGTCAATTGTACTGTAAACTTACAGAGAAATACATAAACAATCTTCCTCACCACATACGTCTCCATCTGAACGGAAAACGCTTTCAAATAGCTCTTAACAGTTTAGTAATATTTCGCTGTTTTGTGGAGAAGAATCTAGAGCACAAGATGTCCAAATGAATTATTTCTATATTTACGTAGATGCAAGTTGTATTTCAAAAATCAGTTCACCTGAAGAGGAAAATGGTGAAAGGGAAGAAAGTATGGAAGACAGAGCTGAACTGTGGGTTCCTCCTACAGTTTCTGAGTCAGAAAGTGAGGAAGCGGCAGATCTTGATGTGGAGTTTAAAGAATGCGAGAAAAATAATGGAGACAATTATAACTTTGACATTTTGAAAAATGGAGAGATGATGACAGGTATAAATAGTTTTTGAAATTATGATCAAGTTGAATTGCTTTTTTTATATCTGTGATGACTTTTTTAGTAAAAGAAAAACCAAATATTGAGAGAAAGAAAAAAATGAAGAAAAATAATGAAGATCTGCAATCAAAAAAAGGCAAGCGAAAAATAAGTAATAACATTGTAGTCAGAAACAAGAAAAAAAGGATTTGATTCATTTTGATGATGAATCTCTTTGGGAAAGAAAAATACTATTTATTATTCAAATTCATCCAAACATTTCTTATAAGTTGTGCATTTTCCAAATCCTAAAATGGTGATTCAATTCTCTTATTCCCTACATAAACAACTTTGCTTTGAGTGTAAGCATCAAATCCATGCAGACCATTTTCACGTCCAATACCAGACATTTTAAAGCCTCCTGTTGGAAAAAATGGGCGAAATATATTGTATGTGTTTATCCAGCAGGTTCCTGCATTCATCTTTGATGCCACTCTGTATGCACAATACAAGTCTCTATAATTGCAAACAGAAAGAATATTTCACATTTATTGACTTGGATATGTTGGAATAAGTTATACATATGTTATTTAAAAGACAAACAACAATAGCACCTGGTAAACACGCCACTGGCCAAGCCATATTGTGTTGCATTTGCTCTGCCAATAACTTCTTCTTCCGTACTAAAACTCAATATTGACATGACAGGACCAAATATTTCTTCACATACAACTTTCATATCATCATGACAGTTTTTTAACACACAAGGTGTAAGGTAATATCCTCCTGAGATTTTTGGATTAGACATATTAAGTCTCTCACCACCACACAAAACTTTAGCTCCCTACAGCAAAGTAATCATGCATGCCAATGGTTCATTATAAGTTACTATTCCTAGACAACTAACCTCATCTTTTGCTGACTGAATATAATTCAGGACTTTATGCAAGTGACTTTCAGAAATCATTGCTCCCATTTGAACACTTGGGTCAGCTGGGTGACCAACTTTAATTTTTTTTGTTCTTTCAACAATTTTATGGGTAAATTCATCTTTTATGCTTTCGTGGACAAACACTCTTGTTCCATTTGTGCATGACTGGAAAATGTTATGGACATGAAGATGTGGATCACTATGTGCAAGTCTTTACATGAAGTAATATACCTGTCCTCCAAGCTCAAAGTTTGCATTTAAAGTTGCACTGATGGCATTTTCCATGTCACAATCAGGAAAAATTATCAATGGTGACTTTCCACCAAGTTCGAGGGTAACATCCTTTATTCCCATAGCACATGTTTCCATAATCTAAATGATATTAATTTGTTAACAAACAATTCATTTCCCCATCAAATAATCAATATAGCAATGCAACCCACTTTTGTACCAGTTTGTATTCCTCCTGTAAATGAAACCTTTGCAATATCACTATTTTGACACAATATGGTACCAGTCTCTGCATCACCTTGTACAATATTTAGAGTACCGGGTGGAGCACCAGCATCATACAAAATCTCAGCAAGTATCGAGTGGTAATTGGTGCTAAGGGTGATGGTTTAAATATCATTGTGTTACCAGCAGCCAAGGCTGGTGCAACTTTCCATGTTGCTCCACAGAATGGAAAGTTCCATGAGCCAATTGCTATATGCAATACAATATGTGTATTTTAGACAGATGGAAAGCTCTTAGTTTGTAGGACAATGGTTATACCTGCCACAACTCCATATGGTTCTTTAGTAACAAATACAAAGTCTCCATTTTCTAATTTGATATGATGTCCAACTGATGTGGATGCGAGTGAAGCAAAGTATTCTAGTGATTCAACAGCATTATCTACATCAGCTTCCAATTCTTTTATGCATCTTCCTATGACATAATTTACTGATTAGGTAGTTTTATGGCATTGTATTTGAGAGCTGCAGCAGGTACATGCATCATTCACATGCAAACCTGTATCAACACTATCCCACTTGGCAATTTCATCTTTTCTCTTCCTTATGATTTCTGCTGCTCGCATCAGAACCTTAGCTCTTTCATTGCCAGAGTATGTAGACCATGTATCAAATGCTTCAACACAAGATGCCATTCCCAATGCAACATCGTTATTGTTTGAACATTGAATTTCACCTAGTAAGCTTCCTGTTGCTGGTTCTCTTAAGTCATAAGTCATAGAACTTGAAGCAAAAACTCTTTCGCCATTCACAAAATTTAACTTTGACAGGAATTTTTGATTTGAAAATGACCGACAATTTGGATTGATCTTAAGTAATACAGTTATATTATATGCAAAACCTTTATATGGTCTCATTAGGATTGACATTTTTGAAATTAGCATAATGTGCAATAGTTAAACCACTCAGTACTCAGTAGATAAGTCTCTGTTTTGTCTCTTACTTCAGTTGTCTTGTACTTAGATAGAGATCAGTGCTTGGGAGAAACTGATCTCTATACACCGGCATATCTGATTAGCTACATCATTTTCCTAATTATTCCTTATCTCCATTCTTTTTTTCGAATTTTTAATAATTTCTCTGTTACTTGAACGTTGCAAATTAAAAGTCTTAGCATATGCTCACTGTAATTTTGTCGTGTTATCATTATAATGATGTATATTAAACGCCCACAAATATTGTTTTTAGTGTGTGCCACTTAAATATTGAATCATTTCCATAAAAAGTTCACGAACTTTAAGATGTGCGTAAATCATATAGATAATGCCCGGAAATTGACAAACTTGTTTTGTCTTTATCTTCCAAATATATTAAAAATAACAGTGAATAGTTAACTCCCTCTAAAAGACCAAAATCCTGTTATTGTTATTTTCATGCTTTTTAAAATGGCCTTTGTTTACCTCTCCCCCTAGTATTCACACTCCCTCGCAATTGACGGTCTTTTAACTGTGAACCAGCAGGAACTGATTTATTGTATATTGGACTTCTGTCTTTATTTTTGACAAACGTCCGGTCAATATAATGATGTAAAGAATGTATTTTTAGCCTATTTTTGTTGATGCTTGACATAGGCAATGATTTGACAATTGTCCATATTGTTGCGATAAGGAACTTCGTCAAAATGGTGAAGATGTTATTAAACCGACGAATAGAAATCGTATGATCTGGAGCTTGGATTTTTGGATAACAAGCTAGGAATCAACGTTTTATAATTGTTTGAAGACTGTTTTAGGATATATCATGTCGGATTCGGGGAAATCCTATGATCAACTTGTAAAGCGATTATCAATAAATGAAAGTATAAAATTGATTGCTGTAGATTTCGACATGACGCTAGTGTCCGTCCATACTGGTGGCAATTGGATGTTCACTGCAAGACCATTGGCGACTAGAATTCGCCCTGGATTTACCGAATTTATAAGAGAAGCTCAAAGACATGGACTTTTTGTTGCCATTGTTACATTTTCTCCTCAAGTAGACTTGGTTAGAAATGTACTAAAAGAAGTTTTTACTGAAAAAGAAGTTGAGAGGATCTGTATAAGAGGAAACACCAATGATTGGAAACCCCATCCTCGTTGTAGAAAAGAAGGTAATCTGATGAAGTTCGTTATCAAGACATTGCTTGAACTGTAGTTGAATCTGTTTCAGCAGTTATTAATTTTAGAGATCTTAATCAAGTTTTATTGTTCAATGAATATCTGGCCACAAATAGATAAAGGCTTTCTTACATAGATAACAGCTTTTAGATAAGGAGTTGTAATCTTTCATATACATTAATATATATTTCTTGCAACAATTCTAGGTAAACAGTCACATATTGAATCAGCTGCAAAGCAATTCTACAAGGCTACAAAGATAAAAATAAAGTCCTATGAAATACTTCTTTTTGATGATGACGAGGAAAATATTAGAGTGGCTAAGAAGAATGGCATTAAAACTGTAAAAATCATAGATGATAATACATTACCAAACATGCTGTGATATATAAACTATTCATGAGTTAATGCTTTTGTGATGAATGCCGTAGTTTGCATTCTATAGTTTTGATCTGGGTTTAACCTTGTAAACAAGCATATGTTTTGTTTCAACTCATCATTTCCTATGATTTATGGCATCCTTTTTCTCATAAACCAAGGTTTTTGTTCTTTTCTACTTGTGTCTTTTGTATCAACTTTAATCCTCCTTGCTTTCTCTCACCCTTGGATAAGTTTACATTGGATGCATTGGTACTCATTGATAACACTAATTTTCACTCATTCAATAAATATATATATGTATGTAATTATAGATGTATTTATTATGTAGTAACGAATAATAATTATATGAATATATTTATGTTTGTTATGTGTGCCAGTTTAAATATTCTCGAATTTTAAGCTTTTTTTTCCGACTCTCTTGGCAGATATTCCCAATGCTAAGAGAAACAAATTACTTTTTTCAACAATGTAATGTCTATGTGAGCTTTGAAGTTGCCATACACAGATACACATCATATATTTATAAGAAAGCGAGAATATGGCGAGGTTGTTGCATTTTTCCGGTAAATTATCTCGTTTTGCAAAGTAAATAAAAAAAAAGCGGCTTTCAAAAGAGCGCGAAACTTAAAATCACCAACAAAATGGCGGAATTTGAAAGAAGTTGAAAGACGTTTTCTTCAAGAAAAATGGCAAGTTATAGCCGTGAAACTCCAACAAAGTATGTTGATATTGATTGTATATTTTGAGTCCATTTCGTACTCAAGATATATCAATTTAATGAGTTACTGACTCTTTAAAATTGAATTGAATTTAGTTCCTACTTCGCAGTTTCAGCTTGCAGATATGTAGTACTTTAATATCAGCATAATTTAACCTTTTTTTATTAGTCACAAAAGACAATTTTCCAAAACAAAACTGAAACGACCTTTCAAGTCTCCTGTAAGTTTGGATGATGAAGTAACGTGTTAGTTTTCGTCGAATATTTTTTTATTGATAACAAAAGCCTGTTACAACTCACCCTTCCCTCCCCCCCCCGTTCCCCTTCGGGACTATTCAAATTTAAGTTTTGCTTTTTTGCACACTGTAAAATTTTGGCATCAAATTTATATGTTACAGATGATGACAGAAGCCAAGAGTTCTGGAAAAAATGAAAAAGCACAACAATCAGACATTGACATTTTAAAAGAAAAAATCACCATTGTTGAGGATGAAATAAATGGAATAGGAATTGAATATTCAGAAGATGAACTGCAATTGCATATTGATAGACTTCATGAATACAATGACATAAAGGATCTTGGACAGCTTTTACTTGGAAAATTAGGTACTCATATGATTAAATCTTAAATAGTGAATTTTCTTTTGACCATAGTAACTCGTCTGTTTCTATACTGCAGCTGAATGCCAGGGAAAAACTACCAAAATGTTGTACGAAGAGTATGGTCTTGATGTCAATGATTGATAAAGTATCAAAGGTAATCATTCAGGGAGAGAGGCAGTGTTTTATTTTGAATGTCGACTACATGCTTAAAATAACAGTGTGAATGCAAAAAAGGACTGGTGCTAGTTGCTATATGAAAAAGGACTGGTGCTAGTTGTCATATGAAAAAGACTGGTGTTAGTTGTCATATGAAAAGGACTGGTGCAAGTTGTCATATGAAAAGGACTGTACTAATTCATTCATTCTGCTACCAATTCCCAATCCCCATCTCTGATCCATGCATAACATAGAGAGACATGATTTTGAGCAGTTTTTTGCAAAATTAATCACAAAACCTCGTAGATATGATTTAAGTGAATATATTTATCAAAAAGTTGCATGAACATATTATTTAGTAAGTATGAATCCATTCTGGATGAATTACAAAATGACGTTGATAAATCTTTGATGGTAAATCAAACAATGCACTAGAATTATTGACATTAACACAAGGATATTCACGCATATGATGCCATGTTTTTAAATTATTTCCTTTTTGTTTTTTGCTCATAAATGATTGGATTTCTTTTGTAGTTTTGCTCTCTTTTTTTTCTTGTCGTTGGTCAATTTTTCCTTCTTTTTTCTGCCTTTAATCAAATAACAAAATGTATTTCATACATTCTGTAATATTTGAACGCAATTCAACTTTTGAATGAGCGAGAAAGTCATGAAGTAACATACTTATCTAAGGAATATATCGTCAACGATACTTCATCTTTTTTCTTTTCCATTTTGTCATCATCGTTTTTGCTCATGTTGTACGCTGACAATAACTGCAATGCAGCAATTTTCTCTGATGAAAAAACAAGATGATTAAAAGCATGTTCAATTTCGAGATAGCAAACAATGTTGATTAACATCTACGAACCGTCGTCTGACGATTTCTTTATCCATTCACGTATTTTCTTCATTCTTCGAGGAGTTTGTTTTAACTAAATAAAACATCACAAAGTCTCATGTTGCAATCTTATCACACAACATACAACAAATGTCATTTATCATCTTACCTCATCACGTGGTTTTCTTTCATTCAGGATAGGCAACATCAAACTGGCGCTTTTTTCATATCTTTTCTCTTTATATTTTGTTTCCCGCTCATTAGCTGACTTTATTGAATGTTTCTTCTGTGATTTTGCGCATGTGTCATTTTCATTTTTTTCATCAAGCTTTGAGTTGTTTTTATGCAATTTATCATTGTCGTATGTATTAACATCGATATTTTTCAATTTCATTTTATTATCTCGGTTTGATTGCATCAAGCCTTTTTTCAATTCTTTCTGTTTGGCTATTTTGATTACATCATTAGCAATTGGTTTCGTAATTTTTTCTCTTGAAATACTTGACAAGGGTTGCTTGAACTTTGTTTGTACGTTTCTACTTGTGATTGAAATATTTTCTTCGATGTTATCTCTATCATTGTCACTTGACGCAAGGTCTAATAATTGATAATACGTATCAAAGTTAATGATCATAAGAAAAACCCTACATATTTCAATATTTTGTAATTCGTCAAACACCTTCATATACTTACCGTTATCTTGCTTTAGCAAACGTGAAGGAACTCTCCACTTCATAAAACTCTAAAAATACAATTAAAATTTTTACATAATGGGACATTGATTTTACTTTCAAACACTGAGCATAATAAACACCAAGATTGTTTTATTCAATTTTCAAGCAGCACATTCAGAGTACGATTTTTACAGTTATTCTTACGGGAAAAGATTGACGTCTTTGTTGTTCAGGAGAAACACTTTCATTACAAGTCTTTTTATTTTGCAGAACTTCAACCTCACGATTTCCTTTTTCCAGTGTGTTGAACTTTGTCTTCCACGCCAAGAAACACTTTAGACTTTTCATGTCTATACTTAATTTTCATAGCTTTGAGAAATCCCGGTGGGAGACTGTCTGTTTTCGTATCGCCTATGTATTCTTGTAAATTCATTGCAAAAACGTTGTATATTTAAAGCACCTTTGTCTCCATAATATTTTGATCTTCTCTATATTATTTATTCGTGTTGAGTAAGGAATCTTTTCTTTGCCCATAAAATGTCAACAATGAATGTCTCTTGGCAACCTCATAAGACAATTTACGCTTTATGATATCAAATGACCGTTGAATAACTTGGATTTATTTGTTAAACCAAAAGCCTTTGATATTAGTTAATATGTTAATCTATTTATTCTCAATTTTCGTAATGATGTAATTGATGGTTTAGATGTTTATATTATGATGTATGGCTCACAAACAACCATCAATGCTCACAACTAATAAGCAGTCTTCTCAATACAACTTGTAACACAGACAACAGGTTGCTGGTTGCACGTCTTTCCTTGAGTCACCTTTCTCCCAGCAAAACAAAATGGCTGCTTAAACTCTGTGCTCGTTTATCGTTTCTGAATTTAAATCATTTGAATGCAATGGAAATGCTATTTTCTCCAGATATTTTGTTGCTTAACGAGTCAACAAAAAGACAATCAACTTTTTCAACAGAAGATGGCGAGGTTCAACTGTCAAGCAAGGATTTTGCAGCTGGTTTGGTTTTGATAGTCTCCACAAAGTGGAGTTTGCCAAAGATGTGAAGCTCGATGCCAAGGAAAACTGCAAACCAATTAAAAAACTGTCAACTTCACATCATCAACGATTTCCATGGCAGACAAAAATTTTGAATGATTACGATGTTAAATTTGAGCATTTTCCTGAAGCGTCCCAGTATATAGAAAAGTACAGACGAGTTAAAAACAAGAGACAGGAAGAAAGGTGTACTCGGTTGCTACAGCGTCAGGAAAAGAATGGTCACGTTTTCACTAATTATCGTACAGAAAAACAGGAGATGAATATTGTGAGCTTATCTCCAAAAAATGATTATGATGAAGCTACCTTCAGTAGTTCATCAAATATGGATTACACAAATCCTTCAATTCCACAATCTGGTTGTTTTGTTGGAAGAAAATGGATTCATCCTAAAGATTGTGAGAGAGTTTGGAGTAGAAATATTGGTGTAGATTGGTAAGAAAAAGGCCAACATCTGCTGGTTTATTTTGTTGATATATAAAATTGTCTTTAGTTGTGATGCTGTACAGTTTACTTTTTTTGTTTATTTTTAGTGGGAATTTGAGAGTTTTCAAGAAGAATAAAAATCAACTGGTGAGAGGTTGATTTATCAAAATTTTTTTCATGGCTATAACTAGATTTGTTGGTCAATCAGGATTGAAATATAATCCCTCTTCTTTTCTTCTTTTTTCCCCTCTTCTTCCTCTTTCTTTCTTTCCTCTTCTTTGCCACTCTTCTTTGACTTTTCCCATTTCCTAAGCTATATACTGTAAGGTGTCTAATCACATACAATGGTATTACCTAAAAACATTTATGTATTATCTGTTATAGGTCCATTGCTTTTCTAAAACCATGGTGTTGAATGGTACAGGTAAGCCATTTAGTACTTCATGTAAGAAAATTGATTATGGAACATGGCAAAGGACTCCATGTAGATCAGCCCCACAGAGTCGACAGAAGATACATAAGGCTTGCGGATCAGGTATGTGCATTCAATCCTCCATTTCACCTCAAACAATCTCGCAAAAGTCTAATGATTTGAGTCCATTGCTGACAACACAACTATTTCAAAAACTACCAATGGAAAGTCCTCATTCAAAAGCTATTAATATGATTCCTACAAACCATCGTGTGGAATACAAAAGCAATGTTCAGAAAATTTTTGATTTTTATGACAATGTAAATCCAAAATCCAGGAGTCATAGTATTTTTATGAACTCATGAATATCAAATTTTGAATATGTTTTTATGTCGTGATAATACTTTGTACTTATATGTATGATTTGTTAAAACACTAAATATTTTATTGATATAACTAAAGTAAAGATACAAGTATTGTTTGTCTATATTTCTCTTGAATTGAGTCGTTTTTTTATTTTCCAGTACGTTCGTTCAAAAAAATTGTTTTATCAACACTAATCAACAAATGTCATTTGAAAAAAAGACGATCGATTTTGAAAAAAATTGATTTGGGAGTTTCGTCATTCGCTAATTTCCTCTTCGTCGTTTATTCGTTACGACTCTACGATGAAATCAAATGCATCTTGAGTGGTTAGTTAACTTCAAAATTCTCATGTTGTGTTTTATAAAATGTTAAAACGACTTAAAATTTTTAAACAAGTATACGTTTTTGTTTTTCAAACATAACACGTTGTCAAGAAAGGTTTGATTACCCCGCCAAATGAGCCATGTTTGTCTTCACTATTATTCATTTAAATTTGTATCATTCATCCTCAATGCATCCATTTTTTATATTTTTTACGACAATCGACGGGGTTGCTCATTTTTCTTCAAACCACTATCGTTTCACTCTTGTAGAGGTTGTTTATTTGATAAAATTGTTTTGTGACTGTAGTCACTATTCGCGTTTATCTCATTTGCATACATTGTGTGGCTAAATGTTCTAAAACCTGAAATTATGGAGATTTGTTTTTTGATCAAATAAATTTAATTTTTATTTTATATCTTACGACAAACCGGACTAAATCATCCGCTGCGATTTTTATAAAATTGTAAAGCTTTTAAAAAGGATGAAACGTATCTCCACAATGAAACGCGACAGTATATAATTCCGGTGCTTAGCTGGTCATTTTGAAGAAATTTTGTCGCGTTTAGCTAAAGTACATTAAAAACACATGACCTTAGTTGTTGATGTGAAGAAAAAACTTGAAGTTATAAAGGTATGAAATTATTTCACGTTACTTTTGAACATTGTTTTTTATTATCGTTATTACTAAATCACAATTATGTTTTTTTCTTATGTAAAATCACAAATATAAGTATAGCTTTACAAATGTGCTAATATTTGTGTATTTTTTTCTCAGTTTGAAGTTCGTACGTGTTCATATTTCGCACTCCATGGTGCATTGAGTTCAGGTCATTGAAAGAGAAAAAATTCCGCATTTTGCTACCGATAGTCGGTCCATCAAACTCTGAATAGAACGTGTGCTTACCTTTTGGCTAAACATGATGCAGCAATCTTATCACAATGGAAGCCAAACAGTGTTTAGTATTGATTCGTTGCTTGCTAGCTCCAGAAGACCAGATTATGAAGGTTATAATGGGCAGTTCATGACAAGGTTTCAGAATTCTTCTGGCTTTTCTCCGACAAATGTTTCGTCAGAGTATCAGACTTTTGGAGGTATGTTAAAGCAAAGTGAATTGCACGTATTTGTTTTATCAATTTTATTAATTTATTTGTCCATTTGTATACATTAACGTGCCACATACATATTTTTACCTTTTTTTTATATAAAATATTCGTCCGGTCAGAATTGATAGAAAATTTTCAAACTTTCTCTTTTTGTGTCATATCGCTTTTTCCTTTAACTCGAGACGTTTCCTACATCACTGAATATCTTGCCGTATTTTTAAAAGCTGTCAAAACCTAAATCTTAAAGATGTGATTATTTTATGTGTTAAACGCTCAGCTAAAGACTAGTTTATTACCAAACAAGCTTATCCTGTTTATGCATGCTGAGTCTAGATAAATTCGTCGTGAAACTACTGTTTTTATCCACGATTTATCCTGCATGGGTGTTAAATGTTATATTGAGTGTGTGTTGTATCTCACATGATTGGTGTTCCCTGTTTTTACCTCAAGGCTGACGGCGATCTTTTTTATTGCACCGCGTGTGTTAAAGTATAGTAAACATCTTTGTATTTAATGTTTTCATTTTCGTCATTCTTATGTAGTTATATTTTCAAGACACATAAAATGTTCAAACAGTATTTTTTTAAAAGAGAATTGCAACATGTCCTTCAACATAGACAGTTGCCAACATAAAACATTTCTAAATACATATACTTAGTGGCTAAAATATACATCGTCAAAAATAAACAACATCTTTCAACGTGGTAATAAGTTTTCATTTCAAGAGGCCGTGGTATTGTATTATTGATACTCTTTTCTACACATTGCCGACAATTCGTACTGATAGATCAATGAATATAAAACGAAATAGTTTATGTTTAAAAAGATGGCTTGTTGAATGGCCATTTTATGAAGCAATAAACATCGATTTCTTGAAAGATAAGATGTTATTACAAATTTTTCAATACTTCTGCCATTAATGGTTGTAAACTTCACTACATCAAAGTTTACTAGCTGGCCAGTGCAAAGCTCCTGCAGAGTTCAATGTCTTTCTCTCTATGGTAGGCTTGTCTGTAACGGAAGTCGTCGATGCATTTAGCGGTTTTAAATATCTTATTTGCGCAAGCGGTCGATGAAGTTGTGCTAATAAGCTTAAACAGTAGGTAAAGTTTAGTTTAACAAGATATTCAATGTTTAAATTTTCCTATTATACAGCGGAAATATCCTGCTTTTATGTTGCAAAATGTTGCCTTTAACCGCCGCTACGTTTCGTTTTTTTCTCAGTGAGACGTCCGTTTGAACAGTTGTGAAAGGATACTTTCAATATTAACGCTGTTGGTTTTAAATATGTGCACATGTGCGTACTCCATGTCGGGTCTTTCTTGAATAATCTTTGTTGAAAATTAAATACATCTGAAAGCAAATTGTTCACCTTTAGTTGTCTCATGCAACAGGAGAACCGTCAGACTTGGTAATATCAAGTTAGGATTATCTTTAGGAGCTTACTATTGAAGTGCTCACTACCGATGGATTGATAGTATCATGGTTAGGATCATCAGTAGCCAGTATTCAATAAACTCTATATATTAGCATAGTCACAACCATATCACAGTTAGAATCCTCAGGTATAATCTTCTTTGATCTAGATACCATCGGAAGAGAACGTCTTCATCATCGTAATGATTTTCAAGCTATGACCTCTAGACCTCGTGAAAACAAACCATTTGACATATCATGTCAGTACCCTCAGCTTTTGGATCATTCACATGGAAACTCGCGAAATGATTTGACTCAAAATACGGAAGGAGACAGTAGAGAGGTCGGAAATCGTGACAATGATAATGATAGTAAAAATAGCAAATCAAGAAGACGAAGAACAGCTTTCACAAGTGTACAATTAAAATGTCTTGAGGAAACATTCCAGACCAATAAGTATCTCACAACAATGGAACGAGACAGACTGGCACGAGCTCTTAATCTTAGCAAGAAACAAGTAAGTGATTCAGTATAAGTGATTTATGCCCGTCTTCTAAAAGCTCACTCGCATTCTCTGAGTACGACGTAAGTCGCGCTCTCTCTAATCAGTGTCATTGATATTTCTCCTGCAATGACACGATTTTTGCAAGAATATTTTCAAAGTGAGCGATCAGTGAAAATTTCGTCTTCGAATAATTATGAGATGATTTTATAAAGTACCACTTAGTTATTGTGAGTGAGCTTTTATGAAGTTATATTAACTTGGATTTAAACTTTTTCATCATAGAAAATTGTTCCTGAAGGCATATTATTTCGCTTTTAACTTTCTCAGGTAAAAACTTGGTATCAAAATAGACGAACAAAATGGAAGCGTGAAAGTCTGGGTGATCCTTTGCAAAATTTTGCTGCCAATCCTCAAACGTGTTTTCGCATACCTCGACCATCGTGTCCAAACCATTTTTCATCTTGTAATCCATATGTGTCCCTAGCTAACCCTGTATGTCCATGGTATTTGCATCGTTATAATTCTTACGACAATCTTCCGTCTTCCTATGATGTCCGACCATCTACTTTTTCACTATCAGGTTTTTCTGGGATTTCTCACACTTGAAAATCGTCGTTTCTTTCATCTACTTATGTTAGTCAAGCGATTCAAAATCGGCTAATTTTTTGCGGATTAAGCAGAGGCTAATTATCTTCATTACAAGTTATTGTAAATAGTTTGAGCAGGCAAAAATAAATGACAGTTGTGTGTAGCTGTGATCTTTCCAATATATTGTTTGTCTTGTAGTCTTTTTACGTATTTTCATCATGGCCTATAGTAAGCATTCCATTTGCCAAAATGATTTAACGTTTCGCTGAATCCCGGCTATCGTGCTCGTGTGAACTGTCTCTTAATCACTAAAATTATGTTTTGCTATATTTCTGCTCTATATTCTTCTAGATTCAGAAAAACGCGTTTTTTATGATGCTTCTCTGTAAAACACTATTTACCTAAACCTTTATATATACTACCACTTTTTAAAATTAGAATGATGTCATTGTTCCAGTTGATAAATCATTAGACTTCTTCATGCGGTTAATATTTGTAGATTTTAATTTTAAAATTCTCACCTTTCATTATTGGATTCCATTTTAAGCAACCGTGATATGCGTTGATTGTTTTGATGGTTTTCGAATCATCTATGAATAGTGTTATTTCCTGTGTTGATTTTTTCTTTTAAAAAAAAATTTATAACATATGCCGCGCACATTTCGACGATATAACCGTCCGTTTTTCAACTATGAACCATTTCGCCATATCTGAAGTTGATTTTTTTAAACGTTAGATGTTTATATTTTTTATAGCGTAAGTATTTTATTTTTTTTCGACATGTTAAAAGCTCCCAACGTTTAATAAGTAAACACTTTTCTTGTAAATTTGCTAATTTTTATATGGAAACAAATTCAAATATTTATGGATTGTTAGGTATAAGCTATCTTGATATAAACTTCATCTTGGAATGAATGTTCCCACGATCACAGCAAGACTAAATGATGATTTATTTATAACTAATGACTTTTTCTTTCGAATCGCTTGAAATTTTACGCTCAAAGCTGAACTGTTAAATTATGGAAAGAAGACAAAACATTACTAAATTATAAATTTTTCAATTTAACCGTCCTTACACGAAAAAAAAATAAATGTTATTTGAAATCCAACATTCTATACTTCACATACTTGAGCCAATTTGTAAAACATTTACGAAATTCTTTAACTTTAACCTTTGGTGGTAATTTTGTAAAGTCTTTGTGTGGCTTAAATCATTTCGTATAACTTCGTTGCTAGGAAAAAAGTTTTAGACAAGGTGGATAAGAATATTTTAATTAAAAGAGCCGAGATGGCGATTGACGACAGTTCGATATTCAATGATCTTAATTGCAAGTTTGTTTCTGTTTACATAACCTGTAAGCGTTGATTATGTGACTCACAGATATTCACTTTTATACATGCAAATTGACTTTCTCACATTCATAAGACACGCGAACATGCTTCATTTAACTGCAGTTTAAAGTGCTCCGTCGGGCTTTACGGAAATAACTTTACAGACTTCATTGATCATGTTGATGGAGTTTATTTGACGAATTCAATATATCATTGAGTGTTATAATCTTCACAAGTATCACGGATTTTATTCTATTATCGTAGACAATACCGGTGTACTTTAAAAAGATTCATTTGTCTAGCACATGAAGGAACCTCGCTCTGATTTCTCGACGGATAATGTGGTTTTTATGTATCATACGACGTTTGGAAATGCTATTGTTGTTGTTTGTTTTGTTGTTCGACGAGGTTAAGGCGATCAATAAAGAGACGAAAATAAATGGAAAAGATAGTCTTCACGATGGCCATAAGAAATCTACATACCATTATAATCTTCGTAAAGTTTATGTACGCAATGCTAGGAAACTGAATGCTAGTTGTTTGGGTAAGTTATCAATCAATTAATAATTTTTCTTATATAGATTAAACAATCTCACACAACGTACTAAATAGCTACACTTTATTTCCTTGCTTGCATTTTCCTCCGGTGTGAAAAATTGTGCTTGAACACCGCAAAGTTGAAAAAATTTCTTGCTATTTTAAACTTGTATGCTACGTCCTGATCAGGCAATTATGTCAAGGAGATAAGGATATTATAAATTTTTAACTGCTAAAGGATTTCTTTGTGTTGTTATTATATATGGAGAACATGCCAGTCTGTATTTTAATTTTTTTAGAAAAGACCTTTGTATGCCTGGTAGTCATGCTTTCGTTGACATTTTTTTATTATTACCTTTAGCTCTGTATACATGGTATAAACATCATTTTCTTGTATTTTGTAATCTTTATCGTTTTAGCTATTTGCTCCATAAAAATATATATTTCTACTAACAATGCACTTTGGGATTTTTAAACCCGTGAGCACTTTTATACAAGCTCCCTTTTATTACCGTAGATAATTTTAACGAAAGCTTCTTAATAATTTGTTTGTTTAGTTTATCTTTCCTGTGACATGACCCGACCGTCGCTTTAGGCTCTTATTGAAGACGTTCTTCGTCTTTTCGTGTCTGTTAAGATGAAGGACGAGCTAAATCTGTTATTGCATGTTCTTTTGTGTAGCGTGATTTATCGTTCAGTCATTTACATTGAGACTTTAGCTCTGTTGCTTTGTTAGGCGAATACAAAATAATATTTTGTAGCTTTTGATCTATATTTCATGAAGATAAAGTATACCAATAATTTTTGGTTCTTTTCAAAGATGATACACTATTTTTTATGGGAAAAGCGAGTGATGTTTAAAACATCGTTATGTAGCTACCTAAACCATTCTATCTTTGTAGCTATTTTAGCTATAGTGACGTATTACGTAAAAATACAGTTGTAAACTTAAATGAACATAGGTTTGTAGGATTCAATCATTTGGCAACGAATGTAGCTAATGCATGACATTTCATTAAAATACAAACGGTAATTTTTGTCGTTTATGATTTTATTAAACAAGTATTTTCTCTAATGACTCTCATTATGAGTTAAATGATAACAGCTTTTATACAGTCTGCGCCTTGTCAAAAAACCATCAATTTTTTTTTTCACTTCGACTAAGTAAAATTATACGCAGTTTTAAAAATGCCACTGCTTGTCTCAAGAAACAGTAATAGTGCGAAACTCAAAAAAAATGCGCGTCTCTTTCATTTGCCGAAGGCAATTTCTATCCAATAGGATATTATACCACATCTTAATTTTGTTTATACGGTATTATTTTATGTTGCTTCATTACCATTCGTAGCCATCGTAGCTATTTTTCATGCTTTTTTTAATGAAAAATATCTAAAGCGTTAGTATTTTTCTTTCGACCTTTCTTGACAAGATGACAAACTTTCTTATTTATTACTATATTAACTATTTTTGTGTTTTTACAGTATGGTTACAATTCAGCTTGTTAATGAATTTTTAAGATAATGAAATTTACCCTTACGATAACTTCGGAATCTTCAAAAAGACAGACATTTGCTACGTTGCCGTTTTGTTGTTTTAGTGCAATCCAAAGTTGATTGTTATCAAAGATTATATCTAAGATGTCTTGGAAGCTTCTCTTGTTGGCTTTAGATCATGAAATCTGACGTTTATCTTCACATGACGTCCTCTTTGTCTAAAGTAGCTAAATGATGTAAAATATATGTTATTACGAATAAAGCACACGACAAAAATTATCGAAGTATTTTTATAACCATGAAAAAAGCTTTACCTGAGCCCTATGTGGGGCTATTTTTGCTGGAAATAAAAATATGCAGGGAGTTGCTCAGTTATGACATTAAACTAGCAATACAACATAAAAACCCAACATAGATCCATTGCATGTTTTGAAGTTGATTTTCTAATTACATTTATGTGTCCAGGCAATGTACAATAAACATCAGTTTCCCGCGATATTTAGTGAATGCGGTGTCTCTGGTCTTTATTTTTTTTTTAATTTTTCTATAAATAACGTTGATGTTAGTTTTCATCCATATTTCGCCTTAGATGGTTCTGATGCTGCGTTCTACATCAGTCGCAATAAGAGAAATCGTAACTGGATCATTCGCCTGCAAGCTGGTGGCAGTTGCGTTCTCTTTTCTGAATGTTACGAACGGCGAAACACTGCATTTGGCTCGTCGAAATATCTTCCTCAGTTTATGACTGGAACGTTTTTGACTTCAAATGATGCCACAATCAATCCAACCTTTCATAAATGGAATAAAGTGTACATTCCTTATTGCAGGTAGTGTTCATGTTTAAAAACACACTCATTGTTTTGTACTTCTCACTCTTTGGGACAGTTTCTTGTTTGTTTGTTTGTTACTAACAAGATATAGTTTGCCTTTTATGCATTCATTCAAGGCAAGCCAATCGTTCAAAGCAGACTATTTAGGCTATTGATTCACCTAATTTGAGAATCCCAAACTGTATGAACTCATTACTTTAAAGAATTATCCAGTAGCTGATCCTGGTTATATAACCCTTGCACTAACCCTAACACTAACACTAACTACCCAACAATTTTTTTATGTAGTGGAGATCTTTTCATTGGAAGAAAACAAGCTAGTCGTCATGATTATGGTATGCCCATGCTTGGTCATTATATTGTGACTAGTATCGTTAATCAATTGATCCAAGATTATAAAATTAACAACAAACACTCCAAGGTAAATTATTGTTTGATATACATCTGTAAATAACATAAACAAGGTCTCTTTGACTGCTGTGGTTTTTTTTGCTCAGATTCTTTTTGGTGGAGCCTCAGCTGGGGGACTGGGAATGCTCAGTAACGTTGATTATGTAGCAAAAATGGTGAAACCTGCAAAGATTTTTGGCTACAATGATGGTGGATGGTTTACACTTTATCGAAATTTCCTTGAACCCAAAGGATATGGTTCTCCGGTGTTCCTCAGCTCATTGCATTATGTCAGAAGGATAATTATGTCTCATATTGTCTTTTACATATTTCTTATTTTAACGATTATCACCATTAATCCTTGTTGGTAACCCGTCATTAAAAGATGCTATCATAGTTGATCTTCATTGACATTCATCTTGTTTTTCAGTTATTTAGATATTTATGGGATGGTTTTGTGGACGAATCTTGTCGTGCTGAGATGCCTCAACCTGCTGCTTGTCTTTATGGAGAATTTGGTGAGATTTGTCTGTCGTCTACCTGATGACACTTTTTTCTAACCTATACTATGTAGTGTTTTTTTGAATATTTCTACAAATGATATTTTTTTATCAAAGAATTGAGATTTGTCAGTCGTCTACCTGATGACACTTTTTTCTAACCTATACAATGTAGTGTTTTTTTTTGAATATTTCTAAAAATGATATTTTTTTTATCAAAGAATTGAGATTTGTCTGTCGTCTACCTGATGATACTTTTTTCTAACCTATACTATGTAGTGTTTTTTTGAATATTTCTACAAATGATATTTTTTATCAAAGAATCGTTTTTTTTGTCTTTGAACAGTAATTCGATATCTTTCAACTCCGATATTTGTTATGGTATCAAGATGGGATTCTTATCAACTTAAAGAGCTTAATAACGACAAATACAGAGCTGTAAATTTACCTCCTCGTACCCATAGTGAAACAGAATATCTTGGAGAGTTTGGAAATAACACCTTTCGCTCAATAAGAAGAGTAAGTTTCTCACCATTTATGCATCTTGTATTTCTTTGTACAACTTCCTGAGGGTTATTCAATGCTTGCGGCTTAAAACGTGAATAAAATATTTTCCTTTTTACAATATCCTTCCACAATCTTTTCGTTTGTTTCAGCTGATAAAAAGCAAAAGATCGGGAGTTTTTTCTCCTGCTTGCGTTTCTCACACATTTGCTGGCTTCAACCAAACTGAAGCAGAAATAACGAAAAACTTTAAAATTGCAGGTATCCTGTATTTAACAATTCTCTCACGTGGCTGAGCATGTTATAAAGAATGATTCAGATCGAGGTCAATGATATCTGCCGAAGCGAGTTGAGCAAATCTCTAGGAAGATTATGCCGTTTTACGTTTTGTGGTTTCGTGTTTCAAGTTATAACATTAAAAATTATGTCACTTTCAGTAAAATTTCAATGTTGTTGTAGGTAGCGAGGTATTGAGAAATATATGTCGATTCTTATTCAATCACAATTTAGAATGCACCATCATTGTATAATAATAGAATTCGATCTTTTATTGGAAATTAGAATTGCATTTAGGTTGGTTTGAATTGCATTTATTGGAAATTATATCTTTTCTTTTTTCAGCGGACTCTAAGCTACTCAGTTTGCTTGTTCTCATAACATTCTCCTTCATTGTTTGTGATCAATGTTTCGAATGTTAAACTATTTTCATTTGAAGGAAATTTATCTGGAAAGAAAAAATATTCGGATTTTTATTAATGAACCATGAATATGAAATTACCAACTTTTCACTTAAGGTGTCACTTCATATGGTGCTTTGTCTGAATGGTATGTGTCGCGGGGACGGAAAGGGACATATGTGGATGCACCTTCAGAAAGACCGTATTGTAACCCTACTTGTTGTACAAAATTCTGCTTACGTTGTAGTAAGCAGACTGTGATTGTTGTCACTGGGGTAAAACGTAATGTCACTCCAGTAGAAAATAGACTTATTGAGCTCACCGCCACCACTCGTCGTAACCAAGGTAATATGGTCATTTTAAATTTAGTAGTGTGTCGAAGATCAGTCTCTGTTAAGGAGATGATGTATTACATTTTATTATTAGATAAAAATCTTGAATACGACATACATCCTTATTGGTTGAACAATAAAATTTATGTATAGTGCAGAGGAAAACTGACCTTGTGTAAACAATTTTTTATTCATTTTCGACAAACTGTATTCATAAAGAAATGCACTTGATTAAACCAAAACTTGAATTTAAACAAAGTTTTGTGTTGATAAAGAACGGAACTTAGACTGCATCTGTTTTTTTTGGTTTTATACAATTTCCTTTTGTCTATTCTGTATAAAATTTTGTAAATGATCTCACCATATAAATTTCTTTGCTCTATAAAACATTCGTTACAGCTGTCAAACATATCATCTACCGAATGCATTAGAAACGAAAGATAGATCTAAAATTATTATCTTTTGTATTTAGCAGATGAAAAGTTAGACGTTTAAAATAAGTTTTACATTTATCATTTATCTTTAAAATTTTTATAGCCTCAAAACAAAGACGAAGTATGAGCACATTATTAATGAACGTCTTTGTTATCTTTTCGCTTATTCAATGGTAAATATGGTGAGTTTTACATCACTGACAAAAAAACTTTTTAAAACATGATATTTATAGCTAGTTCATAGCATTACCTGTACATAGTTGAAGCAATATTTTTATTTCATTATTCGTAAATACCAGTTGTAAACTACAAAACATTTAATATTATATTATATGTATATTCTTTGTCCATTTGCCACCAGGAGTATTTGATCATTCAGATGAAACCATTTTTTGTAAGAAAGCTTTCGTGTGTTAATTTTCTTGCGGCATATTATGGTTGTAAAATTAATACAATTAAAGAGGCTTCATTGAGAACTATGTTGACAATACAAACAGTGACAAGGTACGTTAATCTTACGAAAGAACCACTCGAAGAACTAAGGTGATATGTCTTTATATGTGATATAAAGTGATATGTCTTTATATGTGATATAAAGTGATATGTCTTTATGTATGATATATATGATATAGAGTGAGAAATCACGAAACAGGCTTGTCGTGATGAAATTGTAGTTTTTGTGTATTTTCTTCTTCTTATCAATATATAATACTTCAACATTAACGTTTTTCCGTTTGTGAGGATTTATGTTTCAGCAATTTTATTACATGTAAATCATGAAAATAATTCCTAACTTTGTTTTGATTTGTTCATCACCTAGGTGACGTTACATTTTATATTTTTGTAAAATTCTAAACAACAAAGTTTCGCCTGTGGTGTTGGAAACTTATTCTTTTACATGGAGGTTTCATTTCATTCCATACTTCATTCCATAGCTTTACCATTTTTTACCATTTCGGCTATGACTGCTCACGGCTACTCGGCTAGTTTAGGGTTTAGTTCGTTTGACTTGGCTTATGAGTTCCGCACATTTGCGAACTCAAGAACATCGCTCAAACGACGGTCAAGTTGTTCAAAGAAAACAAATGTTTTCTTTAACTTTCCTCTTTTTGATTACCACAAAATTGGACTCACATGTATAGAAAATCGCAAATAATAATTCTACTATTAAAATGGACGGGTTTGAGAAATATTTTTGGAAGAAATGGCCAATATGTAAAAGGGTAATTTTTGCGCATTTATTAGTAATTTATATGGACTCCATGCGTGACCGCGCGCTCGGCCCAAAGTTTTTGCACCCCCTGCAATATGGCTACGATAACCTTGAAAAGGTCTATTGGTGCTCACTCTGGCTTTGAAAATTATTAACACCATTTAATTCTTCTTGGAGTTGCTTAATAGTCTCGTGTTTTTGTTTTATCTTAAACTTCAATCGATTCATGTCCGCAGAATATTCGGGATGTTTGTCTTTAAGTTCACAATAAGTAAACGCGGAACATTTTTCAAGAATACACGGTTTAGTTTTTGTGTTTCTGTGACCTCGGTGGTGGCAGTTGCTGCAGATGACTTTGTAATTACCAATCATTGGTAATTCAGGAACATTTAAATTCATTGATTCTAATTGCACGTTCATCTCTTCCAAATCTTGTTTGTTGTGATGAATTGAGTCTTCGATTGTCCTTCGCCGATTTTCCAATGAACGTTTAGCGGGTATACTTGTATCCTATTTCAGATAGTTAAACGCAACATTATAAATTTATACATTTATTTTTATTGTGACAACAAAAACAATGACGCACGAAAGTATTCAGTTTTAAGAAATATGTCACTTTACGACCTACCTCGTACGAAGCAGATGGATTTTCATCCACGTCAAGACAGCTTTTTGATTGAGATTTTGAAAGTTTTAATAACGGTGACTGCTCCCGCAGCAAATCGAGATGAAATTCTAAAACTTTCCTTGCCCCAAGCGGCAAGTTCGTATTCCTTAAAAGATGATCAAGATTTTCATTACTTAACAATTTCAGCGACAGTCGTGAAGAAAATTCATTTTCTTTCAAAGCTTTTTCTATTACTTCATGACTTTGTTTCCCAATTTTATCCTTAAAACTATTAAGAAACTCCTCCAATTCATCTGCCATTATCAGTGAACAATTTATTTAGCTTTTACTTGCCTACAACACAGACCTTTCGCGTTTGCCAGTACTTCGCAACTTTAGTTCACAACTTCAGTACTCAAGTTCCCATATTCAGTACTCAAGTACACAACTTCAGTACTCAAGTTCCCAACTTCAGTACTCAAGTACACAACTTCTGTACTCAAGTACACAACTTCAGTACTCAAGTTCACAACTTCAGTACTCAAGTACACAACTTCACTACTCAACTACACAACTTCAGTACTCAAGTACACAACTTCAGTACTCAAGTACACAACTTCAGTACTCAACTACACAACTTCAGTACTCAACTACACAACTTCAGTACTCAAGTACACAACTTCAGTACTCAACTACACAACTTCAGTACTCAAGTTCACAATTTCAGTACTCAAGTACACAACTTCAGCACTCAAGTACACAACTTCATTACTCAAGTACACAACTTGTCAACTCAAGTTGACAAGTTCATAACGAATATTCCATATTTGGAAATGTAGTTGGCATCAATAGAAAGTAACTTGGCAACCGCCATTTGACCAGCTGGTTGTCGTTGGTGTTTGGACTCATATTCACTGAAATCGAATCATACATCATCTACTGGATTGCTGAATATTAACCATCAGTATAAAGTGTACGAGGTTAGTTACTTTATATGACTATATATTGATATTTTTTGTAGTGGAGCCTTCACGGATGGCTTTCAATCCTTCTATTTGTGGCTTTAGTACATTTTTGATGCAAATGACGTTATAGAGGAAGGTGATAAATCCTCACCTCTGTTGCAAAAAAGTCGCGTTTACCAAAAGTATTTCCATTAATTCCTTTTCTCTGACTTTCATTGATATTTTGACGCGTTCTACTACATGGACGTACGCTACTGTTTTACTTTCATTTTCACAGAGACATAAGCCGGTTTTTATGCCTTACAAACTTATATGAAGATTTCAGTTGATGTTTTTTATTTTTATTACTGGATAAATTTAAAGATTTGTGTTGGATTTATTGTATTCATCAACTGGGCTCAAAACAATTACAAACATGAGGGTAGTTAGAACACCGTTTAAACGTTGAAAATTTAAACTTCCTTACACCAAGAATATTAGAACGTTGTTTAATTTCATCCAGAACTTTTTTATTTTGAGCCAAGTATATAACATTTCTTGTACACGTATCACGTTATCTTTGCCAAAAGCTATCAACTAGTCTCTAGCAAATATTTAAATATATACAATTAGCTCTCCGACTTATTTCAAATAATATCATCAATTTGAATTTTTTAATTAAGGAGTTTTAGCAAGAGTACGACTACGACTACGAGTACGAAATTTGACCGTGTAAGGGAATGGCACGAGAAAGTTTGCTGTCGTTGTCGCTTCGTCGAAATTTTGCTTGAGTTGTAAACAACAGAACGAGCCTTTTTATTGTGTAAAACACCGACGTTTGCGAAGCAGCTACGGCTCTATTTGTTAATAATGATATCAATGAATCGATAATACTGTTTTTGCGAGAATATAGGACTCTTTAGACAGAAAAATCTTCACTATTTTAAGTTTTATGTACGATGTATTTGTACTATTTTATTGTTTGTTTACCTTGCACTTTGCGTACGAAATACATGAAAGTTTTGCAGGTCATATTTTCCTTTTTAATGTACATCTGCGCTCAAAAAGGGTTCTAAATTAAAGCCTGGATGCTCGAAAATAGTACTGTAAACTAATTTCTTACAGAATGAAGAAATATACCTACTTTCTTTGCTTAAAAAGACATCGTAGTCGCGACTACGAATTTTTTACAAAACATCGTATTCAGATTGATGATGGCTACGTGTTTTTGTTGTCGCTACAATGTTTTCGCGCCAAAATGACGTAAATCGTACTCGTAGTCGTACTCGTAGGCTCTGCTAAAACTCCCTATTATCGTTTGTTGTGGTCAATGGATGGTCGTTAGATTTGATAAAAACTATATGTACCTGAAATAGTAAACTTTTCGAAAGTTACTGTTTTATGTTTTATGTTTACAGTTAAAGATTATTATCTTAAAAATATGCCAAACTTGTGGAACAATTGTTCATGAAATACAATAGAATTAGTTATTTATATCAAATATTTTCCTGTCACATTTTGTGTTTGAAACATGTCTACTTTAAACCTTGAGATTTACTATCTATCTATGTATGTCATTAATTTGTGGGTTTTAGAAGTTTATCAGATTTTCCTTTTCTAAAAAAAACATTAATTTTTGTTGATTTTGGTTTTAATAAATATCCCAAACGTACAAAAAATATGAATGGAGATTTATTTTTTGTCTTCATTTTGTATCTTATCCATCATATACTCGATTGAACAATTTATTATTTTTCTCCGTTTTCAAAGCTAAAACGTTTTTTTATTTCATTTTATTTACTTGGCTGACTACCTCATACTCTTGAAGATTATCCTACACTCTGAAGGTCAAGATCGAAGTGTGGCTCCATTAAATTGCACGTTTTTCTTTAAATTGTAGTCGGTTTTATCCTGTCATCATGAAAGAATCTCGTTTTTACGTAGAGATGATTTTCGTTTTGTTGGTCTTAGTTGTTGAATCTTCAAGTAAGTAAATATTTTTACGTTATGTCGTGTTTGTATGCGAAATTCTCTCTGCTTATTCCAATCTAATTAATTTGTACATTATATACATTTTTTATGAGTACTTTATAAATACATTTGTGTACTATAAAAACAATTGTGTTTACAATAAAACTCTTTTTACATACACTACGTAAAACTTTATGTTAACTGTGTCAACTTTTCTTTTCCTTTAGAGCCATTACCCAGCGAGCCTTATCTAGTTTATTCTAACCTCACCAACCTACATATTATTGATCTAAAAACCTGGCGGAGCATAAATATACTTGGTGGACTGGACCTAGTTGTACCTCTTGGAGTAGATACTAAAAACCAACACATCTACTTTGGTGAACATGTTTTGGGAAAAATTTATCGAGTGAATTATAACGGTAGCAGTCAGGAATTGATTATGGAGAACGTCACAAATATCGAGGGATTAGCGATAGATTGGATCGGACGAAAAATCTATTGGACAGCTTTTTTGTCGGAAACGATTGAGGTAGCGACTCTTGACGGCAAGTTCCGAAAGGTCTTAGTTAACACTGGACTTCAATATCCTCTCGGCATGGCAGTTGATCCAATTGCAGGGTAACGGTTTCAGTGATTTTTTTAAAACCATCTTAAGAATTCTGTTTTTTTGCAAAATGTTTATTTTGTAAAAGTATTTCACTTTACAACACAATTTAACTGACTTCTAATGATGTCTTATTCCAATATTTTAGCTTTCTTTTCTGGACTGACTGGGGGGTAAATGCCACAATTGAACGATGTGATTTGGACGGATCCAATCGAGTTATTTTAGTTAGCAGAAACATCGTGTTGCCACATGGCATCACCCTTGATCTAAATACGAGACGAGTTTACTGGATTGAATCTTGGTACGACACCATCAGTTCAATGGATTACGATGGTAGAAACAGAAAAGTAATATTTGAAAATACTGGATTGTCCATCTCTAATCTCTATGGTTTTGATTTGGACATAACAGGAGATTCAATCTACTTCACAGATTGGCAGTTTAACCTGATTATTGGAGTTAATATCAACACTGGTGCAATTTTTAAAAATATTTCTGTTCCGACATCTTTATCCATGCATGGTTCAATGGGACTTCGAATTATTGATAGATCTAAGCAGCCAGACGGTTAGTCTTAAATGATTTTTCTTAAAGTGAGCCAATCACTTTATAAACAAACAACAACAACAAACAACATTTGTATACCGGCCAGTATTAATCCCCGCCAGGGGGGTTGACCGGTCCATGAATTTTTCTACGCCAAACGTCTCTATCTCTCGCCATATCTCTCGTTATACCCATCGCCTTCATATCACTGTTCACAGCATCCATCCATCTCTTTCTCGGTCTACCTCGTTTGCGGACTCCATCAACATTCATATGCAACGTTCTACGAATTTCAGCACTTTCTTCCCTCCTTTCCACATGCCCAAACCACCTCAAACGCTGGCGCCTTACCCAATTCTCGATACACTCAACACCAACTCTTTCTCTAATCTCTTCACTTCGAATCCTATCCATCAACGTTACACCACACATCATCCTAAGCATTCTCCTTTCCGTCAACGCCAATCTTCTCAGGTCCTCTGCTTTCGGCGCCCAACACTCTGCTCCATATCCCAAAACACTTCTAACACATGCCTTATACAATTCTCCCTTCTGCTTCAACGAAGTCGACTTTCCGCACAACATTCCCGACAACTCTCTCTAAAACTCCACCACGCTGCTTGAACTCTGTTCCTCACCGCTTGCTCGCACCCTCCACCATCATTTAACACATCGCCCAGATATTTAAACTCCGATACACCTTCCAAACTCACGTCACCCAGTTCAAACCGTTCAATCGCGACTCGCCCACCACTTCGACACGTCCCGCACTCAAAATCAGTTACTCTTGTCAATGCACCACGGACACCTGAACATCTTCCATGAACCCACTTACTGCATTTCCCACACATTATCGAATTCACTCCAACTCTTTTCCCACACACACTACATGGCCATTTATCACTGTCCTTCACCTCCACCTGCCTCGAGCATCTCATGCCCGTCGTCTTTGCCTCATTCACTTTCAGTCCCTTGACTTCTATTGCCGTTTTCCATTCTTGGTACCATTCCATGACTTTCTGCTTCGACTCCGCCACCAAGACAATGTCATCTGCATACAACAAACACCAGCATCCTTCTTTTCTTCTCACTTCCTCTGTCAGTACATCCATCACACATGGAATTGACAACGGTTAAAAATGTTAAAATTGTAAATAAAGGTGAAAGAAATTGTTAACTTTTGTTTGTGTTTTCTCCAATAATATTTACGTTTATTAATTTATAGATGACTCAAGATCATCGACAACATCGTCCACAACATCATCGACAACATCGTCATTAAACGCTCTTATAATTGTTGGTGTCATTGTAGCAATTGTATGCATTGTTGTAATGATTTTGGGTGTTTTGCTGTGGAAGAAATGTCGCAAATCAAGAAAGTAATTCTTTCATTTCTTTAAAATTAATTTTCTTACTTCTTTTAATTTTTCATCACCCTTACGTTCTTTGTGTTCTTTTTCATTTAAATATATAACTTGATCCGTACCATCTAACCATTTTTATTTTATCTTAGTAATCCAATTCCTCCCGGTGTTTTTCCCGTCCCAGAAACACACAATACTCAATTTTCAAACGCTGCGTTCGACCCACTCGATAAGTTATCCTAAAAGGACGTAAAAAGAACATTTTAAATTAACGTTCCGTTATCTTTAGTGCATGTCGTCATGTAACCTAATACCTTCTAAATCAATGTATATACTCAGTAAATAATAAATAATCTGTCAGTTGCCTGAAGATCGCCCTACGGCGTGAAACAATGAGTAGCAACAGTAAAAACTTGTCCATTTTATTTCATTTTCTATATACTTATATAAATAAGTTTAAAGATTGGTAATCGAGGCATATTTAATCTATAAAAATAAAAGATTCCCCGGATTGTATATAATAAGTTTTCTTTTTTGTTTTTTTTTGTTTTATATATATATATATAAGTTTGAAGAAAGGTAATCCAGGCATTATTGTTGAAAAATAAAAGGTTCGTTCGGATTTTTAAAAATAATTTTATTGAGCTTTCGACTCGGTGCTTCGAGCCTTCTTCAGAATAAGAAAGTTATTTGCTATGTACATTTGTGTTTAGTTTGTGTAGTAAGTTTAGCTGTTCTAATGTCGACGACTCTTTGCGCGCGGAATAATTCTCATTTTCTCGTTCTGACAATATCAATCCCTATGTAGGTTATACATAACTGCATGTTGATATCTCTGTAATAAAGTCGTCGCGAATGGTTTTCAATACTTTTATTCATGCCTTGAGTATATTTTTGATACAAATAACGCTATATAGTTAGGTGAATACGGAGTTGGGAGATAATCTTAATCCTATTGCAAAAAAGTCGCTTTGTTCAAAAATATTATTATTAATTTCTTTTTTCTCGGAATTTCATTTTTATAGTGATATGTTCTACTTCATAGGAATATTCTGCTTTTCTACTTTTATTGCGTATTTCTGTGATATCTTAAGATTTCATTCAGGAGATGTTTGGATTTTTATCAATCAAAAAAAAACTAAGATTGTCGTGTTGGATTTATTGCGCTTAACAACAGAACATAAAACAATAACCGACATGGCGAGAAGTTGGATAACGCTAATTTGTATATATTCATTTATCTTTAAGTCGTATAGTGAATTTGGAATTTTTAACTTATCCATTTTTTAGTCTAGGTGGATGTTATACGTTGTTTTTGTTAGTGATTATCTTAAAAACATGCTAAGCACGAGAAAAAATAGCTCATGAACTATAGTCGAATTATTGAGGCATATCAAATATTCTCCTGTTGTGTTATTTTGTGTGTGTTGTGTTTGTATAGCTTGTTAATTGCATCTCTTAAAATAAATCATTAAAAATTTAACATTCTTCCAGGAGCCTCATTTCCATTTTAAGTAAAATAAAACCATTGAAGGAAAAGAATATGCGTCATTCGAGACTTAATATTCAGATTTTGTGCAAATAGCACATATTTGTTAAGTAAAATAAGTACGTCTCACGCTTTTAATGACGCGAATTGAGATAAAGAATCAAAGAAATGATTGTTGTTCTAGAATTTATCATTTTATTTTTAGTCATCTTTGTTATGTTTAAATTACTTAATGTTCTTTGTTCTTTCTGTGTTAATTAAAGTGTTGAATGAAATCTTTTTTGCCTTGTTCCATCGAAAAAACTCGAATAAACAATTTATTATCTTTATTGGTTTTCAAAAGGTAAAACAATTTATCATTTCATTTTATCCACTTTTCTGACTATCTCACATTTTTAAAGATTATCGTTCCCTCTAAAGGCCAAGAGAGAATTGTGGTATCATAAATTTTACGTTTTACGCTTTTCCACCTTTGTGCAACAATAAACATACCTAAAGGCATTTAAATAATGTCTCATGTGTCATTATTAATATTTCTTTACATTGTAGTCTGTTTTATCCTCTCATCATGGAAGAATCTCGTATTTGTGCAGTGATGAATTTCGTTTTGTTTGCCTTAGTTGTTGCATTTGCAGGTAAATATTAAATGTTTTTACGTTGTGTCATGCTTATATGAGACATTCTCTGTTCTAATGAAATCACTCGTGTTATTTTAAACATATTCAGACAATAGTGTTTATATGTAAGTCTGTGGGGTTACAGAGTTTAAGTTCAACAAACAAAGTAAATCATTCTGTTGCAATTTTGCAAAAGAAGTTATACTTAATAACCTTTAATTTACTGTTCTTTCTCTAAAAAAATCCCAAGAATTACTTTTTGAAATAGAAATCTTCAACTGATTTCACAAATCCCGAGATCTTGAGATAAAATCCTCAGGTTGACGAATCTGTTGTGCACTACGTCGTTTCCCTTTGTACATTTTACACATCTCTTATGAGTACTTTATAAATACATTTGTGTTCTATATAAACAATTGTGTTTACAATAAAACTCTTTTTACATACACTACGTAAAACTTTATGTTAACTGTGTCAACTTTTCTTTTCCTTTAGAGTCATTACCCAGCGAACCTTACCTTGTTTATTCTAACCTCACCAACCTACATATTATTGATCTAAAAACCTGGCGGAGCATAAATATACTTGGTGGACTGGACCGAGTTGTACCTCTTGGAGTAGATACAAAAAACCAACACATCTACTTTGGTGAATATGTTTTGGGAAAAATTTATCGAGTGAATTACAACGGTAGCAGTCAGAAATTGATTATGGAGAACGTCACAAATATGGATAAATTGACCATAGATTGGATTGGACGAAAATTGTATTGGACAGATTATATGTCGGAAACGATTGAGGTAGCGACTCTTGACGGCAAGTTCCGAAAGGTCTTAGTTAATACTGGACTTCAAAATCCTCTCGGCATAGCAGTTGATCCAATTGCAGGGTAAAGGAATTTTTTAAAATCATATTGAGAACATTGTTTTTGTTTTTTCAAAATGCTTATTTTTGAAAGTATTTCATTTCACAACACAATTTAACTGACTTCTAATGCTATCTTATTCTTCAATTTTAGCTTTCTTTTCTGGACTGACTGGGGGGTAAATGCAATGGTTGAACGATGTGATTTGGACGGATCCAATCGAGTTATTTTAGTTAGCAGCAACATCAGATGGCCCAACGGCATCACCCTTGATCTTAGCACAAGACAAGTTTACTGGATTGATGCTTGGCACGACACCATCAGTTCTGTGGATTACGATGGCATGAACAGAAAACTGATCTTTGAAAATACTGGATTATCCATCTCTGATCTCCATGGTTTTGATTTGGACATAACAGGAGACTCAATCTACTTCACAGATTGGCTTTTAAACTTGATTATTGGAGTTAATATCAGAACTGGTGCAATTTTTAAAAATATTTCTGTTCCGACATCTTTATCCCTCCAAGGCTCAATGGGACTTCGAGTTATTGATAGATCTAAGCAGCCAGACGGTGAGTTCTAAATCATCATATTTTGAAACAGTTTTACTACACATTCATTCCAGTTTAATTTACCGCAGGATCACATAAATTTTCAACAAGGTCTTTCTAGACGTTTGCATCCGAAAGTTGATAGATTTTAAGAACATCAATTTTTAATGAAGAAATATATAACTTTTCTTCGCTGGACATATATGACAGTGAGAAAAGTCGATTCCCTTCAAAATTACTTGCCACACATTCTAAGTTACATATAAAGATATGACATTTGCTACAGCGCAACTTTTTGCAGAGTTTAGGCACGATCTATTGAGCGATTAGAACAAAACCTTACGTGCTAACTTCTGAGTAATTAGTCTCATTTTCTGCAATAACTAAGTCTTAAAATCTAGGTAGAAAGACCACATCATGACTTTAATATATTTTTGTAGGAATCATAATTTATGATGACTGCATCGACTACCATGAAAAAGGATGCAGGTAAGTTGCAAATATCAAGATGTCGCAACATGTTTTTGCATGGCCCATCTCCTATCCATAAAAGTTTGTTCTGATTCGTCTGGTTATCTTGCTATATTGTACCCACGGTTTTTTGAGGATATGAATCGCAGAGTTCTTTTAGGGCTTTTCAGAATGGATTAGCGAGGTCTTTCGATTATCTACGCCAATTCTTCGATATTTATTTCCCGGGAGAACGATAAATTTTCAGAATTGAACAGCAGTATTGTATTGAAAGTTATTTAGCAGCACTAAAACTTGAGAGATCGCTACCCTTATGGGTATAATACAGCAAATATTGGCGAGGATTAAATGACACGATAAATTGTATTAAAAATCAAATGTATACGTCGATATAGTCTAGTGCGTTAGATTATACAGAATTTCATGTGTAAATTCCATTTTATTTTTGCCCTCCTGAGCACAGAGTCCTTCCTTTCATGAAAATGGAATATTTTACTTTAGCAGCTCTGAATATTTGTCTTCTATCAAAGCAAGAACTGCAATCGGTTATTACAATAAAAACAACAAACTCCCTTGTAAAAGACGTACTCACTCTCAAATTTGTGGCGGGTATGGCTGGACGAAATTGGGAACAGTAAACACGACGTTGATGGTAAGAACATGATATTGGAAAATGTTTACTTGAAAAGTTTGCTAATACATAAATCTATGTATCAGGGTAGTGAGCTAATGATTTCATGATTTATATGAATAGCTTGACTAGAACTTTTTAATTAGATTTCACAAATGTTCTTTTTATTTTTGCTAATAAACCACCAACGAACATACAATGCATGCATTGAAATAAGAATTTTAACAGGCACCCATTTTAACTCACTTAAAATTTTTTCCCATGGGTTCAATTGGCTTTCTTAATGTTCCACAACTGTCACACTAGTGTCTCACCTCTAACTTTCATCCCATTTTTCTTTTACGCATTCCAGGTGTGAACGATCAATTTAAAGTTATTTTTGTAATATTTTTCATTCAAGCAATCGCTCTATTATAAGTGCCAAAATCAAATGACAAAAGCTTTAATTACTTCCATTGTATGTTAAGAATGCAATATGTTTTAATCCTTTTTCGATAAAGGATACATATTTTCATTTACAAGAAAACTAGTGTGTAAGGAAACGCTTATTTTCATTGTGTTTGAAAGAAACGAGCTTATTTTAATTGTTGATGTTGGAGTAAAATGGAATTTAAAGTTTGTGACACGTTATAAATTGGATGCTTATAGAGAACAATGACTAAGTTTTCATTGGACAAAACTGGAAGTTCTGTTTAGGAAATAATTTTATTGTGAACTGACTTAAAGCGAAATTAACAAGCATGATTTGTGTTCTAGTACAATGCAACTTGAATATTTAAATTATTTATAGCATATTGACAATTAAAGTGCCAATATCAGTCAAGAAAATAACTTCTATAGATTCATGGCCTAGAAGTACTTGACTCCACAATCTTGATGTAGGCACTTTACGTAGTTTATTTGTCTATCGCCATCGATAAACGTCACGTGATTGATCTTATAAACCCCTGCATTATACGTTATAGCCGTTCTAGGCGGTGGCGTTGCATAGATCACTTTTTTTGTGAATCACTATATTAGTAAACATTCATCTTCTCTGAGCTCATGAAGTTAGAATTTCGCACTCAGAAAATTATTTCATTTAGGATGCTTCTTACAACTCGGCTATATGGACATCATCAGGCCCATATCAAACCGCATTTAATCCCATGTTTTGGAGCACAAATGTCAGCGAAGTGTGTGTCATGGCTGGTGGTATCCATTTTAATGTTTCAGTTAAGGCTCCTTCAATGCGTAGTCTGTTTTTCGAGAAAAAAAAGTTGTACTTGTCTTCCCAAGAATGGTTGAAAGGTATCAAAAATTCCAATTACACAACAAAGTTTAACTTCGTCCCAGGCTGCTACGAAGCAGGATTTAACGTTGGGGATCATTACAATTCAACATCTTTGCGTGCACGCTTTGGAATTGTCAGCCTGAAAAAAGAAGGTGGGCGTTTGGTAAAATATATGACAAATAATATCAGTAAAATGAACTTTAAAATACATCTGACGGACGAAATTGATTAAATTGACAAGTGGAAGATTTGCAAAATCAATTCTTTATAAATGTCGGCACCACAACGGAAAAAAATGAAGACGATTTTTTCATGTCACTCACAAATGCAGCATAGTCAAGCTTGCCATGCAGAAATTTTTTATTTTAAGTTTGAGGTGTACACGAATTGATATCAAGAATAATACGGCGATGAAAAAGTGTTTATTGTCATTCAACTTTATTCATCTTTTGACAGGTTGTCCCAGTGAAGATCAAGCCATTGGTATAGGATTACACATTCCAGGTAAATACCGTCCGTTAACAATATACTCATCCGCATCCTGGTATTCAACTGAAGTGGAAACTGAGTACATCAAAATTTACGTACGCTCACGTTCTGTCAACTACAAGCCGTTGTGATGACGAATGTTCCTTTACAAATAAAGAAAATCGAAAAAAAAAATGGCCGGCTAAAGTTTTAAATGCAGAGTCCCAAGTCAAAGAACGCTTTGGAAGTAGGGTTAGGATTTCTGTGGTGAACTTTACGGATTAACTCTTGGGATTTGGATTTAAAATTGAAGCAAGATGGCAACGATAAAGCTTAGTGATGTATTACATTCACGAAATAACATACACGACATTCTGCAGTAGGATTTTCCACTCTGAATTCACGTGTAATCATTTTTAAAGCAATTCACGAGAATGCATCGAGATTTCAAATCAAGATTTTTTAATAATTGCACAATTAAATTACGCATGATTGTATATTTCCTACCAGTTGTGATCATTCACTTTCAGATAATTTTCATTATTGTTGTACGTAGCAGGACATGGATATTTATCTGTAGACTCTTATCAAATCACTGAATCACCATTTAGATTGCACCAACATTGTGTAATGATCGAAATTAAAGTTTCAGGTATGTTTTATTGGAAATTAGAATTGCAAGTATGCTTTTAGCGGAAATCCGTGTCTTCTCTTTTTTTCAACGAAATCTAAACCAGTCAGTTTGTCATAAAAAGCCGATTTTGAAAAAAATCAAATGACAGCCATGTGTTTCACAGTTTCTAAAAACGACATGGGAATGCTTTTGAGCCAAAATGATGCGAAAAAACTAAAAAAGCGACAAATCTGGTTTTGAACATATTTACAGCGAAAAACTTGAAAAAACCGTTTGACATGGACAAAATAGCGAAGGTTTGAAAATATCTTACAGTGATAATTTTAAATAATTTTCTCTTCGGTAGGTAACATTAACCTCGGTCTGAATGGTTTTTGATATCATGCTAAACCTCATCAAGTAATTGTTTAGTATACTAAAGAATGAAAATTATCGTATGTAGACAATTTTTTATTTGTTTTCTATTGCGATAAACTTGATCCATTATGAAATCCACGTGATTAAACCAAAATTTGAGCTGAAACAAAGTTTTATGTTGAAAAAGAACGGAACTTAGACTGCATCTGTTTTATTTGTGGTTTTATATAATTTCCTTTTGTCTATTCTGTATAATATTTTGTAAATGATCTCATCATATAATTTTCTTTGCTCTATAAAACCTTTGTTACAGCTGTCGAACTTATCATCTAACGAATGCATTAGAAACGAAAGATAGATCTAAAATTATTATCTTTTGTATTTAGCAGATGAAAAGTTTGACGTTTGAAATGAGTTTTACATTTATCATTTATCTTTAAAACTTTTATAGCCTCAAAACAAAGGCGAAGTTTGAGCACATTATTAATGAACGTCTTTGTTATCTTTTCACTCTATGGTAAATATCGTGGGTAACATAATACAAATGTCGTTTTAACTTTGACAACATCAATAACTCCAAATCTAACACTAATCCTAACTCTATCTGCTACACTAATCCATACCGCCCTCCATGCAGGAACGCAAACAGTAAACTTAACATTTATCCTAATCTACTAATCCTAACCTAACCCTAACCCTAACCCCAACCTAGTCCTAACCCTAACCTTAATCCTAACCCTACTGGAACACCTGTTCATTTAAAGAACGGTATTTATCTTTACATCCTTTTCAAACAATAGGCAAAGTTTATTTTATCAAGATTACAGTAGATCATTCTCCATATTATTGATTATACGTGACTAAGGTTAGAAATTACTTTTTTAATTAAATTTTTAGCGCCATTGTTGTCCTTTGCGAAATATTCCCCTTATAATGCTGTGTTTAATCATGCGCATGTTTGTGTACTTTCATATCGCCAGCAACAAATCCAAGTTAACATCAAATCGTTGAGAATGGTACGTCGTTTTCTGAAAACTACTGAAAATTGAATCATATTATCTATAAATTAGGTGAGGATTTATGTTTCAACAATTTTATTGCATGTAAATCAAGAAAATAATCCCTAACTTTGTTTTGATTGTTTACCATGGTTACAATCACGTTTTACATTTAGTGTAAAATTCTATACAACAAAGTGTCTCTTTGTCTCTCGCGGTCGTAGAAACATATTCTTTTGAATGTAGGTCGCATTTCATTGCACATTTCGATGCATGTCTTTAAATTTACCTTAAATTACTTATTTAAATTGCAGTTGTTAATGACATTTGAACATTGTCCTGTTTCATTGTTTAACCAGCAGGTTTTCAATGCTTAGAGTCATATTATCAAAACTACATTGAATCGTACATAATCTTCTGGGTTGTTGAAGTTTGACCATCAATATAAAATATCCCAGGTCAGTAACTATAAATGACTGAATATTAATATCTCAGTATCTCTTGTAATAAAGCCCTCAAAGAGGGCTTTCAAATATGGCTTAATTAAAGTTTTCATGCAATCAAGTGCTTAGAACATCTACAAAGTTTCTTTGATTTAATATCTCTTTGCTGAATTCTCATATCTTTTCATTTATGTGATTTACTGCGTATAAGAACGTAGTAATTTCATTTTCGTTTTAAACAAAAGTGATCTCAACTGCGTCACAAACGTGAATAAAATGTAGGATAATTTACAGAATTCTGGAGCACTTCGTTGATGTTCTTGATTTTTACTTTTGTAAGATTTATGATGGTCACGTTTGAATTATACAGAAATTAAAATTATGACTTGTTGCGAATATGTTTAAATAAAATAGCTCAAAATACTTAGAAGATATGGAGCATGTAGAAATTTACATAAAACATTATGAAATATTCCACAACCTAGCTTACTTCCATCTTTTCGTTTATTATAAATGTTCAAGAGGTTTTCAATTCTGCTGGTTATTTAAATCAATTCCTATAACTATGAGTAGCGTTTTGTTTAAATTTATAACATTTGTAGTTTCTACACGAGATTCTCCACTAAAACCAACAACACGTCATTAAGTTATATAAGCTGTGTCGTAACATGAATTCTAGCATACTTTCGCGGGATTTTCTTACAAACTCATTTTATTAGTTTGTCAGAAGTATTTGATCATTACTTTTGTGAAAAGGTGACTTTATTCAATAGTTGGCCTCATGATAGCAATGATCTCATTATAATATGCGTAACTAGGCCATTAGTAAAGAATGCACATCTGCTAAACCTTTACTTCTTCATTTTGAATAATGATTAGCTCAAACTTATATATTTCTCTAAGTTGTTGACAATGCAAATAAATAAAAAAACATTATGACAAGCGTATAGCTTCTTTATCGAAAGTTTATTTACTAAAAATGCCGAATATTTAAATTATAAACCTAACATATTGGAGTTTGTGTAATTGTAAAACATACTTGAATTATCGAGTGTCAGAAGAATTTATTCTTATCAACTCAAGTAAAACCTTTCACACGACACTGGTTTTTAAGTTCGTTGTTTTTGCTGATTTGGCAATTGTAAATTTATTCATGTGCAATGCTTGCAAGTAGTTTAAAACACCTGTCTTATGTCTAAATTGGCAATGTTTTGAAGCAATCTTTTGGCTAGCCATGCATGTATAAAGATGCGTTTGTTGAAACAAAATTGTTTATAATCTGGATAAATTTCTTTTCGGGAGAGACTGCTTTTTTCATTCGAAGTTGTTAATATGTTTGTTTACGATTGAATCGCACAAACCAAGTCAGCCGCTTGTCTTCCATTTGCTACGTACGTATATACGTATAAACTCTTTATCCTTACAGCCTGTAACTCACACATCAACGCGCAGGAGGAAAATAATAGTAACAGAATGTTTTTGAAAGCTGACTTGATGAATATTACGTTGATTGTAATTAAAGACAAATTTTATTTACTTTACTTTTGTTGTGGACATTTTACATCAATCTGATTTTTTTCAACTTATCTATTGTTGATGCATAAAAGGATGCTGGATTTTATAAAAACTTTAAATACGTGAAATGATAAAGCTTTCCAAGATAGTTATCATTTTTATGTTTATGTTAGAGATTGTCTTTAAAATTCGCCGATCTCGAAGAAAAATTATTCATGAATTATTTTGGGCCAATTAAATGTTGCCCTGTACCACATTTCGTGTTTTAAACATGTCTACTTTATAGCTTGTCGTATACCATCTATCTATCTATGTCATTAATTTGTGAGTTTTTTGGATTCCAAGAATTGTTTTCCATACGATATTTCCTGTCCTTAAATGGCTACAATTTTATATGCTGGACATTCTGTTTCACTGATTATTATGTATTTGTATTATGTTCTTTGCAAAATTTATACATAGCGTTTTTAAAGATGTTTTATATGAAAGTGGAGACATAAGAAACATTCGTCAGTCGAGACATAATATTCGCATATTTTGTATAATTTTAGCATATTTGTTACCTATAATTAATATGTTCTAATAAATATCCCAAGCGTATAATGAATACTAATAGGATAAGACATCGAAGTAATGAATGACTGTTGTTCCATAACTTATCTTTTTACTTTTTTGTCATCTTTGTTATCTTTGCTTATTTCATATTCATAGTTCCTCCTTTCAGGTTTAAAATCAAATCCGTTGTATTTTGTCCACGCTACCTCAAATGAATTATTTAATTAATATTTTGCGCAATGCACATCTTCTATTTCATTTATCAACTTGCTGAACGTTGATAAAAAGGTCAAGAGCGAATTCTGGCCTCATTAAATTGCACATTTTTATGACGATATTTAATATTTTCTACCTGCGAACACCACAAAACATACCTTAAGGAATTTGAACAATGTCTCGTGTGTCTTCATTTATATTTCTTTACATTGTAGTCGGTTTTATCCTGTCGTCATGAAAGAATCTCGTATTTACGCAACGATATGTTTCGTTTTGTTGGCATTAGTAACTGTATCTGCAGGTAAACATTAAATATTTTTACGTTATACGTTTTATTTCTATGTGAAATTCTCTTTGCTTCTCAATGTGGCATGTCGCCAGTTAAATTTGCAAAATTTGATTCTTGTTCATTCCAAATTACTTACATATATAATCACATGGAATGATGAACGATGTCTAAAGACGTGTTTATCTCTCAGTTCATAGATTTTCAGTTAGATTGTCCCGTTTTTAGTGAAGAAATACAATCATTTCTTTCCACTCAGCTCGATGTGAAAGATACGATAGCATATTATTTCTTTTGATTTTTTTATTGCAACAACGGACTATTACAACTTTTCCTTTACTTTCCTATTTCTTGTTGTAATTTCTATTTTTACGTCATAATTTTAATGTTTGATGACTTGTGTGTATCACTTAGACTCCCTATGTACACTATGGATATCCTCATGTGTACTCTATGTATCCATTTGTGTATTAATTAAACCTTTACATACATCATGTGAAGTCTTTATGTATACACTACGTAAAACTTCATGTTAACTGTGTCAACTTTTCTTTTTCTTTAGAGTCATTACCCAGCGAGCCTTATCTTGTTTATTCTAACATCACCAACCTACATATTATTGATCTAAAAACCTGGCGGAGCATAAATATACTTGGTGGACTGGACCGAGTTGTACCTCTTGGAGAAGATACTAAAAACCAACACATCTACTATGGTGAGAGTGTTTTGGGAAAAATTTATCGAGCGAATTATAACGGCAGCAGTCAGGAATTGATTATGGAGAACGTCAAAAATATCGAAGGATTAGCGATAGATTGGATCGGACGAAAAATTTATTTGACAACTTATTTGTCGGAGACCATCGACGTAGCGACTCTTGACGGCAAGTTCCGAAAGGTCTTAGTTAATACTGGACTTCAATATCCTCGTGGCATAACAGTTGATCCAATTGCAGGGTAACGGAATTTTTTTAAATCATGTTGAGAACATTGTTTTTGTTTTTGCAAAATGCTTATTTTTTGAAAGTATTTCATTTTTCAACACAATTTAACTGACTTCTAATGCTATCTTATTCTAAAATTTTAGCTTTCTTTTCTGGACTGACTGGGGGGTAAATGCAATGGTTGAACGATGTGATTTGGACGGATCCAATCGAGTTATTTTAGTTAGCACCAACATCACATGGCCCAACGGCATCACCGTTGATCTCAACACAAGACGAGTTTACTGGATTGATGCTTGGCTCGACACAATTAGTTCTGTGGATTACGACGGCATGAACAGAAAACTGATCTTTGAAAATACTGGATTGTCCATCTCTAATCTCCATGGTTTTGATTTGGACATAACAGAAGACTCAATCTACTTCACAGATTGGCAGTTAAACTTGATCATTGGAGTAAATGTCAGCACTGGTGTTATTTTCAAAAATATTTCAGTTCCAACATCTGTATCCATCAAAGGTTCAATGGGACTTCGAATTATTGATAGATCTAAGCAGCCAGACGGTTAGCTCTTATTGTTTTTCTTTCCAAACTGTCTCTCTGAGGATATAATGATAATTTATTTCTTGTGCTTTGTATCAAGTGTTTTTACGGGGGGTGTTTCTGGTGCTTCATGTCAAGTGAATTTACGGGGGTGTTTCTGGTGCTTCATGTCAAGTGAATTTACGGGGGCGTTTCTTGTGCTTCATTTCAAGTGTTTTTTACGGGGGGTGTTTCTTGTGCTTCATTTCAAGTGTTTTTACGGGGGTGTTTCTTGTGCTTCATTTCTAGTGTTTTTTCGGGGGGTGATGTTGTGTTATTTACGTTTATAGGTCTCAGCAATTGCAGTCAAAATAATGGTGGTTGTGAACAATTGTGTTTTCATAAAATTCCATCGAATATTTCGTGCGCATGTCAACTGGGTATGAAGTTGGCTGATGATTTCAAATCATGTAAAGATGCATTTGCAGAAGGTAGGAGCCCATAAATCTTCATCAACTCAAAACTATTTACCTTCTAACGAAATTTTTTTTTAAGAGTTTGTGATGTTTGCGGATTTAAACGCTCAGAAAATTTACCAGATGCAACTGGATAGTGTTAACGTAAAGCCCATTGCGATACCTTTTGAGAAAAACACAAAAATTTCTCGACCTGTGGCGTTAGAATATGATCGAATTGATGACCGTGTTTACTGGAGCGATGTAGCATTGCTAACGATTTCAAGAGCATTCAGAAATGGGACTGGGTTCGAAGTAATTTTCGACAATGTTGGTATTGTAGATGGTCTGACTATAGACATGACTGCTAGACAGTTATACTGGACTAGTGAAAGCAAAAACACTCTGGAAACAGCTAGACTCGATGGTTCATTTAGAAAAACGTTGGTGAAGTGGTATTTGTACAAACCACGTGATGTTATTGTTGATGCCATTTCCGGGTAAGTTTGTTAAACAGTATCTTCTTGCGTCTTGAATGAAAATATTTTTAGAGTTTAGCAGTAGAATGTTTCAAGCTGTGATTATTGTTCATTCTACTAGATATATGTACTGGACAGACTGGGGAAAGTTTCCAAGAATTGAACGGGCTTACATGACTGGCGAGAAACGTATGGATCTTGTAAATACAAGGTTACGTTGGCCCAATGGTCTAACATTAGATACTGTATATAATAAACTGTACTGGGTCGACGCTTATGAGGATAACGTTGAAGTGATTAATCTTATAACGCTGAAGAGAAAGGTCATTTTGAACAAGAAAGTTATAATCTGTAAGTGGAAATTACTTTCTATTTACTTGCAATCTATTTTAAGTGAAAATTTCAATTTTTCATTAAATACAAATTTATTCATGTAGTTGGATATTTGTTTCGTGCAGCCAGCGAGGCACAGCATCCATTTGGTCTCACGCGTCTTCATGATAAGATCTATTGGAGCGACTGGACGACGCGTTCCATATATCGTGCCGATGTAAATACAGCAGCAAATATCGTCAAAATGGCTGGTAATCTTGGGAGACCTATGGATATCCACGCGTACTCCGTATTATTAAAACGTCGTAAGTGATTTGACGTTTACAAAGAGTCCGTGAAAATAATTGTAAACTTAACAGGTCTTTGTTGTTATCATAGGGCAAAAATTCTTTTACACATTCTCGTTTCCAAACTCTGGCAGCAACTTTAATTGTTTTTCAAACAAGGCCTGTCCACAGATAGACGAACCGCCATCCTGCCCTGTAGGCTACACTCATGTGCGAGAAAATGCTACTTGCGGGTTGAACTGTCGTGATATAGTTGGATACACATATCGATGTCCATGTAATGACTGGATGTCTTGTGCAGTTAGAGAAAGATATCTTTTTGGATGTAGATTTGGTTATTACAGTAGTTTTAGAGTACGGGAATGTGTACAAGGTAAATATAAATGTCTTTTATACATTGCTCACTTCACTCTGCTAACGACTGTTCATACTTATGTTTAGATATCAGACCTGGTCGCTGTCCTGTGCTTAGTAACCCGAGCCTTGGATCTCATCAGCCGTGTACAAATGATGAAGAATGCCCGGGTATTGAGAAATGTTGCGCTTCAAATTGCACAAAACCTCTTACATTTGGTGAGTGGAAGAAAAAAAGAGATATGTTGTGTAAATAATGATGTTTTACACTGTATAATATCATATTTACTCAGCGAAATTTTTATGCCTAGTGAATGCATTTTAAATTATGTAGATTCTCACGCATGCGCTATCAACAACGGAGGATGTGATGAGCTTTGTTTTGGTGTACCTGGGGGACACAAGTGTGGTTGCAAAGAAGGATATTATTATAATGAAACAATGGCAAATTGTTCAGTGAATCTACGACCAAATGTTGAACCACCACCACCTCCTTATGGAGGTATGTAACGTTGATGTTGCAATTTTATCAAAGGCGTTCTTTAATATTTTCTTTCAAAACAATTTCATTGAATCTTGTAGGTTGTATTCCTCATCCTGCACCAATAAATGGATCTATTTCATGTGACGGTGATGATGTCTTTGTGCAACAATACCGAAGATGTAGATTTACTTGCAATCCTGGCTATCTTTTAATTGGTTACAAATACGATACCTGCTTTAATGGTAGTTGGTTAAGGTCACCACGCAGCTGTGTTGGTGAGATTATACTTTAGAATTCATCGTTATTTTTAATATTCATAGTTTGAAGATGTGAAAAATATGTGCTTTGTAAAAGAATTGTTGACAGCGTGTGCCTAACGTGTGTTTTTGTGATTTTAAAGTTGATAGAAGGCCCATTTTTTCTCACTGTCCTAATTCCACCGTAATTCCAACTGACGCTGGCCAAAGCTACGCGACTTTTGTTTGGGATGTTCCAACTGCCACTGATAGGAGTGGTAAAAATATTTCAGTTGTTGTATGGCCCAGTGTTTACAATTCTCCTGTCAGACTTGCCATTGGTTTGCATGCTATCGAAGTGACGGCAACAAGTGATGGTGAACGTAGATTTTGTTCCTTTAATGTCACTGTTCAAGGTTTGTGATTGAGAGACATGCTAAACTACAGTTTACATTATTTTGAAATATTAAATACAAAACAGCTTATCGAAATCTATAATATCTATTCACGTTGTTAAAAATGATATAATTAAGTTGTTTGCACTTCTTCCAGACATTTGTATGTAATATCTATTTATGTGCCATTACTTCATGTAGGAACATTATACTTACATTGTCATACAGTACAGCGTGGTTTTCTAATTTGTTAGATGTGGAACCTCCAAGTTTTATATGTCCAGACAATATTACCTTGTACACAAGAAATGTTGCTGGCGTTCGTCTACCTTCGGATTTTAAACTTCCCAAAGCAACAGACAACGCGAAGCCTCCACGCGTGTCGAGATTTGGATTTCCCTCCGACTCGTTGTTTCGCGTTGGAACGACAATGGTAAAATATGTTGCTTATGATGACGCTGGACTCAATGCAACTTGTCAATTTAATGTTGTTGTTCGTTGTAAGTAAAAATTTCCTTGAACTTTCTATGAAATATTCATGATTTTTAGTTTTTTTTTGGGTTAATAAAACACATTCCTCTAAGAGAGGCTAACATTAGATGCTCTTAGTGATAGAAATATTGCTATTACTAAGGCAGGATTCAAATCTTTGGCAAATGATATTTTTTTCTTTTCGCGTTGATCATTTGATCTTATTTTTGATCTTTTCGATTAATTGGACGTTTTTCAGCTCTATGCAAGGACACATGTGGATATGGAGGAGTGTGCAGGATAGTCGGTACACAAGAGAAATGCGAGTGTGACAACTTCACGTGTGGTGGTGTCCAAGAACTTTGTGGATCTAATGGTGCTTCCTATTTATTTGAATGTCGTTTACTTGAGAAACAATGTGAACAACAAAAAAAGATAAACGTTATCAAAAGTGGATCTTGTGGTAAGTTGTTGTCATTCTGATCTAGTCATGTTTATCGTCATCTTCACTTTTTACTATCATTAAATTGATATTTTCTTTATCATTTGAGGTTGTGGTACGCTTGACGTGAGCACGCCTGATTTTATAACCACCAGTGACATTTCATGTACTGTGGATAAAGATAACTTGGTCACGTGTAACATCACGTGTCTTGATAATGATTACCAATCTGCAATTCCTGACTTCCTAATGCTGAAATGTTACAACAGTAAATGGTTGAGGAGTAACAAAGTTGGAAAGTTCGTTGAACTCGCTAATCGCAATTCACCTCCAAAATGTTACAGTAAGTTTTAACGTTGTTTGTTTATTTCCATTGATTTTTAATTGGGTCAATAGTCAGTAAGAAAAAATTTATGACACAAGTAAATTTATAACTTCAATAGTGTACTGTACTTCCCCCTTTCCCAATGAAAGTTAATGTCATGAAAGCTGCTTTAAATCAAACCAGAAACGACATTCCACTGGGAAAATTTAATTATAAAATGAATAATTTTTAGAAAAAACTCCGAAGTTCCCTCAGTCGCCTTTCTGTGTTGTTGGTTCAGTTTTGTTGCCGTCCCAAGTTTGTGGTAAGTGTTTATGCTGATTTTATGCAAAAAATTTCTTTATTGAAAACACGAGCTTAACCGCTACGAGCATGTCTTGATTTTGTTTTGCTTATATTTTATGATTTTCCTTCAGTCCCCTGTCCACCTGGAAGTTATCACAATGAGACCAGCGGCTCATGTAAAGCTTGTGAGCCTGGAACATACCAAGATGATCAAGGACGGACGTCATGTAAAAAATGCAAACTTCCACAGATGTCAACAACGACAGGAGCAGAAAGTTGCTATTTTTATTATGGTATGAAAACTTGTTGATGTTAGAATGAAATGTTCACAGTTATACAGATACATTACGTACTCTAAATATACTAATGTTTTGATACACTATTTACTATTTGTCCTTTGCATTTTGAACAGGGGAGGATGTTGTGGAAATGAAGATTGCTAAAGACTCAAATGACGTATGTGATGAACTCGCTGATATATATAAACACTGGATAACGCAACCTAATTCTGGTTCCTAGAAAATTTTGAAGCCAATTTTGTCAGTGGCGACCATATTGGACTGTCCACTTCTAGTATATATTTTATAATGAATTTTTCTTGGAAAATGCATCTTTGTTATTTTCTCTTTCCAAAATCATGCCAAATCTTTTATTATGATATTTTAACAACGGGAGAAGATTTCTGTGTGAAATTTAGCGAACTTGAATTTTCGCCCAAAACCGTTCTATTACAGTCTTGTCATCATAATAATTATTTATTATCCCAAGAGTGAAACAAATGATCCGAAATAAATGCGATAGTAGCAGTTTGTTATATAAAACGTACATAAAAACTAAAAAAGTGGACAGTCCAATATGGCCGCAACACGGCTTCAAGTCAAGCACTATACTGCGTGGTCCAGTTTTAAACACATCAGTGGATGAACTAACTATCTTGTTAATGTGAAACGTTTTAAATATTAAATTAAGTTAATTATTTATTTTCATTGTTTAGTGGACAAAAGAGAAAATTAAGGCTGAAATTGCCAGAGCTTTAACTGAAGTTTGCAAAACCCAAAAAAATTGCTTTGGTTCAAAAAGGTTTGTTATATGTGACATCTTTATGTTTGTCTAGCAATAGACATCAGAGTTAAAGATAAATATATCTTTTATATTTTCAACACATGTTTCATATGATGTGTTATATTTTACTTTGACTTGTTTATTTTACTGCTTAACTAAAAATATTTCACATTATAGACGTCGACGTCGAAGCAATGAAAATGTTGAATTCAGAGCAGAAAACATAATTGTTATCAATCTTGACACAAGTGATGACGACATAGATGTTGAATTTCTTGTTGTTGATCCTTCATCGTCATCACCAGTACCTGATAAAGCATTTTCCCCAAATAAAACGAAAGATCTTGTTGAAAATATACAAAACGACAAAGTATCTTTTACGGTTATAAATGTTAAAATTGTAAATAAAGGTAAAAGAAATTGTTAAGTTTAGTTTGTGTTTTCTCCAATAATATTTACGTTTATTAATTTATAGATGACTCAAGATCATCGACAACATCGTCCACAACATCATCGACTACGTCATCGACAACATCATCGACAACATCATCGACAACATCACCGACAACCTTATCCACAACATCATCGACAACATCACCGACAACCTTATCCACAACATCATCGACAACCTTATCCACAACATCATCGACAACATCACCGACAACTTTATCCACAACATCATCGACAACATCACCGACAACCTTATCCACAACATCATCGACAACATCATTGACAACATCACCGACAACCTTATCCACAACATCATCGACAACGTCATCGACAACATCATCGACAAAATCAAAAACTGCTTCGTCTTCAAAAGTTCCTATCATTGTTGGTGTTGTTGTAGGAGTTTTATGTATTATTTTGATCAGTGTTGGTGTTTTTATCTGGAAGAAACGTTGCAAAACAAAGACGTAATATTATTTTGTTTCTCATAAATTCATTTCCTTACTTTTAATCAATGTTCACGGTTTCCTTTTTCCTTTAATAATAAACTTGATTCGTACCATCTAAACATATTTAATTTATCTTCATAGTAAGATTCCTTCTGTGCGTTTTACGAACGCTGTCTATGTTAATGCACCCAATATCCAACCTTCCGCCTCGTCGTCCAACCATTTATACGAGACAAGCCAAGATATAGTGCAAGGCGTACGACTTGGCTTCGTCAATGAAAGTGAGTTCTTCACGAAAAAATTTTTCTCGTTTTAATTTTTTTATAAAATAAAAAATTTAATTTTTTATTGACGATTGCTAATTTTTTTGTAGCTTATCGTGAAGGAAATAATCAAAATCCTCCTCCTCCATATTATGAATCGCCATCGAGTTTATCTTCCAATATGTATGAAGTTCCCAATGGAGAACCAGGATCATTGCCTTTTAAACCTTCCAAAGTTGTTCCCAACGAAGAACCAGGACCGTTGCCTGTAAAAGAAAATCTTTCGTATGATGCTGTTGTTGATATTTCGTCTTCAAATGATGTCAAAAAGTCTCTAAAAGCTGACGAGTCTGTTAAATTCTTTCACAAACGTTCTTCATCCGATGTTGACGACCCTTCTGAGTCTAAAGTCGCGTTAAGGTAGGTGAAGTCATACAACCTGCTGAGTTTTACCTCTAGTTTTTTCAACTTTTACAAAATTCTACATAAAGCAAAAGAAGTAACAATTCGTCCTACACTTTTTTGATGTATAAGAGTTTTGTGAAAGTGAGTTTTATAATTTTCATAAAGATTTAAAGTAAAATTATCACATAATGACATAAATGACAAATCATTCTATGTAAAACGTGTTAAAGTGTACTGTAAGAAATAAATTGTACATCTATATTTAAGATTGGAACCTCCTCCAACATTGAGTAGAAACAAGTCGACCACTTCATATCTACCCAACGTTCCAATAAAGAATGATGACAAGCTTGACAATGAAGCAAATAAACCGGACGACCAAATTGTGAGTGACGTCACAAAAGAAGAAAGTGAAACTTAAAGTGGTCACGTGATTACGTATCCTTACAACGTGATTGGTTAATCTTGCTACTCCTATCATTATGTTGCATTCGTATTTTATGAACTTTTTTATGCGTGTGTTTAAATTAATCATAATTTTAGTAATTTGACCAGAATGAGTCATAAAATAAAACAGCAATTTTAGTAGATTTTAATTCCTTTACTATTTCATTTGATTCATTTAATTTAGACTTGTATGTTTCCTACTTATGATTGTAAAACGCTGTGTCCTTCACAATGTTTGACCATCACCGTCAAAAACGGACCAAAATTCAACTTTAACTGTTGCAATTTTTAACCGTTTCATTTTATTTCTAGTAAATGAAATTTAAAAATTTGCAAGGCAAAGTTGCATTGCTATTGTTGATAACATCGAATAAAAAATTGTAATTATCACTAAACTTGAAAGACAAGTGCAGTTAAGAATAAATCGAGTATGTAATGACGTAATTGACGTGTTGTGTATTACTTTAGTTCCCAGGCTTCCCCGTTTTAAAATGGCGGAGGAGGAAGAAGTAGACGTGCTTGGTTTAAGATCTCGTCTCCGCGATGAATTTGGTTTTGTTAATATACAAAAGCAACATTTACAGAAAGAATATAACAGCACGAATATGAAATGATCAACTAACAACTTATTAAATTAGACGGGCGAATCTGCAGTGAACGATAGCATGGTTGTATATATGATGTTAAGAAAAGGCGAACATATAATTTGCATAGCAAGTCACTACAATTAGTATACAATTGCCTCGGCAACTTATTATACATTCGAGATTTATGAATAACGCTGTACACATTTCATTACGTAGTAAAAACCTGCAGCTTGATTACGACTGTTTCAACTATAACTAAAAAACGAGTATTGATTGTGCGAGATTACCATCGTGAAACTTATAGAGTTCATACACATTTACTAAACAGAAAAATTTATGCACAGAATATTTGACTGATTTCGAAAGATTGCAGTTTTGAGCCCACCACGTTCCACCGTCATTCTCACAATACATACTTCACGGTAAAAAGTGTCTCCCATGGTGTTAGCTAATAATTTATTCTTTTAAATTAAGGTCTCGTTTCATTGCACATTACATTCCATGGCTTTGAAATTTATGCATTATTATGTGGCAGTTTTTGGTAACTTTTCATTCTTTACACAGCAGGTCTTCGGTGTCTGGATAGAAGTGGCTACATCGGATCATATATCATCTTCTGGATTGCTGAAGTTTTGACCAACCGTATAAAATATCCCAGGTCGGTAACTATAAGTGACTGAATAGTGACAACTTTGTAATAAAGCCGTCATTGATGGCTTTCAATACTTCTATGTAGCTTAAAATAATGTTTTGATGCAAATCATGCCATATACGTGTATACGTAGGCGATGGTTATAAAGTTGCCTTGATTATCCAAAAAATTCTTTTATTCGTTATCTCTTTACTGAATTTTTATTGCTTTTCTTGTTGTATTTCACTGCATAAGAATGTAATGATTCTTTCATTTTCATTTTCATTTTCATTTTACTGGGTCACGAACGCAACATCAAATATTGAATATCTTTCCGTATTTTAAAAATTTCGCTTTTTTGCCATTGGATAAGAGTTCAAGCTTTATCATTACAGTCTGTGACTCGGACATCAACTCGCATGAGAACGAGTCAACGAAATAATAGTAGCTTACAGTATATTTTATTAAAAGGATGCCATATTTCAACCTTGACTTGATGATTAAATTGTAGTTTATATAAAATAACATATATTACTTTGAAGAACATTCGTCATTCGAGACATAAAATTCCCATATTTTTCGTATAAGATTTACATGTTTCTTTCGTACATTAATTTTGGTATAAATTATTCCTTGCGCTTAAAGAAGGACTTTGTACAAAATTCCTCGAATAAATAAATCATTCAATATTTTGCGCAATCCATGTCTAGTGACTTGGCCAGTCTGAAAGTTTGGTCATGCCTTGTAAATATATCTATGTTTTCACTCATTGTAAAAACTATAGATTTTCAGGGTAATTCATTATTATAATGATCTCAAACATACATAACATGACCAAATGATTACGACCTGGCTACAGAACTGTCGACGTCTTATTTCATTTTATCAGCTTGTTGAACGGTCAAGAGAGAATTATGGCTTTATAAATTAAACGTTTTCATGACTGATTTTTTTATGTTTTCAACTTACGTGTTCAGCCTTTTAATTAAACAATGTCTCGCGTGTCTTTATTTACATTTCTTTACATTGTAGTCGGTTTTATCCTGTCGTCATGAAAGAAACTCGTATTTACGTAGCGATATATTTCGTTTTGTTTTCCTTAGTTGTTGCATTTCAAGGTAAATATTAAATATTTTTTTCGTCATTTCTTCCTGAGGGATGTCGTGTCAGCTATTCGCTAAATTCTACTGTAAATCTAATTCTTGCCTAAAATCACAGTGAAACTTAGTTGTCATCGGTTGATAGATTTTTACATCCTCCTGTTTTAGTGAAGAATGCGCTCTGTTCTTTTGCTTCAGCTCAATGAAAAGATATTGATATAACTTCTTTTTTGTTTATCATTGCATGCAACGAAGTTTGTTGTTTTATTTGTTTTTTATATGAAGTCGGTTAAGATGTGTTTTTACATTTACGTTTTTTATAACACAACTATGGCAATAACATCAATCAATGGTGAACAAATATAAAAATATTGCGTTTATTTTTCTCATAGTTAATTAATCTATTTATTTTTTAGATAACAACACAACACCAGTAACCAATGGTAAAAAAAAGCTTTAAACTTCTTGATCTTCATAAGTTGAATACATTAACGCTACTGACCATTTTATTTATTTAAACATTTTAGTTACAGCAAAGGCGACAACAACGTTGCATCTAAGTATGCTTCCAGATTATGAAACTATTGTTTCTTTTTTGTCATAGTATTTTAATCTATTTATTTACTTTTAGATAACACAACATCATCAACTAATGGTAAAAAAATTTATACTTTCGATCTTTATGAGTTGAATGATTTCACCACTGACCATCTCATTTAAATATTAATGTTTATCAGTTACAGCAACGACGCCAACAACGATGCATCAAAGTATGTTTCCAGATTGTAGAACTGTAACTTTCAGTTTTTTCTCATAGTATTTTAATCTATTTATTAAATTTTAGATAACACAACATCATCAACTAATGGTAAACAAATTTAAACTTTCGATCTTTATGAGTTGAATGATTTCACCACTGACCATCTCATTTAAATATTAATGTTTATCAGTTACAGCAACGACGCCAACAACGATGCATCAAAGTATGTTTCCAGAATGTAGAACTGTAACTTTCAGTTTTTTTCTCATAGTATTTTAATCTATTTATTAAATTTTAGATAGCACGAAGTCATCCACAACAATGACACCAACTACTGGTATATAAAGTGCTAATCTATAATCTTGAGGAAATTCTTGCTTTATTTTGCTCAAAAGTCATGCAAGAAAGGCAAATAAGTTTGAAATAGATAGAGTTTAAAATAGATAGAGAATAAACAAAGCTTTAAACTTCTTGATCTTTATAAGTTGAATAGATTAACGCTACCGACCATTTTATTTAAACATTTTAGTTACAGCAAAGGCGACAACAACGATGCATCAAAGAATGCTTCCAGATTATGAAATTATTGTTTCTTTTTTGTCATAGTATTTTAATCTATTTATTTACTTTTAGATAACACAACATCATCAACTAATGGTAAAAAAATTTATACTTTCGATCTTTATAAGTTGAATGATTTCACCACTGACCATCTCATTTAAATATTAATGTTTATCAGTTACAGCAACGACGCCAACAACGATGCATCAAAGTATGTTTCCAGATTGTAGAACTGTAACTTTCAGTTTTTTTCTCATAGTATTTTAATCTATTTATTAAATTTTAGATAGCACGAAGTCATCCACGACAATGACACCAACTACTGGTATATAAAGTGCTAATCTATAATCTTGAGGAAATTCTTGCTTTATTTTGCTCAAAAGTCATGCAAGAAAGGCAAATAAGTTTGAAATAGATAGAGCTTTGTTATACGTATAGATTTTTAGTTTTTATTGTAAATTTCTAAGGTTATTTGTACATTTCTCTTAGACAAACTAACATTAGTTGATTATGATGATAGAAACATTGTTGTTAAGACATGATTAAAATCTTTCGCAAAGGATATTTGTGGCTGTTTGTGACTTCATTAAGTTAAAATTTATTGGACATTTTTTCAGCTCAATGCAATGGTACATGTGGATATGAAGGAGTGTGCAGGATAGTCGGTACACAAGAGAAATGCGAGTGTGACAACTTCACGTGTGGTGGAGTCCAAGAAGTTTGTGGATCTAATGGTGCTTCCTACTTAAGGAAATGTAATTTACTGGAGAAACAATGTGAACAACAAAAAAAGATAAACGTTATCAAAAGTGGATCTTGTGGTAAGTTGTTTTAATTCTGAATTAAAAACTTATGTTAATAACTTGACATTCTTCACTTCTTACTATCATTAAAGTGATATTTTCTTTATCATTTGAGGTTGTGCTACACTTGACGTGAGCACGCCTGATTTTATCACCACCAGTGACATTTCATGTACTGTGGATAAAGATAACTTAGTCACGTGTTACATCACGTGTCTTGATAATAATCACCAATCTGCAATTCCTGAGTTCTTAATGCTAAAATGTTACAACAGTAAATGGTTGAGGAGTAACAAAGTTGGAAAATTTGTTGAACTTGCTAATCCCAATTCACCTCCACAATGTTACAGTAAGTTTTAACGCTGTTTGTATGTTTCTATTGTCATGGGATTTTTAATTGGGTCAATAGTCAGTAAGACAAAATAGATGAATACAATTAAATTTATAACTTCAATAGTGTACTGTACTTCCCCCTTTCCCCATAAAAGCTAATGTCGTGGAAGCTGCTTTAAATCAAACCAGAAACGACATTGCACAGGGAAAATTTAATTATAAAATGAATATAAATAATTTTTAGAAAAAACTCCGAAGCTCTCTCAGTCGCCTTTCTGTGTTGTTGGTTCAGTTTTGTTGCCGTCCCAAGTTTGTGGTAAGTGTTGATGTTGATTTTATGCAAAAAATTTCTTTATTGAAAACACGAGCTTAACAGCTAGGACGTGTCTTGATTTTGTTTTGCTTATACTTTATGATTTTCTTTCAGTCCCCTGTCCACCTGGAAGTTATCACAATGAAACCAGCAGCTCATGTAAAGCTTGTGAGCCTGGAACATACCAAGATGAACAAGGACGGGCGTCGTGTAAAAGATGCAAACTTCCACAGATGTCAACAACGACAGGAGCAGAAAGTTGCTATTTTTATTATGGTATGAAAATTTGTTGATTCTCACAGATATACTGACATTACCTATTCAAATTTACTAAAATTTTATCATACTATTTGCTCATTGCAACAGGTTATGATATTGTGGAAATGAAGATTGCTAAAGACTTAAATGACGTATGTGATGAACCAACCATTTCGTTAATCTGAAACGTTTTAAATATTGAATTGAGTGAATTCGTCAATTTCATTGTTTTAGTGGACAAAAGAGACGCTTCAGACTGAAATTGCTAAAGCTTTAACGGAAGTTTGCCAAACCCAGAAAAATTGCTTTGGTTCAAAAAGGTTTGTTATATGTGACATCTTTGTGTTTGTCTTGCAATAGATATCAGAGTTAAAGATAAATATATCTTTTTTGTATATTTTCAACGCATGTTTCATGAGATATGTTATGTTATATTTTACTTTGATTTATTTATCGACCTTGAAAAATTATCTATAGACGTCGACGTCGAAGCAATTCTGAATTCAGAGCAGAAAACATAATTGTTATCAATGTTGACACAAGTGATGACGACATAGATGTTGAATTTCTTGTTGTTGATCCTTCATCGTCATCACCAGTACCAGATAAAGCATTTTCACCAAAGAAAACTAAAGATCTTATTGAAAATATAGAAAAAGACAAAGTATCTTTTACGCTCCTTAGTGTAAAAATTGTGAATAAAGGTAAAAAGTTTTTTAGTTTAGTTTTTGTCCTTTCGTCTATTCTTCAATAATATTTCAATTTATTAATTCGTAGAAAGTACAAGATCTTCATCAAGCTCTTCGTCTTCAAAAGTTCCTATCATTGTTGGTGTTGTTCTAGCAATTTTATTTATTGTTTTGATCATTTTGGGTGTTTTGCTGTGGAAGAAACGTTGCAAAGCAAGGAAGTAATGTGTTTTTTCTCTTTGAAAAATTCATTTCCTTACTTTTAATCAACATTCTTGGTGTCCTTTTTCATTTAACAATCAAACTTGATTCGTACCATCTAACCATATTTAAAATTTATCTTTATAGTGATGTTCAACATACGCGTTTCGGGAACGACGATGTCAGTATAAGCAGTGCTCCAAAATTCAGGTTGAACATTTTTTCCAAACAGGCAAAAGAAAAAAATACAGACAACGAAAATGTTGAGTCGTCATAGAGTGACGTCACAGAAAGACAAAAATGAAGCCTAAAGTGGTCACGTGATTACGTATCCTTAGAACGTGATTAATTTTTATATTACACGTACTTTCATTACTTCATGTTGTTCTGCACTTGTATTTTATGAATTTGCTTACAACAAGTAAACTAATCATAATTTTAAACGTTTAATAATGAGCATGTCAGAAAATAAAACATTGCACCTTAGTTAGTTTTAATTCTTTTTCAACTTTAAAAATGCTAATTTTTAACCGCTTCATTTTGTTTCTGATGAATGAGATTAAAAAAATTTGCAAAGCAGGAGTAAAAATTCGAATTAATGACGTAATGACATGTCGTGTGTTAATTTAGTTCCCAGACTTCGCCGTTTTAAAATGGCGGAGGAGGAAAAAGTAGACGTGTTTAGTATAAAAACCATGACCAGCCGACAATTTAAAGAAGTATAATGTAAAACAAATTCCGAAGAAGCAAGACATCTTGAGATTGCAAAATATGAATCAAAACAAGACGAAAAATTTTCGACTTTATTTCAAAGTCATCCTCAGACAGAATGATATTTAAAACCATACATACACATATATATTTACAACGCATGAAATAAGTAAACGGAAGTAAGCAATAGAAATTAAATAGTGTGATATTTACAAAGGCTGAGTCAACTCTCTGGAGTCAACTCTTTTCTTAACTTATAACTCACTCATTCTACCAGTAGGGTCGGCAGTTTCAATTCATCCTTTTGAAATACTACACCTCTTCTGACTCTGCCTTTGTAAATATCACACTGTTTAATTTCTATTGCTTATTTCCGTTTACTTATTTCATGCGTTGTAAATATATATGTGTATGTATGGTTTTAAATATCATTCTGTCTGAGGATGACTTTGAAATAAAGTCGAAAATTTACAGTTTACTTCTCGTCTTGTTTTGATTCATATTTTGCAATCTCAAGATGTTATGCTTCTTCGGAATTTGTTTTATGTGCTTAGTTTAAGATCGCGTCTCCGTGATGACTTTGTTTTTGTTTATAAACAGAAGCAACGTTTAGAGAAAGAATATAACAGCACGAATATCAAATCAACAACTAACGATCTATAAAATTAGGTGGATGACTTATCAGTGGTTATATACACAGAAATATCTAAAAAAACATATAGAATTTGCATAGTATTCACTACAATTGGTATACAATTGCCTGTACAACCTTTTATACATTCGAGATCTTAGACTAATGCTGTGCATATTTCATTGCATACTAATAACCATCAGCTTGATTACGTGTGTCTTAACTATAACTAAAAAAAACAACGGGTATTTATCGTGCTGGATTATCATAATAAAGGTTACATAGTTTACGCTTTGACTAAACAGAAAAAGTTATCTACAGAACATTCGACAGATTTCGAGGGACTGCAGTTTTTCGATCTACTCTGTATATTAAAGAGCCTCGTTGTTAAAATTTTCGCAATACATACTTCTGTATGAAAAGTATCTCCCATGGTGTTAATTGTTTATTCTTTTGAATGTAGGTCTCGTTTCGTTGCACATTCCATTCCTTGGCTTTGAAAATTATGCATTTCATTGCAATTGTTGGCAATTTTATAGTGCTTACCCAGCAGGCTTTTGGTGCCTAGACTCGCGTTAGCAGAAGTTCATCGAATTGTACATCATCTTCTGGATTGCTGAAGATTGGCCATCAATATAAAATATCCCAGGTTAGATAATATAAATGACTACATGTAAATATCTCTGTAATAAAGCCGTCACGGATCGCTTTCAATACTTCTATGTAGCTTAAAATAATGTTTTGATGCAAATGCCATATACGTGTATACGTAGATGATGGTTATAAAAAGATGCGTTGATTATCCAGTTGTATGAAAGGTTTTTATTCATTTTCCATTTCTGAGTTCTCATTGTTTTTCTTGCTGTATTTAACTGCATTAGAATGAAATGCTTGTTTTATTTTCGTTTTCGTTTTGCTGAGTCACGAACGCGAATAAAATACTGAATATATCTTGTTGTATTCTGAAGATTTCGCTTTTTTACCATTTGGTGAGAATTTATAGTTTATCATTACAGTCTGTAACTCACACATCAACTCGCATGAGATCGAAAATGTGAACGAAATAATAGTAGCTTACAGAGTATTTTTTTAAAAGGATGCAATATTTCAACCTTAACTTGATGATTATATTGCAGATTATATAAAATGACATATAATGTTTTAAAGGACATTCGTCATTTGACCAGTGACTTGGCCAACCAGCATGTTTAGTCATGCTTTGTAAATATATCTGTATTTTCACTCATTGTAAAAACTATAGATTTTCAGGGTAATATATTATAATGATCTGAAACATACATTTGAGAACAAGTGCTACAGAAAACTAATAGGCATCCATTACTCAGAGCACAAGACCAACCACTATGTCAGGCAACAATATGATGATGCTGCAGGCAAACAACAACAGCTCCTAGCCATTGTAAAGCAACGGAAACTTGCATGGTTTGGCCATGTTTATTGCCACAATTCTCTGGCTAAGACCATACTCCAGGGAATCGCAGAAGGAGGACGTAGAAGAGGCCGTCAACGAAAAACCTGGTTCGACAATGTTAAAGAGTGGACTGGATACACACTAAGCAAATTGCTGAGAATGACTGAAGACCGAAGACAATGGAGATCCCTGACTGCAGTCTCTATTATGACACCCCTACGACATGAAAATGTCACGGGACTGACATGACATGACATGAAACATACATAGCATGACCAAATGATTACGACCTGGCTACAGCACTGTTGACGTCTTATTTCATTTTATCAATTTGCTGAACGGTCAATAGAGAATTATGGCTTTATAAATTAGACGTTTTCATGACTGATTTTTTTATGTTTTCCACTTACGTGTTTAGCCTTTTAATTAAACAATGTCTTATGTGTCATTTCTTACATTTCTTTACATTGTAGTCTGTTTTATCCTGTCGTCATGAAAGAAACTCGTATTTACGCAACAATAAATTTCGTTTTGTTTGCCTTAGTTACTCTATGTGCAGGTAAACATTAAATATTTTTACGTTATGTCATATTTGTGTGTGAAATTCTCCATGTGGGATGTCATCAGTTATTAATTCCTGCAAAATTCGACTGAAAATCGAATTCTTGCCAGCAGTCATATTCAGTTGTCATCGTTTGATAGATTTCGCTCTCGTGTTTTAGCGAAGAATGCGCACGGTCATTTCACAATTTCTTTTTTGTCTTTTATTGCAGCGAGGCGCTTGTTTTATTTGTTTTTATATGAAATTGATTAATATGTTTTATTTTTACTTCTAGGAAGCATATCATTGACAACATCTCCAACTATTGGTAAAAAATACTTAAAAATTTTCAATCTTTATAAGCTAAATACATAATGTATAATTGGTACATTAACGCTACTGACCATCTTACTTTAGTTGCAACAACGACCTCAGAAATGAATCAATGTAAGTTTCTACATTATAGAACTGTTGCGTCGTTTTTTGTCTCAGTATTTTAATCCTTTTATTTTTAGCAATCGCGAGATTATTGACAACATCACCAACTACAGGTAAAATTTTTGTTCCTTATAAGCTGACTACATTAACACGACTGACCACCTTACTCAAACATTTTTAGTTGCAACAACGACCTCAGAAATGATGCATCAAAGTATGTTTTCAAATAATAAAAGTGTTGCGTCTTTTTTCTCATAGTATTTTAACCCTTTTATTTTTAGCAAGCACAAGATTATTGACATCACGAAGTACTGGTAGAAAAAGATTTAAAAATTTTTATCTTTATAAGTTGACTGCATTAACACGACTGACCATCTCACTTAAACATTTTTAGTTGCAGTAACGACCTCAGAAATGATGCATCAAAGTATGTTTCCAAATAATAAAAGTGTTGCGTCTTTTTCCTCACAGTATTTAAATCTATTATTTTTTTAGGTAATATGAGATCACTGACAACATCACCAACAACTGGTAAAAAAAACGTAAAAATTCTTGATCTTTATAAGTTGAATAGTTTAACACTACTAACCATCTCACTTAAATTTTTCAGTTACTGCATCAACTACAGCAATGATGCCTCAAAGTATGTTTCCAGATTATAAAACCTTGCGTTTTTTTTCTCATCGTATTTTATTAACTTTTAGGTAACACGACTTCAACCACTACATCGCCAACTAATGGTAAATAGAGTAAAAATTCTTGCATTGTTTACTTAAGAATCACGCAGGGAAGGCAGATGAGTCTGAAATAGATAGAGTTATTTTATAAGTTTTGATTTGAGCGGCAAACATTACATGCCTAAAATGTTAGAAACATTTTTGTTAAAGCATAATTAAAATCTTTGGCAATGGATGTTTGTGGATGTTTGTGACTTCGTTAAATTAAAAGTAATCGGACCATTCTTTTCAGCTCAATGCAAGGACACATGTGGATATGGAGGAGTGTGCAGGATAGTCGGTACACAAGAGAAATGCGAGTGTGACAACTTCACGTGTGGTGGTGTCCAAGAAATCTGTGGATCTAATGGGGCTACCTATTTATTTGAATGTTATTTACTGCAGGCGCAATGTAGACAACAAAAACGGATAGATGTTATCAAAAGTGGATCTTGTGGTAAGTTGTTGTCATTCTGCATTAAAAACTTATGTTAATAACTTAACATTCTTCACTTCTTACTATCATTAAATTGATATTTTCTTTATCATTTGAGGTTGTGGTACGCTTGACGTGAGCACGCCTGATTTTATCACCACCAGTAACATTTCATGTACTGTGGATAAAGATAACCGTGTCACGTGTAAAATCACATGTCTTGATAAACACCATTCTGCAATTCCTGAGTTCCTAATGCTGTTGTGTTACAACAGTAAATGGTTGCGTAGCAACAAAGTTGGAAAATTCGTCGAACTCGCTAATCGCAATTCACCTCCAAAATGTTACGGTAAGTTTTAACGTTGTTTTTTTGTGTTTGTTTATTTCCATTGGCTACGATAGAAAAGATAAAGTCAATATCAATGAAATATGAACAATAAGTGCCTACCCAATAAAATGGGTTTTCTAACGATGAACGCACATTTATAATTTCAATAATGTACTGTACTTCCTCCTTTCTCACAAAAAACATTACAAGTTGTCTGAATTTTCCTATGCCTAGTTCTAACTCCTTGAAGAAAAGCTTTGGGTATGATGGGGCTTCTGTTTGGAATTCAGTTCCAGCAGAAATCAAAAATAGCAAAAGCGTGTCACTTTTTCAAAAGAAAATTGCTGCTTGCATTTTATGATTTAGTTTAACATGTAACTAATTGAATAAACTAAACTCTGTAAATGTTTAATCTTATCTTTCTCTTCTATAGTTATTTTAATTCTTAGTAAATTTTGTAATCGCTTTTGAACAAAAGCACGCCCCTCGTGGAAATCAATTCATTCATTCATTCATTCGTTCATTCATTCATTCATTCATTCATTCATTCATTCATTCATTCATTCATTCATTCATTCATTCATTCATTCATTCATTCGTTCGTTCATTCATTCATTTATTCATTCATTCATTCATTCGTTCATTCGTTCGTTCATTCATTCAAAGCTAATGTCATGGAAGTTGCTTTAACTGAAACCAGAAACAGCGATTCATTGCGAAAAGCTTATTATAAAAGCAATAATTTTTAGAAACAACTTCCAAGTTCCCTCAGTCGCCTTCCTGTTTTTCTGGTTCAGTTTTGTTGCCGTCTCAAGTTTGTGGTGAGTGTTCATGTTGCTTTTGTGCAAAAACTTCTTTTTGTTGAAAAAATGAGCTTAAAAAAAGATAGCAGTAAGGGGAGGTTTTTTGATTTAGTTTTGCTTATATTTTATGACTTTCTTTTAGTCCCCTGTCCACCTGGAAGTTATCACGATGAGACCGGCAGCTCATGTAAAGCTTGTGAGCCTGGAACATACCAAGATGATCAAGGACGGGCGTCGTGTAAAAGATGCAAACTTCCACAGATGTCAACAACGACAGGAGCAGAAAGTTGCTATTTTTATTATGGTATGAAAATTTGTTGATTCTCACAGATTTACTGACATTACCTATTCAAATTTACTAAAATTTTATCATACTATTTGTTCATTGCAACAGGTTATGATATTGTGGAAATGAAGATTGCTAAAGACTTAAATGACGTATGTGATGAACCAACCATTTCGTTAATCTGAAACGTTTTAAATATTGAATTGAGCGAATTCTTCAATTTCATTGTCTTAGTGGACAAAAGAGAAGCTTCAGACTGAAATTTCTAAAGCTTTAACGGAAGTTTGCCAAACCCAGAAAAATTGCTTTGGTTCAAAAAGGTTTGTTATATGTGACATCTTTGTGTTTGTCTTGTAATAGACATCAGAGTTAAAGATAAATATATCTTTTTTGTATATTTTCAACGCATGTTTCATGAGATATGTTATGTTATATTTTACTTTGATTTATTTATCAACCTTGAAAAATTATCTATAGACGTCGACGTCGAAGCAATTCTGAATTCCGAGCAGAAAACATAATTGTTATCAATGTTGACACAAGTGATGACGACATAGATGTTGAATTTCTTGTTGTTGATCCTTCATCGTCATCACCAGTACCAGATAAAGCATTTTCCCCACAGAAAACTAAAGATCTTATTGAAAATATAGAAAAAGACAAAGTATCTTTTACGCTCCTTGGTGTAAAAATTGTGAATAAAGGTAAAAAGTTTTTTAGTTTAGTTTTTGTTCTTTCGTCTATTCTTCAATAATATTTCAATTTATTAATTCGTAGAAAGTACAAGATCTTCATCAAGCTCTTCGTCTTCAAAAGTTCCTATCATTGTTGGTGTTGTTCTAGCAATTTTATTTATTGTTTTGATAATTTTGGGTGTTTTGCTGTGGAAGAAACGTTGCAAAGCAAGAAAGTAATGTGTTTTTTTCTCTTTGAAAAATTCATTTCCATACTTTTAATCAACGTTCATTGCTTCTTTTTTCATTTGATATTCAAACTTGATTCGTACAATTTAACCATATTTAATTTATCTTTATAGTGATGTTCCTCCTGTGCGTTTCGAGAACGAAGATGTCAGTATAAGCAGTGCTCCAAAGTTTAGGTTGAACCCTTTTTCCAAACAGGCAAAAGAAAAAAACACAGACAGCCAAAATGTTAGTGACGTCACAAAAGAGCAAAGTGAATCCTAATGTGATCACGTGATTACGTATCCTTACAACGTGATTTCTTTGCTTCATGTAGTTCTGCACTTGTATTTTATGAATTTACTTACATGTAAACTAATCATAATTTTAAACGTTGAGTTATGACTAAGTCGTAAAACAAAACATCGCACTTTAGATAGTTTAAATTCTTTTGTTATAACGTCACACTAATTTACAATGATTATAATTGTTAAACAATTTATGAATCCAACAATAACAAAGATTGACAATCACTGTCAAAAAACGAACCAAAATTCAACTTCAACTATGCCAATTTTGAACCGTTTCATTTTGTTTCTGGTGAATATGTAATGACGTAATGACGTGTCGTGTGTCGTGTGTCGTGTGTTAATAATACTGTGGCTAATAATGGTGTTAATTTGTCCCCAGATCCCGGTGAAGGCTATTTCAGATATGGTAGAGCACCTTGTGCCCAGGCCCTTCTTTTCCTGACACGCACGTGAGTAAATGATATTCTCCTTATCATGATAACATTCCTATTTCTTACGTGCTTGCAACTTGCAATGGCGTTTTATACTTTATATGGCTTTACAGAAGATAGTGGGATAGTGAAATATCTTAAATAATAGCGGGTTTTATTCAAACATCATTTCAAAGATAAAGATGACTAAGGTGACTAGGTGAGCAAGTATTGTATACTTTTAATTTATTTACCGATATTTTGTAATTTGTAGTGCTGTACTTGCACTGTGCGAATTATTGCAGCGACGGTTTTTAGCACATTTCTATCAACGATAAATGGTAGTAAATACTCAATTTTCAATTGTGTTATGTTAGTATTCAAATTCAAACATTCTTGATGATGATATTTTCGCCCAAATCATTACAAAAGAAGTAATTACAGGGCAAATGCAACACAGTTAAAATATAAGACAACAAATACTGCACTGGAAACGTGCAGTATTTGTTGTCTTATATTGGTTTAGGTGTTGAAGCAATCGCCATATTACTTGGAGTATGCTATACATATGTATATGATACACAAACTAGTATTACTAATTACCTAGGCAATGGGTGATGATTGGTTTTGGTGGATGTATTTACACATGCCCATCCTTTAGACTGTTTTATGGGAATGGTTGTTGTGTGTTAACTTTACCTAGACAATCATTACCCTATTAGTAATTTTGTGTCAAAACATCAAAATTGACATGAGGGCCGCTTGGGGCATATAATTTTTACTCTCTATTTGCATGTTTTCTCCATTTCCAATCACCTGTCATTTATTTTAGGAAGAGTCCTTTCAGTTTATGGTGGGCAATAAAAGTGAGGATTCCTTGTTGTAGGATGATTTTCAGAGTCAATACATAATATGTGGTAGGATTGATAGCACCGATACATTTTAAGTTTTCTTCAAAACAGGTGCTCCACATAGTGGGCATTTGGAAAGTTCTGGCTGTTGTGAGTGTTGTTTTAGACAAGTTCCTCTTATTTTGTTGTAAATTCTAACCCTCATCTTATATGGATCACAGCCATCACTCATTGACTTTCCTTGCACAAACTGTGATGCATACCAGCAAACAAAAACACCACAACTTGAAGTATCTTGTTGAAGAGTATGCGGTGAGGAGATCTGAAATTCTGACAGACCAAATTTGTTTTCAATAATTAAAGGGATGAATTTTGCTATAATCTGCATCTGTGCCTTGTTTTAATATCATCAGCTGCATTCAATGGATCAACATAAAAATATTTCTCTGTTGCAGATCTATGGCAATCAATGTCCAGTGACAGTGAGTTGGGTTCCAAGGTGCTATAATGAGATTTTTTTCATTGCTCTTTTCAGACCAAAGTCTTCCTCCCTGACCACAATTTTGCAAGGAAAGCATTGATGTGGATGCTGCATAAAGAACATGTTCATGATCTTCCTGTAGACACCAGAAAAATGAATTGATTACTTCATCATACAACCAGCCAGGTATGAAAGGTTTTTCACTCATGCTACTAAGTAAAATCTGTGTTTCTCTGTGCAAAAATGGCTCTAATGATTTAATTTCTAGCAGAGATACAGAATGTGGTCCATTCCTTAATAGTTTTACGGTGATTGATGAAGATTCTGTAATGAGAGGTGTGAAACCTGTGTGAGGAGTTGGCATGAAAGGAATTGTTTGTGTATCTTTACTGGATGATTGCGTTTCCATTTTCTCTAGAGATAAGTCTTTATTATAGAATTTTCTCATCATTGCAGCATGTTGGCCAACTCTTCTATTGTATGGGTGTATCTTCTTTAATTTTGCAGATGGTAGATTTGATAATCTGGCTTTCTTTTTAGGATTGCTGGTTGTTGACTTACTGATATTTGATGTTCTTTTTTTACGTTTCATTGACGTTTTCCTGGCGTCAGGAGCTGTAAGTGCTAGTCCTGAATCAGTATTGCTGTTATTCTCAAATTCCTGAAGTGCAGACTGAAGACTCTTTTCCAGGCTGGCTAGTGAAGTTGAATTAGTACACTCGTGGACCAAACTCTTTATTCTAGATAACAGATCACAACACCTAGTAGTAGCTGTCCGTTTTGGGAACACTGGTTTAGGTAGAACAGCTGTCATAGTTTGTTTTATGTCAGCTTCTTCTGTTTCTTTTTCTTGGTCATGAAAACTTCCTGCACCACAAACTTGCTGAGCATCGTCAACTCTTTTCAAAATATGATCAATTGGTTTGAACAATATATCGACATCTAAGGTCAGAAATGGAGAATCTTTATATGCTGTTGGTAGGTTTTTCCATCCCCAACTTGTAAATTTTTTATTTTGAATAATCGCTAATAAGTGCTTGCATGGTAAATAGTTTCGTTGCCAGTCAAGACACTCGCAGCAAGGTATTTCTGTGTCATGAGGTGCCCTAAAATATACATGATAGTTGTGCTTTCCCATTTCACTGGTTACTAAAAATGCACCCATAGAGTCATCCACCAAAGCGATTGAACGTACATCTTCAGCATAAACAAGACGTTTCATGCAATGGTCGATAAGGTAGTTAGGACGATTATGCAGAAATTCTGGAATCTGTTTGTTATAACGCTTATATGCTGTGGAGCATTTTGTATCTTCGTAGATGTAGCTGAAATAAAAAATATAATACACAACTTTTTGGTGCAAGCACACAAAATTTAATACAAAAATTTTGGTTTTAAAACCAGTATGCATGAGATTCATGCAACTTCACTTTACGGTTTACTCTCGGCATTAATATAAATAGTATACGTAAGCTAGCCAGGATCTGCCTCTCATTCAGAAAGAAAAACTGTGTCACTTTAGATCATCTATTAATTGAATGCCAGACTTACCTTTCGTATTTGTCAGGAAGAAACTCATTTACAAGAATTGTTAACATTGCGCTGAGAGAATACTTTCGTAAAGTCAGTAAATACTGGTGTTTGAAAGCCCCATTTTGTCTTTCCAACCCATTGTTTGTGCTAACATAAACAAGCAGACGCTCTTTTCTGAATGCCCATACCCATCTCTGTAAAAGTTAAATATCAATAAAGTATAAAAATGGTTGTAGGTTTTACTTGTATTGACCTGACGAAGAAGGAAAGTACAATGAAACGTACTTTTCCACTTTTCGTGTAAACGCTTGTGGTAGTTATTTGTGCAGTACATTTTGCGGCCGTGCAATTGCTAAGTCTGTATTCTTTTTTACCTTTTGTGTCTTATCCACGTGTTTTCCAGCCACCTTTTAAAGCTGTTATTGGTCTTCCACTCGCTAGTGTCTTTAACTTTTTGCAGGGCATTTTCGTATGCATCCTCAGTTTTTGCCCGTGCCAATTGTCTCATCAAAGCCAATATAAATTCACGGTTGTCTGCGATTCCATTATCTTTGTTAGATGTCCAACGTTCCCATGCTTGCTCTCGATGAAAATCGCAAAGCAGCACTTTGCAGTCCGAAAATATACCCACATGTTACACTCCATGATGAATTGCAGAGCTACGTAGCCATGGTATATAGAACTTTTTAAAAGGATGTTTAACTTTGTCAACACGATTACATATAAATCGTAAAATAAAAATAATCTGCATGTAGAAATTGATCAACCCTTTCTTCCCTTCCCATGTCCAAAGTTTTCTAATATTATTATTATATTTGATTAGCGATGGAAGAAATATAACTTGTGAATTGCTGTTCATTGCTTTTATTATTTAGGTGTTACATGGTTGATTTAGTGCAATAAAGAATGCCAGATGTTTTGGTCAAAACCTCTTGCAGCTCGTGCCTCATACCTGGAAAAACAAACTCAATTGATTTTATTTCTTCTTCACAAAGATCGGTCATCATATGCTGTGGGTTCCATCGTGGATTCCATTGATGTAAAATACTGAGAGCTTCTGTTATACTAGCTGTTGTTTCATCTTGTATTACAAAGGATGAAACGATAGCATAATCAACATTAGTCTTCACAGCAACAAAAAAATAATGGCAAGGAATACTTTGTGGTTTTGTATGTGGCATCTAGGAAAGCTAGTTCCTGACCATAACGACAAAGTAACCTTGATTGCCAAGCCGTTTGGTGTATAAACAAAAGTCGCCCTTTTTTGCTCCTTTGCAGTCGTCATAACCTCTTCATTTAAACTTATGTCGTCATCGCTGTCTTCTTCATTTTGTAAGTCTGTATTTTTGAATTCACCGCTTCCTTCAACGTATGGACGGAAATAAAATCTATCGTTGCTCGAAGCCTTTTCGCATTTCCATTTTTCAACCAGTCGAGTGACGTTGTCTTGGTCCATAAATGAAAGCCTGGCTCTCATTGCCGCGTTGTACATGTGATTTTTTTATTGTTTTAGCTCTGGGAAAGTATCGTCGATTGTCACGCAGAGGTTGTTCTTTTCCTCGAAAAAGCTCATCCTTTATGTATATTTTCAAATGACGTTTCATCTCATGAACAGTTCGCACTCCTTCACTGACAAGTTCTTCTATCTTTCTAATAACCTTTTCATCTAGTCGTTGTGTCATTCCGCTGTGCTGAAATAGAAAAAGGCAAAACTAGTTAGTGTCATGAATTTTATCATGCAGATGCCACAAATGATTGTGATGTTCTTGTCTACAGATTGCAAGACGAGCATGTCAAACAAGAGCATATACCATTCGTTAACAAGGTGCACTTTTAATAAATTAAAACAGGCCATGACCATGTACGATTATTATATTGATATTATACAGCAGGAAATGCACAAGATGTATCCTAACAACTTCCGTAAATACTTAGCTGCAGATAAACATTACATTTTTAAACCTACTGATTTTATTGATTTATACTTGGTTCAACAAATGTATTCGACATTCTACTAAAATAAATACTTAATAATGTGTGATGATTGCATCATCACGGTAGAGTATTTCAAATATTCGCGCTCAAAACGCATTTTACCGGTGGCTCCAAAGCTCTTTGTTTTCGTGAAGACTGTGAATTTTGTCGTGGTCGCGTTTTCAAAATCCCTCACGAGCTCAAGCGCTTTTTCCAAAGAACTTACATAACCGAAAAAAGGATTTTCTTCGTTGACAATATTGTCAATTTTTGGAATATGTAAATCAGATAAAGTATAATCTTCCATGTTGCGAAAGAGTAAGCGCGATGTAATATGTAAATATGCTGAAAATTAATTATTAATAGCTTTAAGTAGACAAGTTAAAGCTAAAGGGCCTGGGCACAAGGTGCTCTACCATATCTGAAATAGCCTTCACCCCAGATCCCAAACTTTGCCGTTTTAAAATGGCGGACGAGGAAGAAATAGACGTTCTTGGGTTAAGATCTCGTCTCCGTGATGAATTTGTTTTTGTTAATAAACAAAAGCAACATTTACAGAAAGAATATAACAGCATTGAATCTATTAGTGACTCGCTTCTCCGTGGGTTGTGGATTTCTGGCCAGCAATGGCGATATTTGGTCAGATTAAAGGGTGGATCGAATTTCGCTTATGAGTGTGTGTATACCTCCAGTTTGCTTGATTCTATACAATTTAAAGATGGCTACGCTTTAGTGGGCTTTAAGGAAGTCAAGTACAGCAACTTTTTGCGCGAATTACGTGAAAATACGGAGATTCTGAAGAGTATTTTCATTCTTGCTGATAAGTATACTTTAAATATTTCTGCGTTTGTTCAGACTATAGTACATTCTGTGTATGCGTCGTGTTTGTTTCCGGCCGACGAAATTTCAGTATTGCTAATTGTGAAGGCGATTATACGATATCATTTGGTGTACTCAGAACGACCCCTTAACATATATCATGATTGTAACTCTTTTGTGGAGTTACTTGACGTCATATTGAATACCTCATTGCCATGCCGAGCTTTCTTGGTAATGGTATGTCGTCAGTTTGTTTTGGATATTTTATTGGGTAGTTCCTACCCTTGGACAATTGAAGAAAATGAGTTACTTTCAGTTATGGATAGTCGCGAAGTCCGTGCAAAATTTGGTGAACCGGGGGCTCTGGGGACTAGGGACAGAATCAATAGTCATAAGATTGCATGTTGGATGAATCTTGCTGAAACTGTTTATTTATTTTTGAATAAGATCAGTAATAGTTTGCCATGTTTACCAGACTTGCTTAAAGACATAATTACACACTTTTATCAGTGCTCTTTAGAGCGTGGATTTAATGTAGAGAAAGCTCGTTTGATGGTAATGAGATTTTTCTTCAATCAAGTACTTGTACCAGTGCTACGACAACCACAACCTCGTATCATTATTACGGAAGTTGTGGCCTCAGGTGTAGCAAAGTTTAATTTAATGAAACTGGCGTCAATTATTCAAACATTGGTTGCCATTGAATGTGGGGATAACCTTTCAAATTTGAGTTCTGAAGCTACACAATTTTATGAAAACTTGGATAAGGTAAATATGAACTGTCACGGCTTCTCTTAATTTTATATATTTTAATAGATGATGAATTTTTGTAGACGGCTTTCCATACTATAGTTGATGGTTTGGTTAATCAGTCAGATTCTGAATTGAACATATCTAAACAAGACAGCATGCCTGGAATTTCCCGAACATCAGTTCTCATTTCTAAAACTGACTTGGATTCTTTGGTAAGAAAAAGTGAATTTTATTTAGCCTTGCATGAAGCAAATACTTATATTTGTGTGAAATTGTCATCTATCTAGGTTTCCTTACTTTACAAAATCAAATATTTTCAAAACTCTGGCTTAGAAAGAAACAGTGAGATGTCTTTTGATCACATCATCAATTACGAAAGTTTAGACCATGCACTAAGTCATGTTGAAGATGTTCCCTCAGTTGCCGAAGACCTTGCAAATATGAGCATTTCAACACAGAATTTTGATATCCGTCATGAATTACAAACTGCTTTCAGTGCGTTCTGTGCAACGTTAAATGAAGAAGAGATTGTAGTGGTCATATCACTTGGTGTGAATATTATTGACTGTCCTGGCTTGCTACCTGAGGAAAAGGTTATTGTGTTGAAATTAAATATTTTATGATTTAGATGTGATTTTTGAACGGATCAAGTATTTCTATCATTTGTTTAGGTTCTTGGTTTACCTACCCCTAAACAAAGACGTAAAAACAAACAGACAAATGTAGATGATCTAGTCAATGATCTTTCTGATAGTGATGTAAGCGGGTAAGTCAATCACAGTGAACTTTTAAACCCAACATCAGAGTTGTGAGTGGATACATTAATGATACTGAATAAAAGTGATGTGAGGGGAAAAATTTTTATTTGCTCTAATATACATCACTAAATTGTTTTACATTTCTCTTTCAGCGAGTCCTCGTCAGATGATAAACTGCTGCAAGATACGGAAGAAGTTAATATCAAGTTAGACAACTTTGATTCAACCAAAGATGCTCTTGGACTTGGCTTTAGAGATTCATTTGTTGATTCATCTTCAAAACAACAGATGATCCACAACTATCCTCCCACGAACCCCTTCGCCGCATCCTCATTTGCACCGTCTATTCCTACAAATAATCACGATGATCCATTTTCATCAGTCGTTGTTAATCGATCCTCTCAAGTTATATCTGGACATAATAATCCTGAAAATGGAAACGATCCTTTCACAAATGTTGTTGTTAGGCAAACGCAGTCATCTAACCCACTTCCTTTTAACGTGAAGGAGAAACATCCGTCGGAGATATTCTCTGTATCAAGGCCGCCTTCCCTGGTAAAAAGCCCACCTCTTTCACCGACAAATCAAAATTTGCTTATAGATCTCGGGAACACTGACGATGCAAAAGGAAATGAATCATTCAATTCCAACTTCAGTTCAGATGATTCCTTTATAAGTTCAGAAAGTCACGGTAGTAGCGGAAGTGGCACGCGTTTTTCTAGTTCTGCTAGTTCGAGTAGCGGAAGTGGCACGCGTTTTTCTAGTTCTGCTAGTTCGAGTAGCGGAAATGGCACGCGTTTTTCTAGTTCTGCTAGTTCGAGTAGCGGAAGTGGCACGCGTTTTTCTAGTTCTGCTAGTTCGAGTAGCGGAAGTGGCACGCGTTTTTCTAGTTCTGCTAGTTCGAGTAGCGAGAGTGGCATTTCAAAAGGAACTATTTATCATAAAGGTATCACAGACAACACTAATTCATTTATGATTGTATGATTTAGTTTTCTGTGCTTGTTGAAAGGATAATTGGCAATATGTCGAAGTTAGTTTTTATTTTATTGTATTGAAAGGGAGAAAAGTTAGCGACCACAATAGAAAATCGTTGAAACAGAACATTCAAAGTGTCATTTCGTCACAACAAAAACGGCGCTTGGAAAACGCAAGAAAAAAGAGTCGTACAAATATAAAACGTTCCGAACAGTTGAATGATCACAACAATTTTATGAAAACTGTTTCTTCAGCGGGCAACAGAATGATGTCCAAACGTAAGAAACAAACACACTAACGACTGAACTGTATTTATGGATATGTGCAATCTTTTTTTTGTGCTATCCACTATTTGTCTATCCATCCCTTTCTATCTCATAGCAACCACAGTCCTCACATATTCATTCTTTCATTTATCCCATTCTGTCTCATAGCATCCATAGTCCACACATTCATTCTTTCATCTATCCCATTCTATCTCATAGCATCCATAGTCCGCACATATTCATTCTTTCATCTATCCCATTCTATCTCATAGTATCCATAGTCCACACATATTCATTCTTTCATCTATCCCATTCTATCTCATAGCATCCATAGTCCACACATATTCATTCTTTCATCTATCCCATTCTATCTCATAGCATCCACAGTCCACACATATTCATTCTTTCATCTATCCCATTCTATCACATAGCATCCATAGTCCACACATATTCATTCTTTCATCTATCCCATTCTATCTTATAGCATCCACAGTCCACACATATTCATTCTTTCATTTATCCCATTTTATCTCATAGCATCCATAGTCCACACATATTCATTCTTTCATCTATCCCATTCTGTCTCATAGCATCCATAGTCCACATATATTCATTCTTTCATCTACCCCATTCTGTCTCATAGCATCCACAGTCCACACATATTCATTCTTTCATCTATCCCATTCTATCTCATAGCATCCACAGTCCACACATATTCATTCTTTCATTTATTCCATTCTGTCTCATAGCATCCACTCATTCATCCATCTAATTTTATGTGGAAATCATTGATATTTCTCTTTAGAAAGAGGCGATGAGATAATGCATAAATATGACAACATCAAGAAGGATCGACCACGTGATATTCACGCCACAGTCACGCCTGCAACGCCTGTCAAAGTGTCACGTGACGAGGAAGATGTTTTTGTAGATGCAAAGAACAAGTTACGAATAATATTAAGTAATGGCTCAGCACCAGTTTTTCCTGTTGAATCATTTGACATAAGGTATGATAAGAATGCAGTTGTTAATTGTTACTTTAGATACAAATAATCCATTGATTGCAATTGTTTTGTTTCTTATCGTAGCAAAAAAACGAACAAGACATTAATGACATTTCTTAAAGAAGAGTTAGCAGACGCAATGTTGAGCGATGATTCAATGATGATGGCGAGACTGCATGAAACGATAAGCACGTTTGAAAAACTGCCAGAAAGTCGGTACTGATTCTATGTTATCTACTACTTTATTGTATAGATCAATCCCATGTTATCCACTACATTATTGTATAGATCAATCCCATGTTATCCACTACTTTATTGTATAGATCAATCCCATGTTATCCACTACTTTATTGTATAGATCAATCCCATGTTATCCACTACTTTATTGTATAGATCAATCCCATGTTATCCACTACTTTATTGTATAGATCAATCCCATGTTATCCACTACTCTATTGTATAGATCAATCCCATGTTATCCACTACTTTATTGTATAGATCAATCCCATGTTATCCACTACTTAAATGTATCGATCAATCCCATGTAATCTACAACTTTAATTTGTGACACGTTTTACAGATATCGTGATGTTTTGAATGAATTAAAGCGAGAATATTTCAGCAGAAAAGTTTATCTTTCGTATCTCGTCCGAACTCATCAAAGTTTAATTGCTACACGACGATTTCTGGAAAAATTTCTAGAACGAAACGACAGGTAACAACAATGGTTCTCATAATGAACATCATTTGCTGACCTTAGTTTGGTGCTCACTGAGAAGATCTTCGATCCTTATGTCTTTTTCATACAAAATTTACTTGAAAGTAAAACTAAAATACTTGTCTTTTTTTTATCATAAATTATCATTTAATAAGTCAGATGGCATTGATCAACTTTAATTTGCTAGTTGGCAATGTCTAAATGAACTGACGACAAGTCTTTATAGGTCAGGTTAGCTCCTATACACAAGTCTTTATAAGTAAAGTTAGCACCTATACAAAAGTGTTTATAAGTAAAGTTAGCTCCTATACACAAGTCTTTATTAGTAAAGTTAGCTCCTATACAAAAGTCTTTATAAGTAAAGTTAGCTCCTATACAAAAGTCTTTATTAGTAAAGTTAGCTCCTATACAAAAGTCTTTATAAGTAAAGTTAGCTCCTATACACAAGTCTTTATAGGTTAGGTTAGCACCTATACACAAGTGTTTATAGGTAAAGTTAGCTCCTATACACATTTCTCCTTGTAATGTTGCTTTTTTACCTTTAATGATTAGGGATCGAGAAGTATGTCGACGACATTTAATGATGCAATGTGTTACCTTGGCCTTAGTGGATCAAAAAGACAAAATTGATGCTTTTGCATCAAAGTTTGTTCGTCTGCCTGCCGCAGATGAAAAGGTAATACCTCTCTATTTCTCTGACTTTGATTTAGAACGATCCTATTGTTTTATTTTGGCAGAGCTATGAAATGAAGATTTTCGTCCAAGGCATTAAAGACGAAATAAGAAAAACTCCCCTTGGAAAAGGTAATGCTGTTCTCATTTACTATAAACTTGATCTTCCCTTCTCTCCTTGGTGTATAGTTTATCCTTCTCTCCTTGGTGTATGGCTTATCTTCCCTTCTCTCCTTGGTGTATGGCTTATCTTCCCTTCTCTCCTTGGTGTATGGCTTATCTTCCTTCTCCCTTGGTGTATGGCTTATCTTCTTTCCTTGGTGTATGGCTTATTCTTCCTTCTCCGTTGGTGTATGGCTTATATTCTTTCTTTCCTTGGTGTATGGCTTATCTTCTTTCTCCCTTGGTGTATGGCTTATCTTCTTTCTTTCCTTGGTGTATGGCTTATCCTTCCTTCTCCCCTTGGTGTATGGCTTATCTTCTTTCTTTCCTTGGTGTATGACTTATCCTTCCTTCTCCATTGGTGTATGACTTATCCTTCCTTCTCCATTGGTGTATGGCTTATCCTTCCTTCTCCCTTGGTGTATGGCTTATCCTTTCTTCTCCCTTGGTGTATGCTGTCCAGTAAACAGTGGCATGATACTGGAAATTTATAAATGTGGAATCTACGTCATTTTTGATTATAAGATGATTTCCATTTTATTTTAATTTAGGTTCAAATGTTCTTCAACAGGAAGAGATTTTCGATGCAGTCGACAGATCAATAATTTGTCGAGTATATTCGTCAGCTCTTTATTCTTTTGGCGAACCTGATAAAAGTAGAGATGTGTAAGCTTTATTTCTTGTGTGTATTTTTTTCTATGCATGATTACTTTTTACCTCATTTTTCACTTTGTAAACATACTTTACATCCTTTCCTTTCAGCGTGTTTCATGAAAGTGTGAAGTCTTTGTGCAAGTCCATTGGCGAAGATTTTACATTACTTGAAATAAAAGAAGTGTGTTTTTATATTATCTTCTTTGGTATTGACTCTTCTTAATCACGAAAATCATCTCGTTCGTTTTAATGTTTTGCTAGGAATTTCAAAACGAGGCGCCATGGTTTTCTGCTCAAAATGAACTCAATTGTCTTCCGGCTTATAAGGTACGTTGCCCCACGAGACGCTAAAACTTTTTCTTGAAATTCGTTTGTTCAACAATTTTATTGAACATTTGCAGACACCAAAAGATAAACTCAAATGTATTCAGCGGTGTTGTACAATAATCACGAGCCTTCTGGGTATGTCCAGCGGCGATGCCGTTGGTGCTGACGCGTTTACACCGGTTCTTATTTACGTTGTGATGCACGCAAACCCCAAGGGACTGTTGACGACTGTCGACTTCATTAATAACTATTCAAACGAGACTTTAACTGGTGAGCAATATTATTGCTGGATGCAGTTCTGCTCAGCTATTCAGTTCATAAAAATTTTACTTGAAGAAAACAAATCATTATTAGCAATATAGAGTAATTTTAAAATACATTGTGATGAAAGGAAGGCAATCTCTTATGGACGAAGATACATCATTAAACTTTGCGACGTTCTGTTTGTGCATTTTGTGATAAAGTGATTGTATTTTTCTCGAAAGAAAAAAGAAATAACTTAAGATTGTGTTTATTAATGAAGAAATATTTGTTAAAACAATTACTTATGGTGATTATTAAATTGTGGGAAATTGATTACATTTACACGTTGTAATGGTGTTAGGAAGGGGTCCTTGTAGTATTTCAATGGATCGGATTAGTCATGACGATAAGTTATTACATAACAAAAAAGTGTGGCCATATCTGAAACCTGCAATGGACCATTGTATGGTTGTCGGGTTGTCTACCCGTTCCTCTCAAAGAAAGAAATGTAGTGATTCTTTCATTTTCTGTACATATTCTATTCAATCTTTAGTTGAAGTATAAAAATCCTGTAATATAACGATGATTGTTGTCTCACAACGGTGAAATATTTAGTAGTCGGTGAAATATTTGTGGTGAAATATTTAGTAGTCGGTGAAATATTTTTGGTGAAATATTTAGTAGTCGGAGAAACTTCGGAAAAACGGTTTTCGAACGTTTCTCCTTTTGGTTGATGCTTTTTTACAGACTTACAGTCGAGACAGTAACTCGTGACAGTTGACAGTTCACTAGTTTAACATTTTCACGCAAATATAGACTAATTGTATTGGAGATATTTTAAAGTTCTTGTGGAGAGTATAATGGAAGGAGCTTTGCAATCAGTTTTTGATCGCTTTTGGCAATGGAGGTTGAAGGAAGCGCCTGAATTTGGCACTATGATAGGAGAACATGGCTATGATGATGATTTAGGTGACATGAGTTTAAATTCTTACGCTAAACGATTGGTTTGTACTATTTGGGTTGCTTGTTTAACGTACTTCGTTTAAAATTAAGTCTCCGATACTTACTTAAAATTTCATGATATTATTTATGTACATTTTCACAGTACATATTGACTTATACAAATTTGCACTACTTAAAAGTCACGTACATTCCCTATTATTCCATATTGAACAATACTTTGTCATGATAATTTGTTAGGAAAATGCCAAAGAGTTCGTTGCAGAACTGGAAAATATTGATATGAATCTACTAAGCAAGGTTTGTTGCAGTTCTCTTTATAAATGTGTTGGTTATTTACTAGATTTTTGTTGTATTAGGAAGATAATATGAACTGTAAATTGTTGCATCTTGAGCTGTCTACATATGTCAGTGGCATGGGGTTCAAATGGTATGTAAATTTGGTGTAATGCTGCTGTTTTTGCGTACTAGCTTGGCTATTTCCAAAGTGTTATCTTATTTGCACACATTTGCCCACCATGCTTTTCATCTTTCCTACTTTCTGTCTTATTCTTAGTCATTTGTTTCCTGTGAATTGTTTGGAAGGGCCGCATATTGACTTTAAGAAAACTATCTCATGGATGAAAACAGAGAACTTGAAAGATATTGAAAAAATTCTATCAAGATTTAATAAATTTCCAGTTAAGGTAGCTACTGGGACATACCAAGAAGCAGTGCGCAAATTAGTTCAGAAAAAATGATGTGCAATTTTTTTGACAAAAGTGTTTCTTTAGAGACATAATCAAATCGATATTACATTAATTATTACATAGCGCTAATTGCTAAATTAATATTTTTAAACGTGAACAAATTCATGATTTACGACAGTGTTTTTCGTTGAAACTGCTGATTTTTGCACATCGTTTGAAAAAGTGATGTGCAATTGTTTTCATTTTAGCTAAAACAATGTGCAAATTGCACATTGCACACCATTAATTTGCACACTGCCCAGAAGGTTTTTCAGTGGCTTTTCCATTGTCTCATATCAATGGAGATTGATCAAACAATCGGTCCGGGGTCATGGTCCGGGGTCATGGGTCCGGGGTCATGAACCCGGGGTCATGGGCCCGGGGTCATGAATCCGGGGTCATGAATCCGGGGTCATGAGGCCGGGGTCATGAACCCGGGGTCGTGGGTCCAGGGTCATTGGTCCGCGGTCATGAATCCGGGGTCATGGGTCTGGGGTCATGAATCCGGGGTCATGGTCCGCGGTCATGAATCTGGGGTCATGGGTCCGGGTCATGGGTCCAGGGTCATTGGTCCGCGGTCATGAATCCGGGGTCATGGGTCTGGGGTCATGAATCCAGGGTCATGGTCGCGGTCATGAATCTGGGGTCATGGGTCCGGGTCATGAACCCGGGGTCATGGGTCCGGGTCATGAATCAGTGGTCATGGGTCCGGGGTCATGTATCCGGGGTCATGGGTCCGGGGTCATGAATCCGGGGTCATGGGTCCGGGTCATGAACCCGGGGTCATGGCTCCGGGGTCATGAATCCGGGGTCATTGGTCCTGGGTCATGAATCCGGGGTCATGAGTCCAGGGTCATGAGGCCGAGGTCATGAATCCGGGGTCATGAATCCGGGGTCATTGGTCCTGGGTCATGAATCCGGGGTCATGGGTCCGGGTCAGTGAGGCAAATCAACTGGTCATGTGTCCCGGGTCAGGTGGCCGGGTCATGAGGCCGGGGTCATCCCGGGTCATGGGACAGCCGGGTCATGAATCGGGTCAGGCTCGGGTCATGAACCGGGTCATGGGTCTGGGTCATGGAACTGGGTCGGGATCTGGGTCAGCTGGTCCGGGTCATGAATCCGGGTCATGGGTCTGGGGTCATGGGTCGGGTGGGTGAATCGGGTCATGGTCTGGAATGGGGAATGGGTCATGGTCGGATGGGGGGAATCGGGTCATGGGTCGGGGTCATGAATCGGGGTCATGGCTCCGGGTCATGAATCGGGGTCATGGGCCCGGGCCGTCGGGTCGCGAATTGGTCCTGGGTCATGAAGGAATGGGTCATGAATCGGGGTCATGAATCCGGGTCATGGAATGGGCCGGAATGGTCATGGGTCCGGGGAATGAATCGGGGTCAGGAATCTGGATCCGGGTCATGGGCCGGTCATGAATCCGGGGTCATGGGCCCGGGTCACCGGGGTCGTGGTCCGGGGTCATGGGTCCGGGTCATGGGCCGGGGCCATGGGGGAATCGGGGTCATGGGTCCGGGTCATGGAATGGTCGGGGTCTGGGCCGGAATGGCTGGGTCCGGGGTCATGGGAATGGGGGGAATGGTCATGGGGGGTCATCATGGAATGGGTGGGAATCCGGGTCATGGGTCTGGGGTCATGGAACGGGTCTGGGGTCCGGCCGGAATCCGGGGCCGCGGGTCCGGGGCCTGGGGTCGGGTCGGGCGAATCGGGTCAGTCCGGGTCGGAATCGGGGGCATGGGGCCGTGAATGGGGCCATGGGCCGGGCAGGAATCCGGGGCCGGGCCGGGGCGGGTCGGGCGCGGAATCGGGGTCAGGCCCGGCCGGAATCCATGGAATCCTGGCTCCGGGGCATGGGTCCGGGGTCATGGGCGGGTCATGGGGGGCCATGGGTCTGAATGGTCATGGGGGGTCGGGTGAAGGGTCGGGTCATGGGGCTGGGTCTGGCCGGCTGGTCTGGGGGTCATGGAATCCGGGGCCGGAATCCCGGGTCCTGGGGCCGTGGCCGAATCGGCCGGTCCGGGGTCATGGGGGGTCAAATCCGTGGGTCCGGGGCCGGAATCCGGGGTCCGGGTCTGGGGTCATGGAATCCGGGGCCGGAACGGGTCATGGGGTCATGAATCGGGTCAGGCCGGGTCGGGGCCGGGGCCATGGGAATCGCCGGGTCATGGAATCCGGGGTCAGCATGGAATCCGGCCAGAAGGTCAGGTCAGGAATCGGGGTCTGGTCATGTCTCCGGGGATCTGGGGTCTGGGGTCAGGAATCAGGGTCGGGGTCATGGCCATGGGGGCCGGGGTCGGGGTGAACCGGGTCATGGGTCTGGGGTCATGAATCCGGGTCAGGGGGGTGGGGGTGGGAATCCGGGTCATGGGTGAATCGGGTCATGGGTCGGTCAGCGGGGGGTCAAGGGTCATGGGCCGGAGTCTGGGTCCGGGTTCTGGGTCCGGGTCGGAACGTGGTCCCCGGGTCATGGGGGGGTCGGGCCATCGGTCCGGGGTCAACGGGAAGGCCGGGATTCATGACCCCGGCCATGGTCATGGACCATGAAGGTCATGAACCATGTGGACCGCGGGCCCGGGTGGGTCCGGGGTCTCGAACATGAATCCATGACTCCGTCATGGGTCCGGGTCATGGAACTCATGGGGTCTGGCGACCATGTCCGGGTCATGGGGGTCTGGGGCCGAATCCGGGTCATGGGTCCGGGCGGAATCGGGTCATGGCCGCGAACCGGGTCATGGGTCCGGGTCATGGAATTCGGGTCATGGGGGCGGGTCATGGACCCGGCCGAGGCCGGCCATGGGTCATGGGTCCGGTCGCGAATCCGGGTCATGGGTCCGGGCGGAATCCGGGTCATGGGGTCCGGGTCAGAATCCGGGTCCAACGCGGGTCTGGGTTCTGGTCTGGTCTTGAACTGGGTCATGGGTCCGGGGTCATGAACTGCCGGGTCATGAACCTGGGGTCATGGGTCCGAGGTCATGGGGCCGTGGTCATGGGTCCGGTGTCATGAGGCCGGGGTCATGAATCCGGGGTCATGGGTCCGTGGTCATGAATCCGTGGTCATGAACCCGGGGTCATGGTGCCGGGGTCATGAATCCGGGGTCATGGGTCCGGGGTCATGAATCCGGGGTCATGAATCCCATGACCTCGATTCATGACTCGACCCATGACTCGATTAATGACTCCCGACCCATGACCCCGACCATGACTCGGTTCGACCTCGATTCATGACCGACAAGAACCCGACCCATGACCCATGATCACTCGACCCATGACCCTCGACCCATGACCCGATTCATGACTCGACCCATGACCCCGATTCACCCCGACTCCATGACTCCAGATTCATGACCATGACCATGACCTCGATTCATGACCCAGACTCCATGACTCGATTCATGACCTGACCACGACCCTGGATTCCATGACTCGATTCATGACCTCGATGACACGCCCCATGACTCGATTCATGACTCGACCCATGACCGATTCGACCCATGACTCGATTCGACTTCATGACCCCGACCTCGACTCTACCATGACTCGACGATCGATGACCATGACTCGATTACGATCGACCCATGACTCGATTCATGACTCGACTCCATGACTCGATATGACTCGATTCATGACCCGCCCATGACTCGATCCATGACCCATGTCCAGGTCGCGGGTCCGGGTCATTGGTCTGGGGTCATGAATCCGGGGTCATGGGTCCGGGGTCATGAATCCGGGTCATGGGTCTGGGGTCATGAATCCGGGGTCATGGGTCCGGGGTCATGAATCCGGGGTCATGGGGCCGTGGTCATGGACCCGGGGTCATGGGGCCGGGGTCATGAATCCGGGTTCATGGGTCCGGGGTCATGAACCCGGGGTCATGGCTCCGGGGTCATGAATCCGGGGTCATTGGTTCGGGGTCATGAATCCCGGGTCATGGGTCCGGGGTCATGAGGCCGGGGTCATGAATCCGGGGTCATGGGTCCGGGGTCATGAATCCGGGGTCATGGGTCTGGGGTCATGAATCCGGGGTCATGGGTCCGGGGTCATTGGTCCGGGTCATGAATCTGGGGTCATGGGGCCGTGGTCATGAACCCGGGTCATGGGGCCGGGTCATGAATCCGGGGTCATGTGTCCGGGGTTATGAATCCGGGGTTTTGGGTCCGGGGTCATGGGTCCGGGGTCATGAATCCAGGGTCATGGGTCTCGGGTCATGAATCCGGGGAATTGGGTCCGGGGTCATGCATCCGGGAAAAAAAAATATAAATTAAGATTGTGTTTATTAATGAAGAAATATTTGTTAAAACAATTACTTATGGTGATTATTAAATTGTGGGAAATTGATTACATTTACACGTTGTGATGGTGTTAGGAAGGGGTCCTTGTAGTATTTCAATGGATCGGATTAGTCATGACGATAAGTTATTACGTAACAAAAAAGTGTGGCCATATCTGAAACCTGCAATGGACCATTGTATGGTTGTCGGGTTGTCTACCCGTTCCTCTCAAAGAAAGAAATGTAGTGATTCTTTCATTTTCTGTACATATTCTATTCAATCTTTAGTTGAAGTGTAAAAATCCTGTAATATAACGATGATTGTTGTCTCACAACGGTGAAATATTTAGTAGTCGGTGAAATATTTGTGGTGAAATATTTAGTAGTCATTGAAATATTTGTGGTGAAATATTTAGTAGTCGGTGAAATATTTGTGGTGAAATATTTAGTAGTCGGAGAAGCTTCGGAAAAACGGTTTTCGAACGTTTCTCCTTTTGGTTGATGCTTTTTTACAGACTTACAGTCGAGACAGTAACTCGTGACAGTTGACAGTTCACTTGTTTAACATTTTCACGCAAATATAGACTAATTGTATTGGAGATATTTTAAAGTTCTTTTGGAGAGTATAATGGAAGGAGCTTTGCAATCAGTTTTTGATCGCTTTTGGCAATGGAGGTTGAAGGAAGCGCCTGAATTTGGCACTATGATAGGAGAACATGGCTATGATGATGATTTAGATGACATGAGTTTAAATTCTTACGCTAAACGATTGGTTTGTATTATTTGGGTTGCTTGTTTAACGTACTTCGTTTAAAATTAAGTCTCCGATACTTACTTAAAATTTCATGATATTATTTATGTACATTTTCACAGTACATATTGACTTATACAAATTTGCACTACTTAAAAGTCACGTACATTCCCTATTATTCCATATTGAACAATACTTTGTCGTGATAATTTGTTAGGAAAATGCCAAAGAGTTCGTTGCAGAACTGGAAAATATTGATATGAATCTACTAAGCAAGGTTTGTTGCAGTTCTCTTTATAAATGTGTTGGTTATTTACTAGATTTTTGTTGTATTAGGAAGATAATATGAACTGTAAATTGTTGCATCTTGAGCTGTCTACATATGTCAGTGGCATGGGGTTCAAATGGTATGTAAATTTGGTGTAATGCTGCTGTTTTTGTGTACTAGCTTGGCTATTTCCAAAGTGTTATCTTATTTGCACACATTTGCCCACCATGCTTTTCATCTTTCCTACTTTCTGTCTTATTCTTAGTCATTTGTTTCCTGTGAATTGTTTGGAAGGGCCGCATATTGACTTTAAGAAAACTATCTCATGGATGAAAACAGAGAACTTGAAAGATATTGAAAAAATTCTATCAAGATTTAATAAATTTCCAGTTAAGGTAGTTACTTGGACATACCCAGAATGTTTTTCAGTTGATTTTCCATTTTCTCATCTCAATATAGATTGATCAAACAATTGAGCTGCTTCAAAAAGGAATTGAAACTGGCTATGTTAATGCTAAAGTCTCAATGGTTGAGTACATTTTTTTCATTGCTACTTCAAATTCACTAAATGCAAACAACATTTTGCTTTATGTGATTTTTTTTTAGGAGAACGTTCCCAATCAATTTGCAAAATTAGTTGAGACGCCAGCTGAAGAATCTGCATTTTATGAACCTTTTAAAAAACTGCCTTCTTCCATTGATGAAAAAGAACGGTAATTGCTGGCAATGAATAGCAAATGCCTTGAGTAGAATGTTATTATTATTATTTCATTTCAGAATTTCTTTACAAGAAAAGGCTCTTACAGCAATCACTAAGAAACTGTATCCAGCTTTTACAAAAATAATGAACTTTATCAAAGATGTATGTGAAGCCTTTGGTTCATTGTTTCTGCATTTGTTTTCTACCAATGATGCATTTGAGTAAGATCATTATAGTCATATCTTTCAGCTTGTCGTGATGATATTGCTTGTACTTCATTACCTTCTGGAAAATTATTTTATGAAGAAGTGTGTGTTAATGCTAGTGCTGCTTTTAAGTAAATGGCAATGGAGTATAATACAATATAAAATTGTTTCCTAGGTTTTGAAATTCCATCTGAGTACAGACATGTCTTCAGATGAGGTTCATCAAATTGGATTGGATGAGGTTGCTAGGATCCACACTAAAATGTCTCATGTACGAGGCCCTTATGTCGTATTTTTCTTTAGTGAACATTTGAAATTGTTAAATGAGTCATTTGTCATGTACAGGTCATGAAGGAAACTGGTTATACAGGATCGTTTCCAGAATTTCTGAAATATTTGAAAAATGAAAAGAAATTTTATATGGACAACAAGGTAAAACATGGAAAGGAACAGTTAATGGCAGTTTTTAGCATTTGTCACTTATGATTTTAAAACAATTTTAGGATGAGTTTATGATGCTTTACCAAAAAACTTGTAAAGAGATAGACAAGCTCATGCCAAAGTACTTTAACACATTACCTAAAATTAATTACGAGTGAGTAGGAATTGAATTATGCAGATGAGAGGCATAATCCACGATTATTGGGATTTCTTTCTTTGACAGGATCAAAGAGATGCCATTTGAAGTAGCAATATCCGGACCAGGAGCTTTTTTTAATGCTGGGTCGATAGAAGGAAGACCTGGCACCTTTTTCATAAATACCCATCAACTGGAGAAAAAGTAAGGGATATTCCTGTCAACAAAATTTAAAAGACAGGAAGGTACCAAAAACTCAAAACAATTGCTTGAATTTTAAGACCAACATATAGTTGCCCAGCATTGAGTCTTCATGAAGCCATTCCTGGTCACCATCATCAGGTATTTTTCTCAGCCCATTTGTGTAACCTGTTCTATGTGATGATACGTATTATACACAGTAGAGGCCAGTACTAACGTCTGACTTTAATTATTCTCTTTAGCTGAGCATAGCCATGGAGGCGACAAAGCTTCCTGCTTTCAGACGATATGTTGAAGACAAAAATTATTATTCTGCTCCTGGAAGATTTGCCTTACACGTTTCGTTTGTGGAGGTAGTGAGATATGGTGAAAATCTTCATAAAAGAAGAAAATAATTTAGCATGAACGCTTTTTTAGGGCTGGGGACTGTATTCTGAATATCTTGGTGAGGAGATGAAGATGTATAAAACTCCTTACGAACTGTAAGTTTAATTAAAATTTCTTTAGTAAACATGCGTTGTCCGTATCTTTGCGAGCTTTAAATAATCAAGTATCGTTACCAACAGATTTGGTCGGCTCTCCTTCGAAATGTTCCGAGCTTGCAGATGTGTTGTCGATACAGGCATGCATATGAAAGGGTAAGTATTAGTAAACCATCGTTAAGATTACGTTGATTTAATCCAACGACTTTTCTTTACGTTAAGGTGGTCTCGACAACAAGCTGTGGATTATATGATCCAGAATACAGGATTACCTCATCATGAAATTGAAAACGAGATTAACCGTTACATCACGTGGCCCGGGCAGGTTTGCAGGCCTTTTCCCTTGTCGATTTGTACACTCCAATTGTCAAACCTATTATATTGTGTTTGGCTGATTCTTTTAGGCTTGTGGCTACAAGATTGGGGAAATAAAGATCAGGGAACTACGTAAAAAAGCCGAAAATGAGTTAGGTAAAAATAACTTAAACACGACTTATGATCTGATCTCTGTATTGTGAAGTGATAATGTTTTAAAACGAGGCTTTCATCGTCTGTAAGGTTTTATATTGCTTTTCACGTATAATGTGTTTTTTTTATCATTTAGGTGAAAATTTTAATCTCAAAGAATTTCACGATTGTTTGTTGTTGGAAGGTGGGATACCGTTGTCTGTTTTGGAGCAACTTGTTGACGATTTTATCGAAAGAAAAAAGTAAAAAAAAGTTTGATGTATTGATGATTGATTGTGCATATCAAACGTAAAAACGATTTTGAAGAAGACAGGAGACTTCATTGCTTTGAATGAAATTGGATCCTGTTCGCTGGTTTTTAATGATTCAATTTATGAATAACAAATCTTATTCTTAATTCAATAAATTAAAGTTATTTGTATACATGTATATATTGTTGACGTTTCCAGGGTTTTTTGAACTAATTTTTGTCCAGTATACTTGATCATGCAAGATGAAAAAGGTAGGATCATGAAAGCTATCAACAAAAATATCTTTCTTTATTGCTAAGGGTACAATGTTTTGAGTGCTCTGTTATTATGGTATTATGTCTCTCCCTGTTAGTAAAAAAGCGAGTTCTATTTCATCATTATTTTTTCTATTTTATATCTCAATTATTTAAAAACGTTTAAGCCACCAAATGAAGCCAAGTGATAGTCAACGCTAGGAGAGCTGCAAGACACGTGATACTGATGACGACAACGTACGTGAGACATGAGTATGTGGACAGCCGAGAATATCATCATAACTTAATCTAGCTGAGCTCTGTCCTTTTTAAATTGATTTGTTAGTTCATGATCCTTTTGCTTGAGCGTTGGTTGCTAATTATTCATAATATAGCTGACTACCAAATCATGTACTTGATGTCATTGATGATTTTGAAGTCGTCAAGGTGATGATATTTGTGATGGTGATTGGTGGTGAGGGTAATTAATGGTGATGGTGTTTGTGAATGGTAATGACGATAGCGAGGGTGATCGATGGGGGTTGTGTTGGTGATTGTGATTTGTGATGGCCATGATAAGGGTGATTGATGGTGATGATAAAGATGGTAAGGGTGATTGATTGTGATGATGATGATGATAAAGGTGATTGGTGGTGATGACGATAAAGGTGATTGATGGTGTTGGTGTTGGTGCTGGTGTTGGTGATAGCGATCATAAGAGAGATTGATGGTGATTGCAATAATCAGATGGTGATGGGGATATGATTTCTTTATGTGTGCTTTGTTCATTATTGTATTGAAAGTGACGCTTTTTTTACTATCATTTTCGAAGTCGTGAAATAACAACAAACAAAGTTCTTTGCTCAAGATCACATAAGTAAACTTCTCCAAAGACAACTATGGCTATTACATTTATGAGTTTTTCGTTTCATTTTCAATTCTGATATTGCTGAATCCTGTATATTTCAGAAAAGAGTGATTAATTGTGCTTGTTTTATTCACAAGTGTAACGAAAGACGAGCAATTTGTCGAAGGTTGTATTTAATAACTTTATGATTTAGTTTCTTCATGTTCATAATGATATCACGAAATATTTTCTTGTTTCTCAGATGGCATGTTGTTTCTGTGATTTTGTTTTGGATAAGAAGTATAATGTGCACTTTCCCATCCTAGTTTGTTAAGCCTAAGTAAATATTTCAATAAAATATTCGTTTCTATAGAGATAGTTTTTCAATGACATATGTGCTTTACAATACATTTGAGACGTCACCTCGCAGAAAACTTTCGTTGAAAACGAAATTATTGGGAAGCAGTGCGTATTTTATGCATTTTCGTTTTATTAAAACAAAGACAAACTAACCCCGATCATTGTACATGACGTCACTTCATTTACGAATGTCAGTCATCGCCGATATCTTGACACAAACAGAGGAGAAGTTAACGTTAAACCCCATTTGAGTGGCGTGTTGGTAAATTAAGCGGCCAATCGAGCATAAAATTTTGATTTCACAGTGGGTGAAAACAAAGTACAACAACGCTGAGTGAGAGCATATTAACGGATTGTGTTTATTTATCTTCGCTGTTTTCTCTCGTCATTGAGACGCCATTGTAATTTCCTCTGTTTGGAGCCGTAAGCTTACGAAAGCCAGATATTGACAAACTGCTTCAGCATGCAAACCACCAACGTTTCAAATTCTCCTGGGTTGAATATCCAAAATATGTTACAAAATTCTGGTCAACAACCTCAACAAAACCAAACATTGGTTGAACCTCTCGCTGTTGCCGAAAGCATGGATGGACGCAAACAAGACATAGGTGATGTACTGCAACAAATAATGAACATTACAGATCAGTCTTTAGACGAGGCACAGTCCAGGTACATATATATGGAATACTCAAAAAATTCTATACGTTCTAAATCAATTGGAACGATGAATAATCGATGTATTGATTAAAGAATGTATTGATTTGAAGGCACGCGTTCTTCTTTCTTTTGTAGAAAGCACTCGTTAAATTGTCATCGAATGAAGCCTGCTTTATTCAGTGTTCTTTGTGAAATAAAGGAGAAAACAGGTTGGATATTATTGATAAGCAGGCATTTTTGTGTTCTAAATCGCATATGTTTATATAAGTTAATGTTTGATCGCTGCAGTGTTTTCGTGCAGTATTTGTTATGGCGCCAACTGACAATTTTGTAACTGAACTGTTTGTTTGTCGTACAACTCTTGTTGACAACTGTTGAAGTGTGTGTTCGATGAGTGCGAAATATATTGACTTGAAAAAACGTACATGAAGAGCCAACATGGATATTCGATTACTGTAAATAAATTATTATTGTCGTCTGTAATGTATAATTATGTCTTACGATAATTTTATTTTAAAAATAGCACGCAGCAATTTGTTCCATGAAACAATTGTGAATCTCTCGTTTCTCTATGACTACAATTTTAATTGAGTTATGATTAAGCGAAGAACTTTCACGATTCAGTGAGATCTACTGTAATTCCCATTTAACACTTCCTACGTGTTATGAATGCAGTATCATGACCCTTGAGACGAAACAAAGAGTAGTTGTGTGTATTGAATAAAAAGCGTATGAAGTATTGAGTTTTTATGGTTTCTTTATGTATGCAATTAACGCAAGAAAAATATTTTAGTTCTCAGTATAAGAGGTGCTCAAGAAGAAGAACCCCCTGACCCACAGTTAATGAGGCTGGACAATATGCTTTTGGCCGAAGGTGTTGCTGGACCCGAAAAAGGAGGTGGAAGTGCTGCAGCAGCTGCGGCAGCTGCTGGTGTCCATGACAACCAAATTGAACATTCAGAGTATCGAGCTAAGCTTGCTCAAATACGTCAAATTTATCACACTGAGCTTGAAAAATATGAACAGGTTAGTTGTGATGAATTTCTCTATTGTTATTGGTTAATTGTAATGTAAGCATTGTATACACTTATTTTGATTGTAGGCCTGTCATGAGTTTACCACTCATGTCATGAACCTTCTAAGAGAGCAATCAAGGGCCAGGCCTATAACACCAAAGGAAATAGATAGAATGGTTAACATTATCCATAGGAAGTTCAGTGCCATTCAAATGCAATTAAAACAGAGCACATGTGAAGCAGTTATGATTCTGAGGTCACGTTTTCTTGATGCAAGGTGAATGCTTTCAAAATCTTATCACATATTTAATAACTTAAGCAATGAACAAATGGTTCATAGTTTCTTGATTTATGTTGGCTTTTGATTACAGGAGGAAACGAAGGAATTTCAGCAAGCAAGCTACAGAAGTTCTCAATGAATATTTTTATTCTCACTTGAGCAATCCATATCCCAGTGAAGAAGCAAAGGAAGAACTTGCCAGGAAATGCAATATCACAGTTTCTCAAGTAAGCTAAGCGTTACTTTAAGGACAATTTCATCAGTTTTTTAAGATTTAGATTTGCACATTTTAGGTGTCAAACTGGTTTGGCAACAAGCGTATTAGATACAAGAAAAACATTGGAAAGGCTCAAGAAGAAGCCAGTTTATATACAGCAAAAGCAGCAGCACAGAATATGCCTTCACATAGTAATGATACCATTTCTCCGAATGAACAAGGTATTGTTCTTCCATGTCCTAGGTTTGAAAGAATGTCTCTATTAATCTTAAAATGCTTTATCACAGTAATGAAAGCATTTCACCAATTGAACAAGGTATCATTCTACCATGTTATTGGTCCGACAGCATGTCTTTATTAATCTTAAAATATCCAAAGCTTGACACTTTACAATACAAATTGGCTTGTTGTCCACACAAAGTTAGTAAAATATTTTTTGTCCTGTGTGTGAAATTATGCTAACTTTAAGTTGTATAAATGAAATCTCTATGTATGTATGATTAAATGAATTGTAAATGCAGCTTAAATTTTACATTTCCTACAATTTTGGTGTTAGGTTTCAATCACATGAGCCAGGCTACACCTACAATGATTCAAGTATCTCAAGGTCAGATGTTAAGTCCGTCTCATCATAGCGATGTTATGATAAGTGGGATGCAAATGAATGGGGTACACGGAGAATATCCACCCGTATCCATGGTTGGCAATAACATACAATCACAGGTAAACATGTAAAGAATTGTTTGTTCTACAAATGAATTGAAGAGATCATCATATTGCATTAAGATTCCATTTTATCACAATAAAACTAAAGCTTATGTTTGGTCTTGATTTTAATTGAATGAACTTGCAAACATTACCTATTTACTGTAGGGTGGCCCAGAGTAAGTATAAAGATATTTTATCACTGAGATGTTATCGTTGAAGAATGGTAAACAAAAATGGAGGGGGGAGGTTGAAAAAATATAAACACATTGTTAAATTTAGAAGTAATTATGAAAGATGAATATCTTATATAAACAATTGATATTTGATGATGCGGTTGAGAATTTTACTATTTTTAGTTATATAAAGGACAAATTAATAAATTGTGATTCTATGATTAAATAAATTCTTGTGTTCTTGTGCTTCAAAAGTTGTTTATTGACATTTTACGTGGTTCAAATACTTACTTTTTTCATACAGAAATTAACAAATTAAGCAAATGTTTATTATCAACCATAAATAATACATTAGAATAGGTTGGACTTAAAAACATTGAATCATTATTCGCCAATGGCATGTATCAAATCAGGCAGCAACATTAGATGATGTCTCCCTCTCCAAATATGCAATTAAATCTAAAAATTAAAAACAAGAATGAAAAGGATTCTATCTCAATTTAAGCATTAAAGATCATTTGTTCTGCAAAACCTGCACGTTCACCCTTCTTCTTTATGCCAGCAAAAACCATCTTAGTTCCTACATCAATCCACAAATGTTCATTTGTTGATATCGAGGGACACTTTAAATTCAAAGACATAAATTATTCATACCTGGGATGTATTTCTTTGGGTTCTCCAAATATAACCATAGAGTATCCCAACCCCATGTAATTCCCTTGTTCTGATTAGCTTGAGTATAGTTAAACCCTTGGGCTTGTCCAGTTTTACGACCAAAAAGACCATAAAGGTTTGGACCTACCTTATGTGGGCCACCCTATATGTAAAAATTTCACCAAGCTTTAGCCATAAGATAGTACTTATGGAATAGTTAAAATGAAACTAGTGAAATGCATAAACATTTTTGTTTCAAAACCTTATGAACAGTATGACATTGAGCACATTTCTGTTTGAAAACCTTTGCTCCCTTTTCGGCATCCCCCTGCGGTATGGTCTGTTGCGTAACCATCGTTTATCGATCTAAACTAAACACAATATCTTGTAGTAGGGGGTATGAAAATGAAAAAATACTTTCCTAAGCAAAAATATTGCTCATTTAAATATTTGTTTATTTCTTGGCCAAAAAAATCTATCCAAACTCTAACTACCTATCAAATTTCACACGGCGATATCCATGTGGTGAAATTACTCAGATACACAAACGTTCTTTTCGGTTTTTACCGGCGCTTTCTGTTTTATATACACGTCGATAAAATAATTCACAATAAGAATGTGAAAAGAAAAGGCAACTTTACTAGCCTTGAAATTACATTCATTATACTTCAACAAATGCAACTTAAAAAGGAAACAGTTTAAATGAACGGGCCTTGGATATTCAGCACGTTGTAAAATAATTGTTGAATTCACTTGATTAAAATCCTTTCCCATTTCCACACCGTACTCGTGATAAAACAATACAGTCAACCTCTCAGGTACGAATTATGAATTTATAGGCAACATTTCAAAATAATCGCAACAAAACGATAAGAAAAAAGATGAGAAAACTTACCTAACGACTTGAAGGAAACTTTGAACTATTGACATAATCATTACGTCATTTAACGTCAAAATCAATTTCCGGTGCTTCCATGTTAAATGAAAAATATTCAAATTTGTTGAAATGAATGAATAATGACACCATGACCAGGAATATATATCATTTTATTCATAGTCGTTAATAAGTAAGAAAAAATATTGAATAGTTTATAAAAAATATTGAATAAACTGCCAGAAATCTTTTATTTTTTAAATTTTTTCTATAGGCACATTCCTTTACTTTCTGTCTTTCTCATTTGAGCTGAAACATCACCATCAAGCATTATATACATATATATATATAATGGCTAAAGAATATGGAATGCTTGAAAATATAGCAAGCTTAGAAGGTAGATATCCTAAATATGTTGTAATATGCATCTCTATTCAATGTTCACAAAATTATATTTTATATACAATGTACAGTCACAGTTGTATGAAAAGATTTACCAAAGCATCCAGGGGGGAGCTACCCATTAATTTAGATATCTTGATTCTGTTAAATTCTGATTCTTTATGATGTATGATGCATTTCAATACTCCAGGTCATGATGGTTCAGTGTGGTGTGTTGCATGGAATCCCTCGGGGAGTCTCTTGTCTAGCTGTGGTTCGGATAAGAAGATTAGGCAAGTGAGCTATGGGAGTTGGCATATTTTGTAAAATAGCATTTACAAATATAGATTTCTTTCAGAATTTGGGGAAAGGAGGACAAAGAATGGATTTGTAAGACAATCCTGACAGATGCCCATGAGCGCACAATCAGATCAGGTGACAAGAAATTATTACAAATTTTATAGGAAGTTGCTACTGTTACATTTTACATTTAATGTTTACACTAGTCAGTTGGTCTCCTTGTGGTCATTTCCTTGCATCCACCAGTTTTGATGCTACAACATGTGTTTGGAGGAAAAATGAGAAGGGTCAGTGATTTGTATAATAAAAATGTTATTTGCAAATGGTAATGTATAATTGTCTCTTATCTATCTTGTAGAATTTGACTGCATAGCAACCCTTGAAGGCCATGAAAATGAAGTAAAAGCTGTATCGTGGTCCCGAAATGGACAACTTCTTGCTACCTGTGGTAGAGATAAAAGTGTGTGGATTTGGGAAGGTTGGTTTTATAAAGTATGTATTATATATGACATTTTGCATAGGAATGGATTCAGTTTAAATATTTCTGTTAGTTCAAGATGATGGTGAAGAGTATGAATGTGCCAGTGTTTTAAATTCTCATTCACAAGATGTGAAATGTGTTCGGTGGCATCCGGAGAAAGAGGTATATCGAAAGACGTTAATATAAAACAAATTCCAAAGAAGCAAGACATCTTGAGATTGCAAAATATGCATCAAAACAAGACGAGAAGTGAATTGTAAATTTTTTGACTTTATTTCAAAGTCATCCTCAGACAGAATGATGTCTTTGAAATAAAGTCAAAAAATTTGCAATTCACTTCACGTCTTGTTTTGATGCATATTTTGCAATCTCAAGATGTCTTGCTTCTTCGGAATTCGTTTTATATTATATTTTTTTAAATTGTCGGCTGGTCATGGTTTTTGAAAGACATTAAAATGTAATAATAATTACTTTGTCATTAAGTGCTTTAAAGGAAAAATTTTTTTTAGTTACTGGCGTCTTGTAGTTATGATGATACAATCAAACTCTATTGTGAAGATGACGATGATTGGTATTATTATGTATAAGATGGTGACCCTGTTTGTATGTTCTTATATTAATGGTAAAAAAAACACATTTTTTCAGGGTATGTTTTGATACATTGGAAGGTCATAAATCAACTGTGTGGTCTTTAAGTTTTGATAAAAGAGGAGATCGTTTAGTTTCATGTAGTGATGATAAAACAGTGAAAATTTGGAAATCATATCCACCTAACAATAAAGAAGGTTAGTATATATGATTCACATTCAAGTTAGTGAACTTTTTTCAAAGAAAATGATTTTATTATAGGTATTCATACTAATGGTAAAGATCCAAAATGGAAATGTGTTTGTACATTGACAGGATATCATGAAAGAACTATATATGATGTTGACTGGTACATTTTAAAACCATTTTATCTTCTTTTTCAAAAGCAAGTGTTCTTTTAATGATTTTTTGTGTTTTTTAGGTCCCATGGATCCAGAGAACTGATTGCGACTGCCTCAGGGGATGATTGTATCAATATTTTTGAACAGGTATGTATGAGCTTAATGTGGAATGTACCTTTGCATTATATTTTATTAATGTCCACATTATTCATATTGTTGTTTCACATCCTGATTGTTTAGTTGGGCAAGTCTTTATAGTTTATTTAATATTGTAGGATGATAATGATAATACTGTACATTGTAGGATAATGATAATACTGTACATTGTAGGATAATGTTACTGACGAGAATCAACCATCCTTTATGTTGATTGCAAAGCAAGATAAAGCTCACGAACAAGATGTTAATAGTATTTCATGGCATCCTTTATACAACATTCTTGCATCAGCTTCTGATGATGGCATTGTCAAATTATGGAGGTTTGTCGAAACATAGTGAGTATATTTACTGCATTCTCTGGGGATGGTGTTTACGACTTATTAGAAAGTCTTGCGAGGCTCACAGCTACTGCTGAGGTGCTTGTGTATGTGGTGCATATTGCCGGCAAACGAAGCTTAATTTCCACTTCACAAAGTCAAATACTGACTTAATTTTTATGACAATGCTGAAATGGAAGACAAGCTTAAGAGAAGGAACTTAGATATACACTGTTGAATTTAGGGATATGTAACAGGAATTGACAGATAATATTTCAATTCTCTTGGGTTTTTTCCCACTTTTTCCATGTGTTAAGTGTTTCGCACAAAGTAACAAAGATATTTTCAAATCTTTGTTTTCTGAGTAGTAATGATACCAAACAAACCGGAGTTGACTCACATTGCACTGTATCAGCAATATTTTCTTGTGAGTCAAATTATTTTATCCCTGAAGACAGATGTAACAGACTTGAAGTGATTTCAAAATAAAAATTCAATCTTAGTAAATTTAAGATCATACTACTGTTAAAAACATGAATACATTTAATAAGATTGGCCATCATAAATGAGCATTCTTGAACAATGTCTCTGGTACAGGCATGTTATATTTTAATTTTGTGTTGCACCTAAAATGATATTTTCCTTTCTCCATGTTAAACACCCATCGGTTTGTTTTCCCTGCAGGTGTGTGAAATAAATCCTTTGTGCTTTGTGTTATTTTCAATAAAGGAAAGCTCTTTCTGTTCTCTTCTTCTGATGCATTGCTTCTCACAACCTCAGCATAATGCTTATATGTATCCATTTTCATTTTCTCATACAATTCATCTCCTGGGAAAAAATTCTGCAGCAAAATATGCAACATTTAATTTTGCTATAATCTTTATGTAGAAAATTGGCACAACTCACAATTTTATCTCCAGAACTGCTTACAACAGCCACCATTTCTGTAACTTCAACACCATCCACAGTCATGACAAGTTTTTTTAGGTCATCCATTTCAGGAAATCTATAAGAATAGGTTTGTGTGGCTTTATTAATGTACAATAATTGTGGACATTTTAATGGAAATGTATCACCTGCACAAACGTGAAAGTTCATAATACTGTGGAGGAGCAATTGTTGATTGGTGAAATGAAGCAAGATCTCTTGAAATTGCAGGATTTATCCACTAAAATAAGCACTTGGTTAAGTCATGATGGATTTTTATGGAAATACATAGTGACATATGGTTGATTAGACTTACAATACAACTGGTAACTTCATTTCCATCATCGCTTATGTCTGGTTCATTGTCAAGAAATGTCACATAAAACATGGTTGTAAATCTTCTAAACTTATAGTAAGCTGGTGTCACCCAGTTTGACCATTCATGTAGTGACCAAATGTCTGGTACGCATTTAATCTTCCTGTAAGAAAAGGTTTGATGAACTAACTAGTATCATTAAACTTCTGAACGAAAAATATTCACCTGCAAAAATCCATAAATACTGAAGGGTCGTTATGAATTTTTTTTCTCCATGAAATGATTTCGTTAGGACTTAATATGCGACTAACTAGACATGTCATGTCTTTAGTATTGTTATCTTTAACTAAAGATCTAACTAAGAGAACACCACTTTCTTCAAATGTTTCTCTTATTGCACAAATTCGAAAACCAATGTGTGCTGGTAGACCATTCTGTGGTAGTTGTTCAAAATATGATGAATAGAAAGGAGAATTGGTTATTGATGATTTTAATGGCAAGTCATCACTTTTAATTAAATCCAACCAATCTGGAGAGAAGTCAGTATCTTCACACATACCTCCTGGAAACACATGTCTGTTGGGCTAAAGCAACAAGAAATGTTGCAATTTATAATTTCATCATATTATTAGGCATTGGAAAAAATCATTGTTTGTTCTGTTTACCATAAATTTCATTTGAGAGCTACGTTTTAGCATCAACAATTTGTAGCCAATTGATGAAGGCAATGAAGTCACATGTTGATTGTTTAGTTTGTTTCTAACAACAAGCATAAGTGTTGTGGAATGCCGAGGGATAACAGGAAATGTCATAATGTACTTCTGTTATTGAACAACAATTTAGATAATGACGTCGATAATTATATTAACAACAATAATTTTCAATTTACCATCTGGTCCATCTTCCTCCCGCTTTCAATCGTTTGAATAAAATTAAAATAATTAAAATTTAAAATTATGATTAAAAATTTAAAACCATATTTACTGTTTCTATGGAAACAACATGGCTACTGACTTGTGTTGAGATTTTCCGAAATCGACAACAGCACTTTCGCTATTAGATTTACGTTATTATTTTTGAATGGATCTTTATGAAAGTGATTTAATCATAAAATGGCTGTTTTGAAAACTTGTTTAAATGAGCGAGAAAGTAGGTGGAACTATAACGAGGCAAGTTTTCGGCCAAAGCCTTGAGTCACTTGCAGATGACGTTGATGTCAACCAAGAATTATCGTCGAAATTGAAAATTCAAGAAGAATACAATAATAATGTTTCAACAGTCGAGCATTTTATCCCTCATCCTCCTGATAAACTGAAAGGTTCGAGCAAACTATCAAAAAGGGCTATCACTGCGAGCAGATTTCCAAGACGATTGAATCGTGTTGTATCTTGTCCTACTGACTCGGAGGACGATACTGGTCATAAAACTTTAGAAAATCGAATTAAAAGATCACATCTGCCTCCGTTAAATGTGGATTTAAGCCATGACGATGATAAAACTGAGCCAGGATTTAAAGAAAGCAATGCAAAGATACAATCTTCATTGATATTAGAACCTTTAGCTCCTATTAAAGGTGTTGTCAAAACAAGCGATGTTCTTGAAGCTGAACAGCACAATCTAAGATGGAAGCAGGAAAAGAAGGAGAATAATAGAAAACCTTTTAAAACAACTTCCATTAAAAACCTAGACACGATTGATAACAATGTACATGATAAAGATGTAGAGAATGTATCAGAAAGTACTTTCACCAGTGTCAGTGAGAATTCCTCTAGTTCAGACGAAGAAAATTATAACAAATCATTTACCAAAGGTTCAGTACATATACCCACTTCTTCTGAGCATGTTACTGCCAAACTTCATCGAAGTGCAACGTCTCTCAAATCTCAAAAACGTTTAACTGGATATGAGGAGCATCATTCTGATACTGAAGCCATTCGGCATGGTCTTGGTCGTCGAAACTCTTTACTTCCTAAAGTTCCTGCATCTAAAGCAAGGGACAGAAATTCAAATTTTGTGCAAGAAGAGCTTGAGAGTTATTTACCACAGCGAAAGTTGACGGTCTTTGTTGGAACCTGGAATATGCATGGAGAAAAGGTTTGCTTGTAAATCATCCCTTCATGCAACTGTACTTAAATATAGTTATATGTTCTTTGGGTTTTTTTCATTAGCAGCTACCACTGTTTGTGGATGATTTTTTGCTGCCCGAATGCTGTCAATATATGCAAGATTTGTATGTTATTGGATCACAAGAGAGTACACCTCTTAGGTATTAATCTATTAAAATTTTTTCGTGATCCATTTAATTACTTCTTATTGTAGGATTGAGATTATAATTTAGATATTGTATTATTTTAGGAAAGAGTGGGAGATTAAAATACAAGAAGCTTTAGGTCCATCTCATGTCTTAATTCATTCTTCATCATTTGGAGTTCTACATCTTGCTATGTTCTTACGCAGAGAACTTGTATGGTTTTGTTCAGGTACGTATGCATATTTGTGCCAGTGTTTTCTCTCCTTGAGAGTCTTATATGATGCACTCTGCCTGTGAAAACCAAAGAAGACTATGTTAGGATTACTTATGAAAAGTTGTGTGTTTGTTATAATTTTAGCTAGACAGTACTGATGTGATACATAGGTGAGATTGTCACTGTGCATTATATTTAGCTGTTGAACAAGCAACCATTGCAACAAGACCAGGTCACATGATCAAAACAAAGGTATTATCATGCTTTGCAATGCTAGACAGTTTTTCTTGAACATATTTCAACATTGTTACATTGACAGAATTTTTCTCTGGATTGATTAAATGACTTTTTACTCAACCTGTAAATCTTTCCACGTTTCTTGTATGTTTAAGGGAGCTATTGGCTTTTCAATGTCTATTTTTGGCACATCATTTCTATTTATAAACTCCCATTTCAGTGGTAAGTAAACAATACGATAATAAGTTTATATAGACGATATTTTACCATAGCTGTTATTTTTGATCAGCTCATGAGAAAAAGTGGAAAGAACGTATTGGTGATTATCGACTTATACGAAAGAGTTTGTCATTACCTTTGAATTACTCGGAGGAAAAGAAATCTAAATGTAAGATGTAGATGGTGATTTAACAAAGTAAAATTGATCATATATTTCCATGTTGTTCATCAGTAAAACTTGTTTCTAATAACACTTTCTTGTTTACTTTAGCTACTGATGTTACATCTAGATTTCATCGAGTCTTCTGGCTTGGTGATTTCAACTTTAGACTGGAAGAGCGTCATTCTGTTGTCTTAAAATATCTAAATCAATGCAAAGAAGAAAACGAGCTATCTTACAATGTGAGTGAACTGAAGTATGACTTGACAAAGACACTTTTTTTCTTGTAAGGTCATCGCAGCATAGTAATTCCACTTCTTATAATTAGGAGTTGGTGGCTAAAGATCAAATGACAAAACTAATGAAAAAAAGTAAGGATAACCATTATCATCATTGTAGTAAATCCACATAGCTCTACATACAATTGTATAAATGAAAAAATTGACAAATATTGAGATGTTTTTAAATATATTTTTAATCTCTAGATGGTGTATTTGAACATTTCAAAGAAGCCGCAATCAATTTTCCTCCAACATATAGATTTGAGATTGATCATGATTGTCCTGGAAATTACTCAGATGTCAGAGTACCATCCTGGACAGTTAGTTGCCTTATGTTATTCACGTCAAAACAATTCTTTTTGTGTATTTTCATATTCCCTTTATTAGGATCGTGTTGTTTATCGAAGTCAGAAAGAAAATGGAGTGCGACCTCTTCATTATGATTGTTGTTCATCTCTGATTATTTCAGACCATAGGTACAATATTCAGAGAAGTTTTACCATGGCACAGTAATGCTTTAGATTATGAAATTATCAGTCAGGTTTTTATATTATTTCTTTATAGACCAGTTTATGGAATCTTTGAAGCAGATATTGAACCAGTTCGAGAAAGGTATGTGATACCTTTTGCAGTTTGTTAAAAATTAATATTTTTCCTCAAGTTTGAATTTTTTAGAATTTCTTTTACTGGTGTCCATTATATTCGTGATGTTTATATTGAAGGTAGGATGTGCTTTTCAAAAACTTTTTAGCCCTTGCATTTTTAAAAGTTTCTATCTTTTATTTCATCATTTTGACTTATATGTTCATTTTGACTGCTTTTCTTGCATAGCAAATCGTAGAAGACAGGCACCACCTCGAAATGAACGGCAAAGTGCAGTTTGTACCATATTATAGTGAATAGCTAGGGAAGGATTTATTGGACACCTGATATTGCACTTCATGAATTATTTAAGTAGTAAATTATGCAAAACACTATATTTAATATCATAAATTTTCTTTTCTTTTCTTTTAACTAAACAAAAAAATATGAAAGATAAAATAATCAATCTATATAAAAATTTCTAATGTAGAATCAACATTTGCCCTGCACAAAGGGCACTTCCGTAAATACCCATGTTCATGTGTAGCTCTTTGAAGGCAAGTCTGGCAAATACAAACATGTCGACATGGCAACAGCAACACATTTTTCACATTGTCCCGACAAATAACACACAAATGTTTATCATGTTCAGATTCCAACTCTTGAATGAGGCGTGGCTGTGGTATTTCTTGCAGTGTATTGACAATTTCATTGTCATTGTTTTCAATTGTAAAAATATGCACTCTTTGGATAACTTTTATAGATGAGGAAATCATAGATCTAATTTCTTTGTGCCAATAAAAGACAATACAGACAGCACAAAGCAGTAAAATGCCAAGGTATACAGTTTGCAAAACTTCAACAAATTGAAAAGTCATTGTAGATAATCCTCTATGGATGCCTTGAAGCATGGTAAGGCTCCTTGTAATGATAGCACTTGCCATGCTGGTGAGGATGGTAGAAGTTTGTGAAATTGTCGAACAAATAAAATTTCTTACAGCTGCATCAATATGACAAACATAATCAACAAATGCCCTCCAAGAATGAACCAACATATGTGAGATGTTTGAAGCTAATGTCACAGGAAAATAAAGTGCCCATTTCATCATATCAAAGATATAAACTAAACATACAATAATTTCATTTGTCATAAAAATGCAAGCATCAACTATTTTTGCCCCAACTTCACAGATTCCATTGCAAGTTTTGGTGATTATAGTTATGCAACCATCTCTCAACATCAAACTTAACATTTTTACAGATTGAATCAAAAACTCCAATCCTGTGGTTAGCAATGATCCAGCCATATCTACGTTCATTGTAGCCAAGCCAAATGGTGGATGAATATTTTGTGTAAGGATCAGTGAAATATTTTGAATGCCCAACCATGTGTAGTTACAACCGTTAAGAAACATGTTACCCATCCCTTCTATTACCATTGCATTTGACCCAAACACTTGTTCTGTCAAGTCAATTATGGTGATTTTGACCAATAGATAAGCATCTTTTAAACCACCTCTGATGCATCCAATTGCATTGAATATTTTGGAAAAAATCACGTAGTTCACTTCAAGCATGAATTTAACAACAAAACCAAGAGCTTCTAAAATCTTCACAATGTATAAAAGTAAACCAAAACTTTTGCTGCACATATTGGTGCAAAAGTTGATGACTTCATCAGCAATCCTTAACATGAAATTAAGAATTAAGTCTACAATCCACAAAATAGCTAAAATTGCCTCACAAATAGCTTGCAGAAGTTTAACCAGTGTTGGGGCATTTTCTTCAAATCGTTGAAGGACAGCTGTAATTTTAGGCTTCTCCACAGTTGATTGTTGCCTCGTAAATGAATTTTGTGGTTGAACTGGACTATTTTGCAGAGTTGTTGCCATATGGATAAATCCCACAACAAAAATAAGCTTGTAGCTCAATGCACTAACGCAAGTCGTTTTCATTTTTTTCAGCTACTTTCTTGTTGCCCAGCAGTTTTATCTTGGTGAAACTCTTTTTCATCTGCCATAGGGAGATGAATTAAACAATGGGCACTGTGCAATGGGTTTAATTAAAAGTCAATTCGAGTTGAAATGGCATAGATAATAGTTCTCTGTGGTAAAAGTATTATTTTCCATTCATTTAGATGTTGTTTGCAAGGATAAAGAATGAATAACAGTAAACATGGTGAAGGAGATTTTAGGTATCCCTTATCTTACAGTTATTTCTTGGAGAAAGCTGAAGGGTTAGGTAGCGTTAAGGGGGTTATTGAGAATAATTAAAATCTATTTTTTCACATTGAATTATTGAAAGCTGTGTTTCCGAGTAATTTTTTTCAACGTTCATAATGTATTTTCCCATATATTTTCAGCTGGATAGAAAGCCGGATGGCCGAAATTCGATCTTTGCCGGCCGGAAGTAAAAAGATGTCATTACGTCACAAGCTAACGTGGCGTTGTGAGAGGACAGTTCGACAATTGTCCCAATATTTTTTACTAAAATTCCACCGAATATTAGCGAAGTATTTAAAATTGGTAATGGCTAGATCTGGAAATAATTCTCCCTATCAAGATTACATAAACAAGGCGGAAGATTTTGCTGATCAAATTCTGCGGCATTCGAAACACGTGCTGCCCCATCTAGCTCGCTTTTGTCTCGTCTCGACATTCTTCGAAGATGGCATTCGTATGTGGTTCCAGTGGGGGGAACAGCGAGATTATTTCGCTCAAACTTGGAACTGTTCCACATTTTTTGGAGTCCTCTTTGTCTTATTTAATTTGATAGGGCAGCTTGGTGCTGTTGCAATGGTTTTGTCTCGTCAGAAAGTCGAGATTGCTGTTGGCGTTTTGGGTAGTGTTGTTGTTGTGCAGGCAAGCATGAAGATATTTAATCCCGTTTTATACTTTGAATATTCTTTATAATGTTAAAAAGACATTTGAGTTCACAGTAAGACTCTTTAAAAGACGAAATTGTTTGTCCCAACTTCACCTGTATTCTCTTTAGACCATTGCTTACAGTATTTTGTGGGACTTGAAGTTTCTCATGAGGTAAGAGTTGTTTGTAAAGTTTTTGAAGTATTTTAGTGCATGAATGTGTTTTATGTATCATTTTTGTAGGAACATGGCCCTTGCTGGTGCTCTGTTTCTTCTTCTTGCCGAAAGTCAGTCCGAAAAGAAAAGTTTGTTTGCTGGTGTTCCAAATGTCGGTGGTAACACACCGAAAACGTACCTGCAACTGAGTGGTCGCATCCTTCTTGTCTTCATGTATTTAACCCTACTTCGTTTTGATCTTTCATTCTTTCGTACCGTTGAGATAATAGTTGGATCCATTCTTATGGTGTTTGTCACTATTGGATTCAAAACAAAGCTTTCTGCCCTTTTGTTACTTTGTTGGCTCACTATCCTTAATGTCTATTTCAATGCATTCTGGATGGTGCCTAGTGATCGACCTCTAAGAGATTTCCTAAAGTACGACTTTTTTCAAACAGCCTCTGTAATTGGCGGATTACTATTGGTTGTTGCCCTGGGGCCTGGTGGCGTGAGCATTGATGATTATAAGAAAAAGTGGTAGATAAATGTTTGAAATTGTTGTATTGACATAACAGCTATGTAGAAAATCATGCAAATGTATTTGAAACCTGCGAGACTTGTTTTACTGTTGTACTTTTTAGTGACAACATGGTATTGTGCAAAATTATATTTTAAAGATAACAGCAAGATGTCTGGTTTTATGTTCGGTATTACTGCTTTTCTATTTCTTTAAGCAACATATTAAAATTTAACTCGATGCAGGATTTGTTTACCTTTTATAAATTATATGATTGATTGTTTACATTAATATCTGTGTTTGGTTTGTTAAACAATTACAATTTGGGTTAACTATGAGTATCTATGGATGTTACGTTGTTTGTTTTTTTAGCCCTTCTCAATAATGCCCAATGTTTTTCTTTAGTTCAGAAGTACGCGTTGTCTATAAAAATGAAGTCATTATTCACAATATTTTTCAATGTTTAGGCGCATCATAAACCTACCAAGTTTTAAATTTTCGCGTTCCTAATTTTAATTTTGCGCGTTTAGTAAGTTTACACACAACGATTTGTCTGTCCGACACTGACGCCATATTACGTGTTCTTGCCATATTTGGAAAGTCGTCCGACTCGAAAAATCGGATGAAAATCATAAGAAAATCTGTAACAAACTACAGATTTCTCCCGATTTTTACTACGTTACTATGGCTTCTGAAACAAGCAAATTATGATTATCGAAAAATCATAGAAATGTCTTCTTTCAACACGGAAAAAGAAAGTGCTGAAAGCGTCGTTGTTATTATTGAAAAAGCAAAAGCTGCAGAGATTCAGAAAAAGAAAAAAGTCAAGAATATTTTCTTAAAAAAAGAAATACGGCAAATTTACCTTGATTTGCACTTTACTCACACCGATGATCTTTATATTTGTTTTCTTCTTTTCTTTATTTTTTGAAGCAATAATAATAATATACATTGCCTCCGTAGCTAGAATGACAACTTTTAATTTCGCTTTGCTATTGTTCTTCGACACATTTGTTTTCTTTTTTGAAATCGCGTAAATACATCGGACGCATTTATACACAGCGATTGGTCTTACACGATAAATGTTCCATATATGGCAAGAACACGTAATATGGCGTAAGTGTTGGCCCGACCATTGAGTTCTATAATAACTCAATTATAGAACTCAATGGACCCGACAATGAGTCATTATAAAACTCAATGAGTTATTATAGAACTCAATGGGCCGCGCGCTGATAATTTATAGTAATTTGGTTGACGTTTCCCCTCCAGGTCTTATAGAACTCAATGGGTAAACGTGCCTTCATACTCTCAACTAACTCTACCCCAGTTCCTTGCGCGGTTTTATTATTAATACGGCTGTCATAGAAACCATGAGATGTCAATATGGTGGACAAATCACTTGGGATGTTTAAAGATTAGCGAAGATTTTCGCTGTCATTTTTGCTGAACTTGATTAACTTGTTAACAAAATTAAGGAAATGGGTATAAGAAGTCATTCCATCGAACTGCGGCTCTTGCTTCAAGTTGTTAACGAGAAATGAGCGTTGCAGTACCAGAACATTCAGATGGCTGGCGCGAAGCCTCAAACAACACAGATGGTGAACCATGTCATCACTCGTCAACAAAAATCAGTCCTAAGGATTCTCGCAACGCGAAAGACAAAGCATCTTCATCTTGTGCAATACGTTACTTAGAAAGTGGGAAATTACCTTCCAAAGAAATTTTGCCCTCTATAAGCAGCAGAAATAATAATAACTCACTATTTAAAATGTCGGGCATCACGAAGGATTTTATTCCCCTTGATATTTTATCAAGTTTAACTGAAATTCCCTCACCTCCTTCTAAAGAACAGTTGGGTCCTCCCAGCAAGTTCAAAAATAATAAAGTACTTGAGGTTAGTTATATGAATGAAGAATACTGTGGATGTTGAATATAAATTAATGAAAGAGAAAATTTGCTTTAGAAACAAACTGTAAGAAAAAGACCAGCTAACGTTTGGAATCACGTCAAAGGTCGTGAAAAGTTGAAACATCTTGTTGAAAACCCTCCTTGTTTATGTGGAGCAGGACGGTAACATACCTGTTGAAGCTCAATATTCATTCATAGTTGTAGGAAAAAATATGGTTGTAATAACTTAAATATATACATTTTAAATTTTAGGGATATTTCATTTCTTTATGATGCCTTACTTGCAAAAGATGATGCAAAAAGAAGAGAAAAATCTAATGAAACAAAGGAGTCAGCTTTATCAAACAATAAGGCAGCATTAGCAATGGTATTATGCTATTAACTTTCCTTATTAAACTGTCAGTTGCATTCTCTTTCTTTAGATTAATCTTTGTCTCTCCTCTAACACCTTCCACTTTATCTCCTCTTTGAGTCTTTCATTTTCATCTCTGAAATCTTTTTCTGTAATGAATACTTTCTGGAAACAAACCGATACTGCTCACTTCATGTAAGAAAATATCATGTCAATGAAGATTTTGGGCAGTTTTTCTTGAATTCCACCATTTTTATGATACATTATGAAATGTGTCTTTGACAAGCATTTCCTTTAACGTAAAGTCTTAAAATACAAGAGTATATCTTTAAAAACCACTTCATTAATCTGTGATTTTAACATTCCCAATTAGACAACTGCACAAATTCCAAACACCCTTGTACCAGCTGAATTTCATTTGGTAAAAGAACCTGGCGCATATAGTTTAGAATTCTCAGATGATCGTCATACAACACATTTAGATTCACATGAAGAACATGTCACCATCTTTCCTTCAATGAAACCTACGAGCAGACAGGAGGTGTTAAAATTAAAACATGCCTTTGAAGCAATGCTATCTCGGGCAGGAGTTGAAGACAACTTTAAAGAATTAAGTGGACCAACACAGATTCACAACTTATTGGAGTTGGTAAAAAAGGAACAGAATATTTATAATATTGTCTTCAATGAGTTAATCAGACAATGTACAATTGAATGTGTCGAACGAGGAGAGCTCTTGGCAAATCTCAGGCAAAAATATGTACAACTCTTGGATAGAATACCAAGACAGGTTATGAGGTAGGCATAATATGCTGTATATGGATGATGCTAGTTGCTTGAATAATGCAATGACATCTTTGTTTTTAATCTGTAATATACTGGTATAAAAAAGGATTTTTGTGTTATATGCAACACTGATTTCTGCATGATCTTATTTTCTCTGTTCATTCAGTCTACATCAGGAAGTGTTGGCTCAAAGAGCATTAGATCGACGTCTGACAGAGGAATTGATGAGATTCAAAGAAAATGTTTCGTCATTGACAAGTGAACTTAATGCAGTAAAAGATCATGATAATGCAATTACAAAACAAGCTGAACAGGTTGGTGAGATAGTCTTATCAAGAACTCCGTGTATGATATCATCTTACCCCAAAATCCTCTTGTGAGATAATCTTACTATGAAATCCGCATGTGAGATAATCTTACCCCTAAATCCGCTTGTGAGATAATCTTACCATGAGATCCGTTTCTTGAGATAATCTTACCATGACATTTGGTGACTACCATTGACGAAGTACGATTTTCGTTCTTTTTCAGATCCAGCAAGAACTTAACGAAGCTTTATTAGAGTCAGAAAAAAATGCAAACTTACTTGAAGAATATCACGAGTTGTATGATCTTCAAAGAAAACGACTGGAAACATTTGTCCACAATTTGAGCGAGGATCGTGATTTATGGAGTAGCGCAACATATATTCTTGCTTTAAAAGTTGTTGATCATCATAAGCTAAATGTAGCAAAACGTTTACATCTGCATGAGCGAGCTTGGTCAAAATTAATGACGCATTTCTCCTTGATTCTAAGTCAAAAGGATAGCGAACAGGTAAATTTAATCTCTGCTGTTGGACTGTGTAAAAGTCGAGGTTCTTCTTATCAATAAAAATTGTCATTCAATTTCTTGATTTGATTTCTTTTACTTTGCGTTCAACAAGTTTAAGTAAATTCGTCGTTCATTGTAGCTAAAGGATTTTCTTTTTCATAGTTGCAAGAGGTCGTCAACAGTTTTCAATCGTGGAAGGATCTCGCCGAGAAGTTTTTTAAACAAATGATTAAAGATGAAGAAAACCTTAAATCTAATCTTGATGTTGCTGTAAATCAACTTCTAAAATGGAAGAAAGAATTTCAAAAATTTATAAGGTACAATGATCATAAATCACTGGAATTATCTTTTTTTTTTCAAACTATTGCAATGCGTATTTAGCAATGAGGTGTTTCTACGTTATAGTTCTGATGGAGGTCATGTCCAGGTCCCAGAAAAAATATTGATTGAAGAACTGTTGTGTGACATGAAATCTTGGGAAGAAATGTGTAGTAAAGAAGGTGAAAAGTTCACTGGAGGAAGTCTTTTATCATCTCAAGAACATCTTATTCTTTTGTACCACAAAGTCGAGGAATGGACCGATGTCGCTCATAAGGTATACAGTCGGATAAAGTGTCTATTGGTGTTAACGCTTGTATAGTATACAGAGGGATAAATTGTTTCTTGTTGATGTGGTTCATAAGGTATACAGTAGGATAAATTGTCTATTGGTGATGTGGTTCATGAAGTTTGTCTCAACTGATGTGTGTTATGACTCGTAGATATTTCGTCGACATACATTCTGTGATCGCAATGTCATATACACAGAAGAAATGATGACATTAAATAAAATTGTGGAGAAATTACACCAACAGTTTCAAATAAGAGTTAGTGGAGAAAACGGTGTCGCCAAAGGACTGATTTGCATTAGCAACCGTATGGAATCATGGTAAGAAAATTATGGATACCAAAGGATAAGACAGGATACGTTAATTGTGAACTGTGTTGTTGCTATACATACTATGAAGGATACCAAAGGATAAAACAGGATGCGTTAATTGTGAACTGTGTTGTTGCTATACATACTATGAAGGATACCAAAGGATAAAACAGGATACGTTAATTGTAAACTGTGTTGTTGCTATATATACTATGAAGGATACCAAAGGATAAGAGAGGATACGTTAATTGTGAACTGTGTTGTTGCTATACATACTATGAATATCCCTAGGTGTAACAAGCTACAGTCTGTAGTCAATGGCGGCGATGAACTTTTGGATTCAGAGTGGACACGACTGGCTGAACAAGTGGGCAATGAATGGCTGGAAAACATTAATGAAGTTAAATATATCATTGGCTCACAAATTAAAGAAGACGAGCGAAAGGAAAACGACGAGTCCCAAAATTCTGTAGATTTTAATGAACTATGTAAATTGAGCAGAAAATGGCTCACTAACATGACCAATTCCATTGAAAATGACGACGGAAAACTACTGCAGACTGTGAGTATTGTAGACTTGTTGCACAACATTTCATTTTGAACTATTTTTTATTTTTGTGTTTAGGTGAACGATCTTCACACGACTATGTTAAAGTGGATGGTGACGGTTTTAATTCGTTTAGCTCCGAATTTAGATAACGGTGAATTGGAGAAAATTGATGGCAATGATAATTTTAAAGGAGCTCTGGGAGGTAGTGAAATTTTGCTCGAATCAACTTCTCTTCAGATTCAAAATCGTAGAGCTTGTTTGGTTGATGAACTGAGAACATACACCAAGGTAAGGTATAGGCAAGAAATATACCATGATTGATGGTGGAAATATACCATGATTGATGGTGGAAATATACCATGATTGATGGTAGAAATATACCATGATTGATGGTAGAAATATACCATGATTGATGGTAGAAATATACCATGATTGATGGTAGAAATATACCATTGATTGATGGTAGAAATATACCATGATTGATGGTAGAAATATACCATGATTGATGGTGGAAATATACCGTGATTGATGGTGGAAATATACCGTTGATTGATGGTGGAAATATACCTTGATTGATGGTAGAAATATACCATGATTGATGGTAGAAATATACCATGATTGATGGTAGAAATATACCATGATTGATAGAAATATACCTACCTACCAGATTGGTGAAATGATTAGTCCGATGGTGGATAGATTGATGGTTATACCCTGATTGAAGATACCATGATTCATGGAAGACAGGTGAAAATAGTCCGAGATAGATGATTATCGGAAGATAATGTGACAGGGAACAGGGTTAGGGTCTTTAATAATAAACACGATGATAAACTGAACTGACATTAAAATGTACATTTAAACTAAGGTGATCAAAGACGCCTGTACCAGTTTCGTGATGGAGAGTACGTTGGAGAAGAAAAATCGATATGAAGACGATGCTGAGGCGGAATGCAACGATCTTAAAAGGATTTCTAGGGAATGTGAGGGATGGGTATGGGCATCGGAGGTACTTCTTAAACAGGTTGGTTTATTAACATTGATGATGAAGCGATATGGTTGTTGAACTGATGACTTTTTTGCCTTGTAAAGGTCGTTGGTGAGCTTCCTGTACGTGGTGTGGATGTTGAAGAATTGCTTGCAAAACCTTCATCGGATGGCTTAAACAAAGACAAGGAAAGATCATTGCGTGATTTGGAAGAGGAAGCCATTACCAAACAAGATAATTCTGTAAAATCTATTGATTTAGAGTCAGAGAAAGAGACATCAGCTGTTGCTGCTGGTATTAATTATTAGTTCTGATTGCTTATGATGTCATTAACAAAACAAATCTTTGCAAATACCATTTTTCAGCTTGCCTATGTTATTTTATTTTCTGTTGTATATTTAAGTGACAACCGAAGATAATGATGAAGATGATAAGAAAGAAAGTGTTTCTTCTGATGTGACTAAAATTAAAGTAATAGCTGAGGACGAGACTGTAACAACGAAAGAATTAAAACATATAGACGATGTAAAGGTAAACGATAGTGCAATAAATTAAAGGAATTTAATTTATTCTTATTTTATTTTAATTTATTTGTAATTTATATAGGAGGAGTCCACTGCCGAAATAAATGGTAAAATGCTGTATTTTTATTTAATTGCGTAACCATTTTTACTTCAGGAACGATGATCTTTGTTTAGATGCATCTTTTAAAGCTTTAGAAACAGTCGAAAGACTTCAGAATGAACTAATGTAAGTGTGTACTAACACAATGGCCTCGCTGTGTCCAGCTTTTCTCCTGATAAATAATAAAAGAAATTTATTTTGCAGAGAAGCTGAAAAGAGGTCAGTTAGCAGAACAACGATGATTAGATGCTGAAGATGAACTAAAGAGCGCCTTGGAGAAAATTCGTTTGCTGGAGGCCGATCAGCTCGCGACATAGTTCGTGCCCTACTTCTTCAACAAAACCCCCTAAAGAAGCGTTATTCTGCTGTTCCAAAAAGCCTCAGCACCTTCAAAAGATGTTGTCAAAACAGAAATCACGAAAATGTTACTGGTTCCTCGAATGGTCGGAAAAAATAGTAATTTTTATTTTTGAAACGTGAATGATACTGATTCTCTTTTAAATATTTATATATTGCATTTCGTGTGAATCTTGCATGAGCAAGCGCCAAATTTCGAAACTATTAAAAGTGAAACCATATTATGAATACCAATTTACTACATTATACAAATGTATGTTTTGGTCAGTTTCATTTTATACTCGCTGTGTCGGGCGAATGAAAATGAGAGTTTGGAAATACTGCGTTTTTTGGCAGTGTTGTTTTGTTTAAGTTGACCTTCAACTTTAAAATGGTGGTAAATAATGCTTTACACTTTCATACCTACCAAAAACTATTGATGCTGGCAAATGACGTCATGTACCATCAATAATCAACATGGCCGCTTCCGCAACGATGCAATTCGTCAAAGAAAACGCAGAAAACACGAGTCTTGAAATAGTTACAGTAGAAATGCATACTGGTGGTGAACCATTACGAATTATTTTATCTGGCTATCCAGAAATAAAAGGCAAGTCAATTTTGGAGAAACGACGTTATGTTAAAGAGAACTTGGATTACATACGAAAGTTCTTGATGAGAGAACCACGTGGACACCCAGAAATGTACGGAGCGTTATTGGTGACACCAGATGACGAGAGGGCTGATCTAGCTGTTTTATTTATGCATAATGGCGGATATAGTGTTATGTGTGGTCATGCAGTTATGGCTTTAGCAAGATATGCAGTGGACTATGGTGAGGGTCTGGATCATGAATGCTTGTTTTAACTAGTTTATCTTATCAATAACCATTATTTGTTTGAATGGGCTAATTTTATACTAATTTATGTTTAGGTCTTGTAAAAATAAATTCATTATCAGAGGAAAATGTTGAAGTTTATATACAATGTCCATGTGGTTTAGTAAAAGCAAAGGTCGATCTTACTAATGGTGTATCAAGCAACGTCGAATTCACAAGTGTTCCAGCATTTGCTTATGATGTTAACTATAAATTGATGACAAAATCCTATGGAGAAGTTACACTTGATATTGGCTATGGTGGTACATTTTATGCTATCATACCTGACACAGAGCTAAATTTAGATTTAAAAAAATCCAGTCTTAGTGAACTTACAACAGCAGCAAAGGAAATCTTGCAAATTTGTCGTCAAGATATAAAAATTCAACATCCTTTGGAGGATGATCTTGCATTTATGTATGGTGTTATCATTACTGATGGTAAAGATAATTATTTGCAGTTTAAGGATGAGGCGACTCGAAATTTATGTTACTTTGGCGATGGACAGGTATTAAAAGTTATTTCCACTTACTATGTAACTTAAGAGATTCACTAACTAGTTCATGAAATGTGATTATTACTACACTAGGTTGATCGTTCACCTACTGGCTCAGGAGTTACCGCTCGTATAGCTGTCCAATATTACAAATGTCAAATCTCCCTCAATGAGATACGTCAGTTTGAGAGCATTGTTGGCTCAGTGTTTACTGGAAGCCCAATTGAAGAATGCAAGTGTGGGGAAAGTCCAGCTGTCAAAGTTGAAGTTGGAGGGTTAGCTAATTATTGTGGAAAAGCCACTTTTATCTTAGAGAAAAATGATCTATTCCAAGAAGGGTTTCTTCTTCAATAATGCATATATCATTTGTTAAACATGAAAATTTAATGTAGGTTTTATAATGAACTTAACATCATATTAATGCCTTGAGAAATCTCTTTGACTAAATCCATTATGGTGTTCAAATCATTCTCTTTGATACGATGACGGCATCTTTGGGCAAACTTGTCAGGATGCCACCTTATTCTTTGTCTTTTCAGGTATGTAATTTTCTCATCTTCAGCCCATTCACACAACTTATCTACAATGTCTGCAGCACTACCTATACATGGCCAAGGGATAGTGTCAAATGAAAGAGGCTTCATTCCTCCATTTTCAAACACATTATGACACATGTCTTCATATCTTACTCTTTCTCGTTCCATTTTCTTTAACCTTGTTCTTTTAATATAGTTTTCATGACCTTCAGCAAGTTGTTTTGTCAATTCTTCCTTCCATTTAGGGTCAACCTCTCTTTCCTTGTGTTGATGTGAAATATTCAAACCTGCAGTCCTTTTATGTTTTGAGAAGTACTCTTTTCTAATTCGTTCAGCCCAATCATTGTAAGTCTCACTTACATCTTCTTGAGGAATCTCATCCTGTTTGAAATAGTAATCTTCACAAGATTCCTCAAAAGCTAATTTTTTCTGCCATTCTTCCTCCTCTTCATTCAACTTTTGTTTAACTTCGTCTTCTTCTACGAAAGTACTTGTCATGATAGAATTCCATTTCGTGTACAAATCATTGGGTGTTTCACCAAAGATGTTAGCCAAGTTCATAACACGTCGAGATTTTCTTTTTAAGTAATAAATTAGGTCGAAAAGCAGTGTGTTTTTATAGGATTCTAGTGCATACTTCAACGCTATATGTAAAGCAGTGTTGCCATCATCATCAGTAAGGCAAGGATCGACTCCATTACGAAGTAAATAACGTGACATTTTATAGTCTCCTAAATAGCATGATAAATGCAGCATGCTTCTGCCTTCATTATCACGAATTCTGTTTAAATTCACATCGTTTTTTTTTAAATATTTTCTCAGCTTTGATATAGAACCCTTCTTCACGAATTTAACAACCTTAGAGTTTTGCATCATCACTGGCCTTCTTTACCATTATAATGAATAACAAGAAACCAATTGGTTGAAAAGATTGTCATGAAAAGTAGATACATTGAAAGGCGGCATTTCGCGAAGTTTAGGTGACGAATCAACAATCTCATTTTGCGGTATCCAATTTAATTCTTTCTTGAGGTTTGTTTACATTGTTCAAATTGTTCAAATAGATTAAAGTGTTTTTTATTTACATTTTTCTATCGAAATGTTGCAATTTATCCAATAAACGTAAGTGCAAACTTGACATTATTTGAGAATCTTTTTTTTGATGATTTAGTTTGAATACGTGTTACAAGTATGATATTTTATAGGTATGACCGTATCATATTTTAGTGAGTATCAAACACTGGTTTAAAACACCTTAATGTTGATGGCATCATGGCACAACCTCAAGAAAAAAATCAGTTACTGCTTTTAAAAGTAGTTGGACTACTAGATGACTTCACTACTCTTTGTAAGAAAATTGCATTGCTGGTTGATGTTAAAGCATTATTATTAAATCTTATTGATAAGATTGAAGGAATTATGTCATATTTGAAGTCGATAATCAGAAATGAAAAATATGCTGAGTTGATGAAAGTAAGTTATGAAATTGATTCTCTATAGTTTGCCATAGTGATTTCAGGTAGATTGACTTTTATACATTTAATAAGTAATTAACTACTCCTACCCATTTCAATCACCAGAGTCTGTGTAATCTTGCTGCTGAATGCAAAATATTAGTTGTGGATGCAGAGTGTCACATAAATAACATTAAGAAACAAGGCCAAGATGACAGTGAGACCATTAAACCTTTAAAGCAAGCATTCATCAACAGTCGTAATGTTTCTTGGGAATTAAATAAGATTAAAAGTTCTGTAATGGAGTCATTGAAAGAATCAGAAACATTGTGTCAAAGATACCATGAGGTCATTAAAAACTTAAATGAATATTATGGTCAAGCAAAAGTTGAATGTTTAAGGAATGAAAGCATAGCTGGTGTAGCAGGAAAGGTAACACTATATTGTATTTCAATATATTAAGAATGTTTTGGAGGATTACTTATGAAAGGTGATTATCAAGCTGAACAGTACCAATACATTGATTTACTTTTAAACATCTTAAGCAAGATTTAGTTTAAGTTGGTTGTTTTTTCACCTAGAGAAAAACATGTTAAGGACAGGTTCCTCAAATTTTCTTATGATTAATTTAAATAATTGCCCAAGTTACTGTACATTGTGTACATATCAATAAATCGTACTACTTTCTTTATACAGGGTATGATTGCTGGTGCCTTTGGAGGGTTGAGCATTTATGGAGGGTATGCAGGCTACCAATTTTTTACAACAGCTTTGTTTGCATTTGGACCAGCTTGTGCTGTAGTGGGGGGTGCTTTAAGTCTTCTTGGTGGAGGATTTACCATTCTAAAAAAGTTTCAAGAAAGTGCAAAACAATTTAATGTGTTAGTTGAAGAATTAAGGGAAATTGATAAAAAATTGCTTAAACATTACAAAGTGATGAAAGAACATGATGGGCAGCTTGGAAATGTTGGGAAGTTGTCAGAAACACTTTGGGCTAGGTCCAATGCTTTTGATGAGCAAGAACCTGAAGAGAGGGATAAGATGAACAATGAGTTTATCCAGGAAAAGTTTGACAGACTTAAAAAAGCATACAATGACTTAAAGGAAAATTGTGACAATGGCTTGAGTCAATTTGATACTTATACCATTTGACCATTTGCAATTTAATTGAAAATTTTTTTGCTTTATCACAATGCACAGTATGTTGATATTTAAATGATGAAAATGGAAAACATAATGCTAGATTCTGCTTGTTGTAATGTATCATAATAAATTATTGCACGGTGTAACTAATAAGTGATATTTAGCTACATCTGTCTGGAGCCCATGACATTGTAAATTGTTTGTATTATAGCAAGTGACATCCTAGTTAAATATGCTTCTTACCATGTTGTAAATAGTGTATTGCTGGTAAAAACATTTTGTGAAAATACACTACTTTTGTAATAATAAAAACTTGCAAATTTATTTTAGTAAAATTTTAGCACACAGGAACTTGTTTCACGTTGCATGTCAAATTATTTTCATTGTAGATATAGAGTCAGCTCTGTATATTTCTATTTTGTGTAACGTTTTTCTAAACTTGACTTTACACTTTCTGAACAAATAATCTTTGTAATTTCAGGTGGAACTATGGAATCATGGCTATTTTAGAGGAAGATATCAAGAGACGATCAAAAAATTGGTCATGGGAATACATCGTTCAACACAGGTACGTACGCTTTAGTTTTTACTACTTTATATGTGTAAAGATTACTGGTTCTTGAATTTCAACTTTTTTAGAATGAATTGTCATAAATACATGAACCTGTATAAACAGAAACTGTCTCATAAGAAGATTTGTGAAAACACTCAGAAGGAGATCGATCACTACGAAAAAATACTAGATGTGTTGAACATAACCATTTGGCGTAGGCAAGCTAAGATAGAGGTATGTTGCACTTTTTAATCATGTATAATTTTAAATAAGATAGTTTTGTTGGAAAATTTGGTATGTCTCGAATCTTTGAAAGAATGGTTTCAACTGACTGTTAGCAATGAGCGATAATCGTGAATTTGGATAGAACAATTTATTTTTTGTTTCATTTCTCTATGTTATAATGGTTGTTGTTGAAAAATTTTTCTAGACAAAAAAAGAAGGTAAAAATTATGAGCTCAATAAACAAAGAAAAAAAAGCGAAGGTGGTTGGTTTTCAGGCTTGTTTCGAAAAAAGTCGGACTCAAAATCAGGTACAGCATTGTGCAGCATTGTACAGCATAGTACAGCATTGTGCAGCATTGTGCAGCATTGTACAGCATTGTGCAGCATTGTACAGCATAGTACAGCATTGTACAGCATTGTGCAGCATTGTACAGCATAGTACAGCATTGTGCAGCATTGTGCAGCATTGTACAGCATTGTGCAGCATTGTACAGCATAGTACAGCATTGTGCAGCATTGTACAGCATTGTACAGCATTGCACAGCATTGTGCAGCAATTTACAGCATTGCACAGCATTGCACAGCATTGTGCAGCATTGTACAGCATTGTACAGCATTGCACAGCATTGCACAGCATTGTGCAGCATTGTACAGCATTGTACAGCATTGCACAGCATTGTGCAGCAATGTACAGCAATGTACAGCATTGTACAGCATTGTGCAGCAATGTACATCATTGTACAGCATTGCTTCATTGCTTCATTCCTTTGGTTTGAATTGGTGTATGGTACTTAAGAACATCAGCAATAGCTTTGGTAGGACTTGTTGTTGGTTTTATTAAGCATCTTTTGACTTTTGATGCTGTAATACGAGGTTGTCTAACATCATACCAAAGTTTTGGCTCATGTTGATTGACAGTAAGTTCCATTATGCGATCGCGGTCACTCACTGATGCTAGCAACCTTTTCTTAACCCTTTCACTCTTGCTTCTATCTCATTTAGTGACATTGGTAGATATTTGTTTGGAGAAACCAGCTGCATACTTGCACCATATAAATGGGCACTATATGAAGGACTGCAGTGAGCAGTTTCAGAAGTCCCAAAGTTATTTCCATCATTTGGCTTTGGAAGAATGAAGCTCAAACCAGTCTTCATTCCTGTTTCAGCTTCCAGAATCTTTATTTTCTTGTAAAAAGAATGTAGATCTTCATTTGATGGTTTTTGTTTCACTGGAATTTTTTGATTAAGATGTCCTCAGTGGATTTGAATTTTTCCTTGTTATAACTATGCTTTATAAACTTCATACCCTGCATTGGGGAAGCTTTAGCAGTTCTTTTAGGAATATTCCCAGTGCAAGGCTTTGAAGTACAAGGAGTAACAGAATTTTGCAAGCCGAAATTGTTTACTTTATTTGAGGAACAATCTAGAGATTCCAGCAAGAACAATGTAGCAGCTACATGATTGCAGCATCCATCAATTCCAGCAGGGCAATCACAGAAAGTTTTTAGCACAAGAGATCTTTCATTCATTGTTAGTTTGACTGTGTAACTATTTTTTTCATGGAAGGTAGCACTTTTCTTTTTTATAAAATATAAACTATTTCTTGTTTGTGATAGAACTTGTTGAACATTGCCAGACTTGAAGAAATTATAACCTTTCACGAGAGGTTTTTTGGTAGATATTTGCTTTTTAACTTCAACATCATCTATCAGAAACTTCCAAATGTTGGCATACCTCACCCTTGGTAAAATTGAAAGATCTGCTTGGAATCCAGACATGGGAAATGCTTCATCTGGTGTCGTCTGAGGAGTACTTAGAGTGATCCTTTTTTTAGATAGTTCTTTCCACTGTCAGGGTCAACAACTTGTCCATCCAATCCATTGTTAATGTAATTCTTTACTCTGAAAAGATACATTAATAAGCAATTATTTTAAGACGTTTGAGAGGTCGCACCGTCGCACATAATTTGATAATTGATAAAAAAAATCCACATACCTGTTCACAAGCTCAAGCTTTTTCCCATTAATTTTAGCTCCACGACACGAAAGCCATCTCTTTAATATTGCCATCGAGCACTGTTCGACTGGCTTACAGAGCTTGGCACGAGGTATGTCATCCTCAGTTAATACAATATCACAGTCAGAATGAAGGCAAACGTGATCTTTTTCCGCGCAATTATGCTGTTCATCCATTATATTTATTATTTTACAGTCAGAAATCAACTCCAACTATTCAGTATTTTGCTAACGATGATACCGAAATAAATTCACCAGGTAAATTACGATCGTGACTAAAACACCACACGAGTACATACGAGTAACATACAAGTACATAAAGTAACATTGCATTATAACATACATAAGGTAACATACGAAAATATGGTTTAGTACATTGGTAACATACGAGTAATGATGAGCATACGACTATTTGACAAATGAGAACAACACAATTTCTTTTTCAATACATGCTTATTTTTTCTTGTTTGTGGGATTTGGGGCGTCCATTTGAGGATAAATGCTGAAAGGTTTTACTTTATACTATTTCATTTGCTTTTAGTTGAATTGTTATAGATATTTTGTCGATGCGATTGCCAGTATTTGAGCGCTTTTTGACAACATCTCTCACCTAGGAAATACATATTTAAAGCGCGATGAAATAAACAACATATATATAATGCTTTCAAAACGTGCTATATGAAATAAATGTACATCACATATATTGAAATTAAATGAGAGTTGCATGTGTAAGTATATATATTATGCGTACAATTTCAGCTTACTTTTAATGTTTATAGTTCTAGCTGATATAATTCAGTCTTAACTGCAAAATCAGTATCTTAAAGACCAAAATGAATGTATAATTGCTTTCATAAATATGTATTTCCTAGGTGAAAGTGTTTCAAAAAGCCCTCAAATACTGGCAAATCGCATCGACAAAATATCTATAACAAATTCAACTAAAACATACAAATGAATGTAGTATGAAAGTAAAATACCTTTTCAGCATTTAAATCCATCAAATAGTTGCCCCCAAGTCCACACAAATACAAGGAAAAATAAACGCAAATATCAATGTATTGAAGAAATTGTGTTGCTTCTCATTTGTTGACCAGAAAATAGTCGTATGTCACTCGTATGTACTCGCATGTTACCGTAACAGCGTTACCTGCATAAATTTAATGTACCGTGCTGTACTCGCATGTACCATTGAGTTCTATCATTGAGTTCTGGAATTGATAACATTGGAGTTTACCTGGAACAAAATTAATATAATATCAGGGCGCGCGGTCAAAACATGGTGACGGAACAGTCAGCGGAAGACGCGGCTCATAAAATGAAATTTTTTTCGCCCACCCGGACGACACGATGCTGCGATATAAAAATATCACGCCAAGCACCAGAAATTTTATCTTTAAACATGCTGCAAACTTGTGTTTACGCGTGATGCCGGTAATGCCAGAAAGGAAATTTCATTACACCGGTAAGTTGAACGCAAGATTGTTTACCATTTGGGTAAATTCAAAGTTTTGTTTTAAGTCAATTTGGAAAGTGATATGAGATGTGAATGTTTGACTAAAAGCTATATTTCTGTTGCAAGTTTGTCCAGTTCCACTTTACTTTAACGACAGACGAGGCAGCACCGAGTTCTTACCCGATATATGCATTATCTGAATCCTTGCTCAAACTTGTTGAAAAATGGAGGATTATGATTTTTCCGAAAATATGAAGCAAAACATTGCAGACGGTAGCTGAGCCGGAAACAGCTTACACACCGCACAATAAAATTACCTGATAAATATTAAATGGGATACCGATGATTGGACAAGATGATGATGGTGTGTAAAGTTTGCATTATGCCAAAGTTTGATAATGCCCGGTGTTTTCAAGAGCGACAGTAAACAATAAGCAATATCAAAACAAGATAAAAATTGTTTGTTCATCAATGTGCCAGTTTCCACTTGGAAATATTGTCAGTTGAAAAGCATTCATGACATGCATGAAACATTAACAGCATCGTGATTATTCGATAAAATTTTCACAGTGATTAAATTATAGATGAATTGCCGCAATGAAGTTATGGAAGAAGCAATTGATGTAGCAAAGAACTTTATACTTTAGAATGATAAGATATTATCGTTAGAATCAGATAAATTAGTGAAGTTGACAGCCCAACATGGTATTTCCTAAATTATTTGTATTAAAAATACTATTTTTAGATAAACTTGATTTTAAGTCATTCACTGTTGCCATTAAAGACAAAAAGAAAAATTAACGCCACAAAAAATTCAAAAAAATTTGTCAAGTTGTTTGAACCTGGAAAATTAGTATAGTAACCGTAATTGTAAGGAAACAAAAGAAAGTAGTGAACAAGGTTGCATTTTCTAAATCACAGCCACATGTTATTCAAGGCCATAATATCATGTAATAGTTCGTATAATAACAATTACATAACCGCCAAATATCTTCACCTACATATAATAACAGGGAAGTTTGCCTCTTTGCTGAAGTACATGTCAGAGAAAAACATGCACTTTGATTAAGAAATGGAGCATTAAAACGGAAATAATGTGAATTGAACAGTAGCAGATATCAACAACCGTTTCTATTGACGCTGTCAAACAGAATCAAAGCAACATGATTAGAATTTCTGAATTTCGCTTCGTTTCCCACAGTTTTTATCATAAGTTCTCGTAGTGATTATCAGAAGAACATAATATTTAAAGACACTCAGAATCAATCAACAAAAAACTCAAAAATTACACTACTTTGTTATTTGAAGTCGTCGTAGTAGTACAACTTTTCGATTATTCATTCAAGCAGCATTCAACCGCCGTTTGAGCAACAACAAAACAAGTATTGGCGCATGTGACATGCACAAAGCTAACGATCAATAGCGACGTAGCGTAAAGAATGCTCGGATTATTCTAATAGCCAAAGCATCATTTCGAAATATACGTTATTTGTTGTAGATTTATTTAATGGGTAGTTCACAGGAAGTTATTATTTATGGTGAGTCAGAGCTGAATATTATGAGCAGTGGAAAGGACAATAATGCCAGGTTTTGATGTTAATTGTGTCTTTACCTCCAGGTCTTATAGAGCTCAATGGCTCTAAGACCTGGAGGGGCAAAGGGGCCTGGGCCTCGTGGTCAAAAACATGGCGGTAATGGCGGATTTTGGTTGTCAAAACTTCCACTTTGAGAAAAATTTTTAACATTCGCTCCCTCCCGAAACGGTCTCTATTACTGCTCATAGTAATGACAACCAGCGAAAACCACGATACCGTAAGCATAAAATATTGAAAATAATGCTTCAGGTTTTTGTGAAATAGACACACACATTTAAACGAGGTAAATCTACTGTAAAATAACGTATATGTTTTCAAGTAATGCTTTAGCTATATTAGAAATAAATATCAAACGGCAATCTTTACACTGTCAATGTGTTGTTAAGCTTTAATGCACAATCCCATGCGCATTACTTGTGTTTTTGACTGTTTGATAACAGCTTGGTGCAACTGTCTTTCTTGAATAGAAGGGTAAATCTTAGTTAAAATGTCCAAAAAGGAGTTAGAAAAAGTTAGCTTACCCCTACGACTTAAGTCGACTGGAAATATATTATAAGTAGGTATGTAATTTTTTGAGTTTTTTTTGGTAGGATTGATTCTGAGTGTCTTATAAAGTATAATGATATTCTGATAAATCTACTGAGAACTTATGAGGAAAATATCTTGAACTAGGAGAGCAAAAGAACGAAATTCAGAAATTCTATAATCATGTTGCTGGTTCTGTTTTGAGCCAAGATATTAGAAACTGGATTGTTATTGACAACCATGGATCTACTACTGAACAGAACTACGTTAATTTCCCATTGAAAATACTATTTCTTAAATCAAAGTGCATTGGTTTCTCTGACATAACACTTTTCTTATTGCTGCATGAAGGCAAACCTGTTTAAATAATTATAATGTAGGTGAAGATATTTAGCATGTTGTATAATTGTTATTATGCACACATTATTTATAATATTATGGCTTTGTGTAATGTATGTCAAGAACTTATTAACTCTCAAAAATGCTAACCTTCTTGCACCACTTTTCTTTTGTGTCCTTACAAATTACAGAACCTACTTTTTCTAGGTTCAAACAACTTGACAAATTTTTGAATTTTACATTATGCCTTTGAATTTTTCTTTTGTCTTTGGTAAAATATCAGTGAATGACTTAAAATCAAGTTTATCTAAAATAGTATTTTGTACAAAGTAACTATACATAATTGGAAAAGTCTCATGTTGAAGGCAGATGTGGCTTCTTTTACTAGATTGCTACTCTTATTCTTTTAAATGATATCGTAATTCTTCATAAGACATAAAAAGTTCTTTGCCATCAATTTTGCTTCTTCCACATTCAACTTCATTGCAACCAATGCATCTTATGTGAATTTTAATCACCTGGAATTGAAAACGTATGGATTTTGTCAGATGATGCAGTACTATATTTAATGTTTCATGCATGTCATGATAAGCTTTTCTTGAGCAAATATTTCAAGGTAGGAGCAAAATTTGGCACATTATTGAACAAAGTAGTTTTTATCTTGATTTTGATGTACTAACCTGTTTACTACACTGTGTAACAAACAATTCATTTACAGAAACACCAGATGGCATTTATCAAACTTTTAGCATGAAGCAAACCTTTACACACCATCATCATGATTGTCCATAATCTGTCAAATTGTCCAGGCTAGCTGTTTAATACAGGTATTTTTTTATTGTACGACATGTACCAAAGAGCTCATTAATTAATCCTGCACTGCATTTGATTTCAATACAGCTCTGTCCTTAATATTTGCTTCATATTTTCAGAAAAATATGAAAAATCCTCCAATTCAACTCAGTTGAAACATATGCATATCTCGATAAGAACTGGTTGCTTTGCCTCGTCTAGCAAGCGATTAAGTAAAGAACAAATAAGACTGGATAAACATAACTTAAATTATAACTTAGGAGTAAAAACATTCACAAAATATACACCATCACACTTCAAGTATTGACTTAAATCAAAACACTAAACACTTTAAATGGTAAACAATCTTACGTTGCTCACCGGTGTCATGAAATGTTTTCTTTTCTGGCATTACTTCAGCATCCGTACACCAAACAAGTTTGCAGCATGTTTTAAAGATAAAATTTCTAAAAGTTTTTGTGCTTGGCATTGATATTTTCCATAATCGCAATTGTGGTTGTCAAATCCGGGTGGGCGAAAAAAATTTCATTTTATGAGCCCGCGTCTTTCCGCTGACTTTGACAACCAAAATCCGCCATGTTTTTGACCACGCGGCCGCGCGCTAATAATTTATAGTAATTTTGTTGACGTTCCCCTCCAGGTCTTATAGAACTCAATGGATGCAATACGTAAAAGAAAACGCAGAAAACACGAGTCTTGAAATAGTTACAATAGAAATGCATACTGGTGGTGAACCATTACGAATTATTTTATCTGGCTATCCAGAAATAAAAGGCAAGTCAATTTTGGAGAAACGTCGTTATGTTAAAGAGAACTTGGATTACATACGAAAGTTCTTGATGAGAGAACCACGTGGACACCCAGAAATGTACGGAGCGTTATTGGTGACACCAGATGACGAGAGGGCTGATCTCGCTGTTTTATTTATGCATAATGGCGGATATAGTGTTATATGTGGTCATGCAGTTATGGCTTTAGCAAGATATGCAGTGGACTATGGTGAGGGTCTGGATCATGAATGCTTGTTTTAACTAGTTTATCTTGATCTGATGATTTGGTCTAAACTGTGAGTCTTATCAATAACCATTATTTGTTTGAATGGGTTAATTTTATACTAATTTATGTTTAGGTCTTGTAAAAATAAATTCATTATCAGAGGAAAATGCTGAAGTTTAAATACAATGTCCATGTTGTTTAGTAAAAGCAAAGGTCGATCTTACTAATGGTGTATCAAGCAACATGAAATTCACAAGTGTTCCAGCATTTGCTTATGATGTTAACTATAAATTGATAACAAAATCCTACGGGAAGTTACACTTGATATTGGCTATGGTGGTACATTTTATGCTATCATACCTGACACAGAGCTAAATTTAGATATGAAAAAATCCAGTCTTAGTGAACTTGCAACAGCTGCAGAGGAAATCTTGCAAATTTGTCGTCAAGATATAAAAATTCAACATCCTTTGGAGAATGATCTTGCATTTATGTATGGTGTTATCATTACTGATGGTAAAGATAATTATTTGCAGTTTAAGGATGAGGCGACATGAAATTTATGTTACTTTGGCGATGGACAGGTATTAAAAGTTATTTTCACTTACTATGTAACTTAAGAGATTAACTAACTAGTTAATGAAATGTGATTATTACTACACTAGGTTGATCGTTCACCTACTGGCTCAGGAGTTACCGCTCGTATAGCTGTCCAATATTACAAATGTCAAATCTCCCTCAATGAGATGCGTCAGTTTGAGAGCATTGTTGGCTCAGTGTTTACTGGAAGCCCAATAGAAAAATCCAAGTGTGGGGAAAGTCCAGCTGTCAAAGTTGAAGTTGGAGGGTTAGCTAATTATTGTGGAAAAGCCACTTTTATCTTAGAGAAAAATGATCTATTCCAAGAAGGGTTTCTTCTTCAATAATACATATATCATTTGTTAAACATGAAAATTTAATGTAGGTTTTATAATGAACTTAACATCATATTAATGCCTTGAGAAATCTCTTTGACTAAATCCATTATGGTGTTCAAATCATTCTCTTTGATACGATGACGGCATCTTTGGGCAAACTTGTCAGGATGCCATCTTATTCTTTGTCTTTTCAGGTATGTAATTTTCTCATCTTCAGCCCATTCACACAACTTATCTACAATGTCAGCAGCACTACCTATACATGGCCAAGGGATAATGTCAAATGAAAGAGGCTTCATTCCTCCATTTTCAAACACATTATGACACATGTCTTCATATCTTTCTCTTTCTCGTTCCATTTTCTTTAACCTTGTTCTTCCAATATAGTTATCATGACCTTCAGCAAGTTGTTTTGTCAATTCTTCCTTCTATTTAGCGTCAACCTCTCTTTTCTTGTGTTGATGTGAAATATTCAAACCTGCAGTCCTTTTATGTTTTGAGAAGTACTCTTGTCTAATTCGTTCAGCCCAATCATTGTAAGTCTCACTTACAATCTTCTTGAGGAATCTCATCCTGTTTGAAATAGTAATCTTCACAAGATTCCTCATAAGCTAATTTTTCCGCCATTCTTCCTCCTCTTCATTCAACTTTTTTTTAACTTCGTCTTCTTCTACGTAAGTGCTTGTCATGATAGAATTCCATTTCGTGTACAAATCATTGGGTGTTTCACCAAAGATGTTAGCCAAGTTCATAACACGTCGAGATTTTCTTTCATAACACGTCGAGATTTTCTTTAAAGTAATAAATTAGGTCGAAAAGCATTGTGTTTTTATAGGATTCTAGTGCATACTTCAACGCTATATGTAAAGCAGTGTTGCCATCATCATCAGTAAGGCAAGGATCGACTCCATTACGAAGTAAATAACGTGACATTTTATAGTCTCCTAAATAGCATGATAAATGCAGCATGCTTCTGCCTTCATTATCACGAATTCTGTTTAAATTCACATCGTTTTTTTTTAAATATTTTCTCAGCTTTGATATAGAACCCTTCTTCACGAATTTAACAACCTTAGAGTTTTGCATCATCACTGGCCTTCTTTACCATTATAATGAATAACAAGAAACCAGTTGGTTGAAAAGATTGTCATGAAAAGTAGATACATTGAAAGGCGGCATTTCGCGAAGTTTAGGTGACGAATCAACAATCTCATTTTGCGGTATCCAATTTAATTCTTTCTTGAGGTTTGTTTACATTGTTCAAATTGTTCAAATACATTAAAGTGTTTTTTATTTACATTTTTCTATCGAAATGTTGCAATTTATCCAATAAACGTAAGTGCAAACTTGACATTATTTGAGAATCTTTTTTTTGATGATTTAGTTTGAATACGTGTTACAAGTATGATATTTTATAGGTATGACCGTATCATATTTTAGTGAGTATCAAACACTGGTTTAAAACACCTTAATGTTGATGGCATCATGGCACAACCTCAAGAAAAAAATCAGTTACTGCTTTTAAAAGTAGTTGGACTACTAGATGACTTCACTACTCTTTTTAAGAAAATTGCATTGCTGGTTGATGTTAAAGCATTATTAAATCTTATTGATAAGATTGGAGAGATATCATGCTTGTCGATAATCAGAAATGAAAAATATGCTGAGTTGATGAAAGTAAGTTATGAAATTGATTCTCTATAGTGATTTCAGGTAAATTAACTACTCCAACCCATTTCAATCACCAGGGTCTGTGTAATCTTGCTGATGAATGCAAAATATTAGTTGTGGATGCAAGAAATCACATAAATAACATTAAGAAACAAGCCCAGGATGCCATTGAGACCATTGAATCTTTAAAGCAAGCGTTCATCAACAGTTCTAATGTTTCTGGGGAATTGAAAAAGATTAAGAGTTCTGTAATGGAGTCATTGAAAGAATCAGAAAAAATGTGTCAAAGATACCATGAGATCTATGAAAACTTGAATGAATATTGTGGTCAAGCAAAAGTGGAATGTATAAGGAATGAAAGCATAGCTGGTATAGCAGAAAAGGTAACACTATATTGTATTTCAATATATTAAGAATGTTTTGGAGGATTATTTATGAAAGGTGATTATCAAGCTGAACAGTCCCAATACATTGATTTACTTTTAAACATCTTAAGCAAGGTTTAGTTTAAGTTGGTTCTTTTTTCACCTAGAGAAAAACATGTTAAGGACAGGTTCCTCAAATTTTCTTATGATTAATTTAAATAATTGCCCAAGTTACTGTACATTGCGTACATATCAATAAATAGTACTACTTTCTTTATACAGGGTATGATTGCTGGTGCCTTTGGATGGTTGAGCATTTATGGAGGGTATGCAGGCTACCAATTTTGTGCAAATGCTTTGTTTGCATTTGGACCAGCTTGTGCTGTAGTGGGGGGTGCTTTAAGTCTTCTTGGTGGAGGATCACTCATTCAAAAAGAGTTTCAAGGACGTGCAAAAAAATTTAATGAGTTAGTTGAAGGATTATGGGAAATTGATAAAAAATTGCTTAAGCATTACAAAGTGATGAAAGAACATGATGGGCAGCTTGGAAAACTTGGGAAGTTGTCAGAAACCATTTGGGCTAGGTCCAATGCTTTTGATGAGCAAGAACCCAAAGAGAGGGATAAGATGAACAATGAGTTTGTCCTGAAAAACTTTGACGGACTTAAAAAAGCATACAATGACTTAAAGGAAAATTGTGACAATGTCTTGAGTCAATTTGATACTTATACCATTTGACCATTTGTAATTTAATTGAAAATTTTTTGCTTTATCACAATGCACAGTGTTAGCAATATGAAGTATTATTGATTATGTAATGTTACACTATAATATTATTGCATGAAGTATTTATGTTAACTTAGCACATGTTATGTTATACGGGAAGCCATGAACTATTTTTTTCTATCAATTACATTTCTATTCTATGTATTCCTGATTTCTGATTGTAATGAATCACTCAAATATCAACACACAGTATGTTGATATTTAAATGATGAATATGGAAAACATAATGCTAGATTCTGCTTGTTGTAATGTATCATAATAAATTAATTATTGCACGGTGTAACTAATAAGTGATATTTACCGACATCTGTCTGGAGCCCATGACATTGTAAATTGTTTGTATTATAGCAAGTGACATTCTAGTTAAATATGTATCTGTCTATCTTGTAAATAGTGTACTGCTAGTAAAAATATTTTGTGAAAGTACACTACTTTTGTAATAATAGACACTTGCAAATTTTTATTAAAAATATTTCCATTTTGTGTAATGTTTTTCCAAGCTTGGCTTTACACTTTCTGAACACATAACTTCTAACGAGTACTAGCTTACTGAAACGTCACCAACAGCCCCAACCTCTATCGGTAATTACCATAATATGCGGAATGCACGGGGAGTTTGTTACCGGGGTGATTAACCGGGTCAAGAGTCAGTATAAGTGCTTGTGAATATTATGGTTGGTTAATCGTGTGTTTTCAAAAACGAAAGGACATAACAGCTATTTATATTGCGCAAAATAATACAACATGGTATTTGAAAGCCACGTTGTTAGTATTTTGAACAATGTTCTTGGTCAATATGTCGAAAATTTGGACTCATCTCAGTTTGTAATGAGTATTTGGGGAGGTATGGCTACCACTTATTACACATCTCGTGACTGACATGGGATTGTAAAACAGACCTTTATATCTTACACTTTTGCTAAATTTATCTATTTTCAGGCGATGTAAGGCTCGAAAATCTTATTTTTAAGGAAAATGCTTTGGTATTGTGTCCTATTTCTTTTCTCTTAGAATGCTAGAGTTAAATGTTTTGGACAATGTTTTGCCACCTGGCAAATTAAAGCACTTGAAGTTTGTTACGTAGATAAAAAGATTATTTTTCAATTGAGTTTTTGTCAGCGAATGCTGCCTTTAAAACACTGTACTAATCCTGCAAAACTACATTTGTTTTTGCTGTGCTTTTCTGTGCGAGGAAAGTGCTCACATTGCTGGTGGACATAAAACCTGTCATGTGTGATGATTAACTATTGTCTGCAAGTTTTATTTATGTTAATGAGATGTTATCTAAATACTTGTTTTATTATTTAGGATGTACTTAACTTGCCATTGAAGATTGTTCGGGGACATTTGGGTACATTGAGTGATAGGTAAATGATTGATGACTAATGTTTTTCATCAGTGCTGTCAATGTTTTCTTTGCAGGCAAGCTTGTTTTGAAAATCCCGTGGAAGAACTTATATTCTGAGCCTGTTATTGCAAGAGTTGATGAAGTCTACATTCTTGCAAGACCCAACTCTTGTATGAAGAATTTGTGAAAAGATCACCAAATACTATGTGATGTATAAGCTCATCTTATTGGTTACCTATAGATATGAAATACGATGCTGAAAAGGAAGAAAAGCTTGTTGAGGAAAGAAAGCAAAATGAGCTCACTGCTATAGAAGATGCTATAAGATACGCTGAGGAGGCCAAAAAAAAAAGTAATTTATATTTTTTGTTAAAAAAATTATCCATTTTTTTCTTCACTGTGAAATCTTGACTGATTTCTAACTTTAGCTAAAGATGACCATGAAAAAAACTTAAATTTTACTGAAAAACTAGCCTTGCATATTGTGAAAAATATTCAGGTTTGCATTCCATTGTTTGTTTGCATTTTATTAATTATTATCAATTATTATTATTATATCTTTTATCTTAGAGAAAAATTATTTATTCCAAGAAGGGTTTCTTCTTCAATAATACATATATCATTTCTTAAACATGAAAATTTAATGTAGGTTTTATAATGAACTTAACATCATATTAATGCCTTGGGAAATCTCTTTGACTAAATCCATTATGGTGTTCAAATCATTCTCTTTGATACGATGACGGCATCTTTGGGCAAACTTGTCAGGATGCCATCTTACTCTTTGTCTTTTCAGGTATGTAATTTTCTCATCTCCAGCCCATTCACACAACTTATCTACAATGTCAGCAGCACTACCTATACATGGCCAAGGGATAGTGTCAAATGAAAGAGGCTTCATTCCTCCATTTTCAAACACATTATGACACATGTCTTCATATCTTTCTCTTTCTCGTTCCATTTTCTTTAACCTTGTTCTTCTAATATAGTTATCATGACCTTCAGCAAGTTGTTTTGTCAATTCTTCCTTCCATTCAGAGTCAACCTCTTTTTCCTTGTGTTGATGTGAAATATTCAAACCTGCAGTCCTTTTATGTTTTGAGAAGTACTCTTGTCTAATTCGTTCAGCCCAATCATTGTAAGTCTCACTTACATCTTCTTGAGGAATTTCATCCTGTTTGAAATAGTAATCTTCACAAGATTCCTCATAAGCTAATTTTTTCCGCCATTCTTCCTCCTCTTCATTCAACTTTTGTTTAACTTCGTCTTCTTCTACGTAAGTACTTGTCATGATAGAATTCCATTTTGTGTACAAATCATTGGGTGTTTCACCAAAGATGTTAGCCAAGTTCATAACACGTCGAGATTTTCTTTTTAAGTAATAAATTAGATCGTAAAGCATTGTGTTTTTATAGGATTCTAGTGCATACTTCAAAGCTATATGTAAAGCAGTGTTGCCATCATCATCAGTAAGGCAAGGATCGACTCCATTACGAAGTAAATAACGTGACATTTTATAGTCTCCTAAATAGCAAGATAAATGCAGCATGCTTCTGCCTTCATTATCACGAATTCTGTTTAAATTCACATCGTTTTTTTTAAATATTTTCTCAGCTTTGATATAGAACCCTTCTTCACGAATTTAACAACCTTAGAGTTTTGCATCATCACTGGCCTTCTTTACCATTATAATGAATAACAAGAAACCAGTTGGTTGAAAAGATTGTCATGAAAAGTAGATACATTGAAAGGCGGCATTTCGCGAAGTTTAGGTGACGAATCAACAATCTCATTTTGCGGAATCAACAATCTCAATCATCCAATTTAATTCTTTCTCGAGGTTTGTTTACAACTTGTTCAAATGGTTCAAATACATTAAAGTGTTTTTTATTTACAATTTTCTATCGAACTGTTGCAATATATCTGATACAGGAAAAATATGCTGAGTTGATGAAAGTAAGTTATGAAATTGATTCTCTATAGTTTGCCATAGTGATTTCAGGTAGATTGACTTTTATACATTTAATAAGTAATTAACTACTCCAACCCATTTCAATCACCAGAGTCTGTGTAATCTTGCTGCTGAATGCAGAAAATTAGTTGTGGATGCAGAAATTCACATAAATAACATTAAAGAACAAGCCCAAGATGACAGCGGAGCTATTGAAAATTTAAAGCAAGCATTCATCAACAGTTGCAATGTTTCTTGGCAATTGAATGAGATTAAGAGTTCTGTAATGGAGTCATTGCAAGGATCAGAAACATTGTGTCAAAGATACCATGAGATCTATAAAAACTTGAATGAATATTGTGGTCAAGCAAAAGCTGAATGTATAAGGCATGAAAGCATAGCTGGTATAGCAGGAAAGTTAACACTATATTGTATTATGCCCTGTATTGGGGAAGCTTTAGCAGCTCTTTTAGGAATATTCCAAGTGCAAGGCTTTGAAGTGCAAGGAGTAACAGAATTTTGCAAGCCGAAATTGTTTACTTTATTTGAGGAACAATCTTGAGATTCCAGCAAGAACAATGTAGCAGCTACATGATTGCAGTGTCCATCAATTCCAGCAGGGCAATCACAGAAAGCTTTTAGCACAAGAGATCTTTCATTCATTGTTAGTTTGACTGTGTAACTATCTTTTTTTATGGAAGGTAGCACTTGGCTTTTTATAAAATATAAACTATTTCTTGTTTGTGATAGAACTTGTTGAACATTGCCAGACTTGAAGAAATTATAACCTTTCACAAAAGGTTTTTCGGTAGATATTTGCTTTTTAACTTCAACATCATCTATCAGAAACTTCCAAATGTCGGCATACCCCACCCTTGGTAAAATTGAAAGATCTGCTTGGAATCCAGAAATGGGAAGTGCTTCATCTGGTGTCGTCTGAGGAGTACTTAGAGTGATCCTTTTTTTTAGATAGTTCTTTCCACTGTCAGGGTCAACAACTTGTCCATGCAATCCATTGTTAACTTTACTCTGAAAAGATACATTAATAAGCAATTATTTTAAGACGTTTGAGAGGTCGCACCGTCGCACATAATTTGATAATTGATAAAAAAAATCCACATACCTGTTCACAAGTTCAAGCTTTTTCCCAGTAATTTTAGCTCCACGACACGAAAGCCATCTCTTTAATATTGCCATCGAGCACTGTTCGACTGGCTTACAGAGCTTGGCACGAGGTATGTCATCCTCAGTTAATACAATATCACAGTCAGAATGAAGGCAAACTTGATCTTTTTCCGCGCAATTATGCTGTTCATCCATTATATTTATTATTTTACAGTCAGAAATCAACTCCAACTATTCAGTATTTTGCTAACAATGATCACCAGGTAAAAAATAAAGTTGTTTACGAGCTAGTAAAGCAAAGCGTCCCCTCAAATATACCACAATGCAACGTGCGCTGTCAACTAGTCACTAGTCTTCGCAGTGTAATATCATTTCCGCATGGTATTTTAGTGAGAATCAAACACTTGTATCAAACTCCTAAATGTTGATGGCATCATGGCACAACCTCAAGAAAAAAATGAGTTACAGCTTTCATCAATATCTGAAAACGCAAATGTAAAATATGCTGAGTTGATGAAAGTAAGTTATGAAATTGATTCTCTATAGTTTGCCATAGTAATTTTAGGTAGATTGACTTTTATACATTTAATAAGTAATTAACTGCTCCCACCCATTTCAATCACCAGAGTCTGTGTAATCTTGCTGCTGAATGCAGAATATTAATTGTGGATGCAGAAATTCACATAAATAACATTAAAGAACAAGCCCAAGATGACAGTAGAGCTATTGAAAATTTAAAGCAAGCGTTCATCAACAGTTGTAATGTTTCTTGGCAATTGAATGAGATTAAGAGTTCTGTAATGGAGTCATTGCAAGAATCAGAAACATTGTGTAAAAGATACCATGAGATCATTAAAAACTTCAATGAATATTGTGGTCAAGCAAAAGCTGAATGTATAAGGAAAGCTGGTATAGCAGGAAAGGTAACACTATATTGTATTTCAATATATTAAGAATGTTCTGGAGGATTACTTATGAAAGGTGATTATCAAGCTGAACAGTCCCAATACATAATACATTGATTTACTTTTAAACATCTTAAGCAAGTTTCAGTTTATGTTGGTTGTTTTTTCACCTAGAGAAAAACATGTTAAGGACAGGTTCCTCAAATTTTCTTATGATTAATTTAAATAATTGCCCAAGTTACTGTACATTGTGTACATATCAATAAATAGTACTACTTTCTTTATACAGGGTATGATTCCTGTTGCCATTCAAAAAGTGTTTCAAGAACATGCAAAAAAATTTAATGTGTTACTTGGAAAATTAAGGGAAATTGATGAAGTCTTGCTTAAACATTACAAAGTGATAAAACAAAATAATTATCTGCTTGGAAAACTTAAGAAGTTGTCAGAAACACTTTGGGCTAGGTCCAATCTTTTTGATGAGCAAGAACCTGAAGAGAGGGATAAGATGAACAATGAGTTTATCCAGGAAAAGTTTAACAGACTTAAAAAAGCATACAATGACTTAAAGAAAAATTGTGACAATGTCTTGAGTCAAATTGATCCTTATGCAGGAGACATTTGTTATTTTTTTGCTTAATCACAATGCACAGTATGTTGATATTTAAGTGATGAATATGGAAAACATAATGCTAGATTCTGCTTGTTGTAATGTAGCATAATAAATTCATTATTGCAAGGTGTAACTAATAAGTGATATTTACCTACATCTGTCTGGGGCCCATGACATTGTAAATTGTTTGTATTATAGGAAGTGACATCCTAGTTAAATATGCTTCTTACCATGTTGTTAATAGTGTACTGCTGGTAAAAACATTTTGTGAAAGTACACTACTTTTGTAATAATAGAAACTTGCAAATTTATATTAAAAATATTTCGATTTGTGTAATGTTTTTCCAAGCTTTGCTTTACACTTTCTGAACACATAACGAGTACTAGCTTACTGAAACGTCACTAACAGCCCCAACCTCTTTCGATAATTACCATAATATGCGGAATGCACGGGGAGTTTGTTACCGGGGTGATTAACCGGGTCAAGTGTCAGTATAAGTGCTTGTTAATATTATGGTTGGTTAATCGTGTGTTTTCAAAAACGAAAGGACATAACAGCTATTTATATTGCGCAAAATAATACAACATGGTGTTTGAAAGCCACGTTGTTAGTATTTTGAACAATGTTCTTGGTCAATATGTCGAAAATTTGGACTCATCTCAGTTTCAAATGAGTATTTGGGGAGGTATGGCTACCACTTATTACACATCTCGTGACTGACATGGGATTGTAAAACAGACCTTTTATTTTACACTTTTGCTAAATTTATCTATTTTCAGGCGATGTAAAGCTCGAAAATCTTGTTTTTAAGGAAAATGCTTTGGTATTGTGTCCTATTTCTTTTCTCTTAGAATTCTAGAGTTAAATCTGGACGAATATTTTGCCACCTGGCAAATTAAAGCACTTGAAGTTTGTTACGTAAATAAAAAGTTTATTTTTCAATTGAGTTTTTGTCAGCGAATGCTGCCTTTAAAACACTGTACTACTCCTGCAAAACTACATTTATTTTTGCTGTGCTTTTCTGTGCAAGGAAAGTGCTCACATTGCTGGTGGACATAAAACCTGTCATGTGTGATGATTAACTTTTGTCTGCAAGATTTATTTATGTTAATGAGATGTTATCTAAATACTTGTTTTATTATTTAGGATGTACTTAACTTGCCATTGAAGATTGTTCGGGGACATTTGGGTACATTGAGTGATAGGCAAATGATTGATGACTAATGTTTTTCATCAGTGCTGTCAATGTTTTCTTTGCAGGCAAGCTTGTTTTGAAAATCCCGTGGAAGAACTTATATTCTGAGCCTGTTGTTGCAAGAGTTGATGAAGTCTACATTCTTGCAAGACCAAACACTCGTATGAAGAATTTGTGAAAATATCACCAAATACTATGTGATATATAAGCTCATCTTATTGGTTACCTATAGATATGAAATATGATGCTGAGAAGGAAGAAAAGCTTGTTCAGGAAAGAAAGCAAAATGAGCTCACTGCTATAGAAGATGCAATAAGATATGCTGAGGAGGCCAAAAAAAAAAGTAATTTATACTTTTTGTTAAAAAAAATTATCCACTTTTTCCTTCACTGTGAAATGTTGACTGATTTCTAATTTTAGCTAAAGATGACCACGAAAAAAATTTAAGTTTTACTGAAAAACTAGCCTTGCATATTGTGAAAAATATTCAGGTTTGCATTCCATTGTTTGTTTGCATTTTATTAATTATTATCAATTTATTATTATTATTATCAATTTTATCAATTATTATCAATTATTATTTTTAGCAATATTATTATCAATTTTTTGACTCTGAAGATGACTACCGCTAAGGTTGTCGAAACGTCAGTCAACAACAACAAAACAGTCCTTCTCAGGACTATACCAACCTGGACGATCTACATTTACAAACATGTATTGATTATGTTGTTTACAAGTGGAAATTTTCTTATTGTTTTATTCAGGTGTTTGTGAGCAATATCCATGTCAGATATGAAGATATGGTATGTCATTATCTTTAATAAAAATATCAAGAAATTTTACTGATTAAACACTTTAATTCATCACATTGCAGGTTTCGAGTGAGGATAATACCTTCTCCCTTGGTGTAACTCTTGAAAATCTTACAGCTCAGGTGAAGCAAATATAGCAATTACATAAAAATTTCAACAGTTTATTAATTTGTGTTAAATATTGTGAACTGTTTTATGTACGTAGTCAGTAAATGATGAATGGAAACCTGATATGGTTGATCCTAAACAAAGTTTGGTGAACAAGGTTTGTTACATAATTTATGTTGCTAAGCTGCATATAAAATTGTCTCTAACATTTAAGGCTTTATAAGATGTTGTCAAGTCTTCAATACTGCAGATAAATGTATGATTTACTGTTGAAATGTATGCTATACTGTCATCAGTCATTGAGAAGTATAATTATACTTTTAAGAATCATAGAAAAATGTATCTTAAATTATCATCAACCGTAGAGAAGTGCATGCTACATTGTCATTATTTATAGAGAAGTGTATGTTATACTGTCATCAACTATAGAGAAGTTTATGTTATACTGTCATCAATCATAGAGAAGTGTATGTTATACTGTCATCAACCATGGAGAAGTTTATGTTTTACTGTCATCAATCATAGAGAAGTGTATGTTATACTGTCATCAACCATAGAGAAGTTTATGTTATACTGTCATCAACCATGGAGAAGTGTATCACTATGTTATACTGTTAACCATAGAGAAGTGTATGTTATACTGTCATCAACCATAGATAAGTGTATGTTATACTGTCATCAACCATAGATAAGTTAACTATCAAAATATGTATATTGTTCTTTGCTTATAGAAACTTAACTGGAATATTTTCCATTATTAATAGCTTGTAAAAATGAATAATTTATCAGTATATATTAATACTGGTGATGTTATTGGAAAAGCACCAAGTATGGATGAATGGCTGGTGAGTATATCCAAACTTTATATGACTAATTAACTGTTTATTAAGTTGATTTTATTTCTTTTCAGAACATGGCCAAGGCTGGAATTGCAACTGGTAAATTTGGCATCAATCGACCTGAGAATTATACTTATGGTAAAATTCATCCTTTAGCAATTCATATCAATATTCATTTAAAAAGAAATCAATGCTTTTGTTTTTTAGTCATTGAGCCACTTTCATCTGATACCAAGGCAAAATTAAACACAAGTTCTATTCCCGACATCAACATTCCTAAGGTAGCATATTTTAGTGCTGTCAGTTTGAAATTTTTGTTCTCTTATAGTATGTTCAAGATCCTCTTGATTATTTTAAAGGAAGCTATATGCTATAACATATTTATAGAAGTGTTATTACACATTAATACGAAAGATTCAATAACATATTCCATAGAATCTTTTTTAATGGAATTCCCCACATTTTGCCTCAGAGTGGAGCTTAAATTTGTCATAAGCATGGATGACTAATTTACAATAGTATATTTTCCAAATATTGTCTCATTACAACAAATGTATTGATGAAGGTTTGTAAACAAGTTTCTAGAACTTTAGTGTCCATCTAAGGTGTTTGTTGAAATCATTATGGAAGAGCTTCATGTACAACTAGCAAAACATCAATTCAAAAACGTCATGAGATTGGTTGAAAACATGGACAGATTGAAGACAAACTGCCAATATCGAAAATATAGACCATCAGTTAGTGTGAAAGAAAATAAAAGAGCTTGGTACTGTCTCAATGATGTGTTTATTTATCATAGTTTACGTATTGTTAATGTAGATCGTCCAGGTTGGTATAGTTCGACTGACGTTTCGACAACCTTAGCGGTAGTCATCTTCAGAGTCAAGTGAGGAGTAAACGTCAGCTTAGCCGTATTTGTTATCTGGTTCTTACGTCATTGTACTGTGTAAAATACGGCTAACAAATACGGCTAACCTGACGTTTACTCCTCAATTGACTCTGAAGATGACTACCGCTAAGGTTGTCGAAACGTCAGTCAACAACAACAAAAACAGTCCTTCTCAGGACTATACCAACCTGGACGATCTACATTTACAAACATGTAACGATACTCCTGAGTTCAAACCATTTACTTCATAGTCTACGTATATTGGTTGTGTGTAGACAGAACTTCATTTTTAACAATACTTGATGTAATTTTAGGTGGAACTATGCAATCATGGCTATTTTAGAGGAAGATATCAAGAGACGATCAAAAAATTGGTCATGGGAATACATCGTCGAACACAGGTACGTACGCTTTAGTTTTTGCAACTTTATATGTGTAAAGATTACTGGTTCTTGCATTTCAACTTTTTTAGAATGAACTGTCATAAATACATGAATCTATATAAAAAGAAACTGTCCCGTAAGACGATTTGTGAAAACACTCAGAAGGAAATCGATCACTACGAGAAAATATTAGATGTGTTGAACATAACCATTTGGCGCAGGCAAGCTGAGATAGAGGTATGTTGCACTTTTTAAGGATGTATACTTTTAAATAAGATAGTTTTGTTGGACAATTTGGTATGTCTCGAATCTTTGAAAGAATGGTTTCAACTGACTGTTTGCAATGAGCGATAAACGTGAATTTGGATAGAACAATTTATTTTTTGTTTCATTTCTCTATGTTATAATGGTTGTTGTTAAAAAAATTTTCTAGACAAAAAAAGAAGGTAAAAATTATGAGCTCAACGAACAAAGAAAAAAAAGCGAAGGTGGTTGGTTTTCAGGCTTGTTTCGAAAAAAGTCGGACTCAAAATCAGGTACAGCATTGTACAACATTGTACAGCATTTCACAGCATTGTGCAGCAATGTACAGCATTGTGCAGCATTGTACATCATTGTGCAGCATTGTGCAGCATTGTACAGCATTGTACAGCATTGTACAGCATTGTGCAGCATTGTGCAGCATTGTACAGCATTGTACAGCATTGTACAGCATTGTACAGCATTGCACAGCATTGTGCAGCATTGTATAGCATTGTACAGCATTGTGTAGCAATTTGCAGCATTGTACAGCATTGTACAGCATTGTGTAGCATTGTGTAGCAATTTGCAGCATTGTACAGCATTGTACAGCATTGTACAGCATTGTGTAGCAATTTGCAGCATTGTACAGCATTGTGCAGCATTGTGTAGCATTGTACAGCATTGTGTAGCAATTTGCAACGTTGTGCAGCATTGTACAGCATTGTACAGCATTGTGTAGCAATTTGCAGCATTGTACAGCCGATTGCTTTTTAATCGACATCTCATTAAATAAACGTCTGATTCTTTCTTTATCTCATGGTTGACGAAAATTTATTTTGTAGCTTTAGGATTGACACTCGAGGAAGAGAAAGCAGAGGAGAAAAAGTTATATTCTGCTATTGGTTACAGTGAAAATGAAGCACCAGACAAGTTGCCTCCAGAGGTTAATTTTCACTAAAATATTTTTCATATTTATTTTCTGTTTTGTCTTCTTATTTCACTATCTTTCCTTCAGTATGTTGCATACAAACTGAAATTCAGCCAACAAAGAATACATATTCAACTTTGCAATGATTCATTGAAGCCAGAAATTTGCGTATCGAACGTCACGCTTACGAATCTTTTCATGGAACTTGGCTATAGACCCGGTTCACTGGCTGTGAGGTACGTTATTTCATTGGATAAAGTTTGAAATTGGAGGAATATTAATAAATATTTAACGTGTAGTGTTGTTGGAAAACTTGAAAAGATGAATGTTCATGGTTGCTCTGTGGCAAAGCAAGCTGCTCCAGAGATAATAAGATCACTGCCAGGACACTCTGGTACGTCACTAGATGTAGTTTATATGACGCTCCAGAGATAATAAGATCACTGCCAGGACACTCTGGTACGTCACTAGATGTAGTTTATATGACGCTCCAGAGATAATAAGATCATTGCCAGGACACTCTGGTACGTCACTAGATGTAGTTTATATGACGCCCAGAGATAATAAGATCACTGCCAGGACACTCTGGTACGTCACTAGATGTAGTTTATATGACGCTCCAGAGATTATAAGATCACTGTTAGGACACTCTGGTACGTCACTAGATGTAGTTTATATGACGCTCCAGAGATAATAAAATCACTGGACACTCTGGTACGTCACTAGATGTAGTTTTTATGACGCTCCAGAGATAATAAGATCACTGCCAGGACACTCTGGTACGTCACTAGATGTATTTTTTTATGACGCTCCAGAGATAATAAAATCACTGCCAGGACACTCTGGTACGTCACTAGATGTAGTTTATATGACGCTCCAGAGATAATAAGATCACTGCCAGGACACTCTGGTACGTCACTAGATGTAGTTTATATGACGCTCCAGAGATAATAAGATCACTGCCAGGACACTCTGGTACGTCACTAGATGTAGTTTATATGACGCTCCAGAGATAATAAGATCACTGCCAGGACACTCTGGTACGTTCACTAGATGTAGTTTATATGACGCTCCAGAGATAATAAGATCACTGCCAGGACACTCTGGTACGTCACTAGATGTAGTTTATATGACGCTCCAGAGATAATAAGATCACTGCCAGGACACTCTGGTACGTCACTAGATGTAGTTTATATGACGCTCCAGAGATAATAAGATCACTGCCAGGACACTCTGGTACGTCACTAGATGTAGTTTATATGACGCTCCAGAGATAATAAGATCACTGCCAGGACACTCTGGTACGTCACTAGATTTACTTTATATGAAAAGGGGTACTGACTTCGATGTGTAGAGTGTCGTTGTTTATAAAAGATAGAAATGGGGGGGGGGACGTCCATTGGTGTCTTATATCTTATTTTTTTTGTTAGATATAAAGGATTACGTTTACGCTTCGTTTGAAACGAATCCTCTTGATGGAAAAGCAGATCAGAGACTTCGATTAAAAGTTCAGCCAATAGAAATCCTTTATGATGCGGTGAGATCAATCATATCAATTAGTCAATATTTATCTCTCCTTGTTTTCCCAGAAATATTTCCTGAAAATAAAATTTCTCGTTTTCAAATTCAGGAAACAATTGAAAGTTTGATGAATTTTTTCACACTTCCAGAAGATGTTCAACTTGCAGAGTAAACAAAAATTATTTATTCCAAATATTTTCATCATGCTATACATTTCAACAATTTTTCTTTTATACTTTTTTAAGAATCTCGGCTGCTGCGTATTCACAAATAAACGGGATACGAAATCAGTCTCGTGCAAATCTTTCATACGCCATTGAAACTCGTACGGTACAGCAACATTAATAACACATTTGTTTTTTCAGTGTATTTTTTTTAGTGTATTAAAAACGAGAGTATGAAGATTTCTTATCTTCGATATTTTTGCATTTCAGCTTCTTGATATTGACATATTCATTCATTCGCCGTATATTGTCATAGCAGAGAAAGGAATTTTAACAGAGTACGGTAGAGATTTTTCAATAAGAGAACAACCACATATTGAATAACGTGTCTGTTTTTATATTTTCTTTAGCAATTCTGCAATATTGGTTGTTGACCTTGGCAGTCTTAAAGTGAGCACAGATCCATCTCAAGAACGTTTAACTAACACTAAGGTACGTAGCAATCGTCGTCATCATCATCATGATATACAAATGGTCGATCTCCTATCTAGTAATGCATGTTTATACAAATTTTCAGTCGTTGAGTCCTGAGGAACTTGAAACTAGAGTCTACGATCGCTTTGATATTGAGCTCAATAATCTTCAAGTAATCTATGCAAAGCCAGGTTTGTCGGCTTTTGAGAATTCATCACTTTTATATGCATTTCTCTTCTTGATTTGTATATTTGTTGGCAAAGTACTGCGACGTAGCGTCTTCATTTAATATCATTGTTTTTGTAGGTGAAAATTGGAAAGAAATACGTTATGAAAACCATTCATCCATGCACGTCTTGAATCCATTTGCAATAAACATTCAGTTGTTTAAATGTCTTGCACCTGAAGATGTTCGTTTGACTCAGTACGTCATCAGTTTTAAAGAATTATTTACAATCGTTTTATTGGATTGGTCATTCGGTTCTTAAGTTTTTTTCAAAGCAAAGGCTTCTGTTAAAACCATCGATTAGCTTCAAAATTCATTTCTACAGCTTTTCCAGTAATTGAGGATTATGTTTTGCTTTTTTTTTGATCGAATGCATAAAAGTGACGGCTCTCAGCACAAGGTTTTGACTATCACATCGTATTAATAACCAAGTGTTATCTATGTTCTGTTAGAATACGTTTTAATGGTCTTCTTTCGATGGTGAAAATTGACGTCACAGACAAAAGACTCGACGAATTATTGAAGGTACAGTGATTGAAAATTGCCACACTTCTAACATTGCTTATGTAAATGTTACTTTTAGTGGTAGCAAGATATAGCTTTATTGATAAACACGGAGCGTTATTTCTTGATCGTCGTTTAGTTGGCGTTATCCATTCCTATTCCTGGAAGTACTCAAAAATCCCCTGCTGCAAGTACACCCCAGGAGACTATCGTACGCGAAGTTCAGCCAGCAGCAAAGGTGTCCACTTTAAACGCTGTCATTGAAACAGACATCAAAGCAGAAGTATCCGAAGAGACTTTTGGAACACCTCCCGAATTTCCTGATCAGTACATGGAGGATTTGGCCCGGTACATAAGTTGTCTGTAATGTTTCATTATTGTTGAATGCTTTTAGTGTCAATATTTGTCATTATTTTATTCATAAGCTTGGCTAGTGAAGAAAGAGAAGCGATGATGCTGGCAAAATCTGAGCAAATTAACGTTTCCTTGAAGTTTGAAATTGTTCAGGTAACAATCTATTAACGGTTCTGTTGTAAAAAGTTCTTTGCAAATATTTCTTATTTTTCTAATTTCTTTTCAGATTAACGTCACATTGTTAAAAAAAGACCAGTTTGGAATTGAGTCTCCTTTGCTTGAAGTAGATCTATTAAGGCTTGGATCCCAAGTGTCTATTAGACAATATGATCTCTCTGTCCTTGCTAACGTAGGTGCTGTAACGGTTAAGGAGATGGTGCATGGGATAGATGGGGAAGCTTTGGAGCTTGTGAGTACTCCGGCAGATGCTGATATTCTCAATGTGAAGTATATCGAGGTAAAGTTTGAAACTTGTTGTTGTGATAATTTGTGTGTTTTGTTGAATGGTTGCCATGCTAGTAAAATATTGGTTATGTATTGATGTGTAAGCATTGATTACGTATTGATTACCTTTTTTCTTCATCATTTTAGGCTGGCAAAAATCATCCACGTTTTAAAGATGATTTTAATTCGACTCTAAAAAATATAGATGTTCAATTGTCCCATCTTAAGGTGGTGTTGCATCAAGAGGCTCTTTTAAATATTATGGCGTTTGTCAACAGTATTTTGCCTGCAAGGTATTCTGGGTATTTATTTGCTTTTCGCGGGAACTGTTAGTAAATAATGCATGTTGTTGACATATAAAACTTTTCCAGCGAAGAGGAAATCAAGATTGAACAAGTAGAGCAGTTGGGAACAACTGAAAGCAATGTAGGTGTTGATGAAAAGACTGGAGCTCAAGAAAAAGGATTGATTGTGAAAAAAGCTAGCGAAGATGAAGTTGTTCAGTTAAAAGTTCATGCATATCTAGGATTCTTTTCCGTTTTAATAAGTTCAGTGAAAGGTGACCTTGGCCAACTCCAAATGAAACGTAAGTCAACACTGTTTATCAACGAAACCATGCTTTTGTTTAAAGCCAGGCAGGGATGGATTTAAGAAAGGAGTGCAGCGAAGTGTACCTATATCTCTACAAAATACTATTATATCAAACAATTAAGCAAAAGTTATTGTGATGAGTGTTTAATGGAGCGCACTTCCAAAAATCTCCCCATCATATTAAAAGGTAACAGATTTTAACAAAAAAAAGTGTGACATCGTACATCCAAACTATAGCACCCTCCTCCCCCAACACAAAAATGATTCTGGATCTATCCCTGATTAAAGCGATGATTTCTTTAGAACTAGAAGCTGGAATGCTCATGTTGACGGACAGAATTGAAGTTACAGCAAGGTACTGTGTAAAAATATTATGTCATGTATGCGAACATATTTTTTTTATGTTATGTTGTTGAGTTAATGGTTAGAACCCGGGAGTATCGTTGCATGTTTGTAAATGTAGATCGTCCAGGTTGGTATAGTCCTGAGGAGGACTGTTTTTGTTGTTGTTGACTATACCAAGTCAACAACAACAAAAACAGTCCTTCTCAGGACTATACCAACCTGGACGATCTACATTTACAAACATGTTATGTTGTTGACTTGTATAGAATGAAAGATTTCTCCGTAACCGATGGTGTTATGGATGTTTTGTATCCTAAGGTATTGATATTCGTTTGTGTAAAACAAATCAAGTCAATTTTGTTTAACGTAATTAACAAGAAAATAATGTGTTGTATTTCAGATTGTTTCAATTGTTAACGAAGAAGTTTTTTACGTTAAAGTAAGGAAAGGTTTATTCAACTAATCCTATATTGATTGAAATGAAACTTTTGATCATATTTACATGTAGGTTGTGGTATTTAACAATGCTACGAATGGAGATAATTATGCGAATATGGAGAAAGTTGACACACAGTTTTTAATGAATGTTGGGAGAATTCGTGTGGTCTTTTTGTATGGTTTTATTCGCAAATTATTGGTAAATTAGTCGATTTCAGTTGTTGTTGCTTAATTGTAGAAATCTATCACTCTTTTAGTGTCATCTTCTTGTGCGTAATTCTTTGATAAATTTTTTTCCAGAATTTCTTAAGTAACTTCAATCAAGCGCAGGAAGCAATTCAAAATGCTGGCAGTGCTGCAGCTCAAACTGCAACACAATCGGTAAAAATATGCTTGAAAAACATTCGGATAGTATTCTGAAATTGTATTGTCATTTAGTCTTGTTTTATTTGTATAATTTAGTTACAAGAATATAACAAGAATTCTCCACGAATTAAACTGGACATCTCTATCCAAGCTCCATTTGTAATCATCCCAGTAAGCAGTTGTTCAGATCGCGCTCTCGTTGTTAATTTTGGTAATCTGGAAGTACATAATAATTTCGAGATCGTTAAAGGAGATATGGATAAGGAAATCGTTGTCGTTGATAAAATGAATGTTTCATTTACTTCTCTTCAACTCTCTGTGTATGTTCTAAATTATTTACAAACCGTACCAACTTTCTGTGTATGTTCTAAATTATTTACAAACCGTACCAACTTTCTGTGTATGTTCTAAATTATTTACAAACCGTACCAACTTTCTGTGTATGTTCTAAATTATTTACAAACCGTACCAACTTTCTGTGTATGTTCTAAAGTATTTACAAACCGTACCAACTTTCTGTGTATGTTCTAAAGTATTTACAAACCGTACCAACTTTCTGTGTATGTTCTAAATTATTTACAAACCGTACCAACTTTCTGTGTATGTTCTAAAGTATTTACAAACCGTACCAACTTTCTGTGTCTGTTCTAAATTATTTACAAACCGTACCAACTTTCTGTGTATGTTCTAAATTATTTACAAACCGTACCAACTTTCTGTGTATGTTCTAAATTATTTACAAACCGTACCAACTTTCTGTGTATGTTCTAAATTATTTACAAACCGTACCAACTTTCTGTGTCTGTTCTAAATTATTTACAAACCGTACCAACTTTCTGTGTATGTTCTAAATTATTTACAAACCGTACCAACTTTCTGTGTATGTTCTAAATTATTTACAAACCGTACCAACTCTCTGTGTATGTTCTAAATTATTTACAAACCGTACCAACTTTCTGTGTATGTTCTAAAGTATTTACAAACCGTACCAACTTTCTGTGTATGTTCTAAATTATTTACAAACCGTACCAACTTTCTGTGTCTGTTCTAAATTATTTACAAACCGTACCAACTTTCTGTGTCTGTTCTAAATTATTTACAAACCGTACCAACTTTCTGTGTATGTTCTAAAGTATTTACAAACCGTACCAACTTTCTGTGTATGTTTCTAAAGTATTTACAAACCGTACCAACTTTCTGTGTATGTTTCTAAAGTATTTACAAACCGTACCAACTTTCTGTGTATGTTCTAAATTATTTACAAACCGTACCAACTTTCTGTGTATGTTCTAAAGTATTTACAAACCGTACCAACTTTCTGTGTATGTTCTAAATTATTTACAAACCGTACCAACTTTCTGTGTCTGTTCTAAATTATTTACAAACCGTACCAACTTTCTGTGTCTGTTCTAAATTATTTACAAACCGTACCAACTTTCTGTGTATGTTCTAAAGTATTTACAAACCGTACCAACTTTCTGTGTATGTTTCTAAAGTATTTACAAACCGTACCAACTTTCTGTGTATGTTTCTAAAGTATTTACAAACCGTACCAACTTTCTGTGTATGTTTCTAAAGTATTTACAAACCGTACCAACTTTCTGTGTATGTTCTAAATTATTTACAAACCGTACCAACTTTCTGTGTATGTTCTAAAGTATTTACAAACCGTACCAACTTTCTGTGTCTGTTCTAAATTATTTACAAACCGTACCAACTTTCTGTGTATGTTCTAAAGTATTTACAAACCGTACCAACTTTCTGTGTATGTTCTAAATTATTTACAAACCGTACCAACTTTCTGTGTCTGTTCTAAATTATTTACAAACCGTACCAACTTTCTGTGTATGTTCTAAATTATTTACAAACCGTACCAACTTTCTGTGTCTGTTCTAAATTATTTACAAACCGTACCAACTTTCTGTGTATGTTCTAAATTATTTACAAACCGTACCAACTCTCTGTGTATGTTCTAAATTATTTACAAACCGTACCAACTCTCTGTGTATGTTCTAAAGTATTTACAAACCGTACCAACTTTCTGTGTATGTTTCTAAAGTATTTACAAACCGTACCAACTCTGTGTATGTTTCTAAAGTATTTACAAACCGTACCAACTTTCTGTGTATGTTTCTAAAGTATTTACAAACCGTACCAACTTTCTGTGTATGTTTCTAAAGTATTTACAAACCGTACCAACTCTCTGTGTATGTTCTAAATTATTTACAAACCGTACCAACTTTCTGTGTATGTTCTAAATTATTTACAAACTGTACCAACTTTCTGTGTATGTTCTAAATTATTTACAAACCGTACCAACTTTCTGTGTATGTTTCTAAAGTATTTACAAACCGTACCAACTTTCTGTGTATGTTCTAAATTATTTACAAACCGTACCAACTTTCTGTGTATGTTCTAAATTATTTACAAACCGTACCAACTTTCTGTGTCTGTTCTAAATTATTTACAAACCGTACCAACTTTCTGTGTATGTTCTAAAGTATTTACAAACCGTACCAACTTTCTGTGTATGTTTCTAAAGTATTTACAAACCGTACCAACTTTCTGTGTATGTTTCTAAAGTATTTACAAACCGTACCAACTTTCTGTGTCTGTTCTAAATTATTTACAAACCGTACCAACTTTCTGTGTATGTTCTAAAGTATTTATAAACCGTACCAACTTTCTGTGTCTGTTCTAAATTATTTACAAACCGTACCAACTTTCTGTGTATGTTTCTAAAGTATTTACAAACCGTACCAACTTTCTGTGTATGTTGTATTTACAAACCGTACCAACTTTCTGTGTCTGTTCTAAATTATTTACAAACCGTACCAACTTTCTGTGTCTGTTCTAAATTATTTACAAACCGTACCAACTTTCTGTGTCTGTTCTAAATTATTTACAAACCGTACCAACTTTCTGTGTCTGTTCTAAATTATTTACAAACCGTACCAACTTTCTGTGTATGTTCTAAAGTATTTACAAACCGTACCAACTTTCTGTGTCTGTTCTAAATTATTTACAAACCGTACCAACTTTCTGTGTCTGTTCTAAATTATTTACAAACCGTACCAACTCTCTGTGTATGTTCTAAAGTATTTACAAACCGTACCAACTTTCTGTGTATGTTTCTAAAGTATTTACAAACCGTACCAACTCTCTGTGTATGTTTCTAAAGTATTTACAAACCGTACCAACTTTCTGTGTATGTTTCTAAAGTATTTACAAACCGTACCAACTTTCTGTGTATGTTTCTAAAGTATTTACAAACCGTACCAACTTTCTGTGTATGTTTCTAAAGTATTTACAAACCGTACCAACTTTCTGTGTATGTTCTAAATTATTTACAAACCGTACCAACTTTCTGTGTCTGTTCTAAATTATTTACAAACCGTACCAACTTTCTGTGTCTGTTCTAAATTATTTACAAACCGTACCAACTTTCTGTGTCTGTTCTAAATTATTTACAAACCGTACCAACTTTCTGTGTCTGTTCTAAATTATTTACAAACCGTACCAACTTTCTGTGTATGTTCTAAAGTATTTACAAACCGTACCAACTTTCTGTGTATGTTCTAAAGTATTTACAAACCGTACCAACTTTCTGTGTATGTTCTAAATTATTTACAAACCGTACCAACTTTCTGTGTCTGTTCTAAATTATTTACAAACCGTACCAACTTTCTGTGTATGTTCTAAAGTATTTACAAACCGTACCAACTTTCTGTGTATGTTCTAAAGTATTTACAAACCGTACCAACTTTCTGTGTATGTTCTAAAGTATTTACAAACCGTACCAACTTTCTGTGTATGTTCTAAATTATTTACAAACCGTACCAACTTTCTGTGTCTGTTCTAAATTATTTACAAACCGTACCAACTTTCTGTGTATGTTCTAAAGTATTTACAAACCGTACCAACTTTCTGTGTATGTTCTAAAGTATTTACAAACCGTACCAACTTTCTGTGTATGTTCTAAAGTATTTACAAACCGTACCAACTTTCTGTGTATGTTCTAAATTATTTACAAACCGTACCAACTTTCTGTGTCTGTTCTAAATTATTTACAAACCGTACCAACTTTCTGTGTATGTTCTAAAGTATTTACAAACCGTACCAACTTTCTGTGTATGTTCTAAATTATTTACAAACCGTACCAACTTTCTGTGTATGTTCTAAAGTATTTACAAACCGTACCAACTTTCTGTGTATGTTCTAAATTATTTACAAACCGTACCAACTTTCTGTGTATGTTCTAAATTATTTACAAACCGTACCAACTCTCTGTGTATGTTCTAAAGTATTTACAAACCGTACCAACTTTCTGTGTATGTTCTAAAGTATTTACAAACCGTACCAACTTTCTGTGTATGTTCTAAATTATTTACAAACCGCACCAACTCTCTGTGTATGTTCTAAAGTATTTACAAACCGTACCAACTTTCTGTGTATGTTCTAAATTATTTACAAACCGTACCAACTCTCTGTGTATGTTCTAAATTATTTACAAACCGTACCAACTTTCTGTGTATGTTCTAAATTATTTACAAACCGTACCAACTTTCTGTGTATGTTCTAAAGTATTTACAAACCGTACCAACTCTCTGAGTATGTTCTAAATTATTTACAAACCGTACCAACTCTCTGTGTATGTTCTAAATTATTTACAAACCGTACCAACTTTCTGTGTATGTTCTAAATTATTTACAAACCGTACCAACTTTCTGTGTATGTTTCTAAAGTATTTACAAACCGTACCAACTCTCTGAGTATGTTCTAAATTATTTACAAACCGTACCAACTCTCTGAGTATGTTCTAAATTATTTACAAACCGTACCAACTCTTTGAGTATGTTCTAAATTATTTACAAACCGCACCAACTCTCTGAGTATGTTCTAAATTATTTACAAACCGTACCAACTCTCTGAGTATGTTCTAAATTATTTACAAACCGCACCAACTCTCTGAGTATGTTCTAAAGTATTTACAAACCGTACCAACTCTCTGTGTATGTTCTAAATTATTTACAAACCGTACCAACTTTCTGTGTATGTTCTAAAGTATTTACAAACCGTACCAACTTTCTGTGTATGTTCTAAATTATTTACAAACCGTACCAACTCTCTGTGTATGTTCTAAATTATTTACAAACCGTACCAACTTTCTGTGTATGTTCTAAATTATTTACAAACCGTACCAACTCTCTGTGTATGTTCTAAAGTATTTACAAACCGTACCAACTTTCTGTGTATGTTCTAAAGTATTTACAAACCGTACCAACTTTCTGTGTATGTTCTAAAGTATTTACAAACCGTACCAACTCTTTGTGTATGTTCTAAAGTATTTACAAACCGTACCAACTTTCTGTGTATGTTCTAAATTATTTACAAACCGTACCAACTTTCTGTGTATGTTCTAAATTATTTACAAACCGTACCAACTTTCTGTGTATGTTCTAAATTATTTACAAACCGTACCAACTCTCTGAGTATGTTCTAAATTATTTACAAACCGTACCAACTCTCTGTGTATGTTCTAAATTATTTACAAACCGTACCAACTCTCTGTGTATGTTCTAAATTATTTACAAACCGTACCAACTTTCTGTGTATGTTCTAAATTATTTACAAACCGTACCAACTTTCTGTGTATGTTCTAAATTATTTACAAACCGTACCAACTTTCTGTGTATGTTCTAAAGTATTTACAAACCGTACCAACTTTCTGTGTATGTTCTAAATTATTTACAAACCGTACAGCGCTTGTAAGTTGTTTAAGTTAGTTTATGTTGTTTTGTAGTGCCATTATATCTGAAGATGAAACAGTTGCCGCTCAAAGAACAATCGTTCAACCAATGTCTATGGTTGTGACACTTCTCCGTAGTCTTTCTTCCTGGTATCACGATATCCCGGATGTTGACGTCACAGCCAAACTTCATGCTTTTAAAGTAAGTTGATTTTAAATGTTTGAATAAATGTTTGGCTTATTGGATTTTGACAGTTTCAAAATGATTTTAGATTGATATCGGAACAGATGACGTGAGGACTATACTGGATATTACATCACAAAACTTAACGGAAGGATCTGATCTGATTGGTATGTTGAAGAGCGAGAAAAGGGTTACATAAGTACAACTAAGTATAGCTTGGGATAGTTGTGGTTTGAGATAACTTTAGGATTAATGTAGATACGTGGTTACAATCTTTCGAAAAGTTTTATTTGTCATTTTAGATTTTGTAGACGACACGGATTCAAGTTCTGTATCATCTTTGTCAGTTTTTAATGATCCAGGTGACGTCATCAACATTAGAAAATTTTCGTAATTTATTTTTCATATCAGTCGTTGTGTATTTTTTTGTTTACATATAGATGTGGTTGTAGTTTTGAATGAAGATGACAAAACATGGGTTTCTGTGAAATTTCAGTTCAATATTGAAAAAATTACAACAAGATATTATCAAAATATTCAGCCTCTGGTTTGTTATATCTACTCTGGAACATAGTTTTACTATCGTACCAATCATAACTGTTCAACTACAACTCTATAGAAATTCCCTCTAAGTTATTACATATTATTTCTTTCTTTTATTAGGTCTTAGGCAACGTTTCAACATTGGATCATGCAAAGGACGATATTATTGGTTCTTCGTCATTAGATTATCTGAACGTGATTGGTTCGTTGCTTACTAATGGAGCAATGGAAACGTCAGTTGTTATAAGGATGATAACATTGAAGGATAAAAGATCCGCTCATGAGAAAGGAGTTACAACGTTAGATTACAAAAAATTCGTAGTGTATGTACGATTCATACTTGATTTTATGTTTATATTTCTTTCTTTGTACGTACGTAGGATGATAGAAAGACGATATGATGAAAAGGACGAGCAGTCTAACGAATTAAATATGATCGATGTGAAGTTTACACAGACGAAGGAATTAGAAAAGAAAGGTACGGCTTTGAATTTTTCAAATCATTATGCTGTGCAATATTGATTAGGATTTTTTTTCTAGTCAACATTCTTGTGAACAGCATTTCGATTATTGTGAACGTCGAATTTTTATTGGTTCTTTCGCGTGTGTTTACTGACTCGTTTGATGAAAATGCTCATAAAGACGTAGAGAGCAAAGCTATTGCTGAGGCAAAAATCCTATCGACAGAGCTTGCTAGCCCGTCAACAGGGACACCAAATGTCGTTAATAATAGCTCATCGCTTGAAGTAAAGTTACTTGTTAAAAAACCAGAGATCTATTTCTTGGCTGATGCGAAATTGGCTAATACCAACACTCTCATTATGAAGGTGCACAAAAATATTTAGTTTATTTTACTTCGTATCAATTCTTTCCGTAATGTAACGTTAAATTTGGTAATTTTGATGACTAGAACAATTTGGATGTCACTTTAACAACTGTGGATAAGAAAATTTGGTTTCAGACCAACTTGCAAGATATTCATGTTGTAACCGCTTCTTTTGAGAAAAGTCGCCGTGATATTTCTCAAGCTGATGTAAGATTTTAGTCGATATTCATATAGCATTACTTCATGTTTAAGGATTTGATTTCTCTAACGTTAAAAGTATGTTGTTTTATGTAGGTGCTTAGAATGAAACATGTTAACTTGATTTTCAACTCTTCGAGCATTGGATCTTCGAGTGTTGGTATTAACGCTTCTACAGCATATCTCAACATATCTCCAGCTTTTGTTGGCATTGCATCAGCTGTTGTATCATCAATTTCTCCTTCTAAAGTAAGATCTCCAAATTATTCTCACCTGCAGAGAAGGATTGCGTTAACCAGAATTGAAAATTCATTATTCTTAGGCGGAGGACGGCGAGGGAGCTGGTGACGATGTTCCAAATTTATTTAAAACAACCGATATAGATTACTCGAGAAAATGGTACCTAAAACCTGGTGAGTTTAATTCATATTTGAATGAAGTTTATGTACATCATGAAAACGACTTACTTTCAAATTTTTATTTAGTTGCCAGAGGGCAACTAGTGCCAGGCAGTCGTGTATTTGCTCGAGCTCCTGACGCCATAAGCTACTCCCCAGGACTTTTAACGAGTATGGACAAGAGAATGTCTGTTATCATGGATGATGCTTCCACCACGTGGTCATATGACGTAAATGACGTTAGAGGGGTAGTTCTTGACCAAACACCGCTGATCAAAGAGATTGCTGTCAATCAGTTAGTTATCGCGTTGATTAAAGAAGGGGAACCGATGAAAGTAGGTGTGGTTACAAAAGTCATTCAAGACCAAGAAGAACCAACTATTTTCATAAGATTTTCTGCCGAGCAAGAAGAAGAAAAACCTCTTGATCTTGTCCGATTGATAAAAAATGTGAACATTGGAGGTATTTACTTGAAATTTTTTACCTAATCCACCTCTCCGACGGTGGACACACGCGTCAAAATTACGAGATAAAATTACAAAATTCGGACAAACTAATGGTCGGACATAGTGTTGTTTATGTAGAACAGTGGCAGTAAAATGGTTATGAGATGCTTTTGAGTTGTGGGGTATCTGATTCTAGTTATTCAGAACGATTGTTTATAAAGGCAGAAGGCATAACAGTAAATATTAAATATTTTGCGTTAGAAAAAAGCATAACGATCGAAAGAAAGCTTGAATACAGGCATGTTGTCGCGCTAATGACTTTTTTTGTAAGGATTGTTACTGGGCTTGACTTTGATGCAGCTAAAATCGGATCTGGATATTTTTTGGTAGGTTGTTGCTCGCGATGAAATGCATACTTCATGTAGGTACGTAATAAATTAGACAGCTGTCTTTATGTGATCAAAAGAAGTCCTTTGAATCCGAAAAGTGTACTGTTTAATCGAAATATCATTCGAGAAGTGAAGTTACTTTTAGATTTAATCATGAAAATAATGCAAGGCAAGTAGAAATTTATCATCCAAAATGACTTACAATTTTATAACATAAGGGTTAAATTTACTTCATTAAATGCTATCTTCGGTTATTAAATGTTATCTTCGTTAAATGTTAACTATTATAAAAAAGTAGATAATCCTTTTTCTCCACGAAGCTCGTGGGTGCTTTCGTTCATGATGAGAGAGTTATATTGTATAAGGAGGCTCTCGTTCATCACGAGAGAGTTATGAGAAAGTTACATTGTAAAAGGTAACAAGTAAAAAACGTGTAAGCATGCTTTTAGTGTTACTTTAAATGATAAGTCAAAAAGGCAGAAGTTGTTTAAACCTTTGCAGTATCCTTAGATGTTCTTGCTTCTTTTATGAGATGAATTCTTTTTCAAATTTTGAAAAAAAGAAAAATTTTGAAAACGAAGAATCCCTTTTTCTGTACATGCCTCCCGATACCGGGAGAGAGTTGAGCACTAGAACGTCGCATGTTAATTAAGGAAACCAGATAATCCTTGTTTGCCATGAAGCCCATGGATGGTTTGCTCATGATGCATGAGAAACAGTAAATGAGAGAGTTAAATCAGAAAGATATAAACCAATAAAAATTGTATAAAACATTGCTTGGTTTATTTTATCTTTGAGAAGGGATAATATAAAACAAATAAATAAAATTCGAAAGCAAAAAACCCCGTTTTCGGTCCATGCTTCCCGATACCTTCTTAAGCGTAAGGCACTATGTGTATTTAAACCTTCTGCCTTTATAATTAGTCGTTTTGGATTTCTAAAATAGGATTTACGAATGCCCCAGGAGTATCTTCTTTCTATTTTATTGCCACTATTCTACATACACAATATTATGTCCGACCATTTGATTGTCCGAGTTGTAATTGGATGTTGTATTTTTGACACGTGTGTCTACCGTCAGAAACGTGGTTGATTCGAACATTGAAATTCTTTCAGTTTTATTTTTATTTTGTTTAATGACTGAATGAGCGAAACGTTGCCAAGTGATAAGTCAATGCTGTTTAATATTTATTTAGGCCTTCGCAACCAGCTTGTCGTCTCTAGTTCGGTTTGGGCTCGGCTATCTGATAATCAAATTTATGCTCCAGGCTTCATCTCCAAAAAAGATTGGCGTTATCAAGTAAAGTTTACCAATGGGACGTATGTTTACCATTTTATCAACGATCCCTTGGGTGTAGCTCGCGATCGCGTGCCACGTCGTGAGAACTTGAAAGTTGGTTGTGACGTAATAGCTCCGATCCCAAGCAAACCGTTAATGCAATCAGGTCGCGTGAAAAGAGTCACGATTGGTGGCTGTGAAATTCAGTTCGATAACGGTGCCTTACATGAAGTATCCTTCTACGATCTAAGGTTGATGAGAGTCCCTAAGAAAGAAGGTAAGCATTAGTGAAATCATCTTGAATTCTCAGCTTTCAGTAAGGTTACTGTTGTATAAGCGGCTAGCCTTGTTGACCTATGAATTATTTTCTTCTGTAGGGAATCGTCTTACTTTACGAACATTATTGTGGGCAAAATATTCCGATGATTTCTACTATCGTGGTTACATTGATGATATTGATAACAAAATTCATGTGCGTTTTTTACGCAAAGGATGATCAAATTTCCTTTGCTCTTAATGATCACGTGGGGAATTGTACGTGACGTCATACCCAGAGAAGTCACGGTAAGGAGAGGAAGAACAAATACTCGATTTGAAAGGAAATATGGATTTTCTACTTTCTTTCATCATTGTCTTTAGATCGGGGACTGTGTTGTTGTTATCAAAGGGACTTATGGTATACTAGGCGTGGTTACCAAGGTTGAATCGTTAGAAACAGACCCGGTTTACTTGATTGAGACTGATGGTAGTGAAATGTGGGCTCCACTCAAGGACGTTCGTCGTTTAAATAAAATGATTTCAACTCAAGGTGAGAGAAAACATGTTTCATATAAGATTAGTGAAAATGAAGCGACTTTAGAACGCCGTTATTCTAACGTATTCAGGCGTTCTTCAAGATGTTAGAAATGAAATTGAGCCGTTGTCATCTGACAAAAAGGAAGAAAAGGTGCGTGTATGGATAGGATGGTTCGATAAGGGTTCCATTCAGTATATCCCCCTATCATTGTAGTGATACTTTCAACCGTTGTCCATGTTATTGTATTTTTTTATTTTTTTGATGATGTATCAGCTGATCGCAAACATCGATGGTTTTGTTCTTAACATCGAAGCAGAAAAATCTGGCAATTTGATAAGTCTGTTGAACTTCCGAGGTTTATTACAAGCGGAAATCAACAATTGGCAAGAAAAGGTTGGTATATACGCTGTGAACGTGATTTATGGTTATCGTTTTATAAGTATTTTTATTTATTGTAGTTAAATGGTAAAGTTGACATTAGCCTTGAAGCCAACTACTTCAATGAAGGATTATCAGAGTGGGAACCTTTAATTGAGAAGCTGGAAACACCTGATGGATTTAGATTATGGGACTTATCTCTAGGGTTAGAATTTCTATATTTGGATGTATCTGCATGGATAGCAGGATACAGAAAGGGTGACGATATGAATTGTTATGTAGTTTAAGACGAACCAAGATGAGACTCTGGAAGAGACGGACTGTCAGATGATTGTTGACATCGAATCAGAAGATATTTTAGAACTTACCATTACAAAAACTGGCCTTGATGTTTTACAAGATTTGGGGAAGGTAATACATTCTTTCTACATCTCGTGTGTTTCCTTTTACCATTGTTATTAAAAATTGCTTCGTCTTGTTTGTAGTCCTTTAGTGAAGCTGTTACAGAAAACATAGGTGGTTCAAGTATTGCGCTCGAGAACGCTCCTCCATATGAATTGAAAAATGAGGTAAAAATTTTTATGGATGATGAGAGTTCGTTTGTCAAGTTAAAATGCAAATCTATTAATTCAACTTTTCGTGTGTAAGAATAAAATTATTAAATCATCATGATACGTATGTCATGAATTTTTACAACGTTTTTCCAGGTTGGTGTTGATGTCTACGTTAGACCTGGTTTCATGTTTACAGTAAGTTTTAAAACTTTCATTTATCAATGAACCACGAAATAACGGATCTGAAAATTTTGTTTCGTTTCCAGACCCCGGACAACGCCATCGATGGCGCGACATTATTGCGAACTGGAGAATCTCTCTGTTTACATTTTTCTGGACACTCTCGATTGACGAGCGTTAGCAGCGATATACGCGCCATTCAAATCTCTGTTGAGGTATGTAATATTTTTTGTTTTAACAGCGTAATTACTATACCATGACGCTGTTAAATTTATGCTAATTACTCCTATTTAAAGGTTGAAGGTTATCATGCACTTAACGATATTTCTATTAAAGAAGCCAGCTCTGCGTTTTTCAACATTGTTCCTAAGAAAGTGGGTTAAAATTTTATCATATATTCTGTTTGTTTTTTTGTGTTGGATTATTTTATCATTTATTACTTAAGTGAACAATTTTCATTACCTTCCTTCATTATTTTGTTTTTCAGCTGCATAAACAAGGTTTCCGTTCTATTGTCGTGCAAGTATCTTCACAAAATGGACGAAAGCTTGTTTTATTCCATTCGCCATTTAGGGTTTGTCCAACAAGTTCAATTTTACTGCTATTTATTTTTCAGCTATTGGTTATTGTTTCCACTGAACTTTCTCTGATTGGTTATTGTTTCCACTGAACTTTCTCTGATTGGTTATTGCTTCGACTGAACTTTCTCTGATTGGTTATTGCTTCGACTGAACTTTCTCTGATTGGTTATTGCTTCGACTGAACTTTCTCTGTTATTGCTTTTTCATCTTAGTTATGCTTAACTGTTCACAAGTTCGTCCTCACTCAAAGTCGTCAGTCAATGTTCAATTTTAGCATTTTTCTCATAATGATTGTAATCATCTACAATACATGAATTATATTACATTTCAGATGATGAATCACTGTCTGCTGCCTCTTGAAGTTTTCGTTCAAAAAAGTTCTGGTCTGGAACTTTTGCACACCTTAAAACAGGATGAGACATTTTGCATTCCTCTGACCTTAGCTAACGACGATCTTGGATATTTTCTCAAACCTGGTGGTTTTCCGTGAGTTTGAAAAACGTTTCAGTCTATATAGACAACATCTTTTCGACAACATCTCTAGATACAAAATCTCTATCGACAACATCTCTATTAACAACATCTTCATTGACAACATCTTTATAGACTACATCTCTATAGACAACATTTCTATAGACAACATTTCTATAGAAAACATCTCTATAGACAGCATCTCTATAGACAGCATCTCTATAGACAACATCTCTATAGGCAACATATCTCTAGACAACATCTCTCTAGACAACATCTCTATAGACAGCATTTCTATAGAAAACATCTCTATAGACAACATCTCTATAAACAACATCTCTATAGACAACATCTCTATAGACAACATCTCTATAGGCAACATATCTCTAGACAACATCTCTATAGACAACATCTCTATAGACAACATCTCTATAGACAACATCTCTATAGGCAACATCTCTATAGACAACATCTCTATAGACAACATCTCTATAGGCAACATCTCTATAGGCAACATCTCTATTGACAACATCTCTATAGACAACATCTCTATAGGCAACATATCTCTAGACAACATCTCTAGACAACATCTCTATAGACAACATCTCTATAGACAACATCTCTATAGACAACATCTCTATAGGCAACATCTCTATAGACAACATCTCTATAGACAACACCTCTATAGGCAACATATCTCTAGACAACATCTCTATAGACAACATTTCTATAGACAACATCTCTATAGACAACATCTCTATAGACAACATCTCTATAGACAACATCTCTATAGACAACATCACCGTAGACAACATCTCTCTAGACAACATCTCTATAGACAACATCTCTATAGACAACATCTCTATTGACAACATCTCTATAGACAACATCTCTATTGAACATTTTTATTAACTACACCGCTATGGACAAAATCTCTACTGACAACATTATCAATGTTTATTTAGATATGAAAAAACTGTGGAGGAAATACGTCTAAGTCAGATGAGCTATAGAAAATTTTTTGCGTGCGTTGCTCCATGGCCAGATGCTGACCCCTTTTATTTCCAGGTTTTATCTTATTTATAATTTAAAGGAGAAACGAATGAACGTTATTTTATGAGCCACCCTTTCGACTTTCTCTGCTTCTTTCATTTAGGTTTCCTGTGTAGAAGAAAAATACTCTTATGAAAAGGGATCGAAAAACAACCAACCTTGCTACACATTGCATTTTTATCCCCCAGTTGTTGTCATTAACTATCTTCCCTTCTCAATTCAACTAAACCTTGAGGTTAATCTTTTTTTATCTTTTCATTAAATATGCATCGATCGTGTGTAGCGATTACTTTTTTATCTTTGTAGAGCGTGAAGACCTTTGCTGTTTTGAAAGGAGGTGAAAAACTACCTTTTTACAGTGTCGATGTTAATTCTCATCCAACAATGAATGTTAAGGTGCGTCAAATTGTTTAATACTTCATAGATTATATTGTTCTGAATTTGTTTATTTACACTTTCTTCAATGAGGTTTCTTTATGTTTTTTTTTTACAGTTGGAATCTTATTTTAGCGATACTTACACCGGACATATAAAACTGAGCACTGACCTTCGCCGACTTTCGGTTCTTTACCTTGTTTCTGGTACAAAAAAATTGGTATGCAACGTTGATCGAGACCTTTAAAATTACGTCGCGTACTGTATGATTTTTTTCCGTTTTCATTTAGGTTGTTGGTGTTTACGTAAAGAAATCCTCCTCTTTGGAAATAACTTTTTATTCAAATTATTGGCTCATCAACCACACGGGACTGCCCTTGCAGTATAAAGTATGTATTGTTTACAAGCACGTTTGCTCGTAAATTTTAAAATTCTCTAAGCAGCTATTTAAACATTTGCTCTCACACATTGCTCCTTTCCACTACTCTCTGTCTCGTCCCATCAACTATTTTTTGTCTAGGCCACAAATTCTGACGTTATTATATCTCATCCTCCAAATGGTGACGAAGTGGCTATATTTTCATTTACTTCAAAAAAAGACAACACGGTTAGTTTACGATTTTTATGTACAACAGTTTTTATGAATAAACGCAATAAAACGCTTTCGGTGATTGGTCTTTAGTCGTGTTTGCATTAGCCTGTACAAAGCACGTCTTAGGTCAACCAATCAAATCAATCCAAACAGTCAATCGGTCAAAGAGAATTTATAAATCGATCATGAATACATTTAGATGAAATATTAAAACGATTGTTTTAAATTTGTCTGTTTCACATTATTGTTATTTCATAAAAGAAATAAAAGATGTTTTTCGTGTTTGCACTGGCTTGTGCAAACCTCAGAGACATTTGTGAGAACTCTCGAGCAGTTGCAACCCTCGATCATCGGTCTCGGGCTTGCACTGATCAGCTCTCCAGTTCTCCCTAAGGTCTCCTTGGTTTGCATAAGCCTGTGTAAACATAGTAAACATTTACCATATTTTGCACATTGTGTTTTGATTAGGTACGACTACGTACAAATGAATCAAGTTGGTCTGACAAATTTTCAATTGATACCGCTGGGAGTGGTGGCTCGTTGAAATTCATAAAAGACGGCAAAGAGTTTGGGGTTAGCAAATGAACAGGTTTCTAGTTTATGTAATAACATATTTTTTTTTTACTTATCTTGTTTTTTTCATCTTCATACAGATTGGTACTGAGATACGTCTTGCATATTTCAGCCTTAGTAGAATCGTCGTATTTTCTCCATTGAACTTGTTAGTCAATGAGACGAAGGTAAAGGCATTTAGTCTTTTTGTATAGTGTTTGATATTTCATCAAAGTTCACTTCTTTCGTATCGTACATCTGTAGCATCGTATTTCATTGTGTGAATCAGATGGCGCTTGGTTGACGTTAGAATCAGGGCAGGTAATAGACATTTATTTAGTTGTTTGCGTATCTAGTTTATCTGATCCAAACACGGACATCTACCAATCAAAGTTTGCGTTATACATATGTTATTTTATAATCACATTTCCTTTCAGTCCTGTTTAAAATTTGAAAAAGTTCATATTTTCTGTTCGCAATTTTTGTATTGTTTGTGTGTTCCAGACTGTTCCATTTTGGCCAAGTGAAACTCCTGCAAAGAATTTAAAAATTAAAACTGATGACTTCCCCGAAGAGTCCATTCCATTCGATTTTCAATCTCATGTCAATCTTCTTCTTCGTCTTGATAACGAGGTACACAATGATACAAACATGGATGTTTTTGACATGACTGTATCGCTGATGTTTATAAAACGTGTTGGTTTTTTTTCAAAGGTTGGCGGCTTATGCGTGACAATGCTGAGTAAAGACGCTGCGACAGTTACGACATTTACTCCATATTTTGAAGGTTCAGCTCCGTTAAGACTTGATAACGATACTTCAATGGAGATTTGCTATCGACAGCGGTGAGGAAAAACATCTATTTTCGATTATACGATTTTATCGTGAATCTTTTGGTTTACGTTGAAATATCTCTTTGAATTTATTGCATTCAAAATGATTTGATTACAGTTTCTTTTAATTTTGTTTTCAGTGATTCAAGTAAGGTTCATGTTCTTCCTCCCAAAAAAACGACAGTTTTTACTTGGGATGATCTACATGGAAAACGTCAGGTCGAATGGTTTGTCTTGGGTTATGAGAATATGTCGACTTTAAGTAATATAGAAAAGGTTGTTAGAAATGATTTTTACTTCTTTTATTTTAAATATTGATCTTATTTTGATTTGTAGTTTTCTATGTTAAAGTAAAACGGAGTTATTCTGCCATTGAATGTATGTTTTTCCACCTTATATTTTCAGAATGATATGGGGGCATTGGGAGAAGCAGAGAAACCTCTGGGATTTTGGGCTGTATTTCTTGACGGCTTACAGCGAGTATTGTATTTCACTGATAGCTACACGATGGCCTTTAGAGCTCAACAGGTTCGTTATATTTAGAATGACGTTGATTTGTCATACAAGTCTTTTCCATAGGAGGGTTGAAACTGATTTTATGTGTATATATGTATATGTTTTAATATCGAAATAGTGGAGATGAGATGTTCATAGGACGACAGGCGGATGGTAGACACGAGATGTTCATTGGATGATAAGAGGATGGTAGACACGAGATGTTCATAGGATGATAGGAAGATGGTAGACATGAGATGTTCATTGGATGATAGGAAGATGGTAGACATGAGATGTTCATTGGATGATAAGAGGATTGTAGACATGAGATGTTCATTGGATGATAGGAAGATGGTAGACATGAGATGTTCATTGGATGATAGGAAGATGGTAGACATGAGATGTTCATTGGATGATAAGAGGATTGTAGACACGAGATGTTCATAGGATGATAGGAGGATGGTAAACACGAGATGATGATAGGAGGATGGTATAGATGAGGTGTTCATAGGACGATAGGAGGATGGTAGACATAAGATGTTCATAGGTTAATGGCTGAACTTGCAATATTTGTCGTGATATCATAGGATCAACTGGAAGTTCCCAACGTTGAAGTGAGTTTATCTTTACAAGAGATTGGTCTTTCTCTTGTAAATAACGAAAAGAACATTGAGCTTACATATCTTCGTGTTACAGCGTGAGTAAATGGAGTATATTAAGGAATTTTGATGAACTTTACTTATTGTACCTTGGCTTATTACTGTTATGGAAGGATTTATGTGTCATTTGTAGGAGTTCAATTCTATGGGAAGAACAAGGGAAACGACGTCGATGGAAAGCTTTCTCCAACAAAGTATCTCGGGGCTTAGAGAACGAATATCAAACATTACAGATAGCTTTGGACCAAGACCAGAAACCTGCATACACTTGCAAGGTCGATAAAATCACGGTATGATACAAATTATATTTTATTTTGTGTTTGTTTTTTGATTAAATGAAAAACAAATAAATTATTTTATAATTTTATCAAGGTCGATTTCGATAGTATGAATGTCATTGAACCATACCGCCGTCCTATACGTAGGACCTTCCATCCGGGATTCTGGGTGCTATTCAAGCAATCAGAACACGAAGTTCAACTTCACTTAAAGATAAATGATGTGCAGGTAACCTTTTATGCCGCCGTTAAAAGATTTCTGCGTAGACTTCTGTTTTTGTACATTAACTTGTTTTTCTGTGTTTCAGATTGATAGTCAAATTGAAGAATCAACTTTTAAATTTCTCTTTCATTCCATTCCTCCTCCAAAGACTGTCGCTGCCAGTAATGGTAACAAACACTTTCTTAATTTTTGATTTCGTAGAAGACAGAGCTGATGTAAAAATTTTATGTCTTATCATTCAGCTCCAAAACCAATGATTGAAGCGAGCTTAACAACACGCAGGGAAGAACGTGCCATTTTCAGTAGAATCAAGTTAGTATCTTTGTGGTAATGGGGGATCGTATATCTTGTAAATTCCATAATGTTCCTTCTATCCCATATTCACCCTGCGAGCATGAGCGAGATTGCCAATTTTTCAATGTAGATATTTCAAAGTTCTTGTTCAAGAGTTGGACGTCAGGATGGATATAGGATGGTTACACGAAGCTCTTGTATTGTTTGGCAATGAAAATCAAGATCTAAATGTATGAAAAATTTGTTTCTGTCGTCGTAGCTTTCACAGGCAAAAAAATAATCACCTCATTACCAAACTTTTGTTTTGCATGTCGGACATCTTTACTCCTAATTCGCTATTTTAGGAATCCAACTTCGATGAAGATATGAAAATAACAGAGTCTACACTGCAATCATTACATGTTAGTTTTATTTAAAAAAACATCTTTCGCAATGTATTTTAATTCACACGACAATTAACAATATGTGTTTTATTTTACAGGAGGCCGTAAACGATGCTCGTAATTATTATGATTATTTTCATCTTTCGCCCATCAAAGTAAATTCACAAAAATTTTTTTAAAATCCAATATTATTAAGATTTTCAAGTGTTGTTTGCGTTCATTTTCACAGGTTCATGTAAGTTTCTCGGCACAAGGACCCGGAATTGCTAGTGAAGATATTATTAATGTTTTGTTGAGTGGTCTTGGTATTGGCGTTGTTGATGTTCAAGATGTTGAGATAAAGTATGTTTGAGATCTTTACTTTAGAACATCATATATGAAAAATTCTTGTAGTTATTTTTATTTTCTTAAAATAAAGAAAGTCTGGCAAGCTGTCTTTGATAAGTGGTTGTTTCTATTCTAGAATCTGTCTTTGATCAGTGCTTATTTCTATTGTAGGCTTGGTTTTTTCGAGATAAAAAATAAGGTTTACAGTCAATCTCAGTTGATGCAGATTGCCACCAATCATTACAAGAATCAGGTAACATATCATATAAGCTATTCATACTTTGTTTCTTCAACGTTCTTGAATGTGCATGAAATTTGTTTCAAATTCAGGCTCTCAAACAATTGTATCGGTTTGTTCTTGGTTTGGATGTCCTGGGAAATCCGTTTGGTTTAATTGCAGGACTTACAACTGGAGCGAAAGACTTGTTCTACGAACCCTATCAGGTCCATTACATCTAAATGTAGCTGGGTTTTTTAAGCTAGTGCTAGATTGTTATTGTCTCATTGTTTATAGGGTTTGATTCAAGGACCAGAAGAGTTTGCGGAAGGTCTGGCACTAGGTGTGAAGAGTCTTGTTGGAAGCACTATAGGTAATATGTCTTTCGTTGGTCGCGTCATCAAAATTTAATCTAAAATTGGTTTAATTTTATCGTTTTATTATATCAGGTGGTGCTGCGGGAGCAGTATCACGTATCACAGGATCAATTGGCAAGGGAGTAGCGGTACTTACTATGGATAAGGAATATCAACAAAGCAGAAAATCATCGATGAGAAGAAAACCAACCAGTGTTAAGGAAGGTCTTAGTCGTGGTGGCAAGGGTTTACTGGAGGTAATGATCTATGAAGCACTATATTATCCTAATTTATCCCAGTGTTAAGGAAGGTCTTTGTCGTGGTGGTAAGGGTTTACTGGAGGTAATGATCTATGAAGCACTATATTATCCTAATTAATCCCAGTGTTAAGGAAGGTCTTAGTCGTGGTGGTAAGGGTTTCCTGGAGGTAATGATCTATGAAGCACTATATTATCCTAATTAATCCCTTATGATTTTGCTAATTAATGTCTTGCCTGTATTTTAGGGTGTTTTTGAAGGTGTTACAGGTGTTGTTACAAAACCAATGGAAGGTAAGATATTAATACACGTGATCGCTGTTTACGTCATGTCTGTGTATTTCATGGTTTTGCTTGGTGTAGGTGCAAAGCAGTCTGGTGCTAAAGGATTCTTCAAAGGTGTTGGTAAAGGTCTTATTGGTGTTATCGCTAAACCAGTTGGTGGTGTTGTCGATTTAGCCAGCAACACATTCGAAGGAATTAAGGGTAGAAATGTGTCATCTTAAAGTGAACCTTTCATATGAAAAGAAATATTCATCGCTGTTTTTTATTTATTTATTTAGCTCAGCATCTGGTGAGAAAGAACTCAAACGTTTGAGAGCACCGCGTCGTTTTATGCAGACAAAGTAGAGCTTTGTAATGTTTTTGTTTTCGTTTCGTTGATGATGCCCAATACTTCATGTATATTTTGTCTAGATCATGCGTCCGTACAATGAGCACGAGGCAGTAGGTGCTGAATTATTAAAGGTAAAGAAATTTCCTAGCTTCTCAAAACTAAACATTCGCAAAACAACATGTTTATATGTTTGGAATCAAGGAATATGCGAAGGGTAAAGAAAGACTTAAAATGACCTGTATGTGTGTCATTATTTTTTCCTGACAAAATGGCCATTATCATCACGAACAAGTAAGTGAATTTTTTCATTTTACTCGTGAGGTTAATCTCGTGTAATGCTCTTTCATTTCAATTTTTTGTTTTTAACTTCACCACCAGACATGTTCTTCTTACAAAGAAGGAAACGATCATTAAAAACGAGTGGGAAAATGTCTGGTTTTGTCATCTTAAAGAACTTAAAAGCGAACCGAAAGTCAACGGAACAAAACTAACTTTTAGCACGCCTGTAAGTATTGCTTTTTAATCTGATAAAATTTCTTTTTTATTAGCAATTACAATATCTTTTCGTCACGACTATTTTTGTTAAATGCAGAACATATGTCCCTTTTTAACCTCCAACAACGCTGTTTTTTTGCATTTACTTTTCTCTAACTATAGTGTTTTGCATTCGTCCTTTCCAAACAAAAGAGTGTTCTACATTTATCCCTCTTTGGCAATGGTGTTTTACATTTATCCCTCTCTAACAATAGTGTTTTATATTTATCCCTCTGTGACAATAGTGTTCTACATTTATCCCTTATCAAATATATCTTTAACTATCCTATTCCATTTTAAAGCACACGGTCAGAAATAATATCTCAATTTTTAGGAACAAGGGAAGATGTTCAAAAAGACAGCGACTAAAGTTGTTGATGTTAAGTCACAAGAGATTGCTGAGGTACGTACTTATCCACACACATCCTTTCATATGCTGAGGTACGTACTTATCCACACACATCCTTTCATATGCTGAGGTACGTACTTATCCACACACATCCTTTCATATGCTGAGGTACGTGCTTATCCACACAGACATCCTTTCATATGCTGAGGTACGTACTTATCCACACACATCCTTTCATATGCTGAGGTACGTACTTATCCACACACATCCTTTCATGATACTGCACGACACTGTCTGAATTTGATACATCAGAAAATTAGTAAACAGGGCATTAAATTATACCGTCATTAGGTAATTTTGTCATCTTTTTATGATAAAACAGCATGTTCTTGGTGCTGCTGATGTTTGAGTTTAACGATAAATCATTATAAGGAAGTTTTGGATTTAGTTTCATCAGTCTTTATGTCACCCTAGTGTTGTAGCCAATCACAAATGTCACCGTGATGTAGTAGCCAATCACAAATGTCACCCTAGTGTTGTAGCAATCACAAATGTATGATTTAGAATGACAATTTTTTTTGTTTTAGTGGATTGCAAATAACACGATTGAAGCGATGCGATCATTGAGATAAACAATAACTTCCTCCATTCTCTGCTAGATGAATATACACTTGTCCTTTTTATATTTAATGAATATGGTGATGTAGTTTTACTGAGTAAGCTTAATTTGAGTTCGTAGGATTTCATATTTTAATTTGAAATTTTAATAGATGTAAAATAAGGCAAATTTCACCACGAAAAGTCAAAACAATTGATGAACACGTACTACGTTGAATGAGTTTAATAATTTTGCTTTATATGAAGTATAGAAGTGTGAAACACAGTCTTTAGCTATGTAATGTAGATAGTCATAAAATGACTCTTTTCCAATAATGGCGTTATTTCTTAAAATATATTTTTTTGACACCAGATGTATGAAGAAACTTCATATGTCATGAATTATTAGTGAATCTTACTAATTACATACTTTCTCTTTGTGATATCATGTCTGCGACAGATGTCTTTTTTATCTTTGTGCCGTCATCGAATTGTTTTATTTGTTATAGTATCTTCTAAGGTAAGAGACTAAACTTGGGATATTTTATTTAAAATTTGTGTTAAACTTCTGAGTATTTTTTTAATGTTTCATTTCAGGCTCTGTTCTCGCTTTTTAAACCTATTTGTTCCGTTGATTTTCACAATGTTTACTAAAACGAAGAAAAATCAACATCGTGAAGCTTTGAAGAATATTGTATTGATATGTATTGTTTATGTTGCTCAACTTATCCTCTTTAAAGATATCTTCAGGTGATAAGTGTATTAGAAAATACGTGTTCTTGACTAACAATGCAATAAAACACTTAATGTTCACTAATTTTTCTTTCAGATGTCCTTGTAGAAATCATCAATTTTATGGCGCTTCATTTCTCTTCGTTCCCGCCATACTCCTGTTCCTTCTCAGCTTAACGTTCTTTGAAAGATCAATCGAAGCATACGTAAAGTTGTTTAAACACAAGAACTACAAGACAAGATGTAATTATTTTCTTTCCTACCTAGTCGACATTTTTCGTCCGTTTCTCGCGTCAACATCGTGGATTACTATTTCGCTACTTCGTGGCGAGTCTTACGTTTGTATTCGTGCCGGACCTGAGGACGAATGTGGATATAATTCTAATGAGGTAAAAAATATTTTCTGTTTTTCTTATCATAACTTTTATATCGTTTGTGTTGTTTCAAAACAAAAACCAATAATCCAAAATTTCTTGTCTGTAGATCACTAAAGAAAATTTTCAAAATTACAAAATTCAGTCTTATATTTTTGGGATGGCTGGCCTTGTTTCCATGGTAATATTTATCGCCGGAATCGTTTGTATTGAACGGTTGTGTACGACTAAAGACGAGTACTTGCCGACTAAAGACGAGTTCTTGCCGACTTATACAGATTTCATTACATTAAAGAAATCAGCAGTTGCTATTGCATTCACTGACAAAACGAAAGAAATTGTTAAAAAACACGCACAAACGCTCGTGGAGAACGCATTTTCGAATGAGACAAACTCGGAAATGGAAGAGAGATTTTTAGAGGCACGAGAAAAAACATTGAACAATTTACAATCTTCTTTTCAACAATTTACTTAAGTTGATGTTAAGGGAGTGAATCAGACAAAGTTCTTACTTTTTAAAACCATATTGTTTCGAAGCCTTAACATTGCCATTCAACTCTCAATTATTCATTCTGTTTGACAAATTGGTATGTCGTTAAAACTACAGAGCTTTGTTCTTGAACAATACCGACAATTGTAAGCTAAATCTTTTTCTCATTGTAACATAAATAGATTTTTACATAAAATTTAATCCATATACTAATACTTATTCTTCATTAATGACTATCATTTATTTTTACATCCAGTTCTTTTTTTGCTTTTTTATTTTCTATATCACAAATCTTTATTTATGAATGTTCAAGGAAAGCGTTCTTTGTGGATCAGTATAAATTAAGAATTCTTCCTGTAAATGGAATATAAATACGCAGGTACGTCTGTATCCCGCTAGATAATCTTTTGAGCTGTTATTTTGCAAAGCAGAGCTTTTTTCAAAATTGCGGTTCGGTATCGTGTTTAAAATTAAAGATTTTCAACCATTGGAACATTTTTATATGTCTTTCAGCTTTTTATCAGTTCGAACATCAACGTATGTATGATACATTATTTTTCCAGTGAGAAACAAAAACCTTTCCTTTAGCAGATGTTTTCACATTATTTAAACAAGATGTTTAAACATCAATGTTGCTAGGGAAAGTATCTCTCATTTCCATAAAGGCTGACCAGAAGATCGAAGTTTGTGGTTTTTTCACTGTTTGTGTGACTGGAGATGAATAAATATGGTTGAAATGATGACAGGAGTTGGGAAAAAAGAAAATTTTCCCATTTTTGGACGTCTAGAACGAAATTTGGATTCCTACATGAACAGTGAGAGGTACATAGTTTTGTCATTTGTTTTCTATATTAACTACATCAACTTAACATCGCATACGGGTAAATTGCTTAATGCATCCGCATTGACTTTATTGTTTCTTATAATGCTGTCGTTTGATGGGTTATTTTAATTCTTTCAATGCGACTATGATTATTTACTTTAGATGGAATAAAATATTTTCATCTTTGCTCTATCTCGGCTTCAACACAGTTTATCCTTAGCTGATGATAAAAATGATACCTAACATCGTAGGATATACAACATAAACAATTGTGGCATCACAGCAAGAATATAAACACGACACGCATACTGAGTTCATTTGCGAGCTGTTTACCTTAAAAACTTTTTACTTAAATGAATGTTGATTTTATTCATAATTCCCTTTTAATATTCCTCTTCTTTTAATCATTCTGTGGTACAATCCCTCGTTTAAACGTCATTTTTCAACATGTATTTTTGGAGTTCTCTTTATCCGCAAACCTTACCTTTAAGAATGATATGATATCAAACAAATGGTTTACTGTTGTAACAAAACATTCCTTTCAAATGGCCATTTCATAGCCTATTTTCTATCGATCATTTCCAAAAATACCTGTTAACTTCTCAATTTAATTTTTGATGAGCAGAAAAGTCATAAATTTTACGACGCTCTATGACGTCTTCTCTGAACTTTCTCATTTCAAATATCTTCATGCATTTTGTAAGAAGTTGTTTATGCCATCTTAATTGGCTCCAAATACAATTAACGGCCTCAAGTGTTTAAAAAGACACGCTCTTTGCTGAGTTAATTACATATGACGATATACTTTAGAATAATACCACGAAATTCAGTAGTGAATCATAGAGAATTTTTTACCAACAATGATTCCCTTGGAGTTGATAACGTATTTTGAACCGAAATATACAACAGTTGATGCATAGACAAATTTCCTATAGAAAAAAAATTAAAATGTTTGCATATTTTTTTTAAGGTTCAAAATCTGCTTTTATAAAAGATAGGGTCGTTCTTTCACTCATATGAACGTTGTTTCACAAGGAGGAGTTTTTCTTATGATTATTCTTTAGTGTCGTGTTTAATTAAGCTCATTTGATTGGGTCGTTTCGTGACTGTTTGAAGGCGTTAACATTCAATTAGGGTACTTTATTAAAAACCATTTTGCCAAAACAACTCACTCATTTCAGCTGAAGTTATGTGTGAAGATGTGTCTGGTCAGCACGACCTAATATTTCTGTGCAAACTTTGCCGTAATGTCGAATGAAAACAGATGCAACCTGTGACCTGTAGCATAAAATTCTTTAAACAAGGATATTGCAGCTCATTGGGAAACGTGTGACTTTAATGATGAGTTAAGTTAGACCAATTTTGATTCTTGTAATTTGTTTATCTGCGTTTATTTGCGTGGCATATGGTTTTTTTCAATACATCTTTGAAGATGTATGAAGTTATTCAGTTGATGCTCAGCGTAAATTTTTAAGAAAATTTTTTGACTTGAAGGCATGTGTTCAAGCAGCTCTTTAAAAATTTTATTTTCATTTGTTTATTTTGAACGTGTGCAAAAACCATCGCTTTTTCCTTTTTCCAACTCATTTTCTAATATATATTTAAACATTATCCATCCTGTCTTTGTACTTCTGAACTATAAAGAATTTTCGAGCTACATCTTTCAACTTTTGTCTGATAGCTATGCGAGGTTTTTGTGTATAAATTGAAAAATTCAAAGATCTGTAAGAATTTAAATTGAATTTTACAATAAGTCTTTAAACATATTTCATCCTATTTTAAACGTTTGAAACCATTCATCCAATTTCTGACGCTCATCCAATTTCTGACATCCAGCTCACTTTCTTAAAGTAATTTTTGACTCTCAAAAGTCATTAAAGTTTTCAGAATGAAATGTGGCATTGTTGAGCAACCTTCTCATGTAATATTCAGTGGATTTAATCTTAATGAAAAAAAATATGTGCAAATATTCTTCAATGAAAATATTCAGCGTTTAACTGGTACCAGTCCTTGCAACTAAACTACTTTCTGCATCTTAAAAACTTTGAAGAATGATTCAGTCAAAGTGAGGAGAAAAATGACTTCAAAAGCCCGGCTCAATCAATTTCTAGCACACGACAATGAAATTTCATAATGTTGAAGATGCATTGTGTTTTAGACACCAGAATGTGGGTCCTAAAGTTGGAATAAAAGATGATACAGACAGGTGAAAAGTTTTCTGCTTTCGTGTTCTTCCTTTTGTGTATTTTCTTTTTTGTGGACAGGATAATTTTCAGTTGTAGGTAATATGAATTAGCAACTATTGCTTATAAAGAATTATATTTAATTTTACAGAGTGCTTGTAGAACATTACGCCAACGACAATTGTTTGAAGAAACGTCTCATACGTTTTATGCTCACGGACCCTAAAACAAGTGAGAATTAGCTACTTGCCTTCCATCCTTCAAACCATGTTTGTCTCAATAACAAGTTATCTACGCTATCCTCAGGTGAACGTTGGCGTTTCTTTATTGTTTTTCTTAAATTGGCATCGTGTGTTTTGTATGTTATACGTGTAGAAGGCGACGATGATCCTCAGTTAGCTGGATGGTAAGTTTACTTGAACAATTTTTACTTTCTTTCTATACTGCTCATCTTTAACATTCATCTTCGACATTCACTCTGTCTTAATTTTAGTTCTGGTTGTTCACTGAACAGAACAGCAATAGACGAATGGTGCTGTCCTGATTTGAAAGAATGGAAATAGTGAGTGTTGAATGTTTCTTTAGTTTATTTTTATCTCCTTACACTTTATCTCCTTAAACTTCTATTACAATAACTTTCTTACAGTTGGTCCCTCGTATGGATCAATCGTCCAATTACGTTGTGGATTTTACAAGTAAAATTTTAAAATATACATTACGAAATTTTAAAACGTTCTCTGTGTTTGCTATTGTTTTGTTTTTGTGAATTCTAGACCGTCATTGCAGTTTTCTGTTTTTTCGAAGCATTCTTCATCGCTGTCTTGGAATTCAAGGTAAATTTATTGTTGCAATTGCTAACAAATATAATTTTTTTATTTATAAATACCTGCACTTTTATCGTCTCATCTAGGGTGGATCAATCCTTTCAAAAGTTACAGCGCGAATGATATTGGAGACAATTTTGACGTTCCCTCTTCTTGTGTCTGTAGGTCCATCTATCTTTCTTTCCACTTTTCATGTCTTGGAAATTCGTTACCAAAGTATTGTTTTAGATTTTCTGGAAAGATCTACGAAATTTATATAATCCTTTGTACCTAAATTGTTGGATTGCGAAAAACGTTGCCGAAAATATGTTTGTAAGTAAATCTGTTTTTTTTCTAATGTTCCACTTTACGTTAAAAATTGTTATTTTACGTGATATTTTTGTATAGAATGATGTGGGTCGTCTTCAAAAACAACAGTCTGTTTTAATGCAAAAAGTTCTTGTTGTTATTGGAACACTATCAAGTATTATATTTACTTGGTAAGTATCTTTCTTGATGAACTAAAATTTTTGTTTGATAAATGATATGAAAACATTTTTATGGCTTGATAATCTTTTATTAAATCATGAAAAGTTTTTATTGAATTCTTGATTCTTGAACATCTAGTGTTTGTGGAGTCCAGCATTTCGAGCGAGTACACAAAAAGTGGAATATGTTTGAAAGTCTTTGGTTTGTCGTTGTAACATTCAGTACTGTAGGTTATGGAGATAAAGTTCCTAACGATTGGCCCGCCCAAACCTTTGTAATGCTGTCTATAATTATGGCTTTAGTTATCTTACCCATGCAGGTATGTTTTTTTAAACACGTGAAATTCTGGTTTAGGATAATTGCAATGTATTTTTATGTTTAGCTTGAACAATTGGCATTTCACATGGCGCAAACTCAGAAAGAAGGCGGAGCATTTGGAAGAATGTTGAGGGGAAATAACCACCATGTTGTCGTTTGTGCCTCATCCTTACGTCCAACACTTGTGTTGGATTTTCTCAAAGAATTTTTTTCTCAAAGTGATTTAGAGGTATGTCCATAGTTAGCGTTTAAGGTTTTTCTTTATTAGTGAACATCCTAAAGCGTTTTCTTGTATTTCACTGTCCTAGGATTATCACGTGGTGTTGCTTTGTCCACAAGATATCGATAGTCAGCTGAGAATGTTGATTCAAGTTCCTGTTTGGTCTCAGAAAGTCAGTTATATGAAAGGATCAGCTCTTAATGACAACGATTTAGAGAGAGCAAAGTATTTTTCTTTTGTCAACTCAGTTGATCTTTCCTTTTGCAGATCTTTGCTGACAGCGAATAAAATTATTGAGAGTGTTTTTTAGGATATCGATTGCAGAAGGAGTTTTTATCTTATCTGATCGCAGTAGTACTGATAAAAAAAAGGCCGTAAGTATTTGGGATAGCAAACCATTTTTGTGTCTATTCAAAAAAAAACCCGTAGAGATTAAATGATATAATGATCACTTTATGCTCACCATATTTGAAATTATTAATTTACTTGTATTTCATTTTCTAACGACATTTTTCATCTTGAGGATCGCCACACAATTCTTCGCACTTGGGCAATACAAGACTATGCTCCGCATGTTCCACTTTATGTGCAAATCTTACAGGCTGAGAACAAATTTCATGTCAGTTTTGCTGGTGAGTTTAGTCGTAGAATCGAGTTTTTGAGAGTGGGACGTGGAAGGTGGGGTGGGGAGTAGTTTCTTGCCATTGTAGTGACTTTATAAATAATTGACGAATTCTCTTTTCTTGTTATTTTTAGAGCATGTTGTGTGCGAGGATGAATTAAAAAACGCTTTAATGGCAGCAAACTGTGTTTGTCCCGGTGTCACAACACTTGTTACAACATTGTTACACACGTTACATAGTCAGTAAGTGGACAACACTCCAGCTTACATATGAAGTGTTGTACAATGATTGTATTTGATTATCGGCTCTGTTTTTTGTTTTTTGTATTTGATTATCGGCTCTGTTTTTTGTTAGAGAAGCTTCTGAAAATATCCCGTGGCACGAAGTGTTTGGGCAATGTGCTGGAAACGAAATTTATGACATTAAACTTTGTGAAAGCGTTGTTTTTAAACCATTTTATAAAAAGAGTTTTTCTTTTGCTTCATTTCACGCTCACAGGCGGTTCGTATTAAATATCTTGCTGTCCCGCTTAAATTGTTTATGTCTTGTCTACATAACTGTTTTCTTTCTAACAGATATGGCATGTGTTTGATTGGCGTTCGTCCTTTCAACACGTCCAAGGTTCTTCTCAATCCAGGAAGTTCATATTTAATGGATGAAAATGACATATGTTTCTATATCGCGATGTCTAGTGAAGAAGAAAGTGCCTTCAAAGATATAAATAAATCTAAATCAAAATATCAAGGCTCTACAGGGAATTTTAGCGTACATTCCAATAACGCTGCTACTGAATTGCAAAAATTGAGAAGCATTGGAACAGGTACTGTACATCTTTAGCCGTATTTGTACATACATGTACATTAGATTAATCTTGTGATGATTGTTCCTGTAATTCCACCAATCAGCAGAATCATTGAATTACGTAAACGAAAAGGATTGTGGTAACAGTCACATGACTTCATCACAACAATCATCCACCAACCTGGAGCAAATCACTGATAAAGATGTGCTGCCCTTTAATGACAAGCCTCAAGATGCACTCTCTGTCGGCTCCTCCATCAATTATTTTATTCCCAGTGATTCGGATGTTGAAGATGACGTTCAGGAAGATACAAATGGACCTCTTTCACCAACAAAAATACCGCAGTGAGCATTTGTTATGTTTGTCATTCATGAATTTACGAGCTGATGTATTCATTCACTGGTATGTTGTTTATATTTTATTTATCTTTTTTAGATATGTCATTGAAATTCCTCCAATTTCTCCCTACATTGGACGCGTTAACATGAAATGTCATTTGCTTCCTCAAGCACCTCATTTGTGCTGTCTAAATTTGACCGAAGTAAGTTTGAAAAATATCCACGATTTTCAAATCTTTACGTATTATATAAAAAAAACATTTGTTTTCATTTGTTTCCAGTCATGTGAACACAATCATAAGCCCAAAAAAAGAGAACAAGGCGCCATTATCTTAGCTTCACCGGTGGTAGAGGCTGGTCTTTACAACTTCATTCTCCCACTGCGATCCTCCAATTTACCCTGTTTATCCCTCAAACCCATCGTATTACTTGTGGGCGAAAAGTGAGTCTATTGAATCTGTATTTGTCCATTAATATAAGACTAAATATTTCACCAATAAAACAAAAAACTTATTCCGTCTGATATTGAGAATTTCTAAAAAAATTTTTTTTTCAATTATTTTCAGACCTCCTGACAGTTTCCTTCAAGCTATATGTTGTTTTCCTATGTTATATTACGTCATTGGATCCATCTCTAGGTGAATAAAATCGCACGTTTTATCTGTCGTCATCAAAATGAAATACGTGGAAAGGCAACATCATAATTGTTGTGCTATCTTTCTGTTTTATCAGTTTGGATGATTTGTTAGATGCAGGAATACTCAACTCTGACACCGTTGTAGTCACGCGTACTGCCCTTAGCGGAGATCATGAATATGGCAGAGATGAAGAATTCATGGCTGATGCGTTCACGATTGTCAGTGTTCAAACAATCTTTAGGTGTGCTGAATGTTTATTGATAAATGTGTGATATTGCTAGAGTGGAGCAGTTACCTAGCCCTTGTGTAATGCAGTTTTTCTTTAATCTTTAATCTTCGATGTTTAATCTTTAATCTTCAATGTTTAATCTTTAATCTTCAATCTTTAATCTTTAATCTTCAATCTTTAATTTTGATCTTCAATATTTAATCTTTAATCTTCAATGTTTAATCTTTAATCTTCAATGTTTAATCTTTAATCTTCAATGTTTAATCTTTAATCTTCAATGTTTAATCTTTAATCTTCAATGTTTAATCTTTAATCTTCAATAATTTAATCTTTGATCTTCAATCTTTAATATTTATTTTACATCAGATTGTTTCCTCATTTGAATTTGTCTGTTGAACTTACTCACACCTCCAACATGAGATTTATGAAATTCGACTCTGGTGTCGTAGAAAAACTACGAGAGGATGACGATAAAGACGAGGGAGACTGGCAACGAAAGTCTTTAAAAGTAAATCACTTTATTCATTCTCCATTTGTCGGCGTTATATCTCTTAAGATGCCTAGGAATTTAATGGAAATTTGAGGAATTTTTAGCATTTTCTAAGGAACAAGGAAATTTGATTGTGAGAGCACTGTTTAAAGATGCCAAGGAATTTAATGCCTTTCTTTCAGAAATACAGAGCAGAAACGGAGAAGAAAGTTCACTTAAATTACATGTTAAGTGAATCATTTGCTGATGGCAGTGCATTTAGTGCAAGCATGGTGGATACTTTGCTTTATCAAACCTTTTTTAAAGACTACATGATCGATCTCATTTGTCTTGCTATTGGATTAAAGCAAACTTCTGGATCTGGTTATCTTACTTCGGTAAAAAGGACTTCGTCTTTTCCATCAAAAGGAAATGTATTTCGTGTTTAATTTCTGTTACTTTTTCAAGATAAAGTTGACTGATGATCATATGTGGCTCGGTAACTATGGATGTTTATATCAAAGATTATGTTCTACCACTGGAGAGATACCCGTGGGAATGTTAAGGACCGAGAAAGTTCAGAAGGTTGGTAACTAGTTGCCGTAAATTGCCTGATTGTAATCTTCATTTTATCATTACATATTTGTTTTGTAGACAAGAACGAGAGAGTCAAAAAAAAGTGCTGAAACAATCGACATTGAGAGGATTATAAGGAACAGAATGAAATCCTTAAATATTGAAGGAGAATGTAAAATATTTTGGAATGATTGTGATCATGTTCTGTTGCCGCCATAATTTTGTTGATCCTATTTTTCTTCAGTTAACATGAAGGAACATCAATCAGTGTCGTATGTCGTCAATAATCCTCCTCCCGAATGGATACTTCATCCGGGAGATATCGTGTGAGTATTTCTGCTAAAGCTGTCTAAATGTTTTTGGGTAAAACTTCTTCACGCTACCTTACTAAACGTTGAGTTTAAGTGATCAAATGTTTTATATTAATGGAAGTGATATTTTAAAGATATGTTTTGCGTCCCGGCAATAAAGCGTCAGCCCGTTGTCAATTTGCTGAGAAAGAGAGTAGATCAAGCGTCGTATGAAAAGGTAGTAGTTGATCATTCCTTTGCCGATAGTTTAATGTTTTTAAAAAATATCCTTACGATTCCACCCAGATAAAGAAACATTAATAATGCTTGATTATTTGTTTATCATATTTAGGCAGGAACCTAAAGTACCGCAAGATCTCGCCATAGTTTATCTCTACGAATTAAAATTTCATCAATAAAATTCGAATTTTTGATGAATGTACAGTCATTTATGTTGACGACCAAAACATTCGGTGATAACGTGACGAAGTTTGAAATGAAGTTGTTATGGACGCATTGGACTTATAAATATTAATTTTTATTAAAATAAAATATTAATTCATATAATGAAAATAGTTTTTGTTGTCCTGTTTCCAACGAATTGTTTTGGAAATTAAAATGAAAACAGTCTAAGAGAAAATGAAAGAAATATACATTTTATTGCATGCACCGGGGAGCAATTAGAGGCCTCTTTTTAAATCTTTGAAAAAATTTCCAATTTGAAAGTTACATAATTTGCGATGAACATTATAGTTCAGTTGTCCTATAAGCTCAGTTAACCAGACAACAGATTTGATCATGCGCACCAATGATTGTAGTTTTAAAGGAAAACAATCGAAGGGACGTACAGAAAGGAGAAGAACTATTTTTGTCTGTTTTGGCCAGTTTCATTGTATTGTTAGTTGGTTTTCAATCGTCAAAATGGCTGGTAATAAAGGAATGCAGGATCTCATTCCTATAATGAACAAACTGATGGATGCTTTTGCGCAGACTGGTCAAACAGCTACGATTGACTTACCCCAAATTGCTGTAGTCGGAAGCCAAAGTGCTGGCAAAAGTAGTGTTTTAGAAAATTTTGTTGGAAGGTTTGTAAAACAGTCATTTGCTACATAGTTGATATAGCAGTTCATGATTTATCTTGGGATTTTAAACCTAAATTTGTAGGGAAAGTAATAACAAAATGATATTAAACTACGATAAGTTGATAACACAAGGACTTCCTATTTATTTCAAAATTTGCCAAGTCATCGTGATAAGTCCAATTATTAACGAAGGCATTTTACATTTTAAAATACCTATTTTGGTGCGTTAGAAGTGACGTGGGAATGTCGTACAAACGTACCTTTTCCCACTGAGGCGTTTATTTTTGTTTTGCTTCCTTGAATTACAAGTTAATTATCAATTTAACATGTTTCTTTGTTTTCGATGTTAAATATTTTAATATGTCTTCTTGTGCCAGCAGATTGGTTTGTTTGCGCTAATGAGTTGCTGTTGTCAGCTAAGCACTTTCTCTTTCATTTTTGAACAGTTTTTCTAACCTCTGTTTTAAGTTCATTCATTAATCAATGATAAGACTTGTGTTCAAAATATTTTCGTATCGAGTGATTTTTTAATTATTAAATTGAATCCCCATTTTTCCTAAAGAGGTATTTTCATGTATAATAGTAATGAAATAATTTATTAATTATTAGTTAAAATATTTTTATTGGTTGTGATTGGTTTAGAACAATTTATTTATTTGGCTTTTTCTATTAGAGATTTTCTTCCAAGAGGTTCAGGTATTGTAACACGAAGGCCACTTATTCTTCAGCTTATTCCTGATAAAACAGGTAAATATTTGTCTGTGTCTTGTTTGGGGTATTTCTACATCACAACTTTTATGTAATGTTTCTCTATCTTACTAGAATTTGGCTAATTTCTTCATGCCAAGGGAAAAATTTTCTCAGATTTCAATGAAATCAACCAAGAAATAGTCAAAGAGACAGACAGGGTTACAGGAAGCAATAAAGGAATATCAAATATTCCCATCAATCTTAGAGTTCATTCACCACATGGTGTGTTGTTGTCATGCAATGATAATGTCTTGTATTAATTGTTGGGCACATATGTTATGTGGAATTGTTTTGTAGTGTTAAACTTGACCTTGATTGATCTTCCTGGTATGATTTAAGATTGCCGTTGGTGACCAACCCCAGGATATTGAAGCACAAATTGATATGTTGATGCAATTTATTACAAAACCAAACTGTCTTATCCTAGCAGTAACTCCTGCTAATACTGATCTTGCAAACTCAGATGCTTTGAAAATTGCAAGAGAGGTAGATCCTCAAGGTGAGCAAGAATATTTGCTGTTACATCATGTTACGCCTTGTTACTCGTGTTACTTCTTAATACTTCATGTTACTTTATGTGACTTCTGCTTACTGAACTATGAGATGATGAAAATTTTAAATTTCATATTTTCAACTATATTTTAGGTATTCGTACCATTGGTGTCATAACTAAACTTGATCTAATGGACCAAGGAACAGATGCAAAGGATATTCTCGAAAACAAAACATTCCCATTGAGAAGAGGTTTGTTTTTGGTTAATTACCATTTGTTTTTAATATGAATCCACTTAGTTTTGCTTGAAAATTTATTGTGATTAAAGAATTTCAATGTTTTTCACATTGATCAGTCAGTCATTAATTTATTGCACTCTTTTATCTAAGTCAATGTACCACATAATATTGTATCTATTGTTAATTTACTGCCAGTTTCATGTCAATCTAATATTATTCAAACATCAGTCTAACATCAACTGACCATCTACTGACCATCAATCAAGCATCAATTTGCCATTAGTCCTGTCCTTGTTAAAATATTTTAGGTTATGTTGGTGTTGTTAATCGTAGTCAGAGAGATATTGAAGGAAGAAAAGATATTCGAGCTGCCTTGCCATGAAAGAAAATTCTTCCTTGGTCATTCAAGCTACAGGTGATAACCATTTATTGCATTTTTCAACTGCAGTTTTTTGATTTGAAAGGAAGTTGACTTTATGTTTATATCCTACAGACACATGGCTGATAAAATGGGAACACCATTTCTTCAAAAGGTTTTAAATCAGGTAATGACAATTATGGATTATGGACAATATTTAAATTGGTAATTTTATTGCATTTATTGACATTTGCACATACCTTTTTTTTTTTAATGTCAGCAACTCACCAATCACATCAAAGAAACTCTTCCAGCACTACGGAGCTCGTTACAAGATCAGTTAATCTCGTTAGAGAAAGAGGTGAAGGAGTTCAAGAACTATCGACCAGATGATCCATCAATGAAGACTAAAGCTCTTATGCAGTATGTTTTATAGAGTTAATTAAACAGAGTAGAAATGTTAAACAACAATTTGACAACAGTCAACATGATACTGCTTCTTGCAGAAGGGTATTTGCTGAAAGGATAACACAAAATTGTGTTCATTGATACAGCTATTTTTTTGTTTCCGCCAGGATGATACAACAGTTTCATAGTGACTTTGAGAAAGCAATAGAGGGAACAGGAGATCAAATCGATACCATACAACTTTCTGGTGGTGCGAAAATTAATCGAATCTTTCATGAAAGATTTCCGTATGAACTTGTTAAGGTAACTTGTATTAAAGTAAATGGTTTGAATTTGGGAGTATCGTTACATGTTTGTAAATGTAGATCATCCAGGTTGGTAGAGTCCAACAAGAAAATGTCAGTTGAAACGTCAGTCAACAACAACAAAAAACAGTCCTTCTCAGGACTGGACCAACCTGGACGATGTACATTTACAAACGTGTTACATGAAGTATAATGTTCTGTCTGCAAACAATAAAAATTATATTTTCATTTCATTCATGCTTATTGATGTAATGTTTTTACAATTTCAACCTTTACAGATGGAGTTTGATGAACGAGAATTGAGAAGAGAAATCAGCTTTGCTATAAAGAATATCCACGGTGTCAGGTATAGTGGCATTTACTTTTCTCTTCTTTATAGTTTAAAATAATTTAATAATTTTTTTTTAATATCTATGTACTTGCATTTAGAGTAGGGCTTTTCACGCCCGACATGGCGTTTGAAGCGATCGTGAAGAAACAGATTGATAAACTCAAAACACCAGCTTTAAAGTGTATTGATCTCGTAATGAATGAAGTAAATAATGTTGTTAAGAAATGTACAGACAATGTAAGGATAGCTTTATGTTTCATCTTTATATCTTATCTTTATCGATGTCAACTTATTGCGTGCAATTTTCTTTTACGTAGATGGCGAAATATCCTCGTCTAAGGGATGAAGTCGAAAGCATTACGTCATCTCATATTAAAAATGGTGAGGTCAGAGCAAAAGACCACGTGACGTTGTTGATTGACATTGAACTGGCGTATATCAATACGAATCATCAAGATTTCATTGGTTATGCTGCGTGAGTATGTTAGAGAAAAAAACGACAACTTTTTCTGTCTCTTATTACTTCATGTTATACTTTACGTACAGAGCAAGTTCAGCTGCTAGTTCTCAGGGGGGAGAGAGAAAACGAAAGGGGATTGGAAACCAGGTGATTGCGATCATTTACAATCATTTCACATTTATTTTAAGTTATTTTGACATTTGAGTTGTTGATATTTTTAGGTGATTCGTAAAGGGTGGCTTCAGATTACAAACACTGGTTTTATGAAAAGTGTCGTTGCCAAAGAGTATTGGTTTATTCTTACTGGTAAAGTGATCCAAAATTTGTTGGATTAGTGATTGAATGATTGTAATGTGTGCGTATGGTTTTGTTTATTTAGCCGAGACACTGTCTTGGTACAAAGATGAAGAGGTACGTATATTTTTGTTTTATACCTTACGAAAAGTCAACTTTCCTCATTTATGTTTTGAAATGTTTGTCAGTCGTTCACTCATTCCTTTCCTGTATTTGGAATTTATTTGAAGGAAAAAGAGCAGAAGTATCAATTGCGGTTAGAAGGTTGTAGAATTCGTGATTTGGAAGGTGGTTGGTTGGCTAGAAAAGCTGCCTTTGCAATCTTTAATCCGGATCTAAAGTAAGTGTTACGAAATTTTGTATGATAACTCGTGTTTATCTTCGTTTTGAAGTGATCTTTAATGTTCAATGTTTATCGGCATTCATGTTTTGTTTACGTGTTCTTAATCTACCTAAATATCTTGTTGATTCATAGGAATTTGTTCAAAGACCACAAACAACTGGAATTGGCTGCTGAGAGTCAGGATATTATTGATGAATGGAAGGCATCGTTCCTTCGAGCTGGTGTTTATCCACAACGAGAGCCGGATGAGAAAGATAAAGTAATCTTTAATCTTGATACAATCCATCATACTGTTGATATTGGATTTTAAAACATGCCCTCTGTATTTATCAGATCAGTGAATTAGGAAGCTTAGATCCTCAAATGGAGAGACAAGTGGAAACCATTCGTAATCTTGTTGATTCATATTTGAAGATTGTCAGTAAAACCATCAGAGATCTTGTTCCTAAAGCTGTTATGTACATGATTGTTCAAAATGTAAGTTGTTATAGCGTAAAAATGTAAGTTATTTTGCGTGAAAAAATGTAAGTTGTTTTGCGTGAAAATGTAAGTTATTTTGCGTGAAAATGTAAGTTATTTTGCGTGAAAAATGTAAGTTGTTTTGCGTGAAAAATGTAAGTTGTTTTTGAAAAATGTAAGTTGTTTATGCGTGAAAAATGTAAGTTGTTTTGCGTGAAAATTTACGTTTTTCGCGTGAAAATGTATGGTATAAGTAATTGTGTTGACGTAAAATATTTGTTACTCTCATTTGTTTCAATTAGACGAAAGATTTTATTGGTTCGGAAATCTTGGCTCACATTTATTCAAGTAGTGACACTGTAAGAGAAATATAATCTGTAACAAATTGCTATTTTCTTGTGTGAATTGTTTTAAGACTTTATGTGCTCGAGGAGTTCAATTTAAAATGATTTTCAATGTACGTATAGTGATTGTATACTTTGACAGAAATCTTTGATGGAAGAAAGCGAAGAAGAAGTACAAAGACGAGAAGAGATGTTACGTATGTATCATAGTACAAAAGAGGCTTTGGACATCATTGGTGATATAAATATGCATACTATATCAACACCTCTTCCTCCTCCAATTGAAAACAATGATAATCCACCATCAAGCTACCGACTATCTGCTCCTGCTGGGTGAGTATGCTCAATATATACCTTACATAAAGTGTTGAGAAACTTTGTATTTCAACTTTCGTTTTAATTAGTCGTCCAGCTCCCTTCAACAACATCCTCACGCCCGCAAAGCAGTCCTACATCTTCAAGAAAACCACCACCTCGCAATCGTCCTAATACTCGACCCGAAATGACATCCCAACGTCTTAATAACGAGATCAATCAAAACATACAAAACGCTCAGACAGCATACACTGCATACAACATGGCGTCTTCTATTGGCATGGCTCCCACTTATTCCTAATCGTCCTGATTCATCTTCTACGCCATCAATACCAAAGTAATTATAGAATATTTTAATTTGTTTTGTCATACGAATGAAATAAATTCCTACTTCTATCTCTTTTGCAGACGCCCCGTTTTAGGGCGACCAGCTCCACCACCCCCCGGAAAGACCACGCCTTCAATCCCCAGTCGTCCCGACATTCCTAGCAGACCTTTTAATGTTTGATTCTCACAAATCATGAAAATGGAACGAGGAAAACAATGTGTTATTTATTTGTTGTAACAAATGCTCCTGTCTATCCCTGTATGTATTTGTTGTAGCAAATGCACCTGTTTATCCCTGTATGTATATAGAGCAATCAGGGAAACGTCCATGATTGATAAGATTTTGAAGGAACGCAATGTAAGAATATTTTTCATGATTGTTTGGCGATATATGAGCATGAAATTCTAGTCGTCACCGCAAATTGAACATATTTACATAAAACTATTAATTTGGTGAATGTTTAAATTATATAATGGTTTTATCGTGAATTATTCCGTCTATTCAACTTATTGAATTGAATACAACCATTCTGTATGGACAGAGCAGTACATTTCTTTTAAAAATCAATTGATTATTTAACTTGTCCAGTCGTCTTTGCGTAGATGCAATCAATCGTGAATGTAAGTTTTGGTTTGGGAAAACTTGTGAGTTTCATAATATATGTAAAAGACACAACATGGTAGACACGTCATTACCAACATGGTTACCAGTCTTTACTAACTCGCGTTCAAACACGCAATAAATTCTTAATCCAGTCCAGTGATCCAATCCTATTCATGACTTTGGCGGAAGTATTGGAACAGAGTAATGATTGTACGTCACTCTACTCAAGAATGGCTTAGAAAAATTTCATGTTTGTTTTTATTCTACGTTTAACCAAGAAATTATTCTGAAATAGGGAAATGAACTCCGACAGCTTCGTTAAAGATGTTGTTGTTGTTTCCGGAAAAGACAAATGTCCACAAGGCTACGAAATTGTAAATTTACTGAGAAGTTTTTTGCCTGTGTGATTTAAAATTTTAATTGATAACTTCAATGTGTTTTGTACTTCAGATTAATACAACTGTCAATGGCAATGATGCAAATCTTTATGAAAGTTCATTTCTAAAGAAAGACGAGCGGTACATTTGCTTCACAAAAATCAAGTATGTTTCAAAGTTTGAACTTATTCTTTCTCATTCATATTCCGAAGTGTACAATCTGAGGATCTTACTTCATAGTGGCCATGTTGGTTTATCAATTGAATTGGTTGCATGTTTACTAGTGTTTTTAATATTTGAATATTTTACTTTTGAATCATATCTGAAAACTGGTCTTGAAAATTGTAGATTTCACCAACTGGTAATATCATAACAGATCTTATGATAGCAAAGGAAAAGATTCATTTGATTTAACTGGCTTTACTGCTGTAAGGAATTGTTCTAATGATGGTGAGACTCTATAAAAAAGTCAAGAAGAACTTCATTTTCTGCTAATGAGGCAATATTTTATACAAGTTATTTTCATTAATCGTTAGCATTTGTGTTTCTTTTTGTGAACTTTTAGCAAGTGAAAAATCTTTTCGCAAACATGTGTTATACATAAAGACAGAGAGTTTGGAGTCTGCAAAGCAAGGTGTTGTCAATCTTATAGCTGTTCAACCATCAAAAGGGGAAAAATTCAATGAAAATTTCTTTAAAATATCTTAAGTTGCCAATACAACTTTATATTCATTAAAATAGGAGCCAGCCATGACTAAAATATTTCAACCATTTTCCCAGGAATGATGTCAATGGTATTCATATATGTTTTCAAAAAATACCTGTTCCAAATATAAAACAACAGCCTCCTCATCCAGATGTTGCCATGCATGTCCAAGCTCCAAAAATTTATGGGTATGTTTTCATATTATTGTTCATTAATTATCCCTCATTATTGAAGTTGATTAACAATGTATGTTTATGTGAATTGTTATTGATTCAGGTACCCTTCCAATGATCTTCCTTATCCAACACAGAATAATATCCAAAGTGATTTTTTACCAAACACAAATAGAATAAAGTCTATGGAAAACAAACATTAGGTTTGTTAAATATTGGAAAATATTTTCATTGTTGTCATTTGAATAGTTCATCAGAATTAATCATTTTATGTGAAACATTTAGTACATAATTGATATGTTCAACAGCTAAAAACATATGTAATACTTACATAACACGCAAAGCACATAAAGTAGAAGCTTAATCTTCTACATAGATCTTGTTGTTAGGCTGAGGTGATTTTCTGTTTGCCAAGAAATAATGGCTTTCATTACAAATACCAAAAACTTTTAAAATTGGAAAGAAGAAAAAAGCCCATAAAATGGAAGAAAATGTTGTGATTTAAAATGTAATTTTTAATTGAAAATATTCATTTGTTAGGTATTCAAGGTGTTATGTTTGAGATCAATCCAAGATTTCAAAGAATATGGAAAATAGCCAAGTATGTATTAAGATGTTTGTGTAAACATGGTTGATAAGTAAAGTGAGTAATTACTGAGGTCAATTATTTGTAATCTGATTGTTTTAAAATATATCAGAAAATCAGAGTGTAGAGAATTAAGTTAAATCTTACATGTTCACAGTCAATTGCTGAATATGATGAAAAGTGAATTTTAAAGACATTCATTGCTGTCATTTGAACAAACACTCTTTTGTTTAACTCCTATAAATAGGAATGCTTTTTCATATTTTAAAGAGGAGCTGATTAACCGATTGATCAGCTCCTCCCAGTGTGTTATACTGAAGTGTATGCTGTACTGTCATCATCCACAGAAAAGTGTACATCCTGGCACTTTAAAATAACTGCTCAATTTTATTTATTTAGGTTTCTCAAAAATTCAGGCAAATTCGATCTATTAGAGACATTGATTTGAAGGTAAGACTAATTTTTTATTTTTGTTCAATTAGCCATGCATGAAATCTGCCTGTTTGGATGAAACATTGTATAAAAATACTAATGAACTTGTAAAAAGATATCAGTGTGTTATCTTTATTGGCATTGTGTACTTTATAACAGGGATGGATTAAGGGGAGGGGTGCATAGGGGGGTGCGCACCCCCTGGCATTGGCCAGAATCACATATAACACCCTCAACTATTTATTCTATTTGTTTTAGTATAACTACACATTTGAAATGGAAAGATTATACTATCCAGATAATGATTTATATGTGAAGGACAGTAACATGTTATATAGTTAAAATGTATTGACAGAGATTAGTGTTTTAAATGATAAAAATAATGTGTTAATATCAATAAAATTAAAGAAAATCTTGCTGCAGATTTCACAGTTGAATTTCCATAATTTGGCCAAGTAAATAGTTGTTGCAACTGAAAGTGTTATATTTTTGTCAATGTAAGCATGAGGCATTCAGTTCAGTTGTTTTATAAATTATTATATCAGAGAGTTTAACAAACTGTAAAACATATCTACTGTAAGAACTAGTTCTTGTGTAAAAATATATGACAATGCATTAATGATAGTCTTTGTGTCAAAATGTGTGAAAACACGTGAATTATAGTCTTTGTGTCAAAATGCGTGAAATTTTAACACGGACTAGAAGTCACTCATTTTCACACATCTGCCTTAGACTATAATTCACTCACTTTGGCACTCTTTGGCATGAAAATGTGCAAAAATGCAAAGACTATAGTTTTGGCAAAAAATGTGTAAAATGCAAACACTATAGTCATTGGCATGAATATGTGTGAAAATAAATGAACTATAGTCTTTGACATAAAAATGTGTAAAAATGCAAAGACTATAGTCTTTGTCATAAAAATGTGTGAAAATGCAAAGACTATAGTCTTTGACATAAAAATGTGTCAAAATTCAAAGTGTGTCTTTGCATCAGATATTAGTTTTTCCATTTTCACACACTTTCACACCAAAGACTATAGTCTTTGCATTTTCACACACTTTTATGCAAAAGACTATAGTCTTTGCATTTTTACACACTTTTACGCCAAAGACAATAGTCTTTGCATTTTCACATGCTTTCACACCAAAGACTATAAGCTTTGCATTTTCACATCCTTTCACGCCAAAGACTATAGTCTTTGCATTTTTACAGACTTTTACGCAAAAGACTATAGTATTTGCATTTTACATTATTTCTATTTAAAGCCTATAGTCTCTTTGACATTTTATAATTTTTTTATGCAAAAAGACTAGTCTTGCATTTTTATACATTTATGCAAAAGATTATAGTCTTTGCATTTT